CTAGAAGAAGCACCTAGAGTAGAATCGTATACGTAGGGCGAACTACCTAGTTAGGCGGATAGGCCGGTAACTAGGGCTCCGCCTAGGTGTAGCGGTTATAGGGAGATTAGCTATAGGATTAATATATATAAAAATCGCTATATTTAGTTAAATTAATAGGTATTAGTTAAGATAATTAATTCTTAAATTTGCTAATAGGGGTAGGTGACCCGCTTAACCGGGTGACCCGGTCATACGGGAATTACGTTATATATACTAAAGAATCCCTATAATAATAGGATTCTCTAAGAGAGGCTAGAGCCCGCGAGTTCGTAGCGGTATCGTAAGGTTTTTAGTAAGATATAGATAGGGTTTCGAGGGCGAAAAGGCGCGTTAATATAAAGGAAGCTAACGAGCGAGAGAGGTAGAAGAAGGAGAGGATAAGAAGTAAGGAGGAGAAGGAGCGTTACTAACGTTAATAAAGGAAGCGTACTATCTTTATTTACTCGCCTATATATTTACTACGTTTACTATATTTATTTCTATTTTAACTAATACGTTCCCTTTTATGCGTTTATTTATTTTCTATATATCGATTTCTCTCGAGGGCGAGAGAGTCCTTAGAGGAGGGATAATTATTATAATATTTCGATAAGACTATTTATATATTAATATTAGGGCCTTAGATATACGTAGACCGAGGGTTCTACTAAGGCGGTAGCTTTCCGGCGGTTAGTCGGTGGCCCCTCGGCCGCGATACACGATAGCCACGCTATATATAGGCTACGCCTACGGAGGTCTATCCTAAAAGAAATGAGCAGCGTATTAACCACCCCCTTTCTATAATACTATTTTGATCTATTTTCTATCTTATAAATCTACCTAATTACCCTCTTCCTTCTTCTCTCTACCCTCTCTATATTCGTTTCCTCCTTTAAGCGCTATAATCTGCTTAATATACTAAGGAATACGTTTAATCTAATACTGAATCTTGTCCTACGGTAGATCTTTCTAAGCTACTTACTAAGTAGTAAATGCTTCCTGCCGCGTCTTCGGTGCACCCTTACGTATAGTTCTTCGCTTCATCTAAGGCTATATAGGCTTAATCGTATTAAGATCTAGCGAATTAGGGCACTAGAGTAATCTTTGCACCTTCGCTACGTTAAAAACACGCTATTAAATATAATGATTATGCGCTAGCGCTTTATCTTCTTGAATAAGCGTTGCCGGTCGTTGAATAGCATATTCTTACGTAAAAGGAAGAAGTTTTAGTAGTAGAATAAGATACTAATATCGATACCAATCGATTCTACCTTTCTTTCCACGACCTAGTTTACTAGTTCTCGAGGTAAACTTCTAAGTAGGCTTTCTACCACTAGGATTTTGACGTATATTAAGACGGCGTATACCCGTCTTAATCTCCTATAAAGTACGTAGAGTAGGCTTAATTTCGTTATTTAAGCGCTTAACTTCCTTCTCTACATCACGCTTTTCCTTAGTAGTTTCAGGAAGCTAATAGTAATAGGGTCCTTTCTTATTATAAGAAAAGCATCCCCAAAATATAAATTCAGAAGCTCCTTTCTAGCGTTCGCGAATATAAGATCGAAGAAAACGCTTATCTTTAGTTCGCTAGATACGATAACTACCACGTCGGTGTAAAAGAATCACTGACGTTTCGTCAGAGAAGATAACGTTTTTCTAATCTTCTATAGTCTAGTGCTTATGCGTAAGACACTAAGCTAGACGTTCAGCACGTATCTTCTTCGTCAATCTAGGCTTCGTGGTTGGCTTCGTCTTCCGAAAGCCGGTATTCTTTAGTATACGATGAATCGTTGTACTAGAGATGTTGATGCCTAGCTTGCTAAGATCGCTAGCTAGATCAGCGTAGGTCTTCTCTCGGCCATATCGATCTAATCGCACCTTCGATAGGATAAGATCAATTGTAGTAGGACCTTACTTGGTAGGCCTACTAGAGCGAGGTTTATCCTTAACATACTGGTTATCAACTATCGTACGATGTGGATCAAATCCTCGCTTGATTGCTTCTGCATAGATTCGATTGACTAAGGGAACAGATAGATCTATTAGGGCAGCAATCTTAGCAGAAGATTTAGGAGTATAGGCTTTTAAAGCAACTACCGTTACGCGCCTAGCGATTGTGGATTGCTTTACCATCTTGCTGTTGATAGTAGTAGAAGAAGATGATAATAAAGCAGCAGAAAAGGTGGGGGGATCTGTGCGTATTCGCTTGGTAAGAAACTAGTGGTAAAATAGGATTGGTCAATGCGCTGCTCATTTCTTTTGGGATGGACCTCCGTATAGTATATACTATATATTAGCTATATAGTAGCCTTTCGCTATAATTTCCCCCTTACTTTGTGTTTAATTCCTATTTACATAAAGGATAATATATTTAAATAGATACTTAAGGAAGTAGGATTTATCTTCCTTAAGAAACAGTCTTTATCTTAATCTAACTTAGTGCTTTCCTCTCCTACCTAGTTAATAGGCTATCTACCCTATAAAGTAGTATACTCCTTAATAACTACCTATTACCACTAAAAATCTAGGGATAAATACCCCCTCGATCCTCTATTAAAATAATTCTAACGATCATCTGAAAATAATCTTAATTACCTCTCACTACTACTATCTACTACTATCCACTAGTAGATCTTTATTATACTATATAGCTATACTATATAGCTATATCTAATAAGTATCTACCTATCTACCTTACTTCCTATTCGCTTATCACCCTACTTACTCATACCCTTCCTAGATAGTAGGATCCTATAACTAAGAGGAAGCTACTACCTAGTCCCCTTTCGTCTTATGTGGATTAATACCCGGTACACTAGGATCTGTCACTATATTACTTAATGGTAGTTTCCTAATAATGATTATATTTACTATTATTAATACTAATAATAAGACTTCAAGGATAATTACTACTATCCTTTTATTAATCTACCAAATAATATCCTTTTTATTTATATCTTAGCGGTATAATTACTTATAAGTCCCTTAATAAGCGATCTTAATAATTATCTAATAGTCCTCCTATAATTTAATCTTATTAATCCTAGATAAAGATATATAGAATTAGTTAGATATAAATATAGGTATACTAAAAGCGCCTTTTTACTATATAGCTAGATATAAGATTCGCTAAAAAGCGATTAAATTAGTTAATTATATAACTATAATAATAGTAGCTAATAAGATAGTCTCTTTAAGACTATCTAGTTATTTTATAAGAGTTTCGAGGGCTATAAGTACCTTACCTATACTATTAGTATCGCCTTTCTAGGCTTTTAGTATAAATTTCCTTATATTACTAATAAATCTATATATAAATCTATTAACCTTATAGTTATTACTCTTAATATATTTAAGGACTAACTTAGCTACCTCTATAATATTATCTATAGTCTTAATTTAGTTACGTTTTAATTTATTATTCTATTAGTTATATCCCTATTTATTATATTCCTACTATTATTATTATCTATATTCCCCTAAATTAAGGGGTCTTAGTATAGAATTTATATCTTAGAACCCTTGATCCTAGGGTAGTAGGATACTATTTAGGCTCGCTATAGACGCTATACGGTTACTCTAGGTTGAAACTAGTATTAATCGATAGCGCCTAAAGTTAGATAATTTTTAAACTTATCCGTAAGGCTTTATAAGCCCTAGATCTTAAGATAGACTAAGAAATCGATTTCGCTAAGAGATAGTTATTTTCTAAGAGGACTGATAATCTTATCTTATTAGCTCTATTTCTAGTAATAAAATTAATTATATATAGATCTCTATGAGTAGTTTTTGATAGGTTAATAGGAATATATACTAGTAGATTCGAGTATTCCCGTAAATATCATTAAGTATATAGAGGAAATAGACCTCTATCAAAGAAAGATATATAGCTAGTGGAAGTGAATAATGAATTAAATTAGATGCCTTATGTTTTAGTATTTTACCCTTATTCTTTTTTATTCGATTCCCGCAAAAGAAATAACTATTTTGTATTAAGTAGAACGCTAGCTACACTACATTCCGATATAATTAGTAAGTGATCTAAAATCCTTCTATGACTACTTCCTAAGCAGCCGAAAAGCCTGCTTTGGCTAAATGCCATTCCTACCCGGAGCCAAAATTCCTTTACTATCGACCGCATCTTTCGTAGCCGCGACCATAGCCTTTTGCCAAAAATGACCCTTACTTATCTTAGTGCCGCGGGAGATAATCTGATCTATGAGAACAGGATGAGTTCGAAAATCCTCCTATCGGTAGGCGATAGAGTCCTTTAGTAGGGTTCGAATGAGGTTTTGCCACTTTCTTCGGGACCTAGAATTTAATATGGATATTGTAGATTAATCGGTCGTGTGCGAGCACAAATTCACTCATGAGGTTGTAGCCTGCTTTTAATGTTCGTTTGTGGGATGTTAGATGCATCATACGCGCTGTTCCCGTGTTTACTCGGGACGTCCAGCTACACATCATATGAGCGCTAAGTGATTCACCTAACACTAGATCTAATCCATCGATCGATGCAGAGAATCGGGTGAACTTCGTTCCTTGATGTAACCCCGGAAACTGACCGGGGAGTCTGATTTCGAGAGATGAAAGTTGGTTCCTTCGACTGATCTGAAAGATGCTTTGATAGCTTCTTAGTATATGTATCGCAAAGGTTCCAGCTGGTTGATGACGCCGTATAGATTCCAGTAATCTAACTAAAGCTCTTGTGCGAGTGAAGATAGTGTGGAGTGGGTTGGAGTGAATGCCGGCTGGAGTAGTGATTCTTTTGGTAAGTTATTTACGAGGCTCTACTTAAGCGTCCAATCCTAGTCAAACTTAAGTCAGCCTTTTTCACCCAACTCCATCAATATGCAACCTTTTAGTAATCCACGCACCTCATAAGAGCATAAGACTCCGGTTTGTAAAATATCACCTTATAGCAAGATGACCTCTAAACCACAAGCTCTCGCCTTACTACCTTTACCTTACTAAAGAGCCTAATCCACGATCAGCTCATTCGACAAACTAGGCCAGTCAATCCAAGATCGGTCATCAAGTCCACGCTTCGTAATCTCGCGTGCCAGAGCAGCGTATGAGACACCCGGTTCCACGACGGCATATAGCCGTTCTTCATTCACCTTAAGAATATTATTTATATATTTCGCAAGATTCAAGCCTACGCTTCCCGGAACCTATAGAATGGCTAGTCGATAATCATGTTCGCTACTAGAACAGAACGGCCATAAGGGTATCCGACCGCGATTTAACAGGCGATGCAGTCCCCTGACGTCCTCGACGTTACGGTGGGAGACCACTGCGGAAAGAAATAAGTTCGCGCGAGGAGGGATACAGAGAATATCCAGGGCTTTCGAAATATTTCGGCATATAGTGTCATTCGAGGTAACAATGTGGACATTTTCAGCGCCTGTAATGTCCTCCGCATCTGCAACGTAACTCACAAATGACCTGCTGCTTATATCTCGCGGGAACATATGAGGAGTTCCCGGATTAGAGGGAAGACGGGTCACTATAAGTGTAGTGGTACTCCTCGTTGTTGCACTGCTGGCTGCAGAACTGCTTTTGGCACTGGATGACCTTGACGAAGTAAATCCTTGTGATTTCAGATGATTCTTCAATTTCTCCGCTCGATTCATGTATTCGCCTAATTTTGAGCGGATCATTTCCTTTGACCGGGTGTTCTTTTCCCATCTCAAAGATAGCATGAAGAGCTCTAGGGAGCTGTAGTAGAGCTGATATGCTTTCTCGTAATCGCCATCGTGGTCGTGTTTGATGGCTTTCTTGACTATATCGATAGCCCTGCCGAGAAAATCCGTGTTGCTGGAGTGAGGAGCAGTAGCATTTGTCGCACTTTGTTCATCAGTTCTGATCACAGGAGTAGCATCGCCAGACGTGCTATTCTCTGCGAGATCTTTTGCGGCTAGTGGGATCCAGTCGCGGATGTTTCTGAATTGATCTTCGATTAAAGGATCTCCTCGTATGCTGCTGCCATTGATGGTAGATCTCTCTCCTTTAATTACCGTACTAACACTGGAATAAAGAGATTTCGCCGCCTGGGCCATGCTTTGAAGACTAGCAATAACCCTATCGTTCTCTACAGTCCTAGGAGAAGTGATCGATGTGTCGGGCCTCGTTAGATTCGCTCTCAGCGTATCTAATCTTTTGGTGATCGCATTGATCATGATCCCAGTTTGATTAGAGATGTGTCCACTTTCTGCGTAGATGTGGTATCTTGGATTTGGAGACACAAAGTGATCATCTGTAATTCACTTTGCATTGCTAGCTGGTGCGAGTAGATACGCTGGCGATATTTAGTAATATTGTCCGAGGATAAAGTCAGCTTGAGGGCCTTGACAGGTTTGCGTAGAAAGCCATGGCCAAAGGAGCTTTGTCTTGTTCGCTTTGGTGAACGATCTCTCCAACTTTGCCACCGTTTCCCTCCCGCTACTGACATTTTCGCTAATACTTGACCATAGGTTGGCGTCTGTTCCAGAGTACGTGACAAGATTATCATGGGTCTTCTTCCACGTGTTTTCAATTCCCTCTAAAACACTAGATAGACCGAGGAGCTCTTGGCGGGGACCTGAAAGATCATCATCCACATTTTGGATACTGCTAGTAAGGTCGAGAATTGTCGTCGCAACCTCGGGAGAGGCATTTACTATGATCAGTTTCCTTCAGGATCGGAGGGTAAACCTTGCAGACTGACCCGAACACAAAGTATCGCGAGACTTCCCGATGCAGTCGCGATTGAGAGGGGATCCATGTTGTGTTCCGTATTAGTCCATTGAGGTAGCTAGGTTCACAAGATATTAAGAGTCAATAGATTTGCTTTCGCAGCCAAACTACAAAGGCTGAATTCGCGTAAATGAGGGGGCAGAAATGCCAAGGAGGCTCCCATCAAAATACGAGAAGCAATCCAACCAGAGGTTTAACTTGACTCCATTCTAGGTAACAGAGCAATGGAATGACTGAGAAATAATTGTCTGCACCTCCCCCACCACATTTACGCTTTGGACCACCATTTTATTCTACTGTACTATGTCTTCTGGTGCGATGGGAGGCTTGTGCCGACGAGCTGGGCTGCCAGGCTTGAGATTGAGATGGCACCATCCACGGTGGGTGATTATGGTGGTAGGATAGAGGAAAGATTGATTCATTAGAAATTGGAGCAGAAACCCCTTCTGGAACGTTCGGGCCAGTGACTTCCTTGAGAGCGGGGGTGCAACATCAATCGAATCGAAGCCTCTGCTGGTCGCCCCTAGACTATCTCAAGGCCAGGTTAAGGGCAGAACGATTGGTCTAGTTCTAGGAGAGAACTTCACAACAGCTTTGTGATGTTAGGATAACTACCAACAGAGCTTCTGCTCTAGATTTCTTAATATCTCGACGTGGCTGCGATACAAAGTCTATGTCTCGTGTGTTGCATAATTCTCTAGTATTCCAGGAAGCGCTCTTTCAATCAAGCTAGATCGGTGGCCAACCACTATTGTGGCGAGCTATATCCCACAGAAATCTGAACATTGCCGCAAAGATAATAGCTCGTAGCAAGCTAGATATCAACGCCGTATACCGTAGGCGGATAACGTTAGATGTGGCGGTCTAACGATACGATAAACCTACCATCGACCTTTTGCTACTATAGCTGATAATCCGGCTTTTGGCATTCATATGCTTTCTTTAGCAGCAAAAAATGGCGACCTTAGGTTAGTAGAACGCTTACTCCTCTTTCCAACTATTAACATTAATTACTAGGACTTTCGGGGAATAACACCGGCTATACACGCACTTATCTCTAGCGAATTCTTTATTCTATAGCTTCTACTCTCTGATAAGCGGATATATGAAACGTCACCGATAGGTATAGCCAAAATTTACTACACTTAGCTACACTAAGAGCCGACACTATATCGATCTAGATTTTGGTGCGCTATATACGTGTGGATGTCAATGGCCGCAATTTAGAGCGTCAAACTCCACTTCACTTGGCAGTAAGCCAAGCCCCTGATAATAAGTCCGGTATAGTAGCTCGTTTGTTATTAAACTCTGCCTGAGTTGATATTAACGCGAGGGATACTCACGATCGTACCCCTCTTTAGCCCGCAGTCAAGAGCTACCAGAGATAATGTAGTGGACATCATTCTGCAGAGGCTAAATGTAGACTTCTCCGGTCATCGGGACTTGGCGGCTCTATTGATACCTATAATCCAAAAAGAGTGCGAAAGCACTATGTAAGGTATGGCAAAAGTCGGCCGGGGAGCCTGCTTCACAACCGCTTAAGGTTAGCCTTGCACTATGTCGGAAGAAGATCAGACAATACACCAGGCCCTAATGAGCGCTTCTGGCTCTTATGATGGCGTAGGCTTCGACGGCGAAGACATGGTTAGGATGCCAAAAGATGACTCTTGTGTTGACGTGAGCCGACCAGAGAACGAAGGAGTCGAACGGGTTAACCTCACGTGCCAGAAGTCTGTTATAACTACATTAGCCCAATAGCTAGGGTGGGTAGGGTTGTTATTTTGGATATGTATCAGTACCTACAGCAGTCTACCATTTTTAATACGTATTGCGTTATCACCATAGAATACGGAGGTAGCCACATCTAATTAAAGACCAAGGCATGCATGGCATCTGGATTGGAACTACACCTGCTCTGCAAGCTTGGGCATGAAGAGCTTTGTGTTCTCGTAAACAAGAAATGTGACCCAGGTACTCGGCAGCACTCGAAGCAAATTCGGGCCGAGTCCCTTGTAGAACCCTGCAATACCTTCTTTTGCCCAAATCTGACCAATCGCATCCAGAACCCCACGGTATAAGATATGGGCTTCGTAGGTCTGTAGTCGTGATCTGATGACTTGATAGGGGTAAGTCACACACCCGGCAAAAACCTTGGACAGACCGGAGAGAACCAGGAAATCCAGGTTTCCAAGGGTTTTTTTCACCGTGGCATCAGGCTGCCCCATTAAGGATTCTCTATGTAGCGCCTGGGAACGGAAGACCTTCAGCCTTTCGTAGGCCATAAATTGGAAAGCGCCGTGGCTGACACCGAATAATGAGGGAATCAGTCCACGGTAAAAGCCACGCATGCCTTCAGTGCGGTAAATTTGCCTCACACCAGACATGAATGAAGGGTAAGCCCCTGGGGATTGGGCACCACTTGCGAGCATCCGGGTTTTTATGACCCAGATAGGGTTCGTAAGAATGGATGTCAAGGCTCCTAAAATAATCTGGTCAGAGATCGGATGTTAGGTAATTGCTGCCAATAGATACGGACCTGCTGCGCTAGAGGCAAGAAAATAATCAGCAGATGTGAGCATCCATTCTTCCTGTCCTCGGTAAATGCGGATGGCGTCCTTGAGACTTCCATAGCAGAGAAAATACAGAGCCCAGCTCGTTGAGTTTCCAATCAAATTAGGAGCTAGACCACGATAGAAGGCACGGAGACCGCCCTCGTGCGTGGAAATTTCCCGGATGATCCGTAAAGAGCTGCCAAGACGGGAGGGGGATGATCGGTCGACTAAGGAGGTCAAATTAGTTCAATCAAGGCATCTGGATTTTGGAACCGGAAACAGAGTCAGGAGGCGCTAGACGAGAGTCTTCATATCTCCATCGTACCTTGAAGGCGGGTCTTCACTAGGTCAAGCGGGTGTACACAGAGTGTCGAGGCGACCCCTGCTGTGAATCCAGCTACGGTCTCCACAACGGATGAAGACAACCCATCCTTGCTAGTCATGAACCCTGGGCTAGAATTTGAAGAGAGAGTGGTGAATGTTAAAATGTGATGGTCGCTGCTGGGTTGAAGTATCTTTGGCAGTTTACGGGTGACTGTAAAATAATATAATTCCAGTCGATATCGGAGAACCGTGGCAGAATGCCGTCATCTTTGTTATCGGGGAGTCACGGGTCACAAATCACAAATTACAGACGAGGACATGTATGATTCTACGCTCTGCCCATTATACAAAGGATCATGGTGACCATGCTGTTATAGCAAGGAGAGAGAGATTGCAAGTCTCTTTGAGTAGTGGCCCATCTACGGCAAGGGATTGCAACCCGAAATCAATTAACATCCAATTTTCCATTTAAAAATACATATCATAGACTGAAGGGTGGATTGTACAGCTCGCCCCCCGACCCTATATCAAGCCACCGAGGTATGATCCAAACGCTGCCAAGAAAAGGGAATATTGGGCTTCGTCGTAGGGCGAGCCAATCGTGAGAGAAGGGGCCAATTGGCTGGACTGCGGCGGATCCCTCAATGTTGCCGGCTAATGGTCATTCTGGTGCCAGTTGAATGCGCTAAAGCGCCACGCTTATGCCAGAGGAGAGAAAAGCCTGATCACGCAAGTTAGATGAAGCTGCCGGGAGACGGGAAACTTGCGACCTACTTGAAAAGAGACGGCTTGGGCTCGCTGTAGGAGTAACCTGTTCATTGCGCATTAATCACCCGATCCATTATCCGCGGAGAATCACTGGTTCCAACATACCAAGGTAGATGATCAGAGGCAAGTAACCGCTATCAGATCCGAAAGTGTCAGCTCGGTGGTATATGAAAAGGGTGTCGAAGAGGTGGCGGCAGGCTGATGATGCGGGCAGGCAGGGGCCGCTCACTAGTGGATCGCAACGCGAGAAATATCGATGACCTTGGAAACGCGCTCCTGTAGAGAGACAGAGAATACCAAATTAGTGCTCATGTAATGATTACCGCGTGGATATCGCAATGGAAGTTTACCTTGGTCTCTTCGGAGAATTGAACCATGATGGATAGTAGTCGGGAAAGGACTCGAGTGTGTAAAAAAGAGGAGGAGCGTTCGAGAGACGAAAAGAGGAGTTGTGAGCACTAGGTGTGAAGATCCTCGACAAAAGATTGGGATTCCGTAGATGGGAGTGGGTGGAAAGCGGAGGTTCAGAAATGCGGGAGCTGCGAGAAGTTGGCTCAAAAGTTTTCGGAGGTCGGGAAATCCAAATGACCACCGATCACTGCCGTGCTTCCATCCGCCAAACCTCCCTTTCAACCAACCCAACCCGTTCTCTACTCTACTACCCCTGGCGGCCTTTTTTTTCCAACTCGAGGAATTAGAACTCGATTACTCTCTTTTCTCGCTTTCGCATTTGTTCGTTCTGAAATCAGAATTCGCCTCTCGCCGCAACTGGCATCCTCGCCGATATGTCTGGCGCGAGACACTGGTAAGAACATCTATCCTACCAACCCATATGCCCTTCCGTCGAAGTATCCCTCGTATTGACAGCGGAAATTCAGGGAGCAAGACAAAGAGGCCACGGTCTACATCGGCAACTTGGATGAGCGGGCATCCGATAGCTTGGTATGGGAGCTCATGTTGCAAGCTGGGCGCATCGTGAACGTCCATCTCCCCAAAGACCGAGTCACGCAGTCACACCAAGGATATGGTTTCGTGGAGTATATCAGTGAAGAAGATGCCGAGTATGCCTCGAGGATTATGAACGGTATTCGCCTCTATGGAAAGCCGATTCGGGTGAATAAGGCCTCTGCAGATAAGCAAAAATCCGTGGAAATCGGCGCAGAGCTCTTTGTCGGAAATCTTGACCCCATGGTCTCGGAACAAGTTCTCTACGACACATTCAGCCGGTTTGGCAGCTTAATTAATCTTCCCAAGGTCAGTGCCCCTTGTGTCTGGACTATGAGGAATAGAGTCGGAATAAGAGCTAATTTAAATCTAGATTGCTCGAGATGACAACAATCTGCCCAAGGGTTATGGATTCGTCTCCTTTGCCGATTTCGAGTCCTCCGACGCAGCCATTACCAATATGAATGGCCAATACCTCATGAATAAGCAAGTTTCCGTCCAATATGCCTACAAAAAGGACGGCAAGGGAGAGAGACATGGTGATGAGGCCGAGAGAACGCTGGCCGCGCAGGCTCGGAAACACAATGTTCGCCCACCCACACAGCAGGTTCCACCTGCTCAGTTCCCGGGAGGTGGCACTGGTCCTGCTGCTACACCTACCGCTGTACCAAATGGTGATGCTTCGCGTCCTGTGAGCACCGGTCCGCAGACCCCCGACCTCGGTATGGGTAGGGGCCCCATGCCAATCCCCATGAACTATCAGAACGTACCCCCTCCTCAGCAGGGCCGACCGGGGCCTCCTCCTCCCCCTTCGGCACTCACCACTCCCCCGCCGGGTCTCCCAGCTCGTCCCCCGCCATCTCAGGCCGGTTACGGCGGCCCCCAGACCTATCTTCCACCAGGATTTAATAGTGCAAGCCAGCAAGCTCCCTATCCTCCACAAGGTGCGGCCGCACCGCCAGGATTCGGTCCTCCTGGCTTTGCACCTCCAACGGGACCCCCTGCGGCCCCGGGAGCACCTCCCTCGTTACCTCCCGGATTTCAGCAACCGGGTTACGGAACTGGTCGTTGAGAACGCATCAGCAACATTTGGAATGCAACCCATGGCCGTATATCAGATTGGTAATTTTGCCGTGACGGACGCTTGTACATGCTACGATCTAAATTCAACACGGAAGCTGCTGCCTCAAAATCTCAGCGGATCGCTTATACACAGCATGCCTCAACTAAGATGGTGACGACTAGGCTGACCACGCGTTGGAGTCCGGATCACATTGAGTGAGATCTATGGGATTACATGACTCTCGAGCTTCCAGCGGATTCCTCCGCCATGAACAGACATGGGGAAGAGGCGTCCTTGACGCTAGCCGATGCTCTAGCTAATCCCCTCGCGAGGCTCCTCTTTGACCAATTGAATGAGATATGATAGGAAGACATTTATGGAGGTACTTTGAAAAAGTAGACTAATGTAATGATTGAGATGAAAGAAGTGCGAGTAGCACGGTAGACGTGATGTGTGCTGTCATCATGGTTTGGCTGGAGAAGCACACGGTAGAGGTGCAAAAGAAGGACTTTCCAAAGGCCAAGGGTAGCCGACGAAGGAGAATGGAGAGAGATTTGAAGAGGGACTAGATACGAAAGAAACTATGTTGCTTGGGCGTGGGATCATGAGAACGAGACAAATTTGGGGTCCCGGGGCCGACCATCAGGGCCAATGTTATTCCTTGCGAATCGTTGTTCGGTATAGATTCGGCGGGCCTCATCAAAGTTGACCTTTCGGGCTCTCATGATCTTTTGAATCTCTCGTTTCGCGGCTTGATCCAATCCAGCCCGGGTGTCCCCGTCTGCAACATTAGCCGTGATGTCGAATTGCGAGGAACTCAAGCCGGCCTCCAAGTCGCCCGTGAAGCTAGATGGAAGGCGCTGGTAGAGGTAGTCAGGGACTGGCAGTAGATGAATCCATCTTGATCGCGTGAGGTAAAGCGCTGAAAAACGTCTGGTCAGCCTTCATTCATGGTAGATCCGACGGACCCCATAATGGGGAGGGATTCGCGACATACCCGTGCCCGCAATGATGACGGATATTATAAGAGAGTAGAACAGGAAATAGGTCATGATGAACGTAAAGAGTTCAAAGAGAGATAGAGCTTGAGGGCAGGCCGATCGAGAGGCTTCCCGAAGCCAGGCGTTGCAAAGATGGCAACAATGAAGAGTTGAGGCGGAAGCCACCACGAAGGGAGTTCGTCATCCGCGATGCCCGAACTGGCCGAATAAGGAAGGTCTTGATGCCTGAGGAAATGGGCGGATGAGACCATCAGGGTGGTAAGGCGGTAAGGCATCAAAATTGGAATTCAGCTCCGATTAGATAAGGATCATCAATCAGGCACCAAGGCATCGATATGCGGGCACTATTCCCAAAGTAGCCTGCTTAGCGAGGCGCTGAGTCGAGAATTCCATCACACAAGACGTCTCCGACCACTGCTCAAAGGAGATTCACGATCTTATTCCACCGAATCAAGCATACCCGTCAACATGTCCGTCCAGCGCCCCAACGTCTCCAACGACCTGATCTGGCTGATCACCCGTACGTCTTCAATTTTTACCCGCCTAGTCGAATTTTGGTTTTTGCCCGTGGCTGACAAGCTGTGGCATTATAGGTAACCAGAATGCTTATCTGGTTCGCCGCAACACCGGCGGTGGCTCCCAGTTCTCCCGCGACCCCCTGAACCTGGTCAACAAGCACTCCTTCAAGGTATGATGGTGCAATTGAAATCCGTCGATCCAAGATTCTCCGCTTCGGAATCCCACGGGCAAAACGATCGAGTGACGCGAAAGCTAACTGAGGGGTCTTTTTGTGATAGTACTCCGGTTTCGCCAACAACAAGGTATCTCCAATTTCTCTCCATTACGCTCTATCGCCTACATTCTTGAATACACACTTCCCGAACCGGGACTCGACCAAGATCCCAGCTCACCATTTCTTCGAATCTCTTCTAGGCCGTCGGTGTCCAGTCCGCTGAGAACGGTGGTGTCACCGTCACCGCCAAGAAGCCCGGCAGCCCCCAGCAGCCCGCCCAGAACCAGGTTACCGTTACCTACGGCCCCAAGACCGCCACCCGCAAGTAAGATGGCCTCGCATCCCTCACTCCCGCGCTTAGCTCGTGAACCATTACGTTTTTCTACCCTACGTCACTGCGATATTGCGCATGGATCGGAGATTCGGTTTCACACTCGAGTTTCGGGAGACAGAATAGACGAGACGAGCATACTGACCCGAGTGTTTTTGTGATATAGGATCTACAAGGGTGTCGCCAGCAAGACCGCCCAGCACGGCTACCGCGCCGATGTCCGCGAGGAGGCCGTTGCCCGTGTGAGCGCCGTCCGCCGCTCCCAGCTGCCCAAGAAGGAGACCCCCGCCTCCAAGCCCCGTGGTGCTCAGGCCCGCAAGGCCGAGACCTCTGAGTAAATTATATTCTCACGGACGGAAAAGGGGAAAGGGAAGTCAAAACGATGGGAGCGAACGCGTATCGGAATGGGGAAAAAACGGTGCGCGCGCCGGTGCTGGAAAACACATGATGGAGAAACCTGTCCATGTAATCTAGCAAATTTTTACCTTTTTGTCGTCGGGGGGTTTGAATTGCCCGTCCCCGGTGGTTTAAAGAAAATAAGAATATTCAACCATAAAAGAACAAAAAACCTCGACCATCTCTCGAAAGGGCAGAAGAAGACGAAGAACCACGCGCGGTCCATGAGTCCGAGATCGCGGAAAAAGGATCATCAGCTTTGGTGCGGGTGTAGTAGGGAGTCAACTCTGGCAGCCGATTTGTCGGGCCGAATGGAAGCTCATCCTCGGGTGCTGGATGGTGAGCTCCTTCGCCGTGATCTGGACTAGTCATCCGAATTGGAGGGAACCAAGACCGGGGATTGGGTGGATATCATGCAGTGTCAGAGGGTCAGAGGTGGGGAGAGAAACGAGACCATCAGGACGGTCCCACTGACTCCTATTGTCCTGGAATGAGGTCGTTGACCGTGGAGATTGACGACCCTTTGGGAGGGATCCCGCCTTTTCCCGAGGGCGAATGGAAACCTGGCCCCAAAGGTTTCCGACAATCACGGGCATGATGAGACAATAGCCGAGACTCTGTTAAGAACGGTTGCCGCGACCGTAAAGAACATGAAAGGGCTGGGAGAGAATGGCCGGGAGATGGACCGGGAATTCTGGCCTTGCTAGGATGGACGGTAGACTGGTGCAGAGACAACGGTCATCCGGGCTGGATTGCGATATACGACGTATAGAGTTTACAGTACGTGATATACGGGGTTTTGCATAAGCGATACAGTACAGTAGATGCACTGCTGGGTATGTCGAGAACGGGGAGAATACGGGGATATACTGTAGTATAGGAGGAGATGAGTCGAGAGCTATAATAGAAGACACTACATTCAAGAACGGCAGCTTGATGGGGTCAACGAATAGGACTCGGGAAATTATGTGTATTTGGAACCTAGAACCGTAAGGACAGAGTCGTCCGCGTTGTGTACCTCCGGACCATCAGATTGACTACGACGGAGACTTGCAGACCGGGCAGCCCAATTCAGTAAAAACGCGAGAGCCGCTAGCTTGAGTATTGTTGAGAGACTTTGGATTGGTAATTGCCCCATGATGAGGTTTGCCAGAAAATAGAATATAGGAACTTTAGATAGTGAGTATGAAAAGTAAAGTATTCAATGGTAGATACAGTAGGTAGATACGAAGGTACTCAATACATGACTATATGAAGATTATACCGAGTGGCATAGGGAGGATATGGTCAGAGGAAAGAGATACAAGGATGGATCATGGTGTACAGTCTCTACTGAGCATCATTTAGTCTCGATATTGTTGATTGGAAACAAACTTCACGTTCCATGTAGTTCTGGACTGTATTTTCGTCATCGGAGCTTTCGTTTTTAGCTTGTGAAGGAACCGATGGCAACTCCGGGGTTGATTGAGGGGCAACCGCCCCTCCTCCTCCTCGTCCGGAACGAGCCAAATAAATACCCCGATCCCCTCCTTCCCTCTCTCCTCCTCCCCCGTCCCATCAACTCCCCTTCTCTCCAGCTCCCTTCTTCATTCTTCCATACACCATCTCTCATCATGGTCAAGGCTGGTATGTCATCCTCATGTCCACCCTGCTCCCAGCTCGCTTCTCGACCCCCATTGAACTAATCTTAATTGCGCGTAGTTGTTCTCGGTGCCTCTGGCGGCATTGGCCAGGTGAGCTCTTCCTCAACGGGCACGGATCAATGTCGCAACTTATCTGCTAACCACCATGCGTCTCTTTCTTACAGCCTCTCTCTCTCCTGCTCAAGGCCTCCCCTCTGGTTGACGAGCTCGCCCTCTACGATGTCGTCAACACTCCCGGTGTCGCGGCTGACCTGTCCCACATCTCTTCCGTTGCCGTACGTGACAAAGCCCTGTTCTAGGGACTCCTCTCTATACTTCCGCGACAAAACGGCGTCTTGCCGAGAAAAGTTGTCATCGCTGACCAATGAGCTAGAAAATCACCGGCTACCTCCCCAAGGATGATGGCCTGAAGCACGCCCTCACTGGCGCTGACATCGTCGTTATCCCCGCTGGCATTCCCCGTTCGTACCCTCTCTCACTCTTCTCAACCCTGGCGGGGGGTGTAGGATACTAACAGTCTCGATTCTAGGTAAGCCCGGCATGACCCGTGACGACCTCTTCAAGATCAATGCCGGCATTGTCCGTGACCTGGTCAAGGGTATCGCCGAGTTCTCCCCCAAGGCCTTCATCCTGGTCATCTCCAACCCCGTCAACTCTACCGTCCCCATTGCCGCCGAGGTCCTCAAGGCCGCCGGTGTCTTCAACCCCCAGCGCCTCTTCGGTGTCACCACTCTGGATGTCGTTCGTGCCGAGACCTTCACCCAGGAGTTCTCCGGTCTGTCCGACCCCTCCAAGGCTACCGTCCCCGTCATCGGTGGTCACTCCGGCGAGACCATCGTTCCCTTGTTCAGCAAGGTCTCCCCCGACTTCAAGATCCCCGCTGACCGCTATGATGCTCTTGTCAACCGTACGTGCTTCCGCCTCTCTTTTCCATGACCTCTTCCGTTTGTCTGATTGCAGCTGCTGACTTTTCCCACAGGCGTTCAGTTCGGTGGTGATGAGGTTGTCAAGGCCAAGGACGGTGCCGGTTCCGCCACTCTGTCCATGGCTTTCGCCGGTTTCCGGTATAGTCCAGCCCTGTTCTGCATTTGCAAGTTTTACCACTAACATCTCCCAGTTTCGCCGAGGCTGTGATCAAGGCCGCGAAGGGCGAGAAGGGCATTGTCGAGCCCACCTACGTCTACCTGCCCGGTGTTCCCGGTGGTGAGGAGATCGTCAAGGCCACTGGCGTTGAGTTCTTCTCCACTCCCGTTGAGCTTGGCGTAAGTTGATTCCAATGCTTCGTGTCATTGATTATGATGTCGGGAAAACACTGCTAACACGTTTTATATAGCCCAACGGTGCCGAGAAGGCCACCAACATCCTCGGTGGTGTCACCGAGCAGGAGAAGGCCCTCCTCGAGGCTTGCATCAAGGGCCTCAAGACCAACATCGAGAAGGGTGTTGAGTTTGTCAAGAACCCCCCACCAAAGTAGGATTCTCTTTCCCCCGTGACCTCTCTCCTCAATCCGTTCCAGAGTCGTTTCTGCCCATTATATTCCCATATTCGGGCTATTTGATCATTCCCCATACCACATTTTCTCTTCGCCGATAGGCCCCCGCCCCAAACATTATTTTTGGCCTCGGAAATTGCAGGAGCCTCGCTAATTCTGATTTTCAAAGATAGGCTTTAAGTGCGCGGGAATGAGATTACGAACGACCAGCGGAGACGAATGAAAGATTTCTCAGTCGAGCGACACGGTATTCCACAGATAATGAAAGCCATGCGCAATAAAGAATTAAGATTATCCATTTCAAGCCTTGATCCTCGTAAGATTTCCCTCCATAGAGTTCTTTTCTGCGTACCCCACGGCCGAAGAGGCTCTCCAGCGTGATGGAGCGGGTGTCCTGGACCTGAGCGGGACTCTTGTCGGGTCCTGCCGGCAGGAGAGCCCAGCTTTTGACAAGTATCGTAAAGTTGCCGATGGAGCGATGCAAGTCCGCGACGTCGTGGTCCAGGCCTGCCTAGACATTACGTGATTCCCGGGTACTCTGGCGCTGGCTCCAGCCCCGGCTTTCCTAGTTCCATTTCCAATGCGAGTTCAAGGCCGAGCCGGCACCGTCTTGATTTGAAACGTTGCCCCTGGAAGCTCGGATGTCTCCGCCTGTACGGTTGTATTGATGCCCAGGTTGGCGAGAGCACCCCGGATGATACCGCAAGGAAACCACAGGTACTATTATCACCATGCGTTAGCTTTCCCGCAAGTCGCAGCCACATGAAATGGGGAAGAGGGAGAGTCCTTACTGCTTGCGCCATCGTTACGGCTTCCGCACGCACAGCCATACTCATTCTGGCAAAGGGCCGGAATGCGCTATCCGTCAACACGTAGACTCCCTATCCAGCTTCGATTTAGCAATCGCGATCACCGTTGTAAAAAGACCACGGGACGAGTTTGCTTTTGCGGTGTAACGGGGGGGAGGTCATGGAACATACTCGGTGGTTTGTTTTCAAATTATCAATCTGTTTCCTGAAAAGTACCGTCCACAGGTCTTTGCAGAGAAACTTGATCACATCGAGGTTATCGGTAAATCGGGGGCGATCTCGGGAGAATCTAGATCAATTGGTGTGCTGTTAGTCCAGGCTCTCCGGTATCCCGCAACCAATATAACCACCAAGCCGACCTTAAAAAAATTGACGGACGACTCGGGCTCCTCTTCCTTCAGGGGGTCTGGTGTTCTCGAGCAAGTCTGAAAGATGGCGCGCGCGGGGGGTAATTGGATTCACACACCTCTCCGCAAGACCCTGTCCCACCCGGTAGCCCAGGGACTCCAGACGAAAATATGTAGACTCTCGAACCTCTTCATCTTCAGGGTTATCTTGTGTAGCTAGGTCTTTAGCGAGACGTTCGGCCATGGGCACCAGCTCGATGAGTAGGAAGTCGAAGCATGAGGAGCTCAGGGCGCGGGCGTTTGGATCGGAGATGGATAATGAGGCTGAAGCGTCGAAGGACATTGTGGGCTGGAGGGAGATAATTCAATCGAAGGCCGTGAAGGAGGCGAGGAGGCCGAGGGTGACGTGGAAAGAAAGTGCGTCGTTGGTTGTCTCGATGGGTGTCAATTGGAGGGGAGGGACGCGGGAAGTGGTTTAATGTGGTAAGCCAGCGGAATTGGAGAAGAGCTCGGCTTTCCCCACTTTGTACTGTTGACACTTGCATGGACAGATCAACAAGGGTACAGTAAAGAATCACTAAAGACTGTAGAGAACAATGCATGGATACTCCGGATACCAGTCAATTACGTCAATCAGGCTACTCAACCCGAAAAAAGCAGACGGTGTTTCAATAAAGCAGCTCACACATCCATCGTTACTAACAATAGATTGGAGCTGGTCAATTTCCAGATATAGATGCTTTTATTGCTGGCATCGCACAGCCACATCTGCCTAAGAAAACCCGCTCGCAAGTCCCAAGAAGACCAGGGATACGCCCAAAACACCACGGCCAGATGCAATTGTGAGAGACATAAGAATGGGGGGGGGGGGGGGGGGGGAATCGACGAAGATAAGGAAATATGGAAAAGAAGAAGCCCAGCTCCCAAAAGAGTCAGGAGCTCGGAACCAAAGAATACGTGAATTTGGTGAACCAAGATCCTACGACGATGCCCCCTAATACGAAGGAGGTGGATAAGCTCGATCATTCAGAGGGCTGTTGGCCACTGGCGTGTGAGAATCATGCGGTGCTATCCCGCGTACACCAAAATTCAAGGCTGGACGCTTCACAGGAGGAGCGGGCGATTCATCATCGTCGTCATCACTGCCAGTGAGGTCGATGACCTGAGCTGCGGGGCGTTTCTTACTTGATAAGCGAGCCGCTGAGGAGGGAGTTGACGCTTCTCGGGACTTGGACTGTGCCGGAGTTCGCTCCAGCAAGATGTTTGCCGACATCGATTCTTGTTTCATAAAGGGATTGCCCGGCTCACTGATTTCAATCAGATCGTCGTCATCATCATCGTCGCTGGTGGGAGTTCGCTCGCCGAGGTTCACTGCATTTGCATCGCTAGGTGCAGTCCACGTGCCGTCCGGTTCCACAACCACTGAATCCACATCTCGTGAGGTGGATCCAAGAATGTCATCAACATATCTGTCACAGCTACAGTCAATGTGCAAGTTCAAAGAACATAAGGGCAGAGGTCACTCAAACTTACTGGTCTACCTGCAACGACTCAAAGCTCGTGGACTTTGAGCACACGGGACAGGTCCAGGTGGGAGCCTGCTTCTGCAGTTCCAGAAAAGAGGACGCATCAAAGCACTGGTTGTGGGTGCAGACCACTGAGCGACAAGGAACTTGTATTCTGAGCGTTGAGAGCGGGCACTTTAGTGACATGATACTTGATGTCGCAACTATATCGGTATCCTCTGCGCGATTTTTCACTATAGCAGGCATGCGTCAGAAGGGCGAGTCCCTCGTATAGAAAAGCTTGCTGTTCTTACTTTCACGGATCACCTGTTCCTTTGAGATGATCTTGCGGGATTTGAGTTGCGATACAAGTTCTTCAACGGGGTGTTGTCGGACAAGGTTGGCAATCACGAAGAATTTCTGGGCCGAGGCATCAGTAACGTTCAGTTTCATGAGAGGGCCTCGAGCAGAATTGAACATCAAAGGGGGGAGCTTACTTTGGTTGTTAATGCATAAGTCATCACAATGTTATTAGGATAATTTGCCTTTTTGCGTATATGGGCTGTGACATCTGCGGGCTGGGTGGTGCCTGGTCTATTCTTCAGGCCCCGGAGATTGGCTTTGACTTCATCCAGATTGGCCTTGAGCTCTACTTGATGGGGGAACGCAATATCTGACTTGGTATATTGCTTGAGGCCGGAGTCGGCCGCACAGTAGATCATCACCCGAAGGTTAGGGTCGGTCTGCAGATCCGATGCCGTGGATGCACTCAGCAAGACCTTAAGCTCAATGCTATCCCTCGTCTGTTCACGGACTAGTATATGTTAGACGAACTGATGCGATTTCACTCTAGGGTAGGGTGTGTAAGCTCAAGAGTATACCTTTACATTCCATCACCGAAGTGAGTGGAGATATGATCGTGAAGAAGGGGCTTTCTTTGAAAGCTAGGCGACCTGCTGGAAACCGATCAGTGATTGCCGGTGATGTATGTGTTGTGGAGCTGTTCGGTTTCCCACCATGTGAGCTGGGCTGGGGAGCCATGGCGCCCAAAGAAGAAGGTCGAGATTGCGACGGTGTAGGCTGAATCGTAGGTGGAGGTGGAAGTTGATAGCTGGGCGAAGAAGACTGGAAAGCCGAAGCTCCGGGGATTGCGACCTGATAGATGAGTCGCTTGAGGGCATCGTAACGGGCTCCATTGCCTTCGGAATTGGCAAGGCGCTCGAGATCTATTGTAGCCAGATTCGTCAGCTAGCTGTCACAAGTAATGTAGCCCCAAATTCAAAACTGAAGGGTTTCTATAAGAGACCAAAAGGTAGGCCACATATAGATCGAGACATCAACCCAGGGAAAGCAAAGAGAAAATCCAGGCGAACAGGAGGAGATAACGAACAGTCAATGATGCGCAACTGTAGCGACGCCTTGACACCCGATACCGCGAGTCCCTCATTGCGCAGAAGTTCCTTCAATTGTGGATTTGTGAGAGTCTTGATGCGAGCCACGAGATGTGGAATCTCTGATAGCTGGCCGGAGGATGCCATTGGGGTCGACGAAGTGCGAGTGGTGACTGGCGGCTGTGATTCAAAGAGCCTCGAATGGGCATCGCTCAGGCAGAGTGTAATGCCGCTAAGCGAGATGTTGCGGACGAACGCATATACATCGCTGGATCGCGACGCAGATTTATAAGGGCAACAGGACGTCAGCCTCGTGGAAACGAGTCCGAGGGTGAAGTTGGCTTGTTCGGCGGTGGTTGTCCGTTCCCCGAAGGCGCCTTGTTGCGGATGACATAAGACGCCCGCCTATCGCGATAAAAAAAAAAGTTTCGAGCCGACGACCTGGGCGCATTCCCCTCTCTTCAAAACACCACTCGACTCTTTTTTCAAGGCAGACCTCGTTTCAGTGGTCATACAAGCGATCTTATCAAAATGGCGAAAAGTGTCCGCGCGAGCGTTTCCAAGCGCAACAGAGCCGCCCTCCGCAAGAAGGTGTTCGGCCCCATTGTCGATGCCCGCACTGAGCGTCTGTCTGCAAAGCTGCAAGAACTCGCCTCTCAGCCCAAGCCCGAGGCTCCCGAGAAGGCGACTATGGACATAGAGACTGATGAGACTGGTATGTGTGCGCAGAATGACCTTTTTTAAGTCTAGTGAACGTATCTAATCTTTTCTTCCTACAGCCGATCAAAATGAAGATGCTGGTAAGGCTACTGCTGCCGACGAGGGTAAGTCGAGCCCCTATAATGCCTCTCGTCACTGCTATACTTGTGCCATGGATAGCGATCTAACTGTTACACAGCCATGGATATCGACAACAAGTCCTCCAAGACCCGATCCTCAAAGTCCGGGCGGATCCAGAAGCAGCATCGCAATCGCCGGACCCGTCCCTCCATCGTCTTCCAGAAGCCCGGATCCAACAACAAGAAGGGTGGCCCGAAGAAGAAATAAAAAAGTCAGAGACGATGATATTTGACGATACAGTGCGGTGGGATGAGGGGATGCAAGTCTATCCGCGGCGTTGGGAGTCCCTTGGGCATATATGTTTCTTAATTGATTACGACCTTGGTCAATTGCATCTGTAGATACGCTACGATCCCTTTCCGACAACACACTAGAAGAGATTGTAAAAAATATAGCGGTTCCATTGAAGGCAGATGCAAATAGTCATAGATCCACCACGATGATTAACCAAAGCGATTGTAGACTGCGGGTGAAGGCGGTGTGGTCGCGTATCGCCAACTCGACAACAACTAGGAGACTTTAGATCGCGACTCATCCGATGCAGACTCTCTTTTACAGATCAAGTCTTGTTCGTTGGGGGTAGGCATAATGGGTTTCTTCAAATCCAGCTGGACTACTCTGCTGGCCAATGTCTTGATTCCTGTGGGCATCCTCACCTTTTCATCCGGGTTCTTCCCCTACAAACCACTCCTGCCGGGCCTTGCGACATTCGACGAGGTTGATCAGGATGCCTCGTCTGCAGTCTTTGATAAAGTCGTCTTTATGGTGGTAGATGCATTGCGCAGGTATGGCCTGTATTGGCACGATTCTGGAATTTGAAATTATTAATTAACCCATAATGCAGTGACTTTGTTTACTCCAATGAGTCTGGATTCTTGTTCACTCAAAGGTCTGAAAGCTCTCACAAATGACGCTTGATGATATCCAAATATGGATTAAGGAATCGGGTCAAAAATTTTCTAAGAAGACGAAAGCTGACTTCATTTATAGTCTGATTCGATCGGGTGTGGCATTGCCCTTTACTGCCCATGCAAGCTCCCCGACTGTTACCATGCCTCGATTGAAGGCCATGACCACCGGCTCCGTGCCGTCATTCCTAGATGTGATCCTCAACATCGCCGAGTCAGACACGTCCTCGACTCTTGCGTTCCAGGACACCTGGTTGGCCCAATTGAAAGCCCGCGGAGATCAACTCGTCATGTACGGGGATGATACGTGGCTTAAACTCTTCCCTGGCATGTTTGGTCGAGCCGATGGGACCACGAGTTTTTTTGTATCGGTAAGTGACCTTATTCAGGGCAATACCCAGATCAAAGAGAAACAGTAACTAAAGATGTTCCCTCTAGGACTTTGTGGAAGTGGACCAGAATGTAACCCGTCATGTTCCTACCGAGCTTGCGCAAAGTGACTGGTCGGCCATGATCATGCATTACTTGGGGTTGGATCATATTGGCCACAAAGCAGGACCAAGAAGGTAATTGTCGATTCATGCTCTGCGATGTCAATTTTAATCGACTTTTGTTGATATTCTTTTACAGCTCGTACATGATACCGAAACAGCAAGAGATGGACGCGATAGTCAACGAAATTTACACCGCAATCGAGCAGCAGCCACATCTCCAGTCTACCCTGTTCGTATTATGCGGTGACCACGGCATGAATGATGCTGGGAACCATGGCGGTGCATCGGCCGGCGAGACATCCCCAGCCCTGCTATTTATATCGCCCAAATTCGAGGCTTTGGGGGTCCGTCGAGAGAGTCCCATCCAGGCTTTTGATGAGCTACAGTACTATCGCACGGTCGAACAAGCAGATATTACGCCAACCTTGGCAGGACTTCTTGGATTGCCGATTCCTCTCAACAGCCTGGGCGTCTTTATTCCAGAGTTTCTGGACATGTGGGATTCCAGTAAGTAATTCCTGCTTCTCGGGGAAGAGGTGTTCTGCAACCACGCAAGTGCCTCAACTGACTCGTCAATAGGATCCCAGCAACTTCAAATGCTATCTCGTAATGCACGTCAGCTCTTGAATACCGTCCAGGCTACATTCCCCGGCTTTGAATTCGACGGAGAGGCTATTGCAGGGGGCTGCGCGACTGGAGCAGACTCTGGAATTGAAGGTGCTCAGTGCGCATGGTCTCAAGTCCTTCAGCTTTCCTCTGGTGACATTTCGAATGAGGAGACTTCCTCCGCTCTGGAATCAGCGCTGCTACGGTTCTCACGGATTGCGCAAGACGTGATGAGCAGCACCGCTAGCAACTACAATATTTCTAGGCTTTGCCTCGGATTGGTGATCACTGCCGTTGCCGCACTTCTCGTCTTCCCCAGCACCTATTATGAGTGTGCACAGTCGAGGTACACGGGTGTTTTCATAGCCTTCATGATCGTGGGATATGGAAGTATGATGTTCGCGAGCAGTTATGTGGAGGAGGAGCAACAGTTCTGGTATTGGATTTGCTCCGGATGGGTATTCTATCTGCACATTCGCTCGCAATCGCCGAGGACAGAATCTGCCCCAACCACCACAGGACTTTCTCTTCGCGGTAGCAAGTTGGCCGCTGTTGGACTCGCTGTGGCCCAAAGAGTTCTTCGGCGCTGGAATCAGACGGGCCAAAAATTCGCAGCGGAACCGGACATCGCGCGCACTTTCTTTCCAGCTCACCCAGCCGTCTTCTGGGGTCTCTTCATTCTCACATATGCAGATGCGGGCTATCATCTTCTGCAAAGCCTTCCATCTGCTGCTGTGCTAAAGCTTGGAGGCGTGGCATTGACAGTCTTGGCCTTCATGTTCAAGCTGAACTTCGTAGCGAATGACTCTCCTGAGCTTTTGGTGGACTCCTTCTTATCGAAGACCGCAGAGAACTGGCCGGAGAGTCTGTCACTGGTTCTGCAGGCAAGGCTCATTTTTGGAGGGCTCGTAGGTTGTGCAGTTCTCGCAATTGGGACTCGACATCGTCCGGGTACAAAGCGTGGTAAGCAGTCACCCACCCCGTGCAAATATCCTCATTTGAATCTAGAAAGAGAATACTGACGCATACCAATAGTCTCCAATATTCTCCTCCACGAGGCCCTTCATTTGTTCCTGATGACCCAATCTCGAGCCACCAATATTCCCCTATTCCTCGTTTTCCGCGTCGCTGCCCTGATGCTATCCTCGATGAGACTCACGGGCATCGAAGTGACCATCACAACGTTGATTCTCCAGTACACCACCTTCTTTGCATTCGGAGGCTCGAACGCAATCTCCTCCGTCGACCTTTCGAGTGCCTACAACGGTGTCGGCAGCTATAGCGTGGTGATGGTGGGCATTTTGACATTCGTCAGTAACTGGGTAGGCCCAATCTGGTGGGTATCAGCAGGCCATCTGCTTCGACCCCGAGATGACTCAGAGGATCACAATGCGGCCTCGCTGCTGACTTTCCACGTCGCCACCTCACTCATGTCCGTCATGGCAGCGTGTACTGCCTTGCGGACGCATCTGTTCATCTGGACAGTATTTTCGCCTAAATTCTTGTACTCGATGGCGTGGGCGACCGCCAACCATCTTGGACTGAATCTGCTGGGAGGTGCCGGTCTCTCTGCTCTTCGGTCTCGGAAATGAGACATTCCGTCACTAGCGCAATAGAAACTTCATCTCTCATACATGCTGAGTTTGACCCGTAGATACGAGGAGGGCGAGAACTGTGCCACAGATTCTAGAATAAACCACTGAATAGATCGTCGATGGCGTTCTTCTTTCGCTTAACCTTCTTCGACTTTTTAACGGTAGAGGGTTTTGCATCGGTTGGCTGCTTTGACTTCTTCCCGTGCACTTGAGGTTCTTGTTCCAATGACAGTGCTACGCCAATATCAGCGCGACTCACGCGTTCTCCGCGATCCTCGGTGGGCGGAGCCGACTGAGTCTTCTTCTTGACCTGCGGTCGTTGCCGCGTCTCCTCTTCGAATTTGGTCCCCGTTGCCTTGGCAAAGCGAGAAAGAGTCGCCAACAGCACGATTCCCAGTGTGGAAAACTGGTTTTCGGCGACGACAGTAGAGAATGCCCTGTTGCGATCGTCAGTCAGATTCTGCATGTACATCTGTAGCTGGTCTCGAGAATCCTTCCAGCACAAGATCAAGTAAAATACCTACAAGTAACACTTCGGAATTAGATGTTTAGACAGATACTGCTTGTAAGCAGCCGAAATCGCGACACTGCCGTTTTGCGATTCCAGGTCAGCGGCCATGCGCTTCAGTCGGGCCAGCCACTTCCACCATTTGGCCCGCTGGTGCTGGTTCTTGTTGCGATGGGAGATTAAATGCAGCACGGCATGCACTGCCCGGATCTCCTGCGTGTCCATGTAGCTAGCGCGATGGGGGCGAAGTTGCGCAATGTTGAGCAGAGAAAATGGGGAGATCCACAAATTTGCGGGTGGTTCTGCGGCAAGGTTGCCAAGTCCGCCGTTGCCAAGGCGTGAGCGCGGGGCGGGTGATCTGGAAACCATGAGCGATACCGAATACTTACAAAGGTCAGAACTATAAAAATGGAGATAGATACAAACCACAGCCAGATATCCAAGCAGGTCAGGCAAGGCCAGATCAAGGCATAAGCGACCCGGCCAAAAATACGAAAGAAAGAACTAAATGCCACATAAATGAACTTCGAGAAAGAAGGATCCGGGTCACAGCCAGTTCATCTCAACAGGAAATCACAGCAACCGAAGCCGCCGAAAATCCCCCAGAGTTCAACTAAGATTGAACCGGTCCCAGATCGTAGATTCATCGAAAAACTAAAAATAAGACAAACTAAAAACCAGAAACCAGAAACCAGAAACCGCATGCCGCAGCAGCAAAGAATTCCACAAACCACACTCCGACAAATTTTGTATCCCTCAGCCACGGGTATGTCGAGCCCGGGCCTTGGGCAAGTTCCGCCGCTCAGTTGGCCTGGTCATCCTCCGCCGGGGCCGCTTGACGGGTTGCAGGGGTTCGGGGGGCACCTCTGCGAGTGGCTTGGGGGCTTTCGCCCTAGTGCAGACCTGTGAAGAGTGATCAGTTACCAACTCACCAAGTCAGGTTAGATGTAAGGTTGACTGACCAGCTTCTGTCTGGCTGCGATGAACACCCGCTGCTAGGGTGTAGAAATTGTTGACCTGGGGGAACACGGCCTCCTCACCGGTCTTGGGTCCCTGGGTGTGGAACAGCTAGACAAGAGGTCAGTATCAATATGGTCAAGGGCAGGAAAGAATCGTTACTTTTGGCCGCCGGTCCGGCAAGTTGAGCATTACCGGGCTGTTCCGGAATCGCTCAACCAGGGTGTCGAATCCCTGGACATCTATTTGAGAAGGATCGTGTCAGTGATCAGATGGTAGGATCAATGATGAAACAAAGAACACTTACCGGCATAGGTGAATTCGGCAATTCTTCCAGTGAATTGCTCGAAACCGGGCCAGATACGCCCCACGCGGGCGCGAACGAACTAGAATAGAGTCAGTATAAATCGAGTTTGTCGAGAATATCCAAGTGGAATACTAACCACCGCCAGGTCGGCAGGCTGAGAGGAAAGTCAGTGAGTGATATTAATGGCAGAATGGGAAAGAATCATCACTTACTGTCTTGAAGTTGATGAACGCGTATCCCACGCTATTGAAGATAGTTAGTAGATAATCCCAGGGCTCTCGCCCTTTTCAAAAAACTTACTTCACGTTTGCTCCGAAGTCTAGTGGAAGATGAAAGCAAATTAGAGAAATATCGTGAGAGGTGAGATGCAACAGAGGTGACTTACTGATTCGGAGGTACAGGTAGTTGTAGCGCCCAGCGCTACTCAGGTCCAGGATGGCCTTGAGCTCCCTCTATTGAAATTGTTAGACACTGTTCAACTTGAAGGAATAGATAAAGAACCATCACTCACCCAGACCATCCCGTGTGGGATGTTTCGGCACATGACCTATATCGAATAAAATGAATCAGCTTTCCATCATTCTCATATGATCTTTGAAACCCTATTGTACTTACGGCCGTTCGGACGTCATGGCCGGACAAGATCTCGTCCATCGAGATCACGTTGTTGCCAGGGCGGTGGCCAGGGGCCCTTGGTGCACGCTGGCCGGTTTCCCTCGCCATCACGGTCTGTTCGGAGTCAGTGCGAGCTCTAGTCGAGGTCGCGAAGTGAGTGCCATCCGCATAGGGCATTACTTCAATTTTGAGTCCCTAAGATAGTATAATTAGCATTTTTGTTCATAAAAAGTGAGGGAAAACGGTGAAACAGAAACAAAGAAGCGAAAAAAAAGAATGAAATGAAATCGATCCATCTTCCTTTGTACTTACATCAAGTCGAACTCCATTGAGTGCCTTAATAGCGTTGTATGCCGACCGGACCATGTGATATCGAACCTCAAGCTGGTAGAATCGAGCCACCCCAGTATCATCGATGACGTGGGAAGTCACATTGCGAATAGAACGAATGGGTCCAACCATTGCAAGGAATTGCCTAGCATATTGCTCTGCGCTTGAAGAAACGACCTCCGTGTGGGGGCCGCAGTACAGAGTAGCAAATACCGTGTCACCAAGATCCTGGGGCATAGGGAAGGCGAATCTGGTCTGTTGGTCGAATTGCTGCTTTGACAAGGACCGAATTTCCCACTCTGGGAAATTGCTAAACAATGCGACAGCTTGTGTTGCTTCCTCAGCATCGTCAAATCCGATGTGAATTTGACCCTTGGTGTTCAATTCCGTGAGGAAAGGGCCGATAGTCGAAGTGAACAGCTAGTCTCGTAATTAGTATTCATCAATCATCGGGAAACCATCAGAAAATACATACCTCGAAGGCTGCCAGCACGGTCCAACTTTCGACATCAGTATCAATTCCTCTGACCAAATAGTGACGAGTGGGGTTTTCGATTTCCTTTGGTGGGCGAGACACGTGCCGCTCAACCCGAGCCTGAGGGGCAGCCCCTCCACGGAATCGGCCAGGGCGAGAAGGGCGGATGTCACCAGGGCGGTTAGGGCCAATGCCACCAGGACGGTTAGGGCCAATGTCACCAGGGCGGTTTGAGCGAGTGTCACCAAGATCGGGTGGAGCCAAGTTACGAACAGTATGGCCGGGCTGGGGGTAGGCCGGACCAGGACGATCGAAGCTGGCAATCTGATGGATGTCCATAGTATGGTGTCCATGAGGTAGTGTAGTAGACGATGCCTGGTACTGAACAGGGGAATCGCGAGTAGCATAAAGATTTTGGAGTACACCAGGAGGAAGGGTTAGAACACGGCGAGTGGAGTCGGGGCGATTGGGGGTCGGGGTCCATATAGCGTCCGTACCACGAGTTCGTCGAGGCCATACACCATGAGTTGATTGGGACTCCGAGGGGGCATCAAAGGTAGCGTGAGAGCTCGCAATTCCAGGCGGAGGAAGTACTGGACCAAAATGAGCGGTTCCAGAACGATCGATGCGGGTAGTATGCGGAGTTCTCATACCCTGAACTTCATAGGGCCCGGCATTTGAAGATGTCGAATACCACGAATGGGGATCACGAGCTGGGTAAGGACCCGGAAGTTCGAATTGACGTGAGACCAGACCGCGATGAGAGTAACTAGGACCGTCGTAGTTGGTTGACTGCCGAATGTTCGTAGCCGGAGCCCCATGAAGCGATGCACCAGAAAGTGCCTGAGAGCTCGAAGGATGATCATCAAGAGGTTCCAGGCTGGGTGCATAAGGATTCGGATGTCCATGGAGACGGGAGATTGGACCAGGATCAGGATGGGCGTGAGCAAAAGGATCGAAGCCGGTGGTCTGCAGAGTGTTCCTACCCTGAGATCCGTATTGCAGTGCACCAGAAGGTGTTTGAGAGCTCGAAGGATGATCATCGCGAGGTCCCAGGCTGGATACATAAGGATTTGGAAGTCCAGGTGGAGGGAAATACAGACTAAGGCGACTGCGAACTGGCGGAATGCCGATGCTCTGAGGCCCCAAGGCTTGATCGACAACGTAAGGATTCTCGCTGTCTGGAAGATGAAGGCATCCCAATGGGTGACTAGTAAATTTGATTAGCTCTGTCAACGCAAAGCACAATACAAAGAACAAAACAAAGAGACATTGTAATAGCAGAAACATTTTCTTGAATGTGACCCGCACGTATTGATCAAGGAGATTCCTTGATAAGTCTCGGCACATCGGGCAGATATGTTCAAATATCATAACATGTCTTGCGAAATCGGATGGATGAAACAAAGTAACTTACGGAGGACCCCGAGGAGGCAATGGAGCAGTCACCCAGTCAGGAAGTTGGACACTCGACACGGTTGCGCGGAAATTACGAGCCTTCCAACCGTCAAAGTCAAGATGCTGCAGAGGGTCAGAGGGGCTCCCAACAGGAGCCTCGTGCTCGACAATCGCTGGACGAGTTTCAGAGTGCTGGGGCTCCAGAGAGGCGGCAGGGCTTCCAGCAGTAGTAGGAAGATGGACATTCTCCGGAGGCATTGAAGAACCCTGAGGTCCTAAGCCCGAGATTGGAGGAAACCCTCCAGGGTGATTGTCACTCATAATGAACTTGATGCGTCAAATCAAGAGTGGGTATCCTGAATCAAGTCGTTAAATGATGGAACATGGATGACGTTCCAATGTCCAGGCCAAGGCCAATGAGTGCAAATGATGAAAACTTACGAGGAGTAAATGGATTTTACTACAGTGGAGTAAGTTGTGAGACTGTAGTGTAGGGAGACGACTGTTTCAGGATGAAGGGTAGCTCAGTGCAGCAACCCCGTTGAACTTGAAGGAGACAGGGATAGGAAACGAGCAAGGGAAAAGGTGAGAAGGGAGAAGTCGTGGAGAGGAAAAAGAAAGCGAGATCGAGGGGAAACAGGAGGTATTTAAGTCGAATCTCACAATAGCTCGATTGATCGCCTTGTGGAAGCGGGTCCTCTAGCCCCAACCGCTCGACTCGATTGGGATATTGAGGTCGTTACCTTGGATTTTCGTTTGCCGCGGGTCTCATACCAGAATGGCTACGCCTCATTGGACGGTTTGACGCGCAAAAAGAAAGGCGGAAGAACGATGCGATGCTCGGGACTATAGACTGCTCAAGACTGTCGTTGTGGTCGAGCACTATTGCGATTTAGGAGCTCCTTCGGATGTTGTCTGAAGCTCTGTATTTTTCCGTTGTTATAGCGATGACCTTATTTCACAGCCCGCTGAATCGTGGAGCATACGCTAGGAGACCCTCTCACTGATAGATGTATGCAGGATCTTATGTAGATCCGTGCTAATCTTTCAAGGCTCTTGCGGAATTGGCATTATATTTTTCCTATTATTGTCAGGATGGACTTTGTGCCAGGAGAAATGGAAAAGACCCAGTGGGTGGAATCACCATTCACCGGAGGTGTTGCAACATTACCTGCTCGCCTCTTTGTCTTGCTTTTTTTCCTTCTTCTCATCCACTACTCTCTCCCCGGGCAGAGCGCCTTGCCATACGAATATCAACAACTTTCGACTTAGGGCTGGATTTTTATAGTTCGGTTTTATATGGTCCGTGCCCACGCTAGACCGAAAGAGGAGAAATGGTCGATTCACTTGGGGTCGGCGATAACGATAAGAGACGTCAGTCGTTTTTGTTTTGACTCCGCGCGGCCAAGGCCATAGTGGCATCAAATTCGAAAAGAAAATGGCTCTGCCGAATGGAACGAGTGTCTTGAACCAAGTAAGCTGTGTCTTCCAGACGATGAGGGGCTCTGCTTACTGTCTGGTGCTTTAGATTGTTATTTCGCCTTCGGACACGGACTACCTTGACCAGCTCATTCCCTCTATCCGGGAGTACAGCGTCGGCAACCGAACTCCGCAGCTGCTCCAGTCCCTATCACGCTTTGCAAGTGACAAAGAGGCGGAGATTGAGGGTATCTGTAACACAAATCACCAGGATTTCGTCTCCTCGGTCAACTCCCTCCTCCGGATTCGTGAAGGCACCGTCACCCTCACTGCCGAGATTCTCGATCTCAACCAGTCGATACAAACGAGTACGGAGCGTCTTGCGGAACAAAAGAAGGCATTAGTGGAGTCTCGAAGTCATCGACAGAATATTGACGAAACATCGCGTGCCATTCAAGATTGTCTCGAGGTTCTGCGGTTGGCGAACCAGGTCCACGACCTGCTAGCCAAGAAGAATCACTATGCAGCATTGCGGGCGCTGGAGGAGTTACAAAATGTGCATCTCAAGGGTGTCACGCAGTATAAGATCGCGGAAATGATTCAACGCTCGGTGCCTGCGACTCAGCGGGCCATTGCGGAAGCTGTCATGTCGGACCTGAATACGTGGCTGTATCGCATCCGAGAAATGTCACCCTTTCTCGGGGAGTTAGCCTTATTCCACACGGATCAACGCAAGTCAAGACTGAAGCAGCGCGCGGAGAAGATGCCTTACCTTGAAAATTTCAACCTAAACTCTGCTATTGAGCTTGTGGCTGATGAAGATGAAGAGTACGATCTATTACAGAACGAAGATCTCCAGGTACCGTTTGCACCTTTGTTCGAGTGCCTGCACATTCACCAGTCCTTGGGGCAGATGGACAAGTTCAGGATCGAATACGCCAATACACGGCGTCGACAAAAAGATCTGTTGCTTCCTGCGACCGTCACGCTCGTAGATGAGGATGGTGCCAGTCTGCATAATATGCTGGAAGAAATGGCGGGCTTTGCGATTGTTGAGCGAGCAACGATGAAACGAGTGCCGGATTTGAGATCCTCCGTTGAGGTAGGTGGTGGCCTCTCGCGAGATTCATTGTTCAATCGCTCGAATCTAGCCATGATGGGCTTGCTGACGTGTGGTAGATTGACGAACTATGGGACTCATCGTGTCAGGCCGCGGTTGGTGTGATTTCGAAGGCGCTGCACGAAGTAGACAATGCGGAGAGCATTTTGAAGACAAAGAATCTGATTGCACTGTTCATGCAGACAATGAACGTAAGCGGGTCCTTTCCCCCCTCGACTTGATTCAGGCAGCGAGGCTGACACGCCCCATCAAATAACCAAACAGACGTGGGGCTTTTCCGTCAGAGTCTTTGACGATTTCTTATTGAAATTATTTGAAAAGTATGCGGAGCTACTCAAGAGGCGGTTTAGCGATGACTTCCAAGAGGTACGATGCCCTCCGAACAGACGGCAAAACCGTTCCAAAATCTAACGCACCTAGATCGTGTCCACGGATGACTACATGCCTATGCCAATTCAGACCCCAGAGGAGTATGACAAGGTGCTCAACGTGAGCTGGTACAGTCCTGAAAAGCCACGCGATGAACAAGTGTACGGTCTCCCCGGACTCACAGCCGCGTGATCTACAACAAGCTAACTCACGGATCAGTTTCCCATGCATCCTGCCATTCTCAAGGATGTATCCATTGTGTTGCATCGACATTCGGAACTTTTTGAACCAGTTTTACTTCTTTGCAAATGACGACTTTTCTCATCCGAACGTGATTGATGAGACATTAAAGGAGGTGAGCGGCTACCATCCAGCAAGACAACATCTTGGACACGCGTTGCTAATCACGTATTTAAGGCGCTGGATGACCTTCTCTCGCGAAAAGTTTGTGATACTTTGGTGGAGCGTCTTTCCTCGCAGTATCTCGGACAGATTGTCCAGATTCTGATCAACCTGGAACACTTTGAACTGGCCTGTCACGAACTGGAACTTCTCCTGGCGGCTGCGAGGTCACAAAACTCGACCGGTGCCTCGATCGCGCTCAGAGCCACCGAGAAATTCAGAAGCAACAAAAAGGCCGCCGAGAAGCGAATTTTCGAGGTGGTCAACTCCAAGATTGACGATCTCATTGAAACGGCAGAATATGAATGGATGGCGCCTAACCCTCCCAGTGAACCCAGCAACTACATGCAGACTTTGACACGATTTCTGTCCAACATTATGAACTCCACCTTACTCGGGTTACCAACCGAAATCAAAGAGCTAATCTACTTTGACGCGCTCAGTCATGCTGCAAATATGATCTTGGTAAGCGCCCCACCCCCCGTTCATTGCACCTGTTCTACCAACTACCAGTTTGATTGACTCTCTTCCCCAGGCTCAACCTCTGGCACCCGATGTCAAAACAATCAATCCTAACGGTGTTGCCGCACTGGCCAAGGATGTCGAGTACCTTACACAGTTCGTGGACAGTCTGAACGTGCCTATCCTGCGTGAGAACCTTGATGAGCTACAACAAACGGTGCAGCTGATGCAAGCGGAGAATGCGGATGAATTTTACGATATTTCGACGCGTAATAAGAAGTATGGACGTGTTGATGCCATGCAGGGGCCTAGCCTGCTTGAGAAGTATGATTCTTTCCCGATCGAATTTCCTGGATTGTTCGCTGACCCCCGTCTTCTAGGTTGACTCGAACAGTCCAAGTACCAACCAAGGTGGACAAATTCGTGAATCTATCATCACGGTTCAAGAAATCCTCATAGTTCGGCAAGCACGCTTTAGCGTGTTGGGAGAGTTCTACTTTGCGGGCCGAGACAATTAACTTGGCACTGGGAGGATCGTCAGGCCTAGCTTTCCCAGAATTTAGTCAAGTTTGAAGCAACCTCTATATAATCGTGTCCGATTAGAAGATAGATATAATGAACAAGATCAACTCCAGTTGCGATTCCAGAAGGGAAACACGTCTTCTTTCCCGCTTCCGACCGGAGGGATTTAAATTCGCCCTCATCTGCCAGAAACTAGAAGAGAGAAAAAAACAAATTGTCCAAGAAAACAAAGCCGACGAAACATGAACAAGCACAGACAACCAAAAAGGCCAGTATTCGCCGAAAAAGACACACGCATAACTATTGAGTCAAGATATTGAATAACCAAATGCGCCCAATTTTAGTGGCTCACTGAACAATGTTAGTCTTTCACTTCAGTCGAGAAGGGGTCGGCCGGAGGGTGATACGAACCTGTTGAGGGGGCATGTGAGGGTAGGCATACATCCCTTCGAACATCTGAGGCTGTGGCTGGCCGTATGCAGCCGTCGGGTCCTGCTGAACCGCACCAGGGTACATGGCCTGTTGTTGGCGGTACTCCTGCTCTTGCGCCATACCATGCTGACCCAGAGAACCGTAGTCGGCCGGGCCCATGTGTGGCTGGACACCATGTTGGGCAGGAGGCATCTGGCCCGGAGCTGCAGTCGGACCAGGGGCCGTGGCGCCAGCCTGGCTAGAGCGCTTCGCGTGCGAGGTGGCCTCCTCACGGGGAACGATGTCAATCAAAAAGTCGAACATGTCCGACTTGGAGAGAGCAGCGGCGATGTCGGATCGCTGGAGAGTACGCCGCTTGTTATCTTCGGCGTGGATCCAGGCCCGCATGGTCAATTCGGTGATGAAGATGTCACAGCCCTTGGCAAACAAGATGGGGGCCTCGGCGGAAATCATCTTGACCTCCGGGTCGGCCTTCATCACCTTCTTGATTCGAGCAAGAGGCAACTGGTGGATCTTGTAGTCGTGATTGTCTGTCTCCAGATGGTTGATGACATGTTGCCAGTAGGTCGTCAAGATATCGCGAGCTGTGCCCTGCAGACCTTGATTCACCTGAACGGGGGTGTCAGTGATGGCGATGCTGACCAGAGAACTCGAGCGAGCGACTCACATTGGCCCAGGTTCCGGTATACAGCTCGGCGACTGGAGCATAACCTTGTGCAGAAAGCTATTTCAAATTCAATATCCAGTCAGCTTCGGGTTTCCCACGGTCTTGTTTCGATCGATTGTCGGAGGGCTTGGATTGGGGGTCGGGCTGAATTAGATCATACCGCTGCGCTAGCACCTGAAGGAAGTGTCAGTATAGAACAAGAGACAAACGCGACAGTGATAATAGCCGTTCCGCATGCTCTCATAGGAAATACACCCCAACCCGATGCTATGCGATCGCCGCCTTATCTCTCTGGGAGGGGAATCAAGTACCGTAGTGTCCACCATTCCTAATGTCGTAAACAGGCTGTTGCTGCTGCTGTCTGCCTTGCTGCTGGCCACTTCCTTGGGGCGCCTGCTCCATGATGATTCAAATGCGTTGCGCGCAAGAGGACGTTGGGCTGAATCGTAGTCGGGCAGGTCTCGGGGAGAGCTGCTTGGTGTGCTCCGAGGATGCGACGCGACGGACGTCGGATGGCGTGCCACGGAAGTAACAGAGTATATAGAAATTGACGGAAGATCTCGAATGCGATCGCGCAGACGGTAAAGACTCAACTATAGTTTAGCGCGTTTCCTAGGTGCTATTGTCGAAAGCGCGTCGGGACGATTTCGTGGAGGAGGTGGTGCTCTTTCAGCTGTCTGACGTTCGGACAAGCCCCCGCTCCCGAAGCTGCGCCGTGTCGGCCCAAGTTCGAGAACTAAATAGAGGCTGCAGGTACTGTACGATTAACTACACTTTTGACTAGACATTTTGCTCATAGCGGAGGCAACCATGAAAATCGCAAGCTTCTAGTCCCCAATTGACCAATCTACAGTGATAATTAGGCCATTTCTGTTACCCAGCTAGGAGTAATGATACAAGTACCGATACTTGAACTCAGGTGTATTTTTCTATGTGTACAAAGTACCCGCGACTTACCCGTCACATGATCTCGGCCTTCCCGAAAGAGATTTCTCGTAAAAGTTTCTCCGTGCCGACGGAGCATCAACAGAAAAAAAAAATTCATATAAAGCCCACTCACGTCCAGGTATTCTTCATTCTCTGAGACCTTCCACCCTGACTTGCAGGGATGGGTGATTCAACTACTATGGGGTCCAGTGGCCCACTTCAAGAGGAGGTGGAGCTCACTGATGACCAGATTCAACAACTGTTGCTTGAAGCAGAGAACCGACTGCGTGGTTCGGACAGCCAGATCACCCCGGTCGACGATGCCGCTTCCATTCGGTATGCTGTTACCGCTAGCTATCTTTGCCTGGAGCAACTGGCTTATACCTCTCTAGAATTCCCAAATTGTCTACAAGCTCTACTTTGACGCCCTACATGCGTCCGGGTGCTGAGGAAATTGCTACCGTTGACTCGGCTCAGCTCATCGATCCCAAGCAAAAGAAGCTGTCCAACTCTCTTCGGTCTGTTGCAACGAAAACTGCTGCCAAGAAGGTTAGTCTATCACCATCTCTATTATTGTTCTTTCTTCCGTCTTTGCTATGAGGAAAATTATCCCAACGCCTAAGCGCTTGATGCGGCGTCCTCAGTCCGTCTTGGGCTGTGCTGCACTAGTGAGAGCCTTCATTTTCATAGTTACTCTGAGCATCTACACAATCATCACTTTGATTTTTAGAAACGACGATGTTTCGAACTTGATTCGCTGACTGGTCGACTCTACAGGACAAGGCTACCGCCGGACCCGATTGGTTCAACCTCCCCAAGACCGAATTGACCCCAGAGCTCAAGAGAGATCTACAGCTCATTCGGATGCGTTCGGTGCTTGACTCTAAGAGGCATTACAAGAAAGAGAATGGCAAGGCCAAGATCCCCGAGTTTTCGCAGGTCGGCACCATCATCCAGGGTCCCACCGAGTTCTTCAGTGGTCGTATCGCCAAGAAGGACCGCAAGAAGAACTTTGTCGAGGAGGTTTTGGCGCTGGAGCGGGAGAACAAACGTTTCGAGTCCAAATACCGCGACATCCAAGCCTCCAAGACCAGTGGAAAGAAGGCTTTCTACAAGAGCGTGCAAGCCAAGAGGAATCGGAAGATGAAATGAGATTAGAACGACCACTGTACCGGCCGTTTCAGTATATTCATGGTCTGTTGGAGTCTATTCTACAAAGACTATACATACCTGGCGGCATCCATGTTGGCTCTGGAGGACAATCCCATCTATGCCTGCCCGAAGACGCTCACAAGACTTTGCAATACCAATTTCTGCAATTGTCAGTCGTTGATTCGCTGGTACTGGTGAGGACAATGTATCTCACCTGCATGTCCAATGCCGCGTTGCGGCCAGCCTCCAGGACTTCCTCGTGTCCAGCCTTCCCCTCTTCGATGATGGCGTTGAGCTCACCAGCGTCCTTTCCCTGGAGCAATTGCTCATCGCCACGAGGGACGGGTGCCAGCACTGCATTGTTGGTAACCAGGCTAAAGGCCAACACGCGAAGCCCACAGTGCCTCGCCACCACGATCTCTGGCACGGTCGACATGCCCACTACATCGGCACCGAGCATCCGCAGCATGCGGCTCTCCGCTCTCGTCTCATAGCTTTGCCTGGTCAGAATTATGGCAGTAGATGAATGCACAGTAAGTGGGAGAAACTTACGTGGGACCTCCAACGAAGGCATACACTCCTTCGTGCAGCTTCCTCGTGCTTTGGGCAGGGATGACTTGCTTCCACGCTTGGTGTACCTGACGACGAAGGTCCAGGTCATATGCGTCGGACAGGGGTGGGAAACGGACTCCAAATTCGTCCTCGTTGGGTCCTCGGAGGGGATGAACTCCCGCTAAACCGGCGAGGAAGATGTGCTAGAAGCCATCATTAGTCACTCAGTCCAGATAGAAAGGGGTTGATAGGGGTCTTGCATCATTCAGCATGACAATATCGCCCACGCAATAGTCAGAATTCAGGCCACCGGCCGCATTCGTCACTATCCATCATTATTCTTAGTAGTTTGTTCCCGTAAAACCTTCTTGGCACCTTTCGCGTGGACATACACACGACGGTATCAACTCCGAGCTGCTTGAAGACTCGGATGGGGAAGGTGACCTGGTCCATAGAATGGCCCTCGTAGTAGCTATTCATCTCCAAATTAACCACCGTCTCTCCCGATACTCAGAAGCATCACTTACTGGGCACGGCCAACCATCAAGACAGCGGGAATCTTCCGGCCCAATAGACCGAATACCAACTTCCCAGCATGTCCCGCAACTGCACCAGTCAGCCAATCTCATTCTCTATCCATTCTCCATGGACCATATTCCATGGCCTCGAGAAATACTCACCTGTCGGACGAGGGAAATGGGGAATAGACGCATAATCATATTCCGCTCGACCTTCAGCATGGACCGTATCGGCCAGTCCTCCCAGCCCGGAGCCACATACAATGGCAACTTTTGGCGATTGCAGCTCCTCTGGCAGGCTACTCCTCAGGAAAGCCACGGCCTCGTTGGCTCGGTCGAATGCAGAGATATCTGCTTGAGTCATAATTTCCGATTTTCTGGTCACTGATATGTCTATGGAAAGAGAAGAAAATGTGAACGTGAGGGAGAGGTGGGGTGGGCTCTCACGATGCTGCGGAGTTGGTGTGGCGGTCTTATTGGCCCGTTCTTGGAGCCCCGATGCTACCCTTTTGCTGGTTAGGAATCGACGAAATATGTGATTCTTGACATTGAATCCTGTAGTATATAGTATTGATTGAGTTGTATTTTCCTTAGAACGATCAAATGTTTTTACTCTCATCTATTCGATCATTGGCGGCCTGATCATAGTCAAGAAGTGGTAGGGTTGTAGTAGTAGTATGTATCCATAACTACGTGACCCTTGCAATGCCATTATATTCCAGTAGACACAATAAATAGTCCCCTTTAATCCATCTCTTCGAGCCTGCACATACAATAACCCCAGAAAACCACATAAATAAAAAGCCCCGAGCCCTGGATGATGCTCGTCGTAGCCGTGGGTGCACTCGAGGACGCCCCAATGGTCGACTCTCAAGGCGGTCAGTCCGCATCACCTTCAACTCCGAAAAAAAACCCGCACCAAACAGACTGCAACCACCAACGACCATGTTTTCTAGCACAACACGCTCCTTGATTGGGGCTAGCAAGCGCTTGCGGGTAGGTAGAGCGCTTGGACTTGAATATATCTCGCTGAACTCAAGCTAATGGACTTGGAATCAGGTGCCTATGCCCATTCGCTCACTATCAACTCCGAGCCAGCCCAATGCGCCATCCACCGAGAAGGCGACTACACCTTCCCAGACCGAGCCCAAGCCGACTCCCACACCTGTCGCGTAAGAGGCCGTGAATCCAGAGAAGATTACTCGTGCCAGGAGTAGATTGGCTGACGGAATTGGCTTCATAACACAGTCCCACGAACACTGAGCAACCCTCCGAACTGCCCGTGAAGGAATGGTCAGTCAATCGCATCGTCCTCATCATTACAGAATCGAAGAGTCCCCAGCTCACACAAATCCCAGGTCCGAGCGGTTAGAAGCTTTCGGTGAACACGCCCGACTTCCCCGAAGCGTCCAGGCCCTCTATCTGCGTCCCCTGCGGAGGAAGGCGGAGCACGGCCTCCCCGTATGCGACCTTCAACTGCGATCCTACAGCGTGCAGAACCTGGAGTTCTTCGCCGACTTTGCCATCCGTGCCGCCTACTACCTGAACCTCCCCGTCTCCGGCCCCGTGCCCCTCCCCCGTATCACCGAACGCTGGACCGTGACTCGCAGTAACTTCGTACACAAGAAGAGCAAGGAAAACTTTGAGCGGATCACGCTCCGTCGTCTGATCCAGATCAAGGATGGTAACCCGCAGGCGGTCCAGGCATGGCTGGCTTTCCTTCGGAAACACGCCTTCCACGGAGTCGGCATGAAGGCCAACGTATGGGAGAATGAGAGCCTGGGTATGATCTTTCTTAAAATCGCAACTTATGTCAGAATTGCACGACTAACACAGAGAAATAGATGCCGCCAAGGCACTGGATGCCTCACTCCCCGAGATTCAAAAGACCGTGGGCCCACACCTCGCACAGTTCGGACAACGACAGGACAACTCCATCAAGGAGACTATCTTCGATGCGTTGGACAGCGACCGATTTGCCGAGCGCAAGAACCTGTAAATCGGATAGGAGATTTTGGATTGTTGCTCGAGCTTTGCATAATTCGTGTGTGTGCTTATTTGGGAAACACCCGGGCGTCATGTAGTTTTATATCGTCATTATCTTTGGCCTTTTGTGGCTCTGGCCAGGCCCATCTGTACTCTACTTTGATTATAGCCGTCTCTCATTGAAGAACTGGAGTCTGCCTTTTTTGATGCATGTCTACCAAAAAATGGCCTGCGAGGTGCTACCTACGCCGGCACAGTCTACTGTAAAGAGCTAGATCAAAAAGTGTCTCGTGAGCACTACGCAGTTGACCATTTATCGACCGTTGCTAGGTCCAAGGAGATAATCACGTGACAATTGGATTGTTTTGCGGCGCGGAGGCCCGGAAATTCACGAAGAACTGTACTCGACCCAATCGTCGCATTTTGCTTTGCGACGCATACATAGATTTACCGGCGATGCGTGCCACAATTTTCAACCCGGCAAGCGCATCCCGGAGATTGGTGGGTGGGCACTCTAGCTGCGTTCGCCCGAGCACCTCAATCCGGCCATCCTTGTATCGATCAAATAGCACGAGCACCAACGAACCGCCAGCTCAAGATCCCGTCATCTTCTCTGGTATTCAGCCGACCGGAGTGCCACACTTGGGTAACTACCTAGGTGCTCTGCGGGAATGGGTGAAGCTACAGGATGAAGCGAAGCCAGGAACGAAGCTGTTATTTTCCATCGTGGATCTCCACGCATTGACAGTTCCGCAAGATGCGGCGCAGTTGAGGAAATGGAGGAGAGAGGCTTTTGCTACACTACTTGCTGTGGGGTTGGACCCCAGTCGGTCTACTGTTTTCTATCAGTCTGAGGTATGTGGTTGCTGGAGTATTTGTCTGATGGGACTTGAGAGCGAAGAGAGCTGAGACTGAATGCATGGAGTTGGCTTCTGACGAGATATGAAATAGGTCCCGGCACATGCTGAATTGATGTGGATTCTGAGTACGGTTGCTTCAATGGGGTATCTATCGCGAATGACTCAGTGGAAGGTTAGTACCCTGCCTCATTGGAGTATCTGGGGAGCCAGAGATATTGGGAGTGACCGCTGACCGACTCCATGCAGAGCAAACTCCAGCTGCCAGAGGATACAACTTTGGAGCAAGCAGACGCTCGAGCACAGTTGAGGCTTGGTCTTTTCTCTTACCCTGTGCTTCAAGCCGCCGATATCCTTGTCCATAGGTGCGAGCATCCGTCTATATTTCGAGCCTGAGAGCGTCACTGACCACATATTCTCACAGGGCAACACATGTCCCCGTTGGCGAGGACCAGAGGCAGCACTTGGAGTTCTCCAGATACACAGCCAACAGCTTCAATCACCTCTACGGGCCAATCTTCCCCATCCCAGAGGCCCACATATGTAAGTCATCCTCCCGATGAAACAATAGTTCTCATCTAACGCATACCAGCCCCTGCCAAGCGAGTGATGTCCCTCAAAGAGCCAACATCCAAAATGTCCAAATCCCACGCGGACGAAAAATCCCGCATTATCCTCACCGACTCACCCTCCGTCATCCAAAAGAAGATCAAAGTTGCCCTCACCGACTCCCTATCCAACATTACGTACGACCCAGTCCAACGACCCGGCGTCTCGAACTTGATCGAGATTTTGAGCCATTTCGAAGGACAGTCATGCCAAGAAATTGCCGCCGGATTCGAGGGCGCAAGCCTGCGCGCATTGAAAGAGCACGTGGCCAGCCGGATCACGCATCATCTGACGGAGATTCGGGAGCGGTATGTCTCTATCATGGACGACAAGACTGGGTACCTGGACTCGATTGCGCAACAGGGAGCGGCAGCGGCGCAAGCCAATGCCAGAGTGACTATGCGGAAGGTTCGAGATGCGATTGGGTTGTAAATTGAAGACGTTTACATGATATGATCGGTGTGGACAAACCTTGTACTAACATTTACTTCTTGGGGGGTGGTCTGCGTGGAAGCGTTGTGTCTCAAAGCAACCGTGACAGAGCCCCGTGTATTATATGATCGAATATTAAAGTCCAAATATGGTAGGAAATTCGCATCTTCAATAAGTCCCTTTGAGGTAGGAAACTGGGAGTACCTCATGGTACGAAGATATGCCTCAAGTAGTAATAATGGGCAGAGCTTTCGGGTGTTCCGGAAGGCATGATTTCGGGTCTAATGCTCGTTGTCTCGGTGTTTCGGGAATGAGAGGAAACCACCGGATCTACTACTCCGTACACAGTAATGGTGTCGTTCTTCATACCCGCTTCGTAGACCCTGAGTCTTGGAATAGTGGGGAGACTAGTGGCCCATCCCAGCCACTCGAGTTACGGTGTTGACTAGCTTACTATAATGAATACCGATAACTAGTACATATCATAGTGAACGTCCACAGTACACCATACCGGAAGAGCTGGAATATCCAAATCTACGTTAGTGAGACATATTTAGTGCATTTGCCACGAGAGACTATCTCACCTAGGCCTTCCATGATCGATGACCCATCGGAGTTTAGGTAGATCCCCATGATCGGCCGATCGCAAGGTTTGGTTATGTAGCCGCCTGGTCCAGTGGCTGTACGGATATTGCCGCCGTGGCTATGCACCAAAGATGACCCTGGAACTAGATCTAAAGAATTATTGACAGCAGGCAGCAGTAAATCTACAAGGGTCAGACTAATCGTGGAGACTGTATGGGACTGTATTCAAGATGATCATCAATGATGTATGGGTATGATGCACATTTGGGAGCCACACACTCCGCACAGATACTCCATAGTGATATAACTGTCTAACGTATGCCAAGTCGAATATGCACTCGTCAGCGCCCTATGCACCGTCATTAAATGTGTTCGTAGTGTCAGTCCGCCGTTATCTCCGATGAGTTTTTCTTCGTTGAAAGTAAATCTTGCAAAATCCTTCGTATTCGCCAAAAATATAGTTCGAGGATCGGCAGGACCAACTCAAAAAGTCCGACACACGTGGTGACGACGAGACACTGAAGTCTAATAGGGAACTTTACAACCACGACATACTCATTTTTGATATCCCTGAACCGCAACAGAGTCCCAATTAAGCAAGCAGAATCAAAATCTTGGCTTTGCTGGGTCACGCGGCTAAGCCGGAAGCGGGCTGGTGGCAGTGGAGCGTCATCTATCCGCGTCATCAGCGCTCCTCCGACCCAACCACGTACGTTGCATACGTACGCCAAATCAAATTTGCATTGCCCCAGGCCTTTCAACTCCCGTTCGGGATTGATTCAGGGTGATGAGGGTGGAGAGAGGTGCGAGTACGAGGGGCAGTTGAACTGTAGAGGACAAGCCTATACTCTGCACAATTTGCACTCTATACCGTGCTAACACTTCAACTCCCTTTTATTGGGGGGACCAGACATCAAGTTGGTGACGACAGCTTCGACGTTGTGGGGCCGTCTTCTCCCCCCAGCGCCTTACCCGGAGCAACTTGCACGACGTCTCCACGGTCGTTTTACACAGCGCTTACGAGAAGAAAAAGAGAAAAAGTCAATGGTCCACTCGTGGGCCGCTGACTGGCCGAGGAACAAATGATGAACCTGTCAATCTTCCCGGCTGGCCCGCGGTGCGCCAAAGCCGCCCAGTGAAGGCCTCGCAAACCAAATTAGTGCTGGCTGGGGGGAGTGCATACGACATCCATCGCCTCTCCGGCACGGCCGCCGCATAGATGTCTTCATACTATTAGACCCCCATTGTCCCCGTCCTTTTTCTCTTCCTTGCCCATAGCTTCACACCTTGCCGTCCTATCCTACTCGGAGGTATACTCACCATTTCGACTTTACTCAAAACTCCCGACGGCGTCACGGCATTCTCCACACGATTCCGAGCTTCCATTTCTAGCGCATTCCTCGGGAACCTGCAGCGGTGAAGATCGTGCCGATCAGACGAAAGTGAAAGGCGGCATCCCGATCCCATACATTCCAATCGGGGAGCTCGGCGGATTATCGGTGGACGGCGAACAAGCATGAAGAATTCCTGGGTTTGGTTGGTGACCCTCGCCGTACCGGCGCTAGGGAAGCTGAATCTCGTTCAGCGGGATGTTCCATCGGTGGTCGACATGAGTATTCAGCGGAAAGACGTATCGGATCCCGTGGCTCGAGACCAAATACGACGATCAAAGCGGAGTACAACGGTTTCCCAGGCTCTAGACAATGAGGTAAGTCTACTACTTGTTTAATTATCGCCGATATATCTACTCTCGTCATTGTCTTGACTAGCACCTAACAGTAAAACATAGGAAACTCTATACTTCTCCAACATCACATTGGGAACACCAGAACAAAGCTTGCGCTTGGTTCTAGACACTGGTAGCAGTGATCTCTGGGTAAATGCACCTAATTCGACCCTTTGTGAAAGGAAGACCAACCCTTGCAACGACTCCGGCACCTACGACTCCAGCTCGTCCTCGACCTACACATTTGTGAGCTCGGACTTTAACATCACCTATGCGGATGGCTCTGGTGCGGCGGGTGACTATGTCAGCGACACCCTTACAATTGGCTCGGCGACATTGAAGGATTTCCAGTTTGGCATTGGCTTCACGTCAAGCTCTTCAGGTATGTGACAACCAGCAATTGGCCTTTTTCCCTTCGTGATATCACAATGACGGGCAGCTAATACCACGGTGATTACAGAGGGTGTTTTGGGAATCGGATATCCATCAAACGAAGTTCAAGTTGGCGTGGATGGGGAAAGTGCCTACGCCAATCTCCCCAAGGCAATGGTCAATAAAGGACTCATCAAGTCTAGCGCCTACAGTCTATGGTTGAACGATCTGGATGCAAGCACCGGCTCGATCTTGTTTGGTGGGGTGAACACTAAGAAGTTCCACGGCACTCTGGAGACTCTCCCCATCCAAAAGGTCGGAGGCGGCTACTCCGAGTTCATCATCGCCCTGACTGACGTGACTCTCACCAACTCGTCCGGCACCACCAACTACTCGTCCAGCGCACTGCCCGCCGCGGTTTTGCTCGACTCGGGCAGCTCATTGACTTATCTGCCAGACCAGATTGTGGCCGGTATCTTCAATGATCTGGAAGTCACCTACGATTCCTCTAGTGGGGTTGGATATCTGCCCTGCTCCCAAAGCTCGAATAACGTCAACGTCTCCTATACCTTCTCGTCGCCCACCATCAACGTAGCCATGAGCGAGCTCCTCCTGGACGTTGGCGACTACTTCTTCAACGACGGCGAGCGCGCCTGCGCCTTTGGCATCGTCCCCGCTGGTGACAGCATGGCCGTCCTTGGCGACACATTCCTGCGCAGCGCCTACGTTGTGTACGACTTGGCCAACAACGAGATCTCCCTCGCGAACACGAATTTCAACTCGACGGAGAACAATGTTCTTGAAATCACGACCGGTTCGGATTCGGTTCCCAGCGCTACAGCCGTCGCTAATCCCGTGACGACCGTGGCTGCTGTAGGCTCCGGAGCGCGCATTGGTGGCCCCAATGGAGGCACCGGTATCTTCTCATCCGCGACGTCGACGAAGAATGCCGCCATGCCCCGGCAAACGAGCATGTCGAAGCAGCTGGCTCTCGGTCTGGCCGGTGCCGGAGCTTTGTTGGCCTTCTGAAGAGTGGGAGTCGGCCTGGGCATAGACACGGTTCTATATTTCTTTGCCATTTAGACATTTTTCGTTGCATGTTTTTGCGCTGTGTTGGAGTCTAGGGATACCTGGTCTTGTTATTGTCTTTACTCATGAGTACATATTTGTCCTTTATTTAACGTGATACGAATTTCAACGATTGTCAATATTTCGCACAATTTCACTCAAATCTCTCCAAATGTCATGTCGGTTGATGGTATAATTAAACTGTAAGGTTGTGCTGTGTCGATCATGCGGAACGGAGCCTCTCCTTCAACTCAACGAACTGGCGGGTTAATGCTTGGCATCATCAACCAACCTCCACGCGAGTCTACACCTCGCAAGATGCCGCGAATCCCTACCTCACTTCTTCTCAGGGCCTATAGAGAGCACCCCCTTCTGCCCCTCCTCCTGAAGGAATGTCGAACACTAGACACAGCCCGTAATGAACTTCGATGGCTCCGAGAACGCGCTCTTCGGGACGCTCCGCAAAACTCCCTAACGAGAACGCGACTAGGATGGCGGACACGTCTACGAACGATGTGCCACAAGCGCTCCCAGGGGGTTCCATTGCAATACATCCTAGGTGACCAACCATTCGGAGAGCTAGAAATCCTCTGTCGAAGGGGGGTTTTAATTCCAAGGTGTGAATCGCAGAAATCAGCCTATCAACATTTTGGAATTGGCACAGCCAAGCTAATACACGGTCCAGATCTGATACGGAGTCATATACATACGAAGCAGCCAGATTAATCCGTCAAATGGCGCTGGAAACGGACAAAGATAGTCCGTCACCATCCAGCAAGACGAGACCGCTTCGGATTCTCGATCTCTGCACGGGAACGGGTTGCATAGCGCTACTCTTGCATGCACTCCTCGCGTCGCATTTTGAGAAGATCCAAATCATGGGTCTTGACCTCAGTCCTATAGCGTTGGATCTTGCCCACAGAAATCTGGAGCATAATATCAGCCTGGGTGCTTTGGCCAGCCGTGCGCGTGAAGACACTCGATTCCATCGCGCGGACGTGTTGAGCTCCCACAGCAGCGCCAGTCCCAGCGCTACCCCCGGCATCAGTGCTAGCAATATCCCAACCGTGGAAGACCTTCTATCCAAATACATTACTCGCCCTATTTCCAAATCTCAACCTCAACCCGCGCACGAGACGTCTCGCCTACCCAAAATCGACCTCCTAATCTCCAATCCTCCGTATATCTCATCCACCGATTTCCACAACGGCACGACTGCGCGAAGCGTACGGCTCTTCGAGCCCAGGCTAGCACTTGTTCCACCCACGGATGCGCATACCAATACCAATGCCATCGGCAAGCTAGGCGATAAGCCCGAGGATATATTCTACCGCCGAATCCTGGGGCTATCGCTGGCCGTAGAAGCTAGCATTACGGTTTTGGAATGCGGTGACAGGATGCAGGCTGAGAGGGTTGTTGGGATGTTTTGGGGTATGAGTGGGTCGCGCGAGAGACGGTGTGAGGGAGAGGGTGGTGGAGATGGGTTTACGGCAGAGGTTTGGCCTGATACGGAGGAGGATTGTTTGGCTAATGGGTTTCATGGGCGGGATGGGTCGAGGTGTGTTATTATTCGGAGGGTGAGGGGCGGGATTGATACTATCTAGAAGGGATATCTGATTTACAGTAGGATCAGGAGTGTTAGTAGTGTTGTGTCTTCCTTATAAATTCATGAAATCTCGGCATGAAACTGATTTTCCTTCAGATTATGGGTAGAAGGCTAGAACACTACCGTAGCTCCTGGAAACCCGATAGTGAGCGATATCGATACTGAACACCAGCACAAGCTCAGCTGCCATCATACGTAGGTACATTGAATCCTGACAAACAAGCATATGCACATCATAACCTGGTCGACATTACATACATTTCGCCAATGACCGAGCACTACATCATCCATCTCCCAATACTTGCTAGACACGCCCCACGAGACGTACTCGGGTAAGGCAGGCTCAAGTCACAAAAGACCTCGTGCATCAGCTACGGTCCAGCTGAATGCCAATACTGGGCTGCAAGGTCTGCAAGGTCTGCTTACTCTATCACACAACAAAGAGTATCACACACAGAGCGAATCCACCGAGTCCGCCACCTGACAAGTGATAATAGCATGGGGGGACGATTACACGGGAATTGATGGAGAAGGTGGGGGTTGTGTGACCGCGTGGTGTCGATCATTGAGCATTTGTGTGATCAAGTGGTGGTCGAGGTAAAATGTATGATCAATGAGGAGCTTGGATATTGTTTCATCCAGCCAGCCATGAGTTGGATGTACGGGAGATCGACGCATCGGGATGTATATTGTGTGCTCGGTGCAGCTGCATATTAACTTGCACCAGAGTATGAATAGGTTTCAAATCAAATCTCGAAGATTAAAATACATGCAATGTAGATAAGGAAATAGGGAATAATAAACTTTCAATCGTTACAATGCATTCTGGTCGCCAGAGTCAAGATCAAGTATGTACAGACAATGCGGCTGACCGCGGACCACCTGGCCGGGCCCTTTTTGTAGGGAAAATGTATTAAAACAGAGTATGGGGATGTGCACGGCGCATGATTAATGGTAGTGTTCTAACAGGAAAGAGGGTGGGAAAATGGCTGGGCACTGATCGGGATCACCGAGACAGCAAAACGTTCAAGGGAGTCCCCAAGGACGGTCCTCGAGAATCAGAGACCACGCTCGACTCGTGGCATGTGCAGGTCACTGCGCTCTAAAATATAAAAAGAAGAGGTCAAAGACAAAAAGAGGACTTCTCCCTCATAGGTTCTTCTTCGACTGAGTGGAAGCAGAGTAGGTGCGGTCGTCATCACCCTCGACATCCTTGAGAATAGTCTCCATCTCCTTGGACTGGCGCGACCACTCCTTCTCACTCATCTTAGTCTCACGACGGAACAGCTCCTCATTGGGCTTGCGATAGCTACCACCCAGACGGTCCCACAGGGTAGTGAACTGGCCGTAGTTGTAGTTGAAGTAAAGGTGGTGCATGGTGTGGCAAGCGGCACCGTTGACGATGGGGCTGTTCGCGACGTATTCTCCATCATGAATGAAGACGGTCCACAAGTTGATGAAACCGAAGAGGAAGACGTAGGCGACCTTCTGCAGCGGGAAGATAAAGGGGAAAACGTGGTAGGGCACACTCTGGGACCAACCGTCGAGAGGGTGGAAGGCGTGCGACGCGAAAGGAGAAGGCATGATCCACTTGTGATGAGGCTTGTGGAGAGTGCGGTAGACGCGCGGGTGGTGCAGGCCTCGGTGAATCCAGTAGATGAAGAAATCGGTGAAGAAGATGAAGATGGGGAATTGAAGGATGCTGTAGTAGGGGAAAGGCTCCTCGGCAACGGTATCGTAGAGCTTGGCATAGCCCCGGACCTCGAGAACGAAGAAGGGTGCGGTCAGGAGGGCCATTGGGGGCATGGCGGACATGGCCTGCTTGATTTCCAAGGGAATTTGGCCCTTGAGGAATTTAGGGTGGTTGAAGGTGGTTTTGTCCCAGATGAAGATGTACGAGGCGGTTGCGACGATGAAGTATACGAGAAGACCGAAGATCCTAGATTAATCGACATGTCGATAGTCAGTTTCTGACAGATTCGCGCGCATAGTTTCTCCCCCCTCTGAACAAGCACTGAGGGGTGGCGAGGGGGGGAAGGAGGGCGTGGCATTGAGCGCATACCATGTGATGAGGAAAAAGCTAGTGAATTGGCGGTAGATATTATTCCGAGGCCAGGCACTGAGATAGGCATATTTGGAAGGCTCCAGATGAATGAATTGTGTTGCCGGCTCATAGATGAAGGGCTCCGCGGCGCCAAAGAGGGACAGCGTGCTGTTGGCCGCATTGACAAAGGCCGGGAGGCCGACGGAGGAGGAGATGGAGGTCGGGAGAAGGCTCGAGTAGAGGCGATCACCAATAAAGGTGTCCCAGAGTTCCAGGATAATATCCATGATGGGCGTGAGAGAGGGAGGAGAGGTGTGTTGGAGAGGGAGAGAAAAGAGGTGGAAGGGGGGAGGGGACCACAATCGGGAAATCAAGAGATTATTTGGGGCGGCGAATAATAAATTCTGCCCGCATCACACCAGCGCGGAACGGAGCCAGCCGTTATGCTGGCTTTCTTAATCAGCCGGTTTCAATTGGGATTGGACAGGGGAAGAATGGATCATTTCTACAGAAGTATCATGTATCATGCAATCTAGATAAATAAAGTCTATCATGATCCAGGGAGCATATAACTATTGAATGGCGTGGTGTGCGCTCATGCCATTTTCTACATACTTCGTACGGAGGACTCCAAAGTACGCCGCAGGATGGAGGATGTTTAAACACCGGCAGGCTTGGCCTGATCGGGTTAGTCAGGGGTTAGTTGCCTGAGAAAAAAGGTGCATAGTAATACCTCAGGCATAAAGGCATCAAGGCAGTCAGGCCGCCGGTCCAGGCCGTATGCGGCGATATCGCCGACCCACACGGGCCTCCCGTAGAAGTACAGTACAAGTACAAGTCGTCCGAGAGTACAGTACTACTTCGTAGATTAAAGACCTTTACTAGATATCTTGATAGGTACAAAGAAATAGTATAAGTGAAAGACTGCATACCTTGGTTCTTATAAGATTATCCTGAAAGACTTTGCATGAAAACCCTCGCTTGATTATATCTATATACCTTTCTTCTTATGTATCTACTCTCTAACCTTAGCCTGTTTGCAAACGGGTCCTTTTTCCTCTATTTGTAGGTCTATCCGTAGTATCCTTCATTCTCACTCCTCTACCTATTAATCCCTGTGCCTCCGACCGGTCCCATATATTCCTCCCCCCCTTTTTTTCCACTTTTCCCTCCACTCGGAACTACTCCGTCTACTCCGTGGGTGTCATACGTCCCTTTACATTGCGCTTCTCGGCTCTTTGGCTCGCTTCTCGCGCCAACGCTAGCCGCCCCGTTCCCATCTCCACCCCCCAAACTCAACTCAACCTTCCCGCTGCCAGCCTCTTTCTCCTCCTCCTCCACCCCCCTCTTCCCTCGTCCGACCTTTTGCCTCATCCAATTTCCGTCCTTTTCCCACCCCATCCACCAAATTTGATCCAGCCAAGCTTTCGTCGCTTTATTCGACCCGCTCCATTACTATCATCGGGCTAGCTGCCTGGTGTCATCCACCAAGCAGCAATCGCGCCTTCTAGCGATCGCAGTGTCAGTTAATTGAACCCTCATCCAAGCTCTGATTCCTCGTCGCGAGCTGTCGCTGATTCCAACCGCCCATCTCAGAGATCGTTCGTATAGCAACCTCGTTTCTTTAACTTGATTACCGTCTTCCGATTCCCCGTCAACCTCCAGCCATGTACAACACTCACCGCGGGATGGTGCCCGCCCCCAACTCCCGCCTGACGGAGTTGCTGGACCAACTGCGCCAGGAGTTCGAGAGCCAGTCTCGGAGCACCGGTGAATATGAACACCAGTGTATGTTTTCCAACATCTTCCCCCCCTCGCATTGAACGCCCGCTCAGCTTCCTCTTTTACGCTTATCTTTTGGCTTCTCTCCTGTTCATCGGTTTCAAAAAGTGTCGCTCAGTCCATCAATGGCTGAAGCGCGCTTCTTCTCTCTCATGGGTCGCGAAAACTCGCTGAAACGTTTTCTAACTGACAGATCACGCAGTAACCGGACAGCTCCAGGAGATGGAGATGATCCGCCAGAAGGTATACCAGCTGGAGCAGACTCAGATCAAAATGAAGGCAGAGTGCGTTTGTTCCTCTCCCTATGGATCTAGATTTCCATCTAGGATCATTCCTTTCCCCCGATCCACTCCGTTTTGCGCCTCCCCCTCGGCCTATGCGCAAAATGAAAGAAAAAAAAAGGGCCATGGTCGGAAGGGGAGGGCCTACCTGACGTTGATCATGAAATCCCTCTTGCGACTAACAATCTCCATTCGCGCTCTATAGCTACGAGGCTGAAATCCGAATGTTGCGACATGAACTCGAGCAGCGCGGCGTGCAACCGGTCACTTCGCATATCGCGCCCGCGCAGCACACCGGTCCTCAGGCGCAACCACCTTCATTGGGCCACGGCCCCAGCAACTTGTTTGGTGGTATCATGACCAACCAAGGAGGTAGTGGTCCCGGTCTTGCCCCTCCCCCCTCCCAGGATCAGCAGCCATCCCAGCATACCCTTCAACAGCCTGCCTCGGCCGCCCAGCCTGGTGCGCCGCAGCCCCCGCAGAGCTTCCCTGGAGGATATCAGCCTGGCGCTGCTGTGAACGGTATGTTTGCATAAGTGGAGATGTGTTGTCAGGGTTGGCTAACGTCTTTGACCCCCGTGGGTCGCAACTTTTTACACAGGCTACGGACCTCCCCCTCCTCCAACTGCATCCCCTGGCCCCGGTAAGAGTCGTCGCACTGCCCCGGGTCCGGCCACCCCTCAGCAGACTCAGATCGCCTACCCGGATCCTCGCGCCTCGCCTCAGATCCCTCGCCCTACTCCCCCTAATCAGTCCCTCGTGCGCGCCGATCGCCCCGGTAACATGCTTGCCAATTGGGACCCGGCGGACCTTCCCGCGTCGCAAAAGCGCGAGGGTTCCGATTGGTATGCCGTGTTCAACCCGGAGGTTCAGCGCGTGCTGGACGTTGATCTGGTCCACCATCTTAACCACGACAGCGTGGTTTGCTGTGTTCGGTTCAGCCGTGACGGCAAGTACCTGGCGACGGGCTGCAACCGCTCAGCACAGATCTTCGATGTGACCACTGGTCAGAATGTGGCCACCCTGCAGGATGAGAATGTTGACAAGGATGGTGACCTTTACATCCGCAGTGTTTGTTTCAGTCCGGATGGCAAGTACTTGGCCACCGGTGCGGAGGACAAGCAGATTCGGGTAAGCAATCTTCGGATTCCGAAGCCCCGTTGAGCTCCAAAGCCAATGTTCTGTTGAAATTGGTGAACGAGAGGCTCCAAAAACAGTAATATTGATGAACTGACACAATTTTCGCAATGGTTCTATAGGTCTGGGATATTGCTGCGCGTACCATCAAGCACATCTTCAGCGGCCACGAGCAGGATATCTACTCCCTGGACTTTGCTGGCAACGGTCGCTACATTGCCTCGGGCAGTGGCGACAAGACTGTCCGTCTCTGGGACATCCTGGATGGCAAGCTCGTCTACACCCTGAGCATTGAGGACGGCGTCACCACCGTGGCCATGTCCCCCGATGGTCACTACGTGGCAGCCGGTTCGCTGGACAAGAGTGTGCGCGTGTGGGATACCACCACTGGCTACCTGGTGGAGCGTCTGGAGAACCCTGACGGCCACAAGGACAGCGTGTACTCGGTTGCCTTTGCGCCCAACGGTCGCGACCTGGTCAGCGGTAGTCTGGACAAGACTATCAAGTTGTGGGAGCTTACCGTCCCGCGGGGCATGCACCCTCACAGCGGCGTCAAGGGCGGCAAGTGTATTCGCACCTTCGAGGGCCACAAGGTACGTTCCTCATTATCCCGATGGAACTCGATATGTTCATTACTTTCTGCCCTTCCCCTCCCACCATCTTGGGACTCATGCCACCCATAATTTCCCCCGCCGTGTGGTCGCGCCACACGGCAACCACCAGGGATCCACTGTTTGGACAATTTACTGGATACTGACTACTGCGTGCGCTATAGGACTTTGTGCTTAGCGTGTGCCTGACGCCCGATGGCCAGTGGGTCATGAGTGGCTCGAAGGACCGTGGGGTCCAATTTTGGGATCCCGTCACTGGAAATGCGCAGATGATGCTGCAGGGCCACAAGAACTCTGGTGAGTCTATCGTCCGATAGTCTGGGATTTAGCCGGATCGATAGTGTGCTGTCATAGCTGCCACTTGGGGGCTTATCACACTATCTTATCACTTCTCGCATCCTGGCTGTTTGGCGACTGTCTAGTGATGTCGTGCTCGTCGATCATTGTTTCTAATTCTCCTTGATAGTCATCTCGGTGGCCCCCGCCCCGACCGGTAACCTCTTCGCGACTGGCAGTGGAGACATGCGTGCACGGATCTGGAGGTAAGCAATGGCTATTCTGATCAACACCTTTGCCCCCATTCTCTCTTCCTCTCTCCCCCTCTCCACTTTTCTTTTCGTCCGTCCCCCTTTCGCCTATCCCAGACTGTCGGGTCTTCGATCGTCGCTTGGATTTATGGACGGTCTAGTCCGATTCAGCTACTCCAGCATGTCTTTTTTGTGCTACTCGCGATCGATCATTTGTCGTTGCTCTGGTGTTATTTTCTCTAGCTCAGCCTACTGACCCTTGTTCTCAGATACTCGACGTACACAGGACGGTAAAAGGAATCGGCTCAACCACGGCGCAATATGACTTTACTTGCTTGGATTCCTGCGTAGCCAGGTTGGGGCTTGAATTTGACGGTGTCTTTATGTTATCCCTGTTACAAACCTCTTGTCGTTCTTCTGATATCTTTTTTTTTGGATCAAATATCTGGTGCTTTGTCCTTGAATAATGCACATGCACAGTGTTCGTTCTTTCGGAGTAGACTAGTAATTGGCCAAGAGTCAAACCGTAGGCTACTTGGGGCCTGGCGCAGGACCTGGCCTGTCACCACATCATCACATCATCTCCACGGGGTTCTTCCAATTCCAACCAATAAACCCGGTCGAACCCAAAATATCCTCTACATCTTAACCAGCCAATTCCTCAGCAACCCAATCTAATGACTCCACCTCGGAAAGGCCCATCAGGGTTAACCAGCAAGGACCTGGCCAGCCGGGGTGCATGACCAAGTGACCACGCCCACTCTAGGAAAGTTGCACAAGAATGGCGCCAAGGCGTCAGAAAAAGGGCGAGAAAGAAAGAGGGGGGGCGGCAAATCAAACCAGAGCGTTCGATACGGTGCGCTCCATTGTACGAAGTACGGTTGTGAACGCAGTTGCTAGTTTCGAGTCACTCACTAGCTTAGTGGCTACGTCCTGGGCCAGTGCTCTTCGCAGGTATGATTCTGCGTACTACGAGACCCGTCCTGTAAGCTTGACAGGCCAGAAAAAAACAAATAATAACGATAAACAAGAAATAAACAAGCCCACTTATACCGACAGACTGGGACAGGGGACCCAGCTAGATATGCCTCACCCGTTTGAATCGCCACAGAGCCGCGCGACTGGTGGTGGACCACTGGAAGGGTGTGGATGGTGGGAACGGGTAGAGGCCAACGGAGACGATCTGTCCAGTCGTTGAGCCGACCCTGGATGGCGATCAGTGATCCGCGGAGTTGGGGAGGAGGTTTCAGGAAGATGGATATGGGAGCGGAGAACGTTCTAGTACATTTGCTGGGTTTGGTTATCTGGATGATTTAGTATACTGTATATCGTCTGGGTAGATGACTGTGCTATATAGAAGTTGGTTATTATAGGTGTAGGGTATTCGAGATTCATACATATGTGGGTTCGCAATCCCTGACACTCAAAGACATGAATATGTAGGTTTGTTAAATAGTGTAGAAATTGACTACGTAGAGGTTACCAGTAGGTACAGTACCTCCTGCAATATCGACTGCGAACCAGCGAACTACGCCTACAGTACTTTGCACGGAGTGACTAGATCGGGTGAATTGCTACCTAATCACAGCCACCTACTGTAATTAGCTGCCCCCCTCTCGAGGCAAGCTAGTCTTGCCATGCTTGAGCAAGTGAGTTGCTGGACTCGCCTCGTCACGTCAACGGGACGGTACCGACAGCTTGGGAGCGCTACTGTACTTGGGGCAAGATTTAGCGGCTGCCTGGTTATGTCGGGAAATAGAATTGAAAGTCTTGGAAGTGTCAAGGAGTTGTCTGGACTCTGGAATGACTAGCCGTGAATCACTGACCACATACGGTACCGTCCAGTGTACGGAGGTACCTTTTACCATATACCGTATAGGGTGGCTGTGTTCAGGATGTGGTTCTGGAGTCCGTGGGAGATCTGCTTAAGCTAGACAAGACAAGCAAAAAAAGCGTAAAGGGTTGTTTGGACTAACTGCTTCTGGAGCTAGAGCTGGAGCTGGAGCTAGCCAGAGCTGCCATTTAACTAGGATTATCCGAATAAACTACTCCGTACTATCTACCCTGTCAAAGTTTGTTGGTCATTCAAGTTGTAGGCGTAACTCAGTACCAAACTACAAGCTCGTAGTTGTGTACGGAGTACCTTTTGCCAAATTCTTTTTGCCCCCTGTTACAGTATACAGAATCTCGTACTGGGTACGAAGTACGTAAATGGGTACTGTATCCATCCCATCAGGCAGCTGGTCTGGCTATAGACCTGACCATCTATTACCTACCTAGACCAGGATGCTCCACTCGCCGATCGGGCTCTACGCACGCCCTCTTTCTCCCTCTCTTTTTCGCTGAGACCCGCCCTAATTCTGGCAAGATTGCGTGAGGAACAAACTACTTCCCCCCTAAGCCAGTCTTCCCTGTAGCTCCCCCCGATCTCCTCTCCCTGCAGGAACCAGCAAGAGCCGGACGCCTTCCCCTGATGCATCAGTATATGCCGTAGTTTGTAGACATGCAGTGCAGGATCGGGTCAATACCGTTGAAAATAAATACAAATCTTGCCGAAGACGTGCCCTGTCACTTTTTTTTCGGGGAGATTATGCGGTATGTAATAAGTCTTACGGGCAGAGACTACCATATACCCGTAGTTTTCTGCAAGTTAAAGGGGATGGTGTTGACCCAGGACCCCGTCATCCATGGACTTATCATCTCCTATCTCTAGTCCCGAGGAGAAGGAGAATCATGGACATGGAAGGGGGGCACTGTCCCTGGAAAATCTGTCTAGAACCTAGGCCACTGGTGCACCCGGGTGCCCGGTTGCCACCATGGTCACTCCTCTACGCACAGAGCAACCAGCGACCAGGTGAACCAAGTGTGAAACCAGCTAAGAGAAGGGGAAAGCAGTCGCTAGGTCAGACCCAGCGAGTGGTATGTATCTCCGAGGTCCCTCCTGGGGCACCGTCCTAGGCCGAGCCAGAATCCGAGGAGATCGCCCGAGCAGATCTGGGCCAGGAGCGAATCTGGGAAGCGGAAACCGATCGGGAGGGTCAGCAAAAGGAATTTTCCAGGGCCATGGGCGGCTAACCAGGATATTTCGGAGTCTCCAGCCTCCCTCAGTTCCTGACTGGAGTAATCACGCTGAGGCGGGGATCGGACGCTATTGGCGACTATCGGGCGGGCGCAGCCGGACGAGAGTCCAATCAGGAGAAGTGAATAACGGGGTACACACCTAGGCCCTCCCTCTACTGGAGACTGGAGTCTCCCGGGCTTGTTCCGGGTGGTGGAGGTGGAGGGCTTTTGTGGTTTTTTTTTTTTTTTTTTTTTTTTTTTGAAGAAAGTACGTAGTTGACCAGTGAGATGTGGAAGGAAACGAACCACCCTGGTCGAGACCCCTTTAGGGGAAGAGAGAGGGGGGAAATCGGGGATATGGGGGTAGACTGGGCTTGGCAGAGTGCACTATGGACGAATTAGGATCCAGACGAAGGGATCTTAGTCTCTCCTCTAATCCACAAAGAGAGAGAGGCTGACTGGAGAAACTGGGTTGACCTGTCGACTTCTGTCGCAGATCCCCGTCCACATTGAAAGCCCGAAGGCCCGGCCCGCCCTCGAGGGCAATGCAGTGAAGGGTGATTGCTTTTTTTTTTCTGCTTTCCTTTCATCTATTGTGTTTGTACAGAGGTTAATAGTATGAGTTTAACAGAAGGACCGAAGGGGTAGAAGGAAAGAAGGGAAAAGAAGGAAAAGGAAAAGAAAGTATAGCGGGGAGAGGAGACATACGAGACGCAGTGCTACTGTACATCGAACCTATACGAATCATCCTCCTGTACTGTACATCATAACTAACGTCAATAACAAGACCACGAGAGACAAAGAGCGAGTGTGTGGAAACTTGAAAAAGGTCCAGGTGGGCCAAAATGTCGCTGAGAGCCTGTCAGTGGTGGATGGTTGACAGTCACGCCCCCAAGTCCTCGATCTAGTTTAGCAGGTTCTCCGTTATTTATTTATTATGATTTTACCTACCTAACTAACCCCATTTAGTCCACTGAATTAGCTAAAATCCTCGCCAGTCGCGGCTGCGATTGAATTCGACTGGGGGGGGGGGGCCACACCGAGATTCTCGAGGACTCTCTGCAGTACTAACTCTTCCCCCCGTTCCCGACCATTGGGTTCTTCGAATCAGAGGATTGGAACTGCTAATCGAAAAGGATTGGGCATGATAATAGAAATTGACAATACTTCGGTGTTCCTATCATGATCTCTCTGATTTATGCGGGAACAGTTCTCGTGATACAGCAGGATCTTCCTGTCCGAAATGATGCGTTCGGCCAGTGGAGTACCTCAATTGGGGGGGGGGGTTTCTTTTGTTCGGGCCACCTTATGTTGATACTCTTATAACATGATTATAATAATTATGACTACAGTATTATTATGACTATTAGTATTCTAATATTCTAATATTCTTCTGGTTTCCTATTCTTGTCATCTTCATATACGCTGCAAATCACATCCATGATCCTAGTCGTGAATAGGCCGGTTAGGGAAACCCAGTCACAACCGCTGGCTATTAATCACTGCTGATCATTGTCGTGTCTATCGAACATTCTCATTTTATATTCGATTTACTTATTTTTTTTTTTTTTTTTTTTTGAATTATACTATTTTCTTTCTTTTCCTTTTTTTCCCCGGTGAGATCCCCACTGCACGTCGAGGGCGCTCGAACTACTCCCCTTTCCGGGCGAACGTCACTCTGGATCAGAGGAAATACATATCCTTTTTTTTTCTTCTTCTCGACAACTGGAGTCCACCGGGTGCCTCTCAACCATTCTACCGGGACCCATTCACCCAAGCTTGGACTTTCTCGAGTTTGACTACATTTTTGACGGCGGACGACGCGGGTGATCACCACTAGTTTCCTCGGACTTCCTTTAGGCTTATGCTGGCTGATCCCATCGGATTCTGGGTCCTTTTTTCTTCAGCCCACCTGCAGCCCGTGGGAATAGTCGTGGAAAATTGCGCCTCTGAAATTTACTGGTTCGCTCGTTTCCTGTCTATCAAAAAAGTCTGCCTCGTTCCGTGGGTGATCCTATATAGATCGATCGGTGACCCTGCTCCCGACTCGACTGGTTGCATCTTGGCTCTGTGAGACAAACAGCCTCCACCCGCTTGATATATCTTCTGATATATCCCTCCTGGTGACACAATCTGTGAACATTTGAAGCCCATCAAGGTATTCCATTAGATTCATTGTTGAGTGTACCCAGGACCATCACTGTCGTGCATTTTCCCCCAGTCGGTTTGTCTGTTTCTATACTTCGGGGCCTCTCTCCCTGGACTTTCTTCTTCAGAAAAATCCCAAATCGACCCAAAACAAAGAATCGAGACTCTTCGGGTTTATCCCAGCAGACAGGCGCGGGACAAAAAAGCAAAACAAAAAGAAACCGACGACCCCAACATAAGCCCTACCGAGTACGTGGCTCGGGGCTGTCAGGCTGCCAGTCAGGGTTTCACCTTCAGGGCATCCCAACGAACCCTTCTCTAGCTACAACCACCCCCCTGACCTGATCTCTTCTCTTTGTCACTCTACTTGTCCTCATCATCATGGAGACTGCCGAACCGGTTGCCTACGAGTTCCCCGGCCACGGCGTGGGCTCGTTCCCGCACCGTCGCGCCATGGATTCGCCTCTATATCCTTACTATTCTCACCCGACTTCGACTCCGTACACGCTGCCTTACCAACCAACTCCAACGACGGCTGCGTACAGCTTTAGCTCGGGGGTATTGAGTCAACCCTCGCATCCATATCAGTATTTCGTGGCCAGTCAACCATCACTGGGTTCGCCGGTGCGCCTGTCATCGGACAATCACCAGACTGCGCACCATCACCATCAGGCCCATCATCACCAGCAGCAACATCAGTCCCAACAGCATCATTCACAGCACCAGCAGCACCAACCTCAACCACCACCACCACTGCAATCACTTCCCGAAATTCGTCCCGCCAAGAATGCTATCAACCCAGTGACCACCCGGACCAATGACTACGGCCCGGCAAGCAATCAAGTCCCAGCAACAGGAACCGACCCATCGAAGAAGTCTGGCGCAGAAGCCAACTTCTCCACTGAAGTCGACGTCCTCATGAAAGCCATCCAGGCCAAGCCTGGATCCCCAACTTCCCCGGTCCCCATGCAGCAGTCCCTGCCTCCACTACAGCAACTAGCACCACCGGGATATCCAAGTTACGCGGGGTATTCGATGTCGCCGCCACGCAGCCTGCTCACTAATGAGGGACAGTTGTCTCGGTCTGGCAAGAAGCGCAAGTATACTTGCATGTTGCCGAACTGTGGGAAGAGCTTTGCGCAGAAGACGCACTTGGACATTCATAATCGGGCGCACTCGGGGGAGAAGCCTTTTGTAAGTTTCTGGATCAACCGCGGCAACCCTTGACCCTTCAAAGAGAGAAATAAGACGCAGCGTAAACCCAGAAAGGGAAGAAAGAATTATTCGCTAATGAACGTACAGATCTGCAAGGAGCCTTCATGCGGGCAGCGGTTCTCCCAGTTAGGAAACCTCAAGGTAAGCATGTGCAGTGACACTTTCCATGCAAGACCACGATACACCAATTATCGTCGTCCACTTGACCTTGAACTTGGAGTAGAATCAAGTGTACTGACGCATACTCTGATGCAGACCCATCAAAGACGACACACGGGCGAAAAGCCATTCAAATGCGACATCTGCCATAAGCGCTTCGCGCAACGGGGCAACGTTCGCGCCCATCAAATCACCCACCTCCAAGCAAAACCATTTACCTGTCTACTCGATTCCTGCGGAAAGAAGTTCACGCAACTGGGTAACCTCAAGGTGCTTAAAGCCTCTCCCCTCTCCCATCATGTGCCCGCTCCTGCTCCTGCTCCTCCAAAACGCAATGAAAACTGACATACAATCTACCACCAGTCCCACCAAAACAAATTCCACTCCACGACCCTCCGCAATTTGACTCTCCGCTTCGCCCAAATGGGAGACGCAGGCCCCATGAACCCCGCAGACCGCGAGCTATGGGAGTATTTCGCCGAGTTATACAAGAACAGCAACAAGGGTATCAAGGGCCGGGGTAAAGATCGGCGGATCTCGACGACGAATGTCCACGGTCACAACCACGGTCACGGCCATGATCACAACCTAGGTCATCACCGTGGAGGTGCAGGAAGAATGTCCTCTGTGGAATCTGAGGAGGATAGACGTGGGTATGAAGATGGAATGGGGATGTATGCAAGTGCGAGCGCGAGTCCGAACGGGTGTTCGAGTAGTGAGGGGGAAGAAGGAGGGTATTACATTGAAAGGAGGGGGTTATGATGACCTTGTGGGATGGGTTTGGATTGAAGTTATAACGATGGGCTATGGATGGAGTATTTTTCATTTCGAGATTTGGGATCTAATATCTTGGGGGTTTGTTTTCGGGTTCCTTCTTATCACAGTCACATCGTGTATATGATGTTATGAGGGGCCTTTGTTTATTTAGATCTCTGCATTTTGCATTATTTTTGTTTTCATTCTGGGGTTTACTTTGCTCTTGACTGCTTTGTGATTTTGTGATATCCATTTCCTTTTATGTTGGGGATTTATATACTATATCTTCTTTTGTCTTCTCTTCTCTGTTTCATTTTGTATTCTACTTAACCGGCCTGGGAAACTAAAAGTGGCTCTCTTTGTATATAAGATGCTCATACGAACCAAAACTGGGGAAAGTTCTTGCTCATTTAAAGAGAGATGGGGCAGGTTTGACTGGACCAGAGTTCGCATTTAATTAGACATGTCTAGGGTCAGACCAGCCGTGAATTTGATCAAGATTTCAAGGAATCGGTTTATCTCGTCATTACATCCTGATTTAAAGCCTATTATAATACGCAGTTAATCCTTAATGCGCCCTGAACCCTAAAATAGCGTCGGATTTAATCTTACGGATTCCCTAATGAGATATGGTTATGACAACCTTCCCCACACAGTTTCCAGAATAGAGGCAATCAAAAGCCTCAGGAGACTTCTCGAAAGGAAATCTTTTTCCAATGATAGATTTCAACGGAACCTTCTTTTGCTCCAAGAACCGACAGAGATTCTCTTGATCTAATTTTGAACCAACTTGAATCGCCCTAGAAAAAGTTCAGTCTCCACAATTGCAAAGGTAAAAGAGACTTCTATTAGAGGAACCTTACCTGAGGGTTCCAACCTTCAAGAATAGCTGGCCCAAGGATTTGACGAGATCGTCAAATCGTAGCCCACCCAGAAAACCAATCCAAGATATAGTACCACGAGTGGTCATTGAGGTCACACTTTTCGGAATACTTGTGCCTCCGCCTTTCTCGAGCACAACGTCAACACCCTTTCCGGAGGTTAGTCGAAGGACTTCATTCTCCCAATCAGGTATATCGCTGTAATTGATAGTAATAGCGCCATGTGGGCCGAGGGCAGCAATATCCTGTAACATCTTATCGGAAGATGACGTGATAATTGGACGAATTCCAGCGGCTAGAGAGAGAAGCAGTGCGAACATACTCACGCCTCCGGTCCCTATGTTAACATGGAATTAGCACGTCTCGAAGATGATTTCGATTAGTTTGTTAGTGTCTGGGCGCACCTAGCATCAATGCAGATCTTTTATGGCCTTGATCATTCATTTCCAAGGAATTCCAGGCTGTGGTCCCAGCGCATGTTATGCAAGCGGCCTTTAGAAATTATCAATCCATGAAATTAGCCCGCAGTCCGTAGGGGAAAAACGGAACAGAAATGAAAAATAATACAATTCGGGTATAGATGGATGAGTAGTGAGATGAAAAGGGAAGATATTTAACTTACTTCTTGCCAGGAAAGATGCGCTGGAATCTGAACAAGGACGCTCTCGTCAAAAACTGCGTATTGACGGAGGACCCCGTCCACATTTCCACCCAGCTGAGCAACCTTGCCTTCAGAGTCCGGCTCCTCGACGTACTTCAAATCAAATATAGGTGAAACACGGTCACCAAGTGAAACCCGAGTCACTGCGGACCCAATATCCACCACTTCTCCAGCACAGTCGGATGCAGGGACTCCTTGGTTCTTCACAGGTACCGGATATTTGCCATGCAACATACCAACATCTCTATAATTCAAAGATACAGCATGCACTCGAATCAAGACTTCCGTTGGTTGAAGCGAAGGGATGGAAGGACCCGCAATTATGGCACGGCGATTGCGGTCTGCTGACGGTGGGCCTCTCTATTCACGCAATACGCCGCCGCTTTTGAATCACCCCAACGGCCTGGCGATGCTCGTCCGATCGCATTCCAGATTGTCCGAGACTAGGGCCTTATGGGTAAACTTGCAGACAAGGTCATCCTCGTCAGTGGCGCATTCTCCGATCTGGTGTCCTCTAATCTCCGTCACACTTCAAACACCCCTGATCATTTGCCCCTGCTTCGCAGAAAGGTAGAGCAAGACATCGAGCATGTTGAGGAGTGGTTTGCCTGAAGGGTTGACTTATGGCTTCCCTTGTAACAGACTATTTTTTTACAGATCCATACCGAATACGAATTTAGTTAGAGCACGTAAGACCGCCAGTGTTGCAGAATGTGATAATGGGGCGAGGAATACTCAATGGATACCGGTGCTGTTGCATAAAATCAAAGTCATCGAGGTTAAAAACGTGGATGTGGTGAGCAGAGTCTTCATCTAACAAATGAGCTGATAACAGATTACGATATATCGGAAAATTGGATTTGATAGCAGTGACTTTTATGGGACTGAAGATTGAGCTTGAGGTTAGAACTCAAAAGGATACACAAATTACTTCACGAAGACCCCCAAAAATAACGCGTATTTCATCTTTGTAGTCCTTATAACACTAGCAGGCTTCACGGGGCACACGCCCTTACAATTGCTCAGACATAAATCCACCACATTCTTCACGGCCAGCTCAACATACTCAGCCCATCATAAAAGTCCATATGAGCTGCATTTGGAACGATAAGCTTCTTTGTGGCACCTCCAATCTGCTTATCGAGCTTTTCTGTATGCCACAGAGAACCTGCATTTTTGCTGGCAATCAGCAGAGTTGGCTGGGTTAGATAGAGCTCAGCGAACTGAAAGGCGTCGAAATAAAGCACAAGTGGGAAGCTGCGGAGCAGCATCTTGTTCGCTGCACGGGGATACTGGGCTCTTGGTGTGAGATAATAGTCGGATGCCTCCTTCATATCGAAGGGGGTCTTGTCGTCCGTCTGAGGCGGCACATAGGGGGCTGCCACAGGCTCGGCACCCTTATTCTCAGCGGAAATCTGCTTAGCAGCCATGTCAAAGGCAGCCGCCTTCGTTTTAGGATCCTCGTCGGCGTCCCAGCCCAGACGTGCGGAATCGCCGATATTGACCATGCTGATAGTGGCGATGGCCCTTAGGCGGTGGTCTGACTTGGCGCCGGCAACAGAGTAACCATCTCCCGCGCAAATGCCGATGATAGCAATCTTCTCTGGATCAACAAAGTCTTGTTTCTCCAGATAGTCAACCACGCTGTAGACGTCACTGACGCGGGCCGAAGGGTCTTCGAGGAAATGAGGCTCGCCGCCGCTCTCGCCTTAATGAGACGCATCATAGGCCACGGTCACAAAACCATGATCGGAGAGATTTTTTGGCGTAAAGGCTTGCTGTTTGCTCTTTGACACCGCCACCGGGGTGGACAATGACCAGAGCAGGGTTGTTAGCGGCAGCCTTGGTAGGCTTGTACAAAAGGCCAGCTAATTGAATAGGCCCTTTCTTGATGGAGATGGAGGACACGATTGAAATATGTGTGAATGTACTTCGGAAGAAAGTGATGATAGGAGAAAAGACTCGGGATAATCGGTGAACATAAAATGCTCCAAAGGCAGCTGCGCCGACGCGGTGTATATATTTGATTTTGCGGGGCTGATGGACACTCTACCCAATCCCGAGCTTCGTCGGCCGACCCGAAAAGCTTCGGGTCCGACTGATTAAGGACATAGACACTTTTTCTCTAATCTGCATGATATATAATCCGGGGTACCCAAACAAGAGGTCAAATACCCAAACATCGAGCTACCACATTTCTTTATCATGTCCGAAGCCATTAAAACCGTCAGCATCCCAACCATTGCTTGGGAGACTGCCGCTGATATTCACTTCCCCCCAAAATTCGACAAAAACAAAAAATACCCTGCCGTCGTGTCGGCTCACCCAATTGGCTCTTGCAAGGAGCAGACATCTGGCAACGTCTATGGAAAAGCAATAGCAGAGGCAGGCTTCGTAGTTATCGTTTTCGATGGCTCTTTCCAAGGCGCCTCGGGAGGTCAGCCTCGCTTCATTGAGGACCCCGAATTCCGTGTCTCCGACTTTCGGTTTGTCGTCGACTATGTCCAGACACTCACCTATGTCGAACCCGAGCGTATTGGGGTGCTCGGCATCTGCGGCGGCGGTGGCTATGCCATCGACGCGGCTATGACGGAATACCGCTTTAAGTGTTGCGTCGGTATCACGCCCGTGAACTTTGGCCGCCTTTCTCGCGAAGCCTTTGGCTTTCGACCCTGCTACGTCTCTCGAGAATATTGCTAAGCAGCGCACTCTTGAGGCGCAGGGTGGAGACCGCCTTGTGATCAATCTCCTTCCACCCACTCTCGAAGACGCGAAAAAATCCACTACGAATATCGACGTTATTGAGGCAACGGAGTACTACAAGACTAGCCGCGGCCAGGCGCCTAACGGTTGCACGAGCGGTCTTTATTCCTTCAACAGCGCTGCTCTCGCGTGGGATGCTTTCAATCATGCCGAGGTCCTTATGACCAAGCCGCTTCTGGCTGTGGTCGGTGACAAACCAGGCGGCTTCGGCGCTTATCGTGATACTCAGGAGATTCATGGACGCGCAGGTTCCAAAGAGAAGCGTATCGTCGTTCTACCCGGAATATCGCACTATATGCTGTACGACAAGCCCGAGGCGGTCAATCCGGCGCTCGATGAGGTTCTCCCCTTCTTCAAGAAACATCTGGGAGAGGCCAGGTGAATTCACAATCACTATATTTCAGCATTAATTCAAAAAAGTGAATTATCATGGAACAATAGTATGTGAAAACTTCTATCATCTCAAATTTTATTCCTCTAGGGAGCATGGGAGCATGGGAGCATGCGTGATAGTGCCAATTAAATAATCGTCAACCAATTGACTTAACTCGGTCTATTTATCCTGCACGTTTAAATGCAAATAATGTATGAGTATCTAGTAGAAAAGGAACAAGTTATAACAAATTCGCACCGTACCAGATAACACGCCCTTTTGTCTATTACGTCTTGTGGGTTGACGAATCTTAACCTCATCAGCTGAAGATGTATACAATGAAATAAAATCGAAGCAAAATTTTTGTCCTCATGTCTAGAATGGAAAAATTCGAGAGCTGCAGGTGGTTCAGTCAAATTCAATAGTCTGCCCATTTTTAGTATCAAGCAAGGATGCTTCTCTTCTGTGAGCCGATACAACCCTCCTAATTGAGCTTCGAAACAACCTCACCTCTAATTGAGCTCTATTCACGCAGGATTCTATAAGGGCTTTGTTCATCCTTAGTTAAAATTCTTCCAGAAGGTCGTGCGCAGTGTGGGTGGCGTTTAGTACGCGCTCACGGTTCGATAACAGGTTTTTTAATAGGCCTCTGAAGGCCCTAGCAGGACTTGCCCAACCTTCTTTGAGGCGCGCAACATCGTAATATCGACTTGATAGCTTCTCGGTCGGTGCTAAGATGTAGTGCCGGTGTTTAGATTGAATCTGCCGTTATCTAGAAGTTGCTAAGTGGTCTAGTTCATGAGATATCTCAAATTTTCAATTCGGCGCTTGAGTTGTTTTTTTCTTAGAGGTTTTTACATACTATACCCTTATCACTAGAAGAGAATCAGATCCTATTTAAGCAAGCCAATAATAAGACCTATTAATCTAGTGGTATGATAGCTATTGGGCATTTAAAAGTAATAAGCTACGAAGATACTGTTGAGACGCAAAAGAGACGTAACATAACCGTGGCGAAACAAAGTCCTGCGCTGGAAAAGAGGTCAAAAGCCAGGGACAAGCTGCTTATGAAGCCGGAGGAGAAGCGCAAGGTTGAGCAGGAGATTGTGGAACATACTAAGTGTTTATTGTTCAGTTTTAGAATATATTTGTTGACTCATTCAGGATGTTAGAATTCACCGAGTAACAGTTTCCAAGTACGGATGTGAAGTAAAGTTTCCTGCTGGTGTGTGCAGGCGCCTAGGCAATTCGGTCGAGAAATAGCCCGTTCGTCTATGCAAAAGGGAAAGCTGAAGCTCAAGCATTGCAAGATGTCACACCGGACAGGGTCTGGAGTATCCTGGAATTCCATATTGGGTGAATTTGCTGGGCAAAGCTACCCTTGGGGAAGAAGAATGGCAGTATGCCTTTCCGCAGGCAAATAGGCTGCTTGGTGTCGTGCCACGGACCCACCCCAATCACATCAACCCAATTTTCTACCACTATATGGTCTACCAGACTGCACTGAGTCCCTTGGGATAGAGTAAGAATGAGATGGATTAGAGCATCGTTGTTAAAGACTACAGAATGGGGCCGCCGTTAAGGGCGTCTCATAGCTCAGGCGTTTTGGCGTGTTGCGACGTCAGTAACCGGAAGGAACTTCTCCGCCATACAGGCAGCAATTTGGAACTATATCTCCTAGTAAAACCTCAGGCCTGGTGATAAAATACGACATATTCAGCTCGAAATATGAGAATTGCGATCGAATCTTAACTTTTGGGTTTTCAGCCACACTTGGGAACGCCAATTTTTTAGATATCGCAAGGTGGCAGGTCTGGAAGAGGATCTATTGTTCAATTAGTACAATAAAGAGAAGCTTGAGCAGCGTGGCAACACCAATATAATACTATGGATTCTAGAGCCAAATCTCATAAAAGAAACTTACCGTTGCATTTGATTGGAGGCCCTTCCAGACTTTGGACCCAGTCACCACTTTGAAGCTTGTACCAGTTTCTATTACCATGTCAACAAATTCCTCTTTGAAACCCCTTCACATGCAAACCTGATTTACTGCAAAGTGTAGTATAAGACACAGATAGGGGTAACTCACATGCCATCAATATCCACTTTGCAGACCAATTTCACGGCCTGGCCTTTGTTTTTTCTACCCGAGGGCCTAAGGCCCGCACAGGGTACGTTCCAGGTGGCTCTTCTAGTGTTGAGCTGGCATCTTTTACCCTCAGTCAGCTCTTGCTTGTTGTCCAGATCTAGATCTAGACGATCAGGAAAGTCAACATCTGGCTCTGCGGATGTGGCGGCTGTCATCGCCAGAGGTAGAATGATAGCGAGGACGATCAAAGGGGACTTCATTTTCAAAAAGGCTTGAGGTAGTAGCGTGTAATTAGAGTGCGGCGTGTTACAATGAACATCGGCTGCGGAAACTTTGCGCCAGCTGGGTGTTGCTACAAGTCGGCATTATATAGAGCAAAATTCCAGAGAATCCACGCTGAAATATACACTAGTCACCATCTGCCCAAAGAGCTCATTATGAGTCTATTAGAGTCTAGACGATATATTCTGTCGGTATCTTTTGGGCATAGCCCTTAGGATAATGAGCGACTCTTACAATCTCAATCGTATGCCGCCGAATAGCCTTCTAAAAACTAGATATGATATCAGTCGCTCACTTGACGACTTCCTAGTACCAAAGGAACCTTCTGTTTGGTTAAGCCAAGTCTGTTCAAGCTTTTCGTAGCCTTTCACATGCCAAAAGTCTATCGAACCGTCGGTGCAAGGCAAGTGGGATTCTGCAAAGTCTTCATATTTGTACCAGTATGAAAATACGGGAATCTTGACCAGCGGAAATGCTTCTTCAAACTCTATTTCATGCCTGGGCGCAAACATCATGCCAACCCTTGCCAAGAAAGCTCCGCCAGGTGCCATTAAAATGTCTGAAAATTGACATTCGGGAGCGAGGCCAGATTTAAAACCAAAAAGCTGGAGGGAAATAGGATATTATTTTCTGGAATGATCTAGGCCCCTGTTTTGAAGGATGGCTTTCGTCTTGGTCAACCGTGACCTGATTACCGCTTTCCCATGATGGCCCCCTCCCGCACGCGACTTTGGGAAACCGTTGTGACGCTTCCACATAGCCCCGCACTGCCTGCAGTCTCATCCTAGAAGGCTCCTTGCTACTCATCAATGAGCTTTCTTTCCAAAGCCTTTGAAAGTGGAACCTGTCATCGTTCCTAAGCCTGCTGTCTTATCGGACGGGGTATTCGGATGGACAGAAGTCACATTCTGGTCAGGGTGGCAGCTGCTGAGATATTGGCACATTGTGTTCGGCCGATGCGAAAGCTCCGACGCAACCCTTCCGCGTCAGCATCCTCGTTATCTCCGGATATCTTCGTGAATCCGTGCGTGGTATATTAGTAACGCGTACGTCCCCGCTTGTGAGTAATTTCAGTATATGTGTACTAGGCGGATAGACGAAATGTCCATTCTTCAGAGATATTTGACCCAGGCACCGCACGCTGTCGCGGCCCTACCCTGATAGGACGGGCGCCGTTTGCGGACAACGACCGGAGGTTGGCGAGGGAAGACCCATGTAGCCCAATGAACATTTACCTTGTTCCATTCATGGAGGTCTTGGCATTGAAACAATGCAGATTCTCAGAGTGCCTAGATGCTAATGGGCCAAATTCTACCTCGACTCCTGCGAGCGATCATGTCTCTTGATATGATGCGTTTCAGGGATATTTTCAATGGCATCAGGTGGCACAAAGTATTTGGAACTTCTAGATTTCGGCATAGCAATTAGCGTTTTTCAATTTCGTCAAGATAGTGTGTTATCACTTAACAGCTCGCTAGAACAGATATCTTGGAAATTAGACAGAAGAGACCCTGGTTCTTGAGAATCGAAATTGCAATTGACATATATATGCTCACTGCTATGTTTAAGAAAAGCCGGTTCTTCTATTGCTCTGGTCGTCTCATCTAAGTTCCCCTCATAAGATATCAGCTTCCAAACATCTTTCCCACCCCGTCCCACCACTATAACCGATAACATAGTCTCCTCGGCACCGGCAAAGCCAAATATGAAGCCCGATTACGAGGTCAGGCTCTTACTCAACCCAACCGCGGTCCTAAGCCCTAAGAATGAGCTGATGGGTACCGTCCTGTCCACCTTCGGGATACCCTTGACTGCCACCATGCCCCCAACTGTCACCAAGCTCAATGTCCAGTTCATCGACACGCGCTGTAAGGAAATATATACAGCCGGCTGGAGCGTTCGTATTCGCAAAGAAGAAGGCGACGACAAATTCGAGTTAACATATAAGAAGCGGTATGCCATAACTGGCGGTGACATTGACGCCGCTCTTACTAGAGCTAATAACGATGGTTTCAACGCCGCTACCGCAAAATACGACGCGCAAGTCGAATGGGGATACGAGGAGCAGACACTTTCTATCAGCCGTAAGAAAAAAGCGGCTTCTGGGAATAGCGGAACGGACTTACCAGGGACAATCGACTCACGGGAAATGCTAATTGATGAAGCGCCGGATGAGTTCGACAACTTTAAATTCAACGAATGGGGCACCAAGGCAATAGAGGTATCGCGCATCTTTGGTCCGGTCCTCTTCAGTCGATTTACTGGCTCGTGGAAAGGGATGCCGTTATATATCGAGATCTGGCCCCTCTTGAACTCCGAAGGTACAGGAATCGAGTATATCGTCGAGGCTTCCTTCAAGACTAAAGATCGTGCGACAGCTTCGACTGAGCAGAAAGAATTAGCCGCCTTGTTGGAGAGTAGTGGTTGGTTTCTTGCAAAGGACTCTTTGAAGACGGCGCTTATTATGGAGCGCTACTCACGTGGAATGTGTTGAAGTGGAGCGTTACATTCCCTTATGTTTTGTTCAGTAGTCTGGATTTTGTGGTAACTTGGCTGGTAACACCGGGTACCAGAGACATATGGTCGCAGGGGATTTCAACCTCCCCCAGCGAGGATTCTACATTGATTTAATCAACCATAATTTCCACTTGACGTATACGTATGCTAAGAAATACTGCATACACTTGCTCTGATTGGATATTTTTTGGATCCACAAGTGGTTCTTGATTCTGTTTCCGTAAAGAACTCTTAAAGAAGCCATAAATTATTGGTTGTACATTCAATATGATAGCCACAATATACATGTCACCAAACATATGCCCGAACTGACACATAAGTGGTCTTTGGACGGAAACTGCACTTGGTATGAGGGTTGACAAGCTGGTTATTAATGGAAGGATATATTCGTTGTCCCGAGGGGAGAGATCGATCGATGTCAAAAATCAGAGGCCGTTGCTAACCCGGGCGCAGACTCAAAGCACAATTTGAGTTCGCGCCGAAGTCTTCATATAGGCTATCCTTATTTCAGATAGGTTCTCCTTCTTTTTCTTTTCCTTTTTTTTGGAAAAAAAAGTAGATTAAGGATAAAGAACATGCATGACACTTCGACCGTTTGGACTAGGCCTCTTACAGCTTGGTCGTGCGGGATTTACTTAAGGGCAGACGCGTCATTGTGAAATATTCTAATGAAATGAGGTCTTGCGGACATCTTCAGTCAATGCGTTATTCCCATGGGTTTCATTGTTCCCGAGCGGCCTAAAATAAGGTCACGTCCTTGACTCACGTTTTCAGGTAGCCAGACGCGAGACACTCGGTTCGTTTCAAGGGTTGCCACAACCTGTGACTTCTCTGGCCTTTTTAGCTTTCGATCAATCTGGCCTTTTTTCAATACAGTAGCGAATTGTCTTGTCTTTATCTGACTACTTATGGTATAGATTTCCCGGAGATACTCGGTTAGTAAAACATCTAGGCAAATTAAACTGAAACGCTTTGCTTGTCTGAATTTCTTAAATTTGAATAGAGGATCTATACATAGAGTTCTATCAAAAAGAGATGTGAATTAGAAGCAGTTAGATATAGCTCTACGTCATTTTAAATAGCAGGGATTGATATGAGGTGAGATAAATCTAGATCGTTTGACATCTACGTTGAAGGCAAGTACAGTCTATGCGTTTTCGGTAATAATTTGAAAAAAAGATCCCCTAAATGCAGTAAAGAGAGGAAGGTAACTAGAAGCGGAAGGAACGTCAATCCACAACCTGCCGATGTTCCCCACCTGTTCCTTAACTATATGTCGACCGCAGACCTTTTCTTGTAGTTACCCGCGGAAGCCTCAGCAGTATTTGTTCCTTCTTATTGACCTGAATGGTAGTCATATGCATCTATCATGTGAACGTAATCCATCTCTACTAATCTGCATTTTTAGTGCTATAAAGATCGTTCTGGGAATCATTTCAATGATCCCATCTAATCGTAGAAAGACGACCACGACGATGGTTTTTTTTTTTTTTTTTTTTTTTTGCATAATTAGAAACCGGTTGCAAGACGTCTTATCATATGATGCAGCTAAACACGGACAATTCAAGGCCTATCGCTGGATTTATCTGGAGGCTTGCAGGGAGGAAGTGGGGCAGAGGGCCCAACCTAGATTGTTATGGAAGCTTGGCGGTACCTTTGAACCATTTGTCACCGGTACGGTTCTGGTCTCGGCCCTCGGGAGCTTTTGATTCCAAATTAAATGAACTGGACTGTGAACCTTAAACTTAATTCGAATATACGACTGGGAGGATGTCGTGACCTGTGCCAAAAGTCAAATTGAACCGAGATATTGGCATTTCCAACCTAAAATCCATCCATCCCATAATATCCTGCACAGGATTGTTTAGATATTACAAGATTTGAGGCCTATCGCGGTCAAATACCAGCCTCATTACTTGGAGAATTTTATTCCAGTCCAGTATATACGTCATGGAAATAACTTACCAAGGTATGCAGTGGTCGATCCACGTTACAGAGGAAAATTTAGTCTACAGAAATGCATTCGTTTGCTGAGCACTAAGCAAAATACAGAGTTACAATTCTAAACGTACCATGCGATGCATCTCTAAGTGGCAAATTTCACTTACTAGATTGTTAGATAACAAGTTGAATATTTTTAAGGTTACGCTGTCTATAAATACTCCCCAAGTGATCCTTCAACTACCTTTTCTCCTGGTCACTATCACACTTATTGTATCTCACACCACCTACGATATCTATAAGCCGACTACACATGATTGCTATCTACAGTTTCTTATCAATCGTACCAAGATAATAGGTCCCATAATGAGTACTCAACAGAACATCGTGCCAGGGCAATGGATCGTCAGTGTCAAGCCCTACATGACCCCCGAATTGCTGCAAAACGAGCATCTCTCCGCACTAGAGGACATGACGGTCGATCCTAGTACCCCATTCAAGATGGAAGTCCTCCAGAAGTTTGACCTTCCCGAATTAAAAGGTTACTCAGCTAAGTTCAATGATGCAACTAAAACTGAGCTGGAGAAGATGTCTCATGTGAGCGAACAAGCCACCGATTGATTTTCTAACCTTTAGCTTTACTAGTAAATGTTGCTTACCCCGTCCCCACCTTTCAGGTCCTTGATATTGAGCCAGAGCAGCTGTATGACCACTGCGCCGTTCAGGCTGACGCCCCATGGGGGCTGGGCCGTATCTCAACACGTGCTAGACTCGGCCCTCCCCCCTTCCGCTACCAGTACAGGGAGGATGCGGCTGGCGCCAATACATTCGTGTATGTCATAGATACTGGCATAAACGACCAGCACGTAGAATTCGAGAGGCGGGCCAGTAAGGGACGCAAGTTCGTATCTGACGCTCCGTCAAGCGACGAGGATATTCATGGCCATGGCACTCATTGCGCAGGTACAATTGCCAGCCGGGCATACGGCGTTGCCAAGAAGGCAAACGTCATAGGCGTCAAGGTATTCAGCGACGTAACAGGATATGCGCAGACCAGCGACATCATCAGCGCCCTTGACTGGGTAGTTAGTGATGTCAATGAGCGCGGCATCAACGGTCACGCTGTGATTAACATGAGTCTCGGAGGCGGGTCAAGTGTGGCTCTGGATAATGCTGTTGCGTCTGCTGTCCGTCACGGGGCTGTGGTCTGCGTTGCTGCTGGCAATGAAGGTCTGGTAAGTTGAAGGTAAATGGCAAGGATGATTTATCACTGACCTGACCGTAGGATGCTCAGCAGGGGTCCCCTGCTCGTGAGCCGCTCGCCATAACTGTCGGCGCAACAGATGTTGGAGATACACTTCCGCGTTGGTCCGGCTATGGAAAGAGTATGTTAATGATTTTCCAGAAGTCAATTTTACCTTTGAGTCTATTTGCTAATGGGTGATATAGTCGTTGATATTCTTGCTCCTGGTGTCGATGTTCTGTCCTGCTGGGTAGGTAGCCAAACAGCAACCAAGCGTATCAGTGGGACATCTATGGGTAAATATATAGCCAGTCTTGAAAACAGTCTTTATTTGCTAACTAATTTTATGAGCCACACCTCACGTGTCGGGTGTGGCCAGCTGCCTCCTCAGCGATGCTTCTTGGACTGAGCGAAATCCATCCGAGATAATGCCCAAGATCCTTATTCTCGCTGACAAGAACAAGGTCAACGGGATTACTCCCCCCAGGGAGAGGACAATTGACGCGTTGCTGCAAAATAGCACTGGTCCTACTGATTAGTTGGTTGAGAAGCCTGTGTTAAGGTATCTCTGATTTCAGAACAAACTTTACTGGTGGATTCAATTTCTTATCTGGAAGTTATTACTTGTGACGCGATTACTTTCTGTACGCTCTATCTTGTCTTTCTCTGTTAGCTCAGAGCATCAGTTGAAGAAAAGTGTCGTTCCGTTCCCGCACCAAATAGTATGGATTAATTGCGGTGCCACCGTTGAATAGGCTGTCTTGTTCGTAAAAAAAGAGACCATAGGCAACCGTAGATTCTAATTAAGCAATCAATCTGATGATATTAACCAGAGCTTTCGCAATCAGTCGCGGCAAAGCTGGGGGGGAGTCTAAACAAGAAATCAGATATGCATTGCTCTTGCTGCTCTCAGTCAATATTCAATAAGTGGATTGGGAGTGATGGTGTTCGAATATGTAGGTACTAGGTGGGCATTTCATGTTCCCGGGACTAGGGTTACCCCCGGAATGTGCTGATACTCGGTGGTTGTAACACCAAGATTGTAAAAATAGCCAATATACTCCGTACCAAAGAAAACACAAACAATGTAGGTCCCTGCGTACCAATCGCTTGCTAGTGGGAGATACCCATTCCAATCCATGCGCTGATAAGATCGTTCGGCACATTTCTTTGGTTGCTCGATCAATCGAGCGCGCCAAACATCAAATTTGGAACGTTATCGCCAAACATCAACGTTGAAATATAAGGAAAGCTGACACTACCAGTAACGCACACAGCAAGGCGTGATATGAACTCATCACTATCATACCTTTGAATGGGAATATCGACTGGTAGGCGATCATCGAGAGCTGCATTTTTGGAAGTAAATTCAATTCCCTGCGCATCCATTCTGGCCCAAAAGGTTTGGTACCATTCTGAACATAGTTTTCCACGAATACTGCGCTGTGCCTGATGTAACATTCTCTCGTGATCTCGTAAAGAGATTGGCCACCGTGCACCGTGGCTAAGCAGAAGTTCGACCCAGGTGATGGGACGCTCTAATGCACAGGAAATTAAGGCACCAGGAGGTATGGCCGCTTTGTGCTCCAGAAGAAGACTCAGGATCGATAGAAGTTTGCCATCATCAATAGCCGGGTGGTACAGGACTTGGATCAAATTTTCAACGGTGTTACGCGACTGGGAAGCTCCCCCACGGCGCACTCTCACCTCTGGCCAGAATTTGTCGAGACTAAGAGAAGAGAGTGTCCACAACTCATTGGGGTCACATCCCAGCTCGAGAACATTCTTCACCATGCGTGGTCGATCATCCCTTTCATTGGACAGGCGAGCGCCAAGTGCTGCTATTGGTAGGAGCTTGTGGGGAACCGCTTTCGCATCTTTTTTTAAATTCTCCATTTCACCCGAGGAGAAGCCCTCGAGCCTGTTGTGCAGATTTCCAATAACTGCCACATACAGGGCAGTCGCAAAAGAATTTTCTTGTCTTATTTCCTCTTTATATGGAAATGTCTCTGTCAACCAAAACTGGGCATTTTCTTGGCTCCACCATAGGTGCGCAGGAAGATAGCCGCGTTCGGACTTGCCCTTGTCGATTTCAGTATCAACCAGAGCGGCGTATCGCATAAAGTCGTCCCGTATTGCCAGAACTTCGGGAAAAAGTGATTTAATCTTCTGACAGAACAACAGAATGTGGGCGTTTCCCGTCATGGCTAAAAGTTGGTCCACTCGATCAACCTTTGAATCAAGCACTGCTTCTATCGCGTGTCTCCGGCCTTCGGCGTAGTTCAACCCAGTGAATTCCGTTAAAAGGTGGTCACGGACTGTTTGATGAATGAACTGGACAATTGTCTCCCCAGGCTTAGAGCGTGAGGTCGGGGCTTTGGGAGATGACGTATCTTGCGGTACCTGCTCTGCCACAGAGGATACGCATTCAAGTAGACCTCCTGTTCGGCTAGTGAGCCAAGCTGAAAGGCTTTTCAATGGCATATTCTCTTCGTGTCTTTCATAAATGGCAGAGACGGCGATGGCTCTGAAAACCCTGATAGGTATAGGCGACAAAGCACATAAGGCAACTCTTAGCATAATGTGCGCTTCTAAGACATACTTTGGCTCAATTTTCTGCAAGGTGCGTGCGTACAATTCGCCAAGCTCCTGGGGCATGCTGTGAATAATCTCCTCGAGGGCAAAAAACGGGGTTCCGTTAGCAATGCCTGCGCTAATCTCATCAACGACGATGCGAACCCAGATAAAAACGCCCAAAGCCTTTTCGATAATGCTTTTGACAAGTGACTGGACATGACCATCCGTCCCAGTATCCATGGATGAGTTTGGAAGATCTTCTGCAAATAAAACATTTCCGGGAATTTTTCCGGCAGTCTGCAGCAACTCCTTGGTGTAATTTTCAATATCTGCTTGGGTGTGATCATGAATGGCAAACTGGGGACACTCTACCAGGCGATTCTTGAATAGAGGCCAAGGTCGGCTTGCCAAACAGACTTTGATGCGAACTTTGTGACTCGATTTCACACCGTTACTAGGGCTTCTGGTGACATCTGCGAGAAGGGATAGGAGGCGCTCATTGTCTCCAACATGTTCGTCTAGAGCGTCTATGAACAAGCACGTTTGAAGCGGCATAGATGTCGATACGGAATCAGCAGGATTGAAGAATTTTCGAAAGCAGATCTCCAGAAGAGACTCATCCCAGCTAGGGGTGCGGACTCTTTGCTCCTTCACAAGGCCTCTGTACTCTGCTTGAATGCTCTGGAAAAGGTGTGGGTAAGTGCGCAATAACTGAAAAACTAATTCTTGGAGCATCCCACGCAGGCTCTTCTGAATGTCGGAGCCGCGGTCGTGGAAAAAGAACGCAATGCATGTCCATTGAATGAAAGGGTCCGAATTTTGTTGAAGATAACTGCGCGTGCGTGGATCCTGCATCGCGAAGCGCATTAATGTGGATTTCCCAGAACCTGGCTTGCCCGATATCCAAAAAATAGGGGTTTCACGGCTGTCTGTCTGCAGCCAATGTCGAAATTGTACAGTCTCAGGTTCATACAGCCATTCGAATGTATGGTCATGTCTAACCTTTACCTGCTCGATTCTCATCCTAGCCGCTTGGTTATCCAGGCTGGAGAGGCAGTCTAGGTATTGATTAGCTCAGGGTGTCCAATGAATAGGCGGTATACATCAGGAAGCCAGAAAAGATATTGATCTACCTTGATAATCTTCAGAAGCGTCGACTGTATAGTGATCCATTTAGCTAATTTGGTTCCGTGGGATAGGAAGGCCATCATACCAACAGAAGATAGCTCAATCTCTCTAACCCATCGCTTGAGAAGTCCAGTTACCCTCTTAAAACCTGGCTCGGATTCTGAGGCAAATTTGGCCATCTCGCTGTGGTTCTCTGCAATGGTACGAGTCTCTTCTTCGACATACCCAATAGTAGCCGAATCAGGAGGAACGATAAGCATGCCTATCAGTCCCAACTTTCGTACTTCCTTCTCTTCGACGAAGGAGCATATTCGAAGGTCTTTTCTCTTCTTCAGAGTTTTATAGAAGCTGTCCGAAATACGTTCCAGGGACTCTGAATTCCTTTCTAGCGCGCGAATCAATTTTGTATTGGCACGCTGACCACCCAAGATTTCTGTGAGACGAAAGGCCCATCGACCCATCGATGCGCTTTTGGAGCCTCTATGGGGTGTCCCTAGAAAGCAGATGCCACAGGTTGCCGGTAGAATATCCTTGGATCGCTTTGTAACAGCCTCCGCGGATTTGTTGAGTGCGTCTTTTACGACTAGTCCTCCGAGGCTATGCGCTACAAAGATGAAAGGCCCCAGGCCTTCCACGCTGTCTCGTAGATCGGCAAGATCATTCAGGAGGTTCAAGCCGTGCCAGTGTAAGCTGTTCTGCCCAGCCGAGGACATGAATTTCTCAATATCGGCATCATAACCCCAGCTATAGATTGAAATATTTGAGATCAGCCTTGGAAGTAGATCCTTTGGCCAAAAGACCGCAGATGGCGGCCGTCCCTTAGTCCATGTTTTCTGTGGATGCCCAAAGAGTCCATGAACAAATATGAGAGTGGCCGCCGGTGTACAATCTTTGGGTATATGGACTTCATTTAGCCCGGTTCGGAACTCCATACTCTCCTGCAACTCCAGCCGCAGGAGCGAGGATGCGGGCCGTTCTGCTGTTTCCTATGTAGTCATATGTGGTGGCGGGGGGGAAGTCAATGCCAGAAGGTGAGGAGAAGAACTCAGGGGCCAAAAGTGGGGGAAAGCACGGGCCTACTCTCCTATTCCCCCAAAAAAGGCGGTGAATATGGCAATGCACAGCCTCCTGTCTTCAGCGATGCTGACACATATTTCTAGGAGTCGTCTGAGCGGCGAATGTTATGGTACACATACTACCCGTGGCAAATGACCATCCAGCCGCTACCGTTTTTGGTGGCAGTGCGGCCAGAAAAGATAGTCGCAGTGTGTACTGCTCAACGAAGTCTCGAGAATGACTGTAAAGCACGCGGTTGGGTAACTATTGGAAGACGTTGTGATTGATAGAAACTGTTGTACCGAGCGGGAGCTAACCCCGGACCGATGGCGGACCCACCCGCGGGAGGGCCCGAACCAAATACTCAACGAGGGGCAGCGCTTTTCACACTCGAGAACATCGAACCGTCGATTGTGCCTCGCGAAGAAAGATTCCCTCGCCGTGCCGTGAAAATGAAGTCAGCACTGTTGCAGGCTCGAATTCCGAGTTTGCAAGCACCGAAGACAGCAATGGGCGGGTGACGACTTGGGAGTTGCGGCAGCTCATCACCATGGTCGAGTCCACTAAGGGGGAGCTCCTGGAAGTCAGACACGACAAGAATGTCCTCCAGGATCAGGGCAAAAAGCCCTATGATGAAGTCGAGGCTCCGTGAGAACGAGTCGAAACCCTCACACAGGCTACTAGACCTCGACATGGTCCAGTTCCGTTTCCATGGTTCTAGAACCGGACCACTAAAAGAATCGTTAAGAGGTATAAAAGTAGATTCAACACGATTCATAAGCTGAATATTCCCTTCAGTAAAGATCTTGTCGGACGCAGGTGGATATAGGTGGAGGAAGTTTTGTATTAGGAATACCATGTATAGCTAAGGAAATTCGACGGATTTACTAGGCGATTGGCGCAACGGAAACAAAATGGGAAAATACAAAGAGATAAGTCGCACGATATAACGAGGCAGATCATGACATCTTGACGACATTTGGTTTATGGGCTCGCCACTTTAGTATTGGTTGAATACTTGAGACGCTTCACTATTGTTCACGTTGTTTCTCTGCCCTTGTTACAGTCCTGTATCTTGACCGATCGATCCTAGTATCTCAATATTTTACGGTGGTTTCCTATGCTTTCACTCAGTAATGTTGAACGCAATTATCGAACTACCTTTATTAGTCTTTAGGCAATTGCTGTTCAGTCTAACCAATGGTCATGCGTGGAGGAAAAGGCTAACGGAGACATCATGGCACACCAGTCTCACGTACAAAGTGCTAGTTGTAGGAATGGAATGCATCATTATAATACGTTATGCGATGGCACAATACCGAGATTCACTTCTTTTGATGCTTAATGGGCGGAGAATCCTATGAAGTACTCCCTGCGTCACAATGAATTGAAGTACAAATCCTATGAAGTACTCCATTCTGTCCGCAGAATATTCTGTTCTCCCTTCCTGCTAAGGCTCCTACTAAGACTCGTCGATTCATCCCTTCTACCTCACAGAATTTACCCTGACCATCAAGCACCACGCCAGAATTATCGACATTTGTGAGAACGTCTGGATTCTCAGGAATTAACTACGTACTTTAGCCAAAGGCGATCTTGAAGTCACCCTCGCCGTTCATTTAGCTAATCCTGGGTTAGAACTCAATAGATCTGCCAGTGCTATAGAACACTCCTTCAGCCTAATTAAGGTGAAATAACGAAGCTCCATCTAAGCCCAGGTAAAAGAGGGTTCGTGCGGTGGTCGCGACACGGAGAGTGAGTCTCACGCGCTCTCACCCGGCTTGTCATCTTGTCTATTGCGCACTCACCCCACTCACCCCTAGTAGGGTGACGCTTATTGTAATTCATTATATTCAAATTCTTTTAATCGGTAAGTACTTAACTCAATTCGTCAATATATCTAGCACATACGACCATAGGGTGTGGAGAACAGGGCTTCCCGTCCGCTCAGCCGTACTTAAGCCACATATAGTATGCGGTTAATTCTAAAAGCGCCTTAAGCTTTAAAATAGCGTCCGATTTTATCCTAGGGTGAGTGTGGGTGATTTAGGTGAGAAGTCTGGAGACTAGGGTGATAGAGGTAAGAACGGGGTGAGAGCGGGTGAGAATTCTCACCTAGGATCACCTATATACCCTCTTTAACTTAAGACTAGCCTATAAATATAAGTACTAGGTAGCTTTCTGGCCTTTTGTTCTTATTTCTCAGACTTCAGCCATTTTAAAGAAGATACTCCTTAAAGACTTCCAAAAGGAACTTAAGGAAAGAACTACACGTACTGCGTCACGTGGCTTTACCCTTAGGTATTGAAACAAACGAGAATAAGAAAACAACACTATCTAGCTTAGATAGCTCGCTCTAGCTACTCTTAAGAAGTATAATAACACAGAAAAGAATTAGGCATTATAAGTATATGTTGGAAATGAGATGGTTGGTTTCTCGGCTGAGAAAAGGTTCTTCTGCAGAAGAAAGGTCTTATGCATATACACAAAGAAAAGGCCTGCAGAAGATGAGATTGAAGAGAGAAGGTTCATGAGAAGGCACGTAGTCAGCTTAATTAACAAAGAAGAAGAGTTATGTCAAGTATGCTCGAGAGCAGTTCTCATGTCATGAAGAGATGTCAAACTTGATTCAATTTGGTTAGAAAACATGGTAGTACTTATATCGCGGGGTACACGGCAGAATGACAAATAAAATAGAAGGAACATCCTTGGAGTGTTAAGTAGTCTCCTGCCTAGGTAGGCGATTGTATGTATGTGTATGTGAGATCGTTGAAGATCTATCTGATAGATCTCGTCGTCCGACGACGAGGTTGAGTCATCCAATGAGGGGTAAGAAAAGTGGGTCCATCACATCTTGACCGCACAAAGCTATATGTTCGCATATGCAATTTAGATGCATTAACCACACATGCTGACACACCCCCTCAGCTCTTGGTGAGTATCGAAGTGAAAGAAATAAAGATCGAAAGTAAAAGCTGACAGAAAGAACAGAAAGGGTAGGAGAATAGGCCTAACATGATGGGGATAGCTCCATGCCTAACTGTTTAATAAAGGTGACATGCTTATCAGCTAGCAGACGTTCGTTAAACCGTCAGCTAGCATGTCAGTTGTCTTTACCCATTCAATGAGTAGGCGTTTAGCCCGAACTTCTTGCCGAATCCACAATTGGTTGATATCCACATAACGAAGTTTAGTCTAGAATACTGATTTCTCACGCTTTAGTAGGTCAACGATTTGTTTATTATCGCAACTCAGTGTCTCGGTTTGGTCTGTTTTGAATTGGATGAAGGAGAAAAGGCGCTTAATCCAGTATAGCTATTTAGCCGCGTAGCTAATAGCTAACAATTCAGCTTCCGTGGTGGATGTTGTGATAGTCTTCTATTTGCGAGATTTCCACTCGATTAGGCCACTAAATAGGCAGAAGATAAAGCCTTTAGAGCTTTTCCGATCATGGTTATCGGCAAAACTCGCGTCTGATGCGGCTGTGAGGATCTGGCTACTTAATTGGCTGCCACCAAAATAGATAGCTAGCTTTGCCGCCACGCGAATAGATTGGATATTGCCCTTTTCTAGGTCAGAAATGGCTAGTAGGATCTTGCCCTCTTGGTTGGCTACTTTCTGCCGAGATATAGGTCGAATTAGTGGTATGGTAGGTGGTTGAAGTTAGTAGGTAGCTAGAAATACGCGATTCTCGATGGGGTGACCCGATCGGCCAGGTGACCCGATCGGCTAGGAAATATGTTATATTCCTAAATGACATCATCACTACAATCACTAAAAACTCGTCTAATAACTAGCGAGAATTTAGAAATTTTCTCTCTCTGTGTTTTAAGTGAGTCTTCAAAATGGAATCCGGCCTGGATCTCATGGCATTTAGTACCAGATATACCCGAGAGACGAAACGTGCAGATATTCGGGAGTCAGCTCATTGGAGTCGAACTCTCATATCAATCGCCGTTACATTTGTGGCGATGGCGACAATTTCATTCCTTCTCCGACTTTGGAGCCGACAAAAGACAAAATGGAAGCTGGCCCTTGAGGATGTCTTGATGGGCGTGGGTTTAGTTTTCTCGTATCTGCTCAGTGCATGCGTTATCATTGGTAACTTCACCCTCGGTTCGCTTTAGTAACAGGATTCTCGATCTGTTGACTCTTCGACTATGATAAGCCGCCTGCAATGGCGTAGGCTATAACATCTGGGCATTACCACGACAAACTCAGGGACGAGTTGGACTTGTACGGCTCCGTTTCTCTAAGAAGGTTAGACACGCAATCGCTAAAGCCTTCATTAGGTATTCTGGCTTGGCCAAAAGTTTTGGGTTCTATCCCATGTCTTCGTCAAACTATCAATCATATTACTGATACGTCGACTGTTGTATATTGCTGGAAATTGGCAGAAGGTGACTTCTGGTCTAATACTTTTCACAATAGCATGGGGCATCACAACTATTGTTGGTAACGCCTTGCAATGCTTGCCCCCTCGCTATTTCTGGGAGAGAAATATCGACGGCCATTGCCCAGATAACCAAGAGGCTTTTGCGATTACAATGGGCTCCATGGCCCTAGCAGAGGATGTATTTCTTCTGGTCATACCCATAATGGTGGTGTGGCAGTTGAAATTGGTGCGTACAGAGAAGATTCGAATCACAATCCTGTTCATGTTTGGAGGCGTGTACGTTCTGTCAATCATGGAAGTCTCACTATACTTGGCTAATGTGTAATAGAGTTTGCATCTTCGGTATCCTGCGCGTCATCGAGTTAATTCACTATCAGGCGGAAAATTTGACGGGTAGGTCATGTACAACTCTTAAAGTGTATGACTGCTAATGAGTGCCATAGCCAGCGGTGCTTTCGAGGTTACTTGGGCGGTTATTGAGATCAACCTAGGTATCGTGTGTGGGTGTGTGGTCTTGATGAGGCCGTTATTACACTCCTTTGTTACCTTTCTCAAACGATATTTGAGTCGTGGTAAGGAGCCTTTGAATTCAGATTGTTGAAAATCTGGAATAAATTGTCTCCCTACGGAGGAAGGAATATGCCTGATGGCAGCCTGAAGGGTGCACAGATCGAAATAAGAGAGGAGTAACACATCAAGCTCCTAGCATCAAGACGCGCAACTTGGGAATGGGAATTGCTTTTAAAGCAATGGAAGTGGCTTTCCTGCATACATAGATATCCCAGTCAGCTCTGTTGGTCCGTAGTATCGATTATTCTCCGCTCGTAGTGACGCTTCGTTCACATAAATTCCTGATTGATGCACGCTTTTGACACAACGAAACTGCGAAGGCCAGTTGCCGCCGTACAGCGAGATCTAAGAATCCCTTTGAGGGGCACAAGGAAATATTAATTCCATCGTCGTAGGTCAGTTTGGTAAATATTATCGTCCCTCGTCAGGATTTTGATCAGAATTTCAATATTGTGTTCCTTTGACCATTTCCAATTAGCCATCTGTTCGAGAAGAATTAGCATAGCAGTAATTCCTTTTGGCACGCTTCCCATAATGCCAAAGGCTTCGAGCCAGTGAAGATATTCCTACCGTAGAAACCTATCCACATCTTCAGACATTCGAACCTAATCAATCACTCGACCGTATAAAGCATCCAGTCCACGAGGGAACTCCTTAAGCTTTTTAAGGACATGCCTCCGCGATGTCCTGTTAAGATTTTGACAAACTAGAGCGACACGGTAAACAGCGTCGCGAAGTTCATCTTTATACTTTTTTACACCCTAAATGCAAGGGGTCGGTATACCCAGCACGTGACCCTAAGGATATACTCCTGGCGTGACTCCAAGGAGTAGGCGCGGGAGTATACGGCGACTCTGGGAGCTACCCCCTGGGGTAGGCTCAGGAGGAGGAAGGACTGGATATATAAGGACACTCTTTTACCATCATGTATTTAGTTCTTCGCGATCAATTACTCAGTTTACTAGGACTCTATTATCCATTGAGACCAACTGGAAACCCTCAAAAGTCACGTTTTGGTTTACCATCCTGGCATCCCCTATTGATGTTGCGTATAATATTTCGCCGCGCTTCGCAACAAATAAAATCCTAGGTGAACTTAGCTACTATAGCATACCTAAGCTTAAGTATCTAGGATGAGGACGTCCCGGAGTAACTAAGATCCACATCCACTCTTCCACCACCATGTAGAATTTGTCCGCGAGGCGACAATAGCCGATGCTGTTAGCAATCTTCGCTCGGTTTCCCGCTTACTTGAGTTTTACCAGATCGTCCGGTTTCCAAGTCTGGTCGAAGAACTCCAAGCCAGAACCGTAAAGACGAAGGGCGGCCAGAAAGTTACGGCCGTGAACTGTCTGTATCCAGTTGGTGTCCGCTGCCTCTGCAGGTTGGCTCGGTCCAAAATACAGATCTACCGATCCATCGTCGTTGGTCTTCACCTTGCTCATCCCGTTGATTGAGGGCATAAGCTGCTTAGCTGCCGTCATCGTCCCGTCAGTGATGTTGTACGCCGTGACTGCCCAGAACAGAGCTGCAGGGGGATGCGGTGGGAGGTGAAGCTTGTAAGACATTGAGCCGTCGAGAAATTCGCCGTCGGCGTCACGCGTCGCAAAGGGATATTTCGAACCCGCATCGATGGTGCGCATCACCATTGCCGGAGACGAAGAATACGCGACCTGGAAATAGGACGCTCTTTGGACGACGTCGAGGTAGCTGTCCTGCATCCATTCCGCCGTGGCGCCAGCCCAGGTGTTCTGATATTGGCGATCCTTGAAATAGAATTCGCGCCTATCTGGTCGTCCGAGTTGGCGGCCCGCCAGAATCATTTTCGGTGCAGTCTCGACGGCTCTTTGCAGAGCTGCATTCTGCTTATCGTTTGGTTCGAACGGGGAGCCTTTGATAATGCCCACCGAGGCCATAATGCCGCGCGTAACAGGATCGATGGAATCCACTGGCTCATAGTCGACAAAAGCCTTGAGTTTCGTCCAATAAGAGCTGTCTGTTGGGTACATCATGTTTACTTGTTTCCCGCTGCCGTTCGGAAATTCCATCGGCTTCACGTCCTTTTCAGGCGCCCATAGCGGATAGATGCGGGTCTGCTCGGCATTTGCGACAGCTGGAGCCGGCTCGGGTCCATTATCGCCCTGGGGCATGATGGTACGGAAGAACAGGAACACGTTGTTTGTGGATGACTGGAAAGCAAAGTAACCTTTCGGTACTCCTTGCTCGTAGTCTGGTGGTAGAAGCAGGTAGAGCCCGCCTTTCGCGCCGTCCGGGCCGATCGCCCCCACATCGGTGATCGTACGCTGGTAGAAGTCCGTGAACATGCCGATAACATTTGGCGGCGCAGCCACGACGAGAGGGCCGTCCTTCTTCAGATCAAGGTAGCTCATGGAGTAGATGACATCAGCATTAGGCGTAGGAACCCAGGCGCGACTATCCATGCGATCTTTCCAGATCGGAAGGATATTATACCCGCTTCCGAACGCATCTTCCGACCCATCGCGAAGGCCAATGGTATTAAGGATAGGAATTGTCAGGACGTAGGTCTGTACGGCATTTTGATAGTAGAACTCGTCACGAAGCGATTCTGCCTCCTGCTGCGGCATCCAATTGCTATTGTTGATCTGCTCCATCAGTGGCGAAATTGACCCCATCATATTATGCATGGATCGAGGAAGCACTTGGGGTCAAAGACACTTAGGAAAACTTAGGGTCAGGTAGTAATAAGGAGGAGACGGAAGAGATGGAAGAACTGACGATTTCGAATAAGCATTCTAGCAAGATATGCTTTCGCCTGAAGAGCTCATCAGGGAATCTTGTAGCCGGTCGCAGGGCAAACAAATCACGGAAAGGTCAAGATGGCTCATGGATGAAAGCGGAATAAAGGGCTGAATGCGCTCTCCGTAACGAGACTATCCAATCATGTGCCGTAAAGTTGCTTAAGATACGTCAGAGGCAGAAGCGGAACAGGGCTTTCTGCTTAAGTTAGATTAGGGGTGGCAACGGGCAAAGTATTGTTTGTTGTATGTTTTTTTTGTTTTTAATTATTTTTTGAAAACGTCGTGGTTGGCCTTGCCGCTTCACTCTTTTAGCCTCTTCACCGGAACGCCCTGAATAACCCTGAAGCGCTGACGGGGCTCTTCCGCTTAACTTTGCCTCCCTCCTAACCTCCTTCCTGTCCTTGTCCTAGCCCCTATTTGCTTTGTTGTGCTGGCCTGAATTGCTCCTGATTAAAGCTGATCACGGAAAATAGATTTACCGTGGCCATTATAGCCGTCTAGTCTGATCTTGGCTATGCCTTCTTTAAAGACGCAGTGAAGATTCTGACCGAAGAAGAGGCGCATAAACAAATGACTCGCTCTGATAGAAATAACCACGGTTACAGAGCTCTCGCGTGGCGGCCGAACGCATTGTGTATTTCATCACTTAAAATTGGGTGAACTTACGACCTTTTTTATTCTTCCGGACGGACCACAACTTTGAAGGACCTGAAACTCTATGTGGACTATTATTTAACATTCTGGCAAGACTTGACGGGGCGGCAAGAGACAGAATGCTTTTATTAAACGGTCTCGCAGGACCTGTTCCCAGTGTAGCCGCGGTATGTGGAGACCAGAAGGAAGATTAATATTCCGCATTATTTTCAGATTTCTAGCTGGCTGGCCCCCAAATTGCCAGATATGGGCTGCCTTTAAATTCAAGACCATTGCGATTCCTATTGGTGCACAACGTGCCCACTTTACTAGATATTCCGACTGATCAACTATACTACGTGATACGAACAAGGGTCCCGTAGGCTGCGAGATCCCGCGAGGTCCTTCCGAGCAGCTCTCTCATATATGGTTCGTACTAGGCCCTAGAGCCCGCCCCATTACCTAGAAGCGAAGCTGATGTGGGGCTTCATTTCACTTTTACTGGCAACTCGTCACTTCATTGGTGGTGTGTCACTGGATGTGAAGTAGCGCCGAATGTCCCTTAGCATTATCTTGACTCACACGGAAATCATGACTTCCTCCGCCTTGCCTGAAACCCTTGCTTGACCTGTGTGGTATACCAATCAATCCGACATGGTGTGCTTGCTGCGATGGGCTCTCTGCGGGGGATTCGTTATATCCCTTGTAGACGCAATCTTTGCAGCCCGCCCTCAGGCCATCGGCATTGATTTCGGGCCCGAGATGATGTGCGTGTCGAGAATCGCTTTGATGAAGAAACCCCCAACCCCCTCCACCCCTTAGTGTGACTATTGACCAGAATCCTAGAACTGTCGCACATGCGTATAGCAGTGATAATGTGACGTTGCCAGCCTGTATCAAACCTGAACTAGACGATCCCTTCAGCATCTATCTATTCCGGCTGCGACTAGAAAAATGGAGCGACGGCACGCTCGACGCGCTATATGGCCGGAAGAACGAAGGGACCTCCGGCATTTCCAATGCTGTGGTAATGCTGTTTGCAAGGCTCGTATCGTCCTTGACTTGTAGCCATGACACAGCGAACCTGTCTTGGGTACGGCAGTGCGTCTGCAGTGCTTGGCACAGCATCACGGCTCGGCTTCGCAGCGCCAAGAGGTTGGAACTAGGGGAGTTCACGTTGAATGATGTGAAGGATGCGTTTGTCGATATCCTCACGCGGTTGCAAGAAGAGGCACGCACCAAGCACAACATTGATATGCAATCGGCCGTCATCGCCCTCCCGGACTTTTTCAACCAAACCCTGGTGGATTTGTTCCTCGAAGCGAGCCGGAAGGTTGGCATCACGCCTTTGCTGGAGCCCGTGAGCCGGATGATCGTATCAACATATAGCAGCAATGGGACTCCACGAGAGGCGGACGGGAAATATCTCATTATGGACCTAGGACAATATTATCTGGACCTACGCAGTCTCAATGCGAGTCCCAGGCCAATGGCCCGAAATGGGCGCCTCCCCATGGACCCCTGGGGAAGTGCCAGTCTCGATCGGGATATAACTCGCTCGGCCGTTGAACGATCGGAAACCCTACAGACCTGGCTTTCGCTCGGTGGATCCAGGGCCGCGTTGCAGGAAGAAGTCCGGAAGGCGCGGGTGCTGATACGAGATAACTTTGATCGCGAATTGCTGGGGACCGAGGACCACCAGGACCATCACCATAAAGAGTACCCTCTGCAGCTGAAGGACCCCGACGCCACCGCTGTGCTGTCATGGGTTGATGTTGAAGCAGTAGAGATGAGATATATTCAAAGCATCGCGCAGAATATTCATAACTATCTAGTTGCCGCGAGTACGTTGCCAGTGGGCCATCTGGGTAAAACTTCTAGCTGACATTTGTGTAGACAATCCTACCGGAGATATTCGGGATGACATGATCCCTACCAAAATTGATAAAGCGTTTATTTTGACGAGTGGGCTTGACGGAGAATTAATCAAGCAGAGCCTTGAACATGCTCTTGGTGATGTTGAGATTATAGGAGGACGGCTACGAGACTGGTACCTGGCCGCAGAGGGCGCTGCTCAAGTTGGTTTATTATACCAGCAGGCATGGGACCAGAGGCAGCGGCTATTAAGGGAAAAAGACGAGTTATAGTACTATATGGAGTTGTTCTAGTGACGAAACTTAATTCATCCATCTGTCAAGGACAATTCGGAATTGGTTCGTCAGGTAATGACACATATCCCAATCCACAAAATCCACCCGACCCTGGCAGTAAGGCTCTAAGCACGACAGAGGGCCCAGGGTTGCTGACAACACCTCCGGGCAGAGTAAAGGTGACTCAAACTATCTTGAAGGGTACATTCAAAATCAAGGCGGTGACCTACAATGCCGCGAACGTCGCAGCTACCGGGGCTTTCAACCTCAGCAGCTCATCAACTTCGAATTCTGACACCGACGCTTCGGCAACGGACAGTTCAAGCAGCACGGGCACCACAAAGCCAGATTCCGCCTCGACTCGGAACATGTCTGGCATAATGATATTTTCACTGGCTCTCATGATCATGCTCATGATGTAAAGGGCGGTGAGATTGGGGGAAAATATCAGTCCAAGATGCTTTAAATGCTCTCCCACTAATCAGATCTTGCACCTGCATAATAGCGGTAATTCTATAACAAGCCTCACAGGACGCACCAACAGGACGCACCAATAAAGCACTACCACACTCTCATGTAATTAACCACGTCATACCAGGACATCCTACTATGCTTAGCTACAATATAAAATCAGATAAGGAGGCAGACAGACCATGTAGTTATAACCATGTAATGAGTACCGTAATTGACTTCCAGACTGTAGGCTCAATGGCCAGTTTCCTTATCAATACTGTGATTTGTACTAACCAAGCCCTTCGGTAATCTTCGGGGTCGCGCAGGAACGCAGTTATGCCAAAAATGGATTCTAACGGAAATAGTCACTAGCATGGTTTTGACGTGCAAGGTTATGGTCCCTCATCACTTTTTCAATTATTCTTGTATGTCTTTCCCCTCGTCATCACCTTATCTTCACATTTTATTGCCTGATATATTACTGTCCATATCACCAGTAACTCATGCTATCTGAAATGGCGCTGCCTCAAATACCCAGTGAAATAATACTGGATGTGGCAAAGTGTCTAGAATATGAGAGTGATATAAATGCTTTTGCCAGAGTGAATATCCGTCTCTACAACATTGTCAACTGCTACCTCTATAAGTATAATGTGGATCACCAGGGTAGTTCAGCACTTTCGTGGGCTGCAGTGCATGGACAACAGGCAACAGCCAGGAAATCGCTAGCAGAAGGAGCCAATGTCCAGGTTCAATGTCAGTCTGAGACCAATCTGACACCATTGCCGTTGGCAGCCTGGAATGGCCATGACGCAGTGATCCAGCTACTCCTTGCAACAGAGGGTATTGAGCCAGACTTCAGAAACCCTAACGGAGTGACTCCTCTAGCGTTTGCAGCATGGAACGGTCATGAGGCAGTGGTCAAACTACTCCTTGCGACCAGAGTCGAACCAGACAGCAAAACCTCTAGTGGAGATACTCCGCTACTATTGGCCGTATGGAACGGGCATGAGGCAGTGGCTAAGCTACTGCTCGTAGTAGACGGTGTTGACCCAGAGTCCAGAACCTCTAGGGGTGAGACTCCACTTCTATTAGCAGCATCGAATGGTCATGAGGCACTGGTCAAGCTACTCCTTGCAACAGATGGCGTCAACCCCAATGCTCAAACTCCTTCTGGAGACACTCCGCTGATACTAGCAGTGTAGAAGGGTCACGAGACAGTGGTCAAGCTTCTATTAGCAATGGAGGGTATCAATCTAAACGCCGAAAACTCTTCCGGGGGAACACCACTCTCATGGGCAGCCCGCCATGGACATGAGGAGGTGGTTAAGCTCCTCCTCGCGACAAACGGCGTTGACCTCAATACAAGGAATTCCGACGGCCGAACACCGCTCTCGTTAGCTGCAGAGAATGGGTATGAAACTGTGGTCAATTTGCTACTTGCGATGGAAGGTGTCGACACAGAGTTAGAGGACCTTTGCGGAGAAACGCCACTGCCATGGGCGACCAAACATGGGCATACAAGGGTTATTGAGAAGCTGCTCATCTCAGCTGATATAACAGGATGAATGTTAGTTAACTAACGTTATTCCCTCCCGTCCCGATCACCCAACCCTATTAAGAAGATTCAAAACTAATTATGTCCATCAAAATGCACTATGATTACTACTGCTGACAATTTTTACATCGATTTGGCTTATGACCAAGCTCCCAACACCCAATACACCTAGGTCTGGGCCTAGTACGTGGTGGAGTTGCCTAAATAGGCAATTCGCCCTGCTCATGCGATCCTACCCCATCACCTTCTGCTAGCTGATTTAGCTGTTCAGCTAGCTGTAGGCCGGGACATATGCCTAGCTGACCGACCGCGTTTCTCAACAGTCCTCTCGTTCTCCATACGTAGATTCGAGACCCCCTGCGCTAGTAATGCAGTGTTGTGTAGCGCTTCGCATGCTTCTGGACCAGAGCTTGATCCTTCAAACATCTGAAAGGTTTCGGATGAGCAATTGGAAAAAATACTGTGTGAATAATTATCCTACGCATACTTGCTATTAATTATTTCACATTCGATATTCAACAGTGTCGGAGTTGGGTGTCTTTAAGAACAGCCCCAGACAATACCCAGCTGAGTAATCAACCCATCAGTGTGCTCGCCGTAGAAGCCCTTCATGGACCAAATAGCTCTACCGGGCTTTGGTGCAGACTCTACCAGTGTAGAGTAATCACTCGAGGTCTTGTCCTCCTCGTTGCTCAAGAAGCGCACAGTTGCCACATCGAGCGGCCATCCAGGGAGCTGGCCGAGGTTATTTGCAGCAAGGATGAGTTCAACAGAGTCGATGAACGATGTTTGGGATTTCTCTTGTTTGTCACCGGTAGTTTTTGCGGCGACAAGCTTCGCCGTCACGATTTGTGAATCCACGTCACAGACCCAAGAAGCCTCCTCGTCTTTCTTGGGATAAGCGCCGTAGATCAGGCTCTTGCCGTTGGTGTAGAACACCTTCAGCCCACTGAGCCCGCTCTTTCCTTGCTCAGTGGTGGCAGTGGCGAAGCCAAGCTTTGCGATTGTGTAAGTGCTATCTATGTCGCTGAGAGCGTTGAAGATTTGACTTTTCTCAGAGCGGATGCCAGTGTGCACAAAGTGGCCCAACATGTATTTGCTCTTGTTCTTCAGACTGACCATGTGGCCCAGTAGATCCTTCTGCATAGCTTGGCTCATTCCGAGCAGGTTCCTGCATAGTGGTGGTGAAAGAGGCGAGTTTGGAACGGGGACGAAGCTGTCTTTACCCCATACAATGCCCAGACTGATCAAACGCTTCTTGTGAGCGAAACCAAAGAAGCCGCGCAAGCTCCATAGCTGGTCGTCATGACGGACATAGCGGATTGTCTGGAGGCTTGCCGCATCCGCTTCATTTCCGGTAAAGGTGTTCAGAGTGTTACAGGTACTTGTCCCAAGGCTAATTGCGGCAATGTACTTGTCACCAGATTCGTCGACGCCAGTCTTGATTTCAATTTCGACAACCACCTCCGAGCCATCGTGTTTGAGGTCGAGCTTATGGCTGGGTGCTACCTTCTCGTTGCATTCTCCGAAGCTGATCTTATCTCTGCTATAAGTCATCTGGATACCCTGCACAACATTGTCTGGTGCCCAAACGGCAATTGCCGTGGGGCGGAAGGTCGGGTCCAGTCTTTCCAGTGCATTGAACATGTCGGCATTTTCGTGAACTTGCTCAACCGCTCCAGCAGTGCCGTGCATGCGATAATCCTCTGCTTTAGCCGCGCACTTCCTGATGGAAGCTTGCAAGCGGTGATCCTGCTTGTCAATGGAGGCATTCAACTTATAGACGGGAAGGGCGGTGCTGGTGTCATGAGCAGGGGGGCTGTAACCCAGGATGATCGTCGCGCTGGGGTCTCTAACGCCGTAAATAGCATTCTCCGCAGATTGAGAACGAACAACCTAGATTACGAGGAAACTATGGTCAGATGGATTGCAAATGGACCACATTCGGCGGGCAGAGTTCTTACCGGAATGAGCTGCTTGAAGACCAATGGGTTCAGGAAGTATTCATCGCGGGTTGCGTCACTTGCAACCGAGGGATCCTCAGCCACGGCATCAACTTCATTGACGATCTTGGCCATTTCCATGCGGCACACCTTGCGAGCTTGAATCAGACCAGCAAATGATGCTGGGAAAACCGGGATTGACTTTTCAGCTTCCGATTCTTTTGGATCATTAGGAGATGCAGAAGCATCCGTCTCTTGGGTTGCGAGTGCAAGAGACGCGTTCGTGCTGCCTTTAAGAAGTTTCTGCGCCTTTCTTTTCGAAGAAAGCATTGGGGTCTTGACCTTGGCCAGTTCATAGACATCCTGAGACGGCTGAGCCATATCAATGGTGGCGCGGTTGTTCTCCAGCTCGTAAGATGCAAAGGAAATCTGCTTCCAGAGCGCCTTGTAGTCCATATAGTTATCAAGCAAGGAACCCGTGTAGACGCCCGCATTCTCATAGTCAAGAGGCGAGAAGCCGTGGACCTGCAGATGGAAACTCTCAAGGGCAGTGTATTTGGTCAAAATCGCGTAGGTTCGCTGAGGTGTGATGGCAACCAAATCAGGGAACGCCGCGGCGGCTTTCTTCAAGCTGGCAATGCTCCAATCCTCGGTGGGGTCCTTGATACGGCCACCTCCAGACCAGTTGACGGCAATGGTTGTCTCCGTGTCCGAGCTGATTTTATTCTTGGTCTGTTCGAACGATCCTTTGACGGCACCAGAGATACCAGGCGTGGTAAGCTCTGCTTCAAGAGAGGCCTTGATTTCGAAGACTTTGGACTTGTCGGCAATCTTCATTGAAATGATGGCATTCAGCTCACCACCCGATTCCCAACCGGAGATAAAAGAGTCCTGTACCCCGAGACCAGAAGGTCAGTGATGCTCCACCAGCATTTCAACAACTTCACAGGCGAACTCACTCCGTAAACCTCGTTGAACTTTTCAGTCGGGATGTGAGGGATTTTATTGAAAATGCAGTAATTGCCCGGTTCAACGACCTGGTTGGTCACTTTGACCTGCAGGTGGAAGTTGATGTCACTGGACTTGAACTTGTCACTGTCCACGTAGGAACCGTTGGCCTTGCCACCGATTGTAGCGGTCTTGATTGAGAGGGAACCGGAGATGTTCATGGCATCTTAAATCCCGAAAAGTTTCGTTAGCCCCTCCCACGTCAGGAAATCTCTTGTATTCGCGATGGCGACTGACCGGTCACATCACTCAGCTTGTCCACAAAACGTGAAGAGTATGTCACGATTTGAGGCTTGACCCAAGGAGGCACGGTCATCCCCGTCCCCGACTTGGGGTCCTGCTTGGGCCCGCTCAATGCCTCCCTTCGTGCCTTCCCAATGATATCAACATCGGTTCCGGGTGTACTGACGGCTGGGGCATCTTCAATCTGCTTGCTTTCCGGTGCAGCGCTGTCAGTGCCGGCCCCAGAGCTGGTAGGAGTACTGCTGGCAGAGCTTGTAGGAGTACTACTGCTGATCGGGCTGGCTTGAATCTCCGCAGCAGCTTTCCTCCTCAGTGCGTCGGATTGCTCTAGGGTAGGATCTGGAAGCACGGCTTGATCAAGACAGGTTTGCTGAGTATAGGAGTTGAAGCCTTGGCCCAGGCGCATGGAATTGTTGTATGGAGCCAACAGCTGCGCCATGGTGTCTGATAGAGAATATCACCTGCGAGGGCAATATCTGCTGGGTAATGGGTTCTGTCCAGAAGCGACCGACTCTGGGTCCTCACGGTGTCTTATGAGTTGCGAGCAAGCCAGGCTAGCTGAAGACTGTGCTCACGGCATCTCTCCACGAGGTGACTGCAGCCGATGCCCACAGCTCACTAGATGCGTACAAAAAGACGAGCGATTTCGCGACGATTCGCCCTAGTCAGAAACTCATTATCTTGCTCCCCCTGACTTGAACCGTCATGATCAACGACCCCACACTCCCAAGCCTGCAAGCCCAGACTGAAGCGGGGGTTGCGGTGGCACTGCCCTGGAGTCGCGAAGAAAAGTCATTGTTGACCGGGTTCGACTCGACCAAGATGAGAGACTATCCAGACGGGCCATGGATACCGACGGTGTCGCCCTTCAGCGCCCAGTCCATCGTCACGGCCACCATGGTTCCAGACCCCAGTGGGGGCGTCGGCGTTTACCGTGAAGGATTCTCCACTCGTTCGGAGTCTTCACATGAGCACCTGAGCGCCTCGCTGGGCATTACGGTCGGGTATTCCTTCCTGAATGCCAACGTGACTGGGGAATACGACAGCACGGTGGACAAGACCAGCAATGTAAGAAGTGCACCTGCAAGCGCTCGGGATGTCTCACTCCTACTACTCCTATTTCGTGTGCCATTCCCGAGACAGGTTTCCCAGCGAGGCTGACAGGTGGCGTTTAGGGCATTCAATCTTCACGCAACGCCTCCTTCCGGTTGGGTCGCGTGGCTCTCGACCGCCCCCCGGAGTTTTCCCGGGAAGCCGTCAGCATCTTGACGCAAGTTGATGGAGAATCCAGCTTCCGAGAGCGATATGGAGATTACTACGTGTATGGCTACGAGCTCGGCGCCGACGCAGGGGCCTGCATTTCTGCGGAGAGCTCGACCTATGACTCTGAGGAGACCCTTAAGATCACCGTCACCGTCAAGGTCTTATTTGCGTCCGTCTCCGCGTCTCACACGGAATCCTCCCAGAAGCACGAATCCTCGGCAAAGTTCACCTTCTCGGGATTCAGTACTCTCCACGGCGAGGTCGAGAGCTCTCCCGGGACCTCTGGCCCACCCTCAGTGGCGGATCTTCAAGCTCTCCAGAACCAGGCGAGCGCCCACATGGCCCGCGTCGCTCGGCTTGACCAAGAGCTGCAGGAACGCATGACTAGTCTCGGACTGACCGGGGGGGCCAAATTACCCTGGCATCTGTGTGGAGAGATTTGTCGCGCGGGTGTGGTCGTGCAGCTTCTGTTAGCTCCGTTCAGGACCCTGGTGGAGTACCAAGCCATCCGTGCGAAGCGAGATGCCGGCGCCATTACCGCGCCCGTGGCCATGGTTGATGTTCGGACCCTCCCGCTTTCCAACAAAATCAGGCGCAGCTGAACAAAAGTGTGGGGTTGAGGGAGTGTGGAGCAGGAGCAGGAGATCACTTGGGATCTATTTGCCGACCGCTACCAAAGCCCAATTTTCGATAACTTTAGCTCGTTCTGAGCACGATTCTCATGCTCGCTGTCATGTCCGTTACAATAGTAGAAAACGTTTAACTAGGACAGAAATGCGCCATCTAGATCCCCCGGGTTGATACCCGTTCTCTTCTGCTAAGTTCAGTCCTTGAAGACTATCTGCCACCATGTCGGATTTTTTGAACATCCCCACGTCTTCTCAATGGGTGACGTTCCCTACAACCTCGGGCGACAAGATATCAATCAACTGGGAGGATAATCTCCACAGTTATGTCAACACCTACTATGTGGCCAAGTGCTACTTTGGTATTCTAGACCCACCAGAGGGGTCCGTCGCGAACACCAAACTACAAGTCCCAACCCCCATCTATGTCAAGGATAATACGAAGCTCACCGTGCTGGGTAAGTACATTGATAATGCGATCCCCTTCAAATGTTGCAGGCTGCTTGCTTATCGCTGAAATCATGTATAGGTGAAACGAAAATTTACATCGCCGCCGAGTTCATTGAGGAAGAATACGCCGACAGTCCATCCGACTTAGGCCATTTCCACCTCAGAGACATTGCTCGGAGCGCTGTAGGTGACAAAAAGTCATCATGGGTCACCATGAAATTGAACGGAGCCTTTTGCTACGGTCAAAATGGGAAGGGAAGCAAACTGCGGAGATACATTGTCTATCATCCATCCGTTGGACCTGGCATTCGCCGGCCGAACATCTATCAGGTAGGAGACCCCTTTATTGAGAGATGGGAATACTCCGATAATCGAACTGATGAATATCTTCAATAGCATCGATTCACTGATACCGAGATGACCACTGCGATCAGTAATAGCCTCGAAGGGGCTACCGAGGACATGCCCGAGAAGTACAAGCTCTTGGGTGCCGCATTAAGCCAAATTATCAAAGTCGTCCACAAGAAAGGCAAGGCTGCGCTGGGTGATGCTCTCTGGGTATTCCTGGATGATGACCGGCTCTCGAAGGTTTATAAACCTAATCCGGTGCCCCAATTCCCGTGGGCGGAAGCAGATCTACGGAAACACCTGGCGCAGATCCAAAAATTGGAGTTTGGTGGTGTTGGAAAGGAGGCCAGAGATTCTCGGCTAGAACATCTACTCGCCCCTCCTGGCAATGAGGCCCCGTTTGTCCCGTCCCTTCCTTCTGTCCAGCAAGAAGAACCACCGGCAGAGAAGACGGAAAGCCCGCGGCATGTGCCGAGGAAACCTGCTGCGGTACCGGAGCCGGAAGGATATGATCTTATTGTGATGGAAGTCCTCGACATACTCTCCGAACTGGAGCAAGAGCAGGAGCAAGAGCAAAGAGAAATGGCAACTAGCCCTCGACGGACTTTTACCCGAGGAGGCCGACGGTTGACTTCTCCCGCCCAGGACTCACAAAACATCCAGGGCAACAGAGATCTGGTGCTCGGTAATATCAAAAATGGACACCAGGCAAGCACCAGTCCACTTGACATCTTCAAGCAGAAAGAAGATGCCGAGAAGGAAAATTTGACAGGGGCCAATGCAGGGACCGGTCGTCCTTCCTCGAAGCACACGAAGGTCGTCCTCCCTAGTGAGCATGGGCACACAAAGAACACATAGGTGGCTCAATATTTTGGGCAAGCGTACTGGGCATCTCGCCCGAGTGGAGTGTATCTCAAGGACTCTCGGTGCTTCTCGTAATTAGATTCAGTGTCTCCATTTAAATATAGTTTGAATGCAATTGTTGTCAGGTCAAATGAGCCTACACCTAGAGTCTTCCAACACCGCCAGAAAAAGCCAAACCAGTCCAATCCCGATTCACGTGACCTATTCCTTTCTATTTTTATTGTCGAGCTGGAAATGGAGTCTAGGCTTGTCTGGATCAAGGAAATGTGCTAGTGCGAACGGGCACGGAGACTAAGAACGGGCCCGGGGAAGTCAGCTGAATCCATTTTCGGTGGCGCCGTGACGAACTAGCTTCGCGCGAACGACAGGGTAGAAATATGCGAAGATAAAAGTGGCCACGGCTTCTGCTGGAATGGCCGACGGTCAGTGCAGCCGACCGGGGGAGCCTGTGGGCCATTCTCACGGACTTCCCTCTATAAATGGTATCCCCTCGTGCTTCCCTCGGACCTTCTCCACCACATTCCACAGTCATCACGACAAGCTCAAGAACAAGCACTTCCATCCATTCGTCTCAACCCCATCATGGTGGCCTCCAAACTCCAAAGCAACCGGCCTTGCCAGCAGTCTGCTTTCCCCAATGACTATACCAACAAAAGCACTCTTGACGAGGACCGCCGCAAGCAAGAGGCCATTGCCGCCGCCAAGTTACAAGAAACCCAGGCAGCCGAAGCTCTAGCCCTCAAGATGAACAATCTAGAGTTCCAGGTCAAAAGCCTTCAGGAAACGATCAACAATCTCCGGGAAACAAAGGCAGAAGCCGAGCGCGTGCGCGACGAGTGGATCACCAAATACAATACCACAAGTACAGCAGCAGACGAACGGATTCGGCAGCTTACGCAGGACCTGGAGGAGCAAAAGAAACAAACACTCAGCCAAATGATGGATATCAAGGAGCTGAAAAGCGAGAGAAGCAGTCTGGACCACCAAATCGTTTACGAACTTCCAAATGAGGACGTCCAGATCCTGCTCTTGGCATACGGCAATCAAATCTATTATGGTTCCGGGACCCCGGATCATCTGGGTGTGCTCCCTAAATACAAGAGCGCCGCCAGAGATGGAAATTCTTTCCACGTGCCCGGTTACTTGATCGATTTTGACTTTAGCGCGTATTTTCCCAACGGGGCTCGGAAGACCTTGACCATCATGTATCGGTATAATCGACCGGGAACAAATAGACGGATCCGGACTTTGATGGCTGAGACTAGCTGTGAAGTTAGGTTTGATCCTTGGGACTAGAGTGTGGTGTTATCACTGTGCTGTGGAAAATGTTTGACCTGCTAGATCAGACAATAATTTGGAAGCTTGAATCTCATCATCAAGATGATTGTACTGTACTAGAACCCTACGGATTCCATTGGGAATTCCCAATCAACACGCAGATTACTATTTTCAACTACATCACTACTGAAAAACATAATTTCCAGGTTTTCCAGGTTCCTACGCCAACATTGATAGCCAAAAGGATCAATTTCTATCACAATGCCCTGTGATCCAGAACATCTTCGACAAATCATCAATGTTGATAGTCCGGCCGCACCATATTTATTTACTATTATCAATATCTTGGTATTGCTAGCTGGTGACGGCGTTGAAGTTTGTTGCTTTCCAGGTCGATACTCATGCTGTTGATTATCGTGTTTTCTGTTCACGTTACACTAGGTTATCTCGAAACATTTCCATCCGGAATAGTTCTCTCTCCCTCTCTTTCTCTCTCTCTATCGTGATACTACAGCATGACCCATGACTCTACTTCAGAGATTGACTACGTTCATGTGCTGGAGTTATGCCTCATCACTATGATTCTCTGCTCTGACCTCGGCGTTGTCAAGGCGTGGTCGTCCCATGCGGCCTATACCCGCTCCAAACCCAATTCCCCTTCGAGGCCTATAGCATATGTAAACCATTATTTGACGTCCAATTACGTCAGACCAGGTACCCGGCAGATGTCAGCGTCTAAACGTTTGAGTTGGACAATGATTGAAGATATATCTATCTACTCACCATCAATCCCAGCTCTGATAAATGATCTTGCTTTGAGTGCAATTACCCATTCTCCAAACGAGATCGAAGCATGTTCTTTGTTGTAGATAAAGGTACGGGGTCAAAAAGGACCTGATTTGGATCGTCCGCTCAGACTGCTCCAACGATCGCTAACTCGCACTTCGACTTCTCGGCATGCAAGACCCCACATAGACAGGAACTGTAGAGATAGATCATCTTTCATCGATTCCCACACCCGATGCCAGAGCTGCTGGACCTCGTCGATCTTTCTTTCTGTATCATGCGATTGAAACTTGTCATTCAAAGCTATGGACTCGAGTCTAAGGCGTTGTAAGGTGGGTGCCGCGGCTCGCCATAAATCTCTGAGCTCATCGAGGGTCGATTCAATCACGAAAATGTGAAGCTCTCGAAGTTGCGCAAAGTGGACGCCACCCGCGAGCTTGTGGAAATACGGGAACCTTGAACCCTCGGGGTTGCTCCAATGAGATAAACAGAGGACTTTAATTTTCCGTGCAGATGCGACCACAAAGTCGAGGAAGGCCTCGCATGAAGGTGATTGCTGACTTTGCCCGCGAGGGCAAAGGTGTAGACTTTCAGCCTCTCTCATGAGTGGAAGTAAGGATCTGTATTGAGCCGAGGTCACCGTCATGCTTGATAATGACACTCCGCAGTGTACCTTTGCACAAGTATGGAGTTCTCGGATCATTCGACCGCTAGCAAGAATGGCTTTCAGTAATGCCGATAGCACCAGAGCCCCGGATATGCTGGTCTCCGGAATACCAGCCAGATTAAGGGTGGGTGGATCGAATCTGTCGGCTACTCAGTTGAGTCTTGAACTGGCGTAGACCCAGACATTCAGGAAAGATGGTCGGCCCTTTTATTCCGAGGATGGCTTCTGTACCTTCAGGTTGCAATTTGAACACATCCAAGTTTGCAATCTGTGATACGCTACTTTCAAGAACTTCTGGTAGGCACTTGAGAGCATCTTGATGGTCTGCTGCCACATTTTGGTACGCTTCATATCGACTTTCGAGCTCCGAGCCTCCCCCAAACGCCGATGTCGTGAACTGGGCGTTAGAAATGGGCGCCAAGTCTTCGAAGAGGATTGGTAATATTGAAAGCTCCCGAGCGCACTCCCGAAATGAAGCATGCGCGGCAATCTCTTGCAACTTGCGGAGACTGTCACTTGTAACAATCATCCAAAGTTTCCCAAAGCACTTTTCACCAAAGAACAATCGAGACTTCTGAGCCAATGCGTTGCAAGAGAGCCTGAGCGATGTTAGATCTCCGGCCTCGAGATAGCTGCAAATTCATCCTATCAACTCGATGGGGAGAATCGATAGGGCCAGTTTGTTGAATGGGCTAATTGGTAGAGAACCGAAGTGCGGGGGAAGGTGGCAGGGAGATCGGACCGGCAGTTCTCAGGAACAGGGTCTCAAGGCTCCCGAGCGTTTCAGGGACAAACTATAAATTGACGACCGTCGAGACTTGAGGTAAACATAGATTTACCAATATCCACATAAGCGGGTCCTATTTTGCGGCACGGCCCACCGTGGGGCAGCGTTCGCCCAGCAAACGGCTTCCGAGGCCACGCGTCACCGTATCTCCAGCAAAATCCAAGGGGCAGATTATTTTGTTTTGGATGGTGATACTTGGCAGAACGACGAAAGATGACTAGCCGTAAAGATACTACCGTGCCTGTTCCCTTCAAGTCTTGACCCATAGAGGCCATCGGGTTTTCTAATGTTTGAATTCGATATTGGTTGGCAGGCTCTGGAAAAAATCACTGGCGTGGCTAGATAGTCCTAAACAACACTAACAATATCCTTCGTCCTCACATCGTAGCTGACTATGAAAAGTCTATTCGAGACACTTTGATTTTATAATACGCTTCTAATCTATGTTTAGGGCTTCGCTAGACACTTCTAAGAGAATTCAGCAATATGGTAGGCCCGACTCGGAACTAGACCTTGCGTGATGTCGCCCGTAATGGATACCGTGAATTTTCAGTCACTGGAGTTTTACAGTTATACGCAACTATCATGAGGAGGTGATCGGAATGACTTGAGCATTATACGTTTTTACTGTGTATTACGAATAGTTTGTATAAACGGAGAACTCCTTTGGTGTCATTAGTATAATAGACAATGCATGGGGTGGCTAGTTGATCGAAGCTGATATATCTTTGAATGCGCGCCACAGTACGGAGCACTGCTAGAACCACGCACTACATGAAGTCATCTTGCCGGTTGGAATTCTGCCTCTTACCCAGTCAGCATGATTATATCTACCAGGAAATGGGTGGTCTATTAAAGACACAGCCTTGCCATCCCTTACCGCCCACCTCTGGAAACGGACGCGGTTTTGACCTGACCACTACTCTGGAGAAAACCCAAATCTTGTGAACACTCAGCTCACTGAGGATTAATTTATCCCAAAACATGGTGCCCAGTACGTCCTATATTTACCTCTGATTATAAGCTGGCGACTAACCTTCCGCAGCACCTCCTCGTGATCGCAGACCTATCGTCATTTCTGGACCGTCAGGCGTCGGTAAAGGAACACTGGTCCAGAAGCTTTTTGACGAACATCCCAACACGTTCGCATTCATCGTGTCTCACACGACACGCAAGCCCCGAGTTGGTGAAGTCGAAGGAAAAGATTACTTCTTCGTCACTCCCTCGACATTTAGCGATCTCATCTCCCAAGAGGCCTTTGTTGAACATGCAGTGTTCGGGGAGAACCATTATGGCACGAGCAAAAGGACGATTGCGGACCAAGTGGCCAAGGGGCTAGTTGTCGTGCTGGATATCGAAATGAACGGTGTCAAACAGATGAAGGCCGATTCGAGCATTGACGCACGCTATGTCTTCATCAAACCGCCATGTTTCGAGACTCTCGAGAGGCGTCTTCGAAGCCGCGGCACTGAGAAGGAGGAGGACATTAAAAAAAGACTAGCGCAAGCGAAGGCTGAAGTCGAGTATGCGGATACTCAAGGTGTTCATGACAAGATCATTGTCAATGACGATCTCGAGAAGGCATATAAAGAGCTCGAGGAGTTCATTTATGGATGATTTTCTCAGACCATTAATATTCGTCGTTCTCTCGTTGATACACGGAAAATCAAATGAATTATTCGAAGTGTACGTGAATTAACTCGCCAGAAAGGCTTAAACTCTCTGGAGAAAGAGGCCATTTTCCAACCTGAACGCGAATGTGAAAAGGTTGACAACCGTAGGCCTGCACGTCGCAGTAACAGGCACATGATGTACTATCTCTCTTCCGTAAGCATAATTCATCGAATTACAGCTTCTCCTGATAGGGTTCCAGGCTTTATTGACAGATTTGTACGAGGCTGATGGCAATAATTGACACGTTCGGCAAACATACGCCTTTTCACGCCGAATTGACGCGCATTTTCGAGGTATTCGGTTTCTTCAAGGCTTGGACAGCTGGACAGGCTTCTTTCATGAGATGTTCGGGTGATTTGATAGATTGTGGCATGATTTGTGGCGGGAGGAGTGGGCACGACCCATTGTACTTGTCTAAACAATTATTGTCGAAGTTAAATGAAGAGCTGTTTTTCATGTTTTCTTTTCGTTTTGACTAATGTTTCTGTTATTTCATTTGCGGCAGCACGCAAAGACTCGAGTTTTAGTTTCAGTTCGCTAGTGTACAGATCCAAGATAGACCGAAAGCCTAATTGGGAATCGCCCAGGGCGTTCATGGATCGGAGTGAAAAACAGGAAATGGGAAAAGAAGGATCATGCAGAACACAGAGATCGAAAGGAAGTAAAAAGAAAAGAACAGGAGAAAAACAAGGAAGACCCCGCAAGATCAGTGCTAAGTTCAGTGCTCGGAGATTCCTATTCGATCCAATCAGGAATAATTAAACCAGATCTGCATGATTTCATTGTCCATCAGCATCGGCAATGTCGATATCCCCGTCACCCGCGGTATCCGCGGGATCTTCACGAGTTGGAGCGTTGGTGCCAACCGGGGTGGCATGGATCAGCGCATCGGAAATGAAGGCATCCTCCACGGCAGCCTTTCTCCGGAAGACACGAAGCCAGCGGCGGCCCCATTGGCGGAGGATGGCGTCTTCGGGCATATCACCCGACCCATCACCACGCTCCATAAGTTCGTCGTTGCTACCGGCGGCGACGGAGACGATGGCATCCTCGATGAACTTGAAGAGGTTCTTCATTTCAACGCGTTCACGGGACAGAGTCTCGTCGAGAATGCTGAGTTGGGGCTCGTACAGGTTCTTTTGGGTGCGAGCAGCCACAATCTGGCGCATACGGTTGGTGACCTTGCCAACGGTGGCGGAGATCATCTCATAGATGTGGGGCTTGGAGAGAATTGAGCCAGCGGCAATGTGCTCGTGGAGGGCCCACTCCAGGACCGAAAGAGGGCTGATGATAGTGTAGTTGAGCAACTTGTCGACAATATTGATGGCAATGCCCGGCTGGTCAGCCCAGTACTCCATGACCGAGGTGATTATTTGCAAGCGGGCCTTCTCAGAGGCTGCGCCAACGGCGAGTAGGCGGTCCTTGTTACGCTCGATGCAGGACAGGACATGGGACAATGACTTGGAGCCCACAAAGCAGATGGACGTAACGAGGGCGTCCGTAGAAGGGACCTTGGGGTCTTCTACACCTAGGCTCTGCGCTTGCTCCTCGATGGAAGCAATGATGGGTTCGAGTTCATCGTCGTTTGCCTTTTTGCGGATAAGCTGCATGAGCTCTTGTCCCTCCTTGAAATAAGGGGTCGCTATTGTAGGTTGATGGTTAGTGGACTAGATAGAGTACAGCGGGGTGGGCATGATGACGATTATTTTCATGCGTACCTTCGGAGGAATATTTGAACTCGGGGGTGTCCTTCTCCTTGCTTTCTGTGATCAAATGCAAGTAAGGCTCGGGCAAAGTGCCCTTAATGCGCTGCGCGAAGCTCAGTCGAATTTCCTTGTCCAGTGCTCCATGAATGAATGCCATTCTAGGATGAATGGCGGGAAGCTCGAGATTCTCAACCCTAATTCTCAAACTGTTAGCTCTTGCCTGCGCCTGTCATCTCGCTACACTGCCGTATTCACTTACCACTCGCTCCACTTCCAGGTGAAACCAAAGTTGCTCAAGTGATGGGCAAACCAATCCAAGAACCGGCTGCTCAATTCCAGATCCATAGTCTCCAGGTTGTTGTACAAGAACCGAATGGCACGGCCCAAGCTTGGCGCAATTGCTGCAGGCGCGATCTTGCAGCACTCGGTCAAGACGGAGTGATAATAAACAAGTTTGTGTTCCGGAGTGGGCAGCTGGAACAGCTGTGAGAAGACGGCATCCACCGCGACATCCTCGGGCTTCCACGCCGTGTTATCACCAGCAATCTCACGCATACGGTCAAAGGGAGTAGCGCGCTTGACAAATGTATCACGGGTGTAATAACAATCCACATCGATCAGGTACTTAGCCGTAGCGACGCGGTTAAAGTCAAGGAGATTGAGGGTATCCACCAATGCGTCTCTCAGGAGCGAAGCAGTGATGTCGGAGATGGGAGGCACGGTGTCAATCTCCTGGTTGGCGTAGACCGAGAGGTAGACCTCCGGGAAGAGAGCCCGAGGGCCATATGGCACGGGGTTCGGGACAGTAATTTGCGGGAAAGCAACCTTGGTCACTACCTCGAACGGCTTTTGCTCGTCACCCTCTGATTCCCGCACATCCTTCCATGGCCGAGGCAGACACTTCAACTCCCAACCGTTGCTGGCTTCGCCCTGCAGCTGGCGCTGGAGGACACTGATCAAACTGGGACCTGCGGCGGATTCGTTCTCCTCGGGACTGAAGGTGTTGACCAAGTCGACCAGGGCGTGGGGAGTAGAAGCAATGATATCGGTCTTCTCGAGAAGTGCGGAGGCTTGAGATTCGAAGCCGGTGGCAGGGGACGACATCACGTAAGGAATAGTGAAGAGGATAATCTTGACGAGCTCCAAGCCGAGCAACTATACCCGCAAAAAATGGTTAGTATCGATCCATGATCTTCTAATTTCAAGAGGCTAGTAGACTTACGTCTTCCGAAGATGCGGTCTGCAGATCAACCGCACGGGCAAATAGCTCCTCCAAAAGTGTGAAGATGCCATCACCCTCGTAAAGAGGCTGTAGACAACCCAGGAAGCGAACGAGGAGCTTGACCTCGCGCCATGATCCCGAATCAATGTATTTCTGCAAAGCCGTGGCCGCTTTGTTCAAAAGTTCCGTTCCCAGCTCCGGCTTGTTGTTGTACACAAACAATGCCGTCGCAGCAACGAAGGGCATCTTCATTGGTTGTTCCAGGACTCTGTATCGCATACAATTGTCAGTAGGCGCATTGAGGTGGTGCTGGCGGGAGCCAAGGGCAAGGTGTCGTACAGGTCAAGGGAAATGTTGATCAAAGTGTCGCGCAGCTCCTCATCCTCGTAGTTTTCAGTCACAGTCTTTGCGATTCCAACGACATCATCCTCCACTCTCCGAGCAGCCTAAGGAACGAGTTTCAGCATCAGTGACAAGTTCCGAAACAGAGTAGCACAACAACGCGCCTGGAGCTTGTAAAGGAAGGCGACCCTACCGATTCCGCAATGGTCAGAAGCTGCCGGCGAACTTGAACAAACAGTGGCTCCTCATATCTCCGTCGCTGAGGGCGGCGATCAAAGTCCTCGTCATCTGCAAACGGTTCATGGTCAGCAGCGCGTAAAAAGAGACCTTCGGGAGGGTCGCTCACCTCGATAACGGCGCTTGCGCCCACCACCTCCGCCACCCCGGTAGCCATTGTTCCGGCGCTCATATTCGGCCATTGTGTATGGAGATTGAAGTGACAATGGGAATGACCAAGAGCTTGAGATTGGGAGGAGATTCGAAAAGGTTCAGCGGAGGAGAGCTTCCCCGAAGGACGACGACAGGTCGGAGGGGAGGATAATCCGGCCCGACCGCCCTGCATCAAACAAAAAGTAAATGCGGAATCCAACAGCTTATTGGGTCAATGAAGATGTTTGCAAATGCATGAATTAGATACTGATTTTGTATTTAAAAGTTATTTAAGATATACATTACCTGACCACACTCATGTTCACAAAGCATAATATTTGAGGTAATCCGTCCCAGCAGCTAAGTCTTCCAGCTATAGGAAGTTCTCCATATGAGCACGACCGGGCAAAACAATCGTATACCTCTATCTTCGACCGGCTAGTTGCTTTTGCTTCATAAGATACCTGAAATACACACTGCAACATATTTGGGCATGTCTTGGGGGTTGAATCACAATCTAGGCAGATGAAATCAGCCCTTAGTTGGTGAAATCGTCAGGAAGTGCCTAGCAGTTACTAACGAAATAACTCGTATAGAGACCGACCGCTTGATGGTACATCTACTTCTTGACCAACGGATCAAATTTTTAGGCATCTATTTGTCAGCTCTCCATTGTCTCGATTCAGAAAGTGGAAATGAATCATGAAGAGAGTTTCCATACGAATATCAGACTAAGGGAAGTGACCAAGTCATAGAGGTAATCAACACAGAATACTGTGATGAAGTGTACCTTGACGATGGAGAACCTCATCGATCAGAAGAAGTCGCCGGACGACCCATTCTTGGAGTCCTCAGCTACAAGAGAGAACCTAAATAAAGAAATAGTCCGAGTACAGGGCTCAATTAAGATTCCAGGCCTACTTCGCCGTGCGCGAGGCTAGCCGCATCTTCTCAGATGGGTTCTCTCGATGAAATACAGACCCTCATATCAAATCTCGAAGATGAGGAGGTTCTGAGCATCAAGCCCAAAACGCTTGTGCAGACTGCAGTCGTTAGTCTGCAGTCGTTTCTATGTGTACTCTACACTTGCAATGGTACAGGAGGATTGGTATCCTGGGTCTACGATCCTTGTTTGCCATGGAGGTCTTGGGAAAACACATCGCAAAGTTATTCGTCGAAGCGCAGCGATCGAAAATGTATGCGCAAATTGAGTTAGGTAAACAGCGGGCTGGCACAGATATACAAGGAGGTTTTTACCTTGGATGATGATTAGCTTATGATCAAATGGTTAGCCAAACATCAATAGAGATGGAGTCTCTTCATTTTTCATTCTACAAGTGCTCGCTATAAGAGCAAGGATCTACAAGCCAGGCGGGGCAGTTGATGATCACCCCGCTCGAATCGGAGTATAAAGTCCAGTTGGTCCAATAGAATATCACCAAAAGAAGCGCTTACGAAGACACGCAGCTTCACTATTCCAGTCAGATGCCTTCGAAGCATCACTTTGATACTCATTCTACTTGGCGTGGCTGCAGCCGTTTCCTGAAATGGTAAATGATGTACTCGTAGGCTTAGTCCGGTCAAAACATAAGTCACCAGGGTCTGTAGATCGCGATAAGTAAACACGAATGACGTAGCTTGATGATTCTTCCTCGTTGATACTAATGAACATTCGACCTCATTCAAGTCCTTCTTTCCTCTCTCTCACTAGGCTGTGAATCCAAGCAGCACGGAAGTTCGCTTTTCTCCTTCTCTTTTTCCCTTGATCAATTATTGTTTATTATGTCGGATTGCGGCGACCCAGTATCTTTCTCCGTTGATGTAAATCATGACAACGATAAGAATGTTCCGACCGCATCATTTCCACGCTCTAAGGAGCAGGACTTTATTGAGTCCTTCTCCCGAAGGCCGAGCTTCATGGATCATCTAGCGGACTCCCGAGAGTCACAGTTTCACGTACAGGACAGAACTGAGCTGGAGCGATACTTTGTATGTAGCCCCGGATCAGAATTATCGAGGATAAAATTTATATATAACATTCGACAACTTAGCATGGCCCCCGCAATATGACAAGACATTCGAAATGGCCGACTGTCATGAGAGTCCAAGGGAGTGTAATGCCTCAGATGATTTTACCGCTACTGCTTGTTGGGGGCTGGGCCACTCTGATTACCTGCATTTCTCATTTCAAACATAACCGTGAGTCTGATTTCTTTACCAACTTATCAAAAAAAGACCTGATTGGTTGATTAAGGATGTAGTTGGTATCAACAATATCCTTCTTACTGTCCTAGGTTTCGTGGTCGGGTTGTCATTGTCTTTTCGTGGCTCAACTGCGTACGAAAGGTATACTTCCCTACAAACTCACATCTTTGATTGCATCTAAAACTCCCTAGATGGGCGGATGGACGCAAGTACTGGGCAGGGCTCATTCAAACCTCGCGTAACTTGGCCCGCATCATCTGGGTGCACATTGACGAACGGGAAGGAGAGGAGAATAGCAAGGTGGACATTCTGAGAAAGATGTATATTCGGGGACCGGTCTGGAGTTGATTCGGACTTGCACTAACCACTAACCATCTCATTATAGATCAGCGATGAACCTCATTCTCGCCTTCGCCGTCTCATTGAAACACAAGCTCCGCTTTGAACCAGATGTCGCCTATGAGGATTTGGCCGGTCTCATCAGCCATTTAGATACATTTGCGCTAGACGCACACGATAATAGCGTTGTATCGCCGCACTCCAAAACGCCCTGGAAATCCATGGGAGAGTATCTGGGGTTCTCATTCGCCAAGTCTAACCCTCGCAAATTGGTCAAGAGATCCAAAAAACCCCTGGGACATCTCCCGTTTGAGATCCTCGTACATTTATCTGCCTACGTTGAGAGTTGCGTCAAGAATGGCACACTCTCATTGCCCTTATACCAGGGTCAAGTCAGTAAGTCGAAGAGAGTCGTGCGAATGGCAAGCTCCCAAAGTTCTCAACTGATCGCATAGTGACCCTGCTGTCCTCGCTAAACGAAATCTTGACCGGAACGGAGCGAGTCCTGGATACGCCTCTACCCGCAGCTTACAGTATCGCCATATCACAAATTTCTTGGGTTTACGTGATGCTCCTCCCCTTCCAGTTGTACAATTTCTTGCATTGGACTACAATTCCCGCATCTCTAGGTACGCCAATGCCGCGGTCAATTCTGAAACACAATGGAACATCCCTAACCTATCCGCCTCTATCTAGTGGCCGCATACATCATCATCGGCCTACTCTTCATCGGTAGTGAGATTGAAAATCCCTTCGGCGAAGACGTCAATGACCTACCACTCACAGCATACTGTCACCAAATTGCCAAAGAGCTTGATATCATCACTGCCACCCCACCTCCAAACGTGGAAGACTTTATGGGTCGCCCGGAAAATCTTGTTCTATTTCCCCTCAGTCAGGATGGGTATCCTACGTGGAAGGATAGGAGTAAGGCAGATATCCGTGCTGCCCTACGTGCGAAATTCGTTACCAATCCAGGTGCTGTGGATGGATCGAATGCCTCTACCACGGGAATGAGTTTCTCGACGCGGAAAACAATGGAGTCCGTGTGAGCTGTCCTATTCCATTCCTGTCCTTTATGGCTGAGAGGTTTGATGGTGTGAGATTTCAGATTAATTTGTGGGTGCGATTTGGGGGTTCTGAGTTTATTCTTGAGGTGAAGATAGTCTTTGACTACAAAACAAAACCAATCATATGCCTATGCAGTAAATCCAAACAACGGTGATTATGACTTTGTTCATTAGTCAAGTCGACCAAGCGAATAATTGTATTCGTCTATATACATTGCAATCATGAGAGTATGTTTGAGATGGCGTATATGCGAGTGGAGGTATCTTCACTAGCCACTGCAAGTTCAAAATGAGTCCTGCTATCCACATCAGCGGCTGGCACGGGCCGCCAGGATAATTGGGTGATTGTCTTCGACGGGGCAATAAGCCGATCGATAGCCACAACTTGCTGTGCCTCGAGGCTATCAATAGCAATTCTGTGAATCGAGACGGCACCAGTATCCTCTCCCGCAGCCAGAATGAAGTTGTTCTTATAAGGGGTGGGCAAGAATGCAACCGCCGACACCGCAGATGTCAAGGCGATGGTAGTCTTGCATACAAATGCTTCTTCGGTCCTTTGCCAGATCTTAACGGATTTGTCACGACCGGCTGTGGCGAAGATGCGTTCGGCGGTTGTTGGGGCCCATGCTGCACCCAGGATCATTCGAGAGTGGCCCTTGGGGTTTGTCGTCCAGCTGGTGAATGTGGTCGGATCTTGTTCATCTCGTGCGAAGACGGCCCATTGGCGGTCGCGGCCCACACTGAGGAGGAACTTGTCGTCATCGGAGAATGACAGGTCGGTGATTGTTAGGGAATGTGCTGTGAGAGATGGCTTGATCTCATGCCAGTCTGATGTATCATACAAACGGATCACTGCATGATCGACAGAGCTGGCCTTGCAAGCAGTAGCAATGAGCGAGCGGTCGTGACTCACGGCAACGGCGGAAATTTCATAGCCGTGACCGTAGAGCTTCTCGTGCTCAGGCCACAATGTATATCGAGATAATTGGTCTTCAAGTGGCGGGGAGTCGGTAAGCAAAGAGGTAGCAGGAGCAGATTGCGTCGCTCCATTGAAGTTCTCATTTTCTTCAACCGGGGCTTCGTCTCCTTGAGCCTTATTCGAAAGACCCAATACTGGAATCTCAGCGGTGTCCGGCATGTCACTCTCAATGACTTGTTGGAAGCCAGTCAGCTTCTCGAGAAGCTCTGCGATCTGCTTGGGCTCATTGAAAACCCGCAGAAGTTTTTCATCTGCACCGGATACAAACTGTGCAGGACCCAACGTGTCAATGCAATTCAGGTCATATCCGTGAATTTGAGGGCGAGAGAACTCATGCCATGAGCTCTTGTTATCTCGCAACCATTGAGCATGCAGACGTGTAGTTTGATCGGCGCTAGTGGAAAGTAGGTAGCCACCGCTGGGCTCCCATTGCGCACCATTCGCCGACCGCACATGGCCTGAGATGCCGAACTTCTGAGCCCAGAGATCTGCTTCCGAATCATACTGCCAGACTCTCCAGCTCCCAGTACGGCCGAGGCTTACCACCTGCTTTCCATCCGGCGACCAGAGACCGATCCAGAAGCCACCAGCACTACCAGTCGCGGTGGTCGAGCCCTTCTGAGTACTAATCTCTCCCATCCTTTCCCCTGACACCCAGACTCCGGATACTGGGTCTTGTTCCCAGATGGTGATGGTATTATCAGCTGATGCTGTCAGAAGTTGTGATCGCGCTGGATCGGGGTTCCATGCTGTGGTGTAGATCCAGTCTTCGTTGCCGAATAAAAGAGCCTCGAAAGTGATCGAGTACTTTGACCCAGCGGCTTCAAACTCGTGGGCCTTGTTGGAGAGAGTAGGCTCCATACCACCCAATAGAGGATCGTCTTCATCAACCGTGGAAGAGACCTCTGCTTCACCCTGACATAGTCGCCACAGGCGAATGTACTTGTCTTGACTAGCAGAGGCAAGCAAAAGATCATTGGTCTTGCCCTGCTTATCTTGCGTGAACGAGAGCGACCGAATCCAAGCTTCGTGGCCCGAAAGCACAGCCCGACGCTGGAATTTCGGCGCGTCAACAGACGATTCAGCAGAGAAGATCTGCACGCTCGTGGTAGTTCCGGCGACTGCCAGCACCAACGGCTTGCCATTGTCTCCCTCGAGTACCCGCAAAGCCAGCGTGAGCGGGAAGAATCGAGGTTTCATGGGAATTGTTTCCACCAATACACACTTAAGTTCATTTAGCGCACCAATTCTCCAAATCCGAACTGTTCCATCTGCAGCACCGCTTGCGACGATATCCGTTCCGTCGGCCACGGCAATCGCATTCACGCTTCCTTCATGGCCATGGAGGGAAGCTACTTGGTTGTAGTTGCGCGAGTCACACTCTTCTTGTTTCCATACTTTAATCGTACGATCGACTGAGCCGGTAAGGAGGAACTTCGTCCCTGAGGCGGGGCAGGTGTAAAATCTGACGACGCTAACTTTGTCGGAATGGCCCACGAGGAGAGCATACACACCCTTATGCGAGTCATCCTAAGAGAACCGTTAGCTCTGCAGCAAGCTTTCGAACTCAATGGACCATACCAAAGGATTCCACAGGGCGACATTGTTGTCCGCACCAAAGGCGAGCATGCCCGACTGGACATCCCAATCCGCGGCCCCAGGGTGTCGGTTTCCCCCCACACTGATATAGTCGGTTGTGACAGACGCCATGCTTGCAGAGTATAGTGCGAGCTCAGACGTCCCCGTCGTGTCGACGTTGGAGATTGCAGTGACGGAGAAAAGAGCTGTCGCAAAAGATAAATTGTGGAAGCGGTCTTATCGATAAGGACGATTCTGCCCCAGCCCCTCCCCACCGCCATCGTCAACTTCCACCTTTCCCCAGTCCAGTCAGGAGAGTTCATATCGGGGTTAAAGGCTCAATAACCCTAGAAAACCATCTTGATACTTCCTACAGTCATGTCTGATGCTGCCAAGGGGGCTGCTGGCCCAACCATCCCGATCACCATCGAGTTCACGTACCGTCCCTCGATTTTTCCGAACGATTGATTGAACAGCTTCTAACACGGATTCTATAGTGGCGGACTCGAGTTACTATTTGGCAATGAGCGGAAGCATAAAGTCTCATTACCTGCATCTATGGAAGACGGCAACCCGACCAACATCGCATACCTACTTCCATACCTGGTCGACAATCTCATGCAAGACCAACGGAAGGAGATGTTTATCATGGAGGACAATGTGTATGTGATATGAAGACCATTGACAAGGCCCAGGACTAAAGAGCTACAGGCGGCCCGGTATTCTCGTTCTCATCAATGACGCCGACTGGGAACTCGAAGGCGAGGAGAAATACGAACTCCAAGCAGGAGATACTATTGTGTTTGTCTCGACTCTACACGGAGGCTAGTGATAGTTGCGAGTGGTGCATACGTGGATAAAGATATAAGCAATTGAATTGCGGCTGGAAAAAATCGGGGGAATGATGACCCCACCATGTCAACAAGGAAGAACTCCTCCTTCCGGACTTTAAACAACGTCTTCGACGTGTTGCTGGGAGATTCGCTCGGGCTCGCGAGGAGTGCGAAGTCCACTTGGGGTCCTGAATCCACTTTGAGGAGTCCCAGCCCCATCCAATGGACTGCCCAAGCCTTGGATTGGAGAAACGAACCCGCTGGGAGGCACCGGAATTTTCAGATCTTCGGGCGAGGCGGGAATAATCGCTTCTGGCAGGTCAGGAATATGAATTCTGCGTGCTTCGTTTTGGTAGCTTTCGGGAATAATCTAGAATAATTCAGTTGGCATCCTTAACATTAAATATCAGGCAGCTTTCTAGTTGGTCGTACCTCAATGATCTCATCACGTGGGAATTCCAAGAATGGAATGTCGGCGGCGTTACAAGCCATCAGATAGCCGTACAAGACTCTCAGGACGCTTTCGTGGGCAATAATGAGCAGATCATTCTGCTCTCGCTCAAGTTCGAGAATGACGGGCTCGAGACGGACAGCGAGGTCATGGTAAGACTGTTCAAACGTCAGCCCTGGTTCAGTCATCAATACTTCTGGTCTTCCTTACTTCGGCTCGAGGGTACCGATGATGGTAAGGATCAAGCTCATGCTTTGCGACTTCGTCCGGCCACTCTGCACGGATGCGTCTCTCCGACATCTTTTCGCAGACACCGGGATTGAGTTGACTCATTTGAGAGCGTTGTTGGACCTTGTAACCTTTGTCGTAGAGGTATTTCGCAGTCTCTACGGTTCGACGGCGAGTAGACGTCCATACCTTCAGCGGTCGTAGTTCATAGCCCGCATCACCCCGGGCGATCATGTCCTGTTTCTCAGACTCTCGGTGAGCAAGCAGGCGGTCTGTCATTTTTCTGGCGTAATCGTCGCCCTGTTCGGATAGACCCAAATCGGACTTGTAGGATGCAACATCTGCCGATACACCGGCCTGTAATGAATGGTCAGTTTTGGTCAAACAATGCGAGCATGGCTGCAGTGAACACCTACCCGAACGAAGTAGGTCCGTCTCGATTTAATGTGGAGGTTCAGGAGGTAGAAAACGATGCGGTTGGAGAGATAGCCGAAGCTGCAGTTGTTGACGATAAGGCGCTCTCCAGCATTGATCATCTGCTAACAGGTAAGTATCTGATACCGAGGGAAGCCAGGTATGACAAACCTTGATATAGTTCAGGTCCTTCTCTTCCATGGTCTGGAATTGGGGAATGCGCGAGGAGATACGGGTCAAATAATGCTTGACTGCATCCTCAGGGCTCCATGAGACGTACTAGGAATAGGGTGAGTGGGGCAGTCCTCGCCATCTAGTTGTGCAGTACTCACATCAGGGGATGAAATCTTGACTCGGCGAACGTTCTCCTCGATGATCCGTTCATCATCGCACCAAGACTCAATGAAGAGTGTCTATGTAATCATGTAAGGTTCTGGCATTATATAAGTCCCACTGAGCCAACGAACCTCGATGTCATGCTTTGCAAACTCTTTGGCAAGTGAGCGCCGCCCCGAAGCCAGGGGGTTAACCGCATCATAGATTGCTATCTGGCCGTTCTCGTGACTCAAGAAGCGGTAGATGTCCTCGCGGCACTTTCGTACAATCTTCTGGCGAAGCAAGACCGATGATGCCGAGGCTATTTATTGCATTAATGGAGGCGACTCCTCGGCTATGTCTGTGGCACACTCACCATTGACAAAGAAATAGTCATCAGGCATGTCCTCGCCAAATGGGATCGTAGCCCGTCGATAATCACCGAGATGGAAAATTCTGGTTTTGACTCCAAGCCTGTTCAAATTGTCAACTTAATGCTTAACCCAAAGAAGCGGAACTTTCTAGCTTCCCGACAATGAGACATACCATCGCAAGTATCGCGCCAAGGCCACGGACATGTGTCTATGATGATTCAAGTTTATGAGTACATCGCATATACTGTCATAGCGCAAGCAGGTCAAACCTACGTCTTTCCTCTAGCGGGCAACCCCACCGTGATGATCACAATGCGACCCGAGTGGAAAAGCCGACCAGATTCCGTGCTATACAGCTGAGCTGGTGCCAGATCGGCCTTTTCCGGAAGATCGTGAATCGCATCAACGAAAATTGAAGATTTCCGCCGGAACTGCGGCGAGTTGGCCACGATCTCTGCCGTACTGATACTGACGTCAGTTTTGCTCCCAGGTAGAGAAGCTCTATACTTTCTGGCAGACTTGGTCCCAAAGGCAGGACGTCCAAGGAACCATATGTATTCTGCTTGCATGATTGAGATAGAATATCTCTATACAGCTATGCAACGAGTATCAAGCTAGGGAGATGGCTGACTTACAGTAGGGTGTCCATGATGGCGGGGCGGGCAAGGTCCTCTTGCTAAAATTGAAAAAAATCACTCAAGCAACTGCAAGCGATGCTACACTCTGGAGCAGCTGAGCAACAATTGCAAGAGAAAATCCAATCGCCTACGCCGGATGGCGAAATCTTCGATGAAAGGGAAGTTGGGGGGATGAAGGAAGAGCAGTAGTGGAAGGCGGCATGGGCGGTATACGCGATAACGTGTAGATATCGGGTGGATCCTCAGCTTAAAGTCCAGTCTGGATCTATACAGTTCGCCTCAAACTCACTAAGACGGTTGAAAAAACCTTTTCTCGATAATAACGGAGCTTCCAGCTCCTGTGTGTGATATTGACATCTTAGTTTCTCTCTTGAATCTCTTAGAATCTCAATATGCAGCGGATGGCTCCGTATAGGCGCGTCCGAGAATCTCCGGTGCGCTTACCTAAGGCCCGGCAGCCGGCAGCGACCAAAGACGCTACTCAACTGGCATTTTTCAAACCCGAAAGACTTCAGCTCCGCTTCCCTTCGAATACCTCAATACTCTCTGCCCGACTTCCCCGAGCGCATAATCAGATACAGCCCTTATTCCATCCTCTCCATCATCTGAGTCGTTCACTCGTCCCAGATATACCGGGCTGGTCTCTATCCTCCTTCCTTTTGACTCATTGTCCTTCTGCAACGAAAAAAACCCCCGTTGACCGGCATCGCGTGACGACATCTCTATAATCAACTCTCCCCTATCCTTCAAAATGGCCGACCTCACATCATCTCTGTCCATGCTCACGGACAATCCCGCGATGGCGATCGTGAACGATCTATACACCTCGTTCTCCGAGCGCCGGGCCCTGCTCAACCTGCCCAACCCCGGTACCGTGGACAACATCGCGCGCGAGGTGCAGAAGGAGGTTCTGCTGTCCAACTTCATGTTCACAGGCCTTCGGGCAGACCTGACCAAGGTCTTTGGCATGTCTCCTCTGTTCCGTGTGTCCCACGCCTTCTCAATGGGCTCGTCGGGCAACCTGCCTCCGTACGCTTTCTCTTCCATGTACGGCAGCCCCAAGGTAAGAACAAGCTCCATCTTTTACTCCGTCGTCATGCAAAAAGAGATACTATATTCTTTCCTGATTCGATATCTGATGAATCTCTCCTTTTATCTATAGGTCTTCATGCAAGGCAACCTCGGAAGTGACGGTACCCTCTCCGCCGTCTACAACTGGCGCTGGACCCCGGCCCTCGTCACCAAGACCAACGCCCAGATCATGCCCGGCGCCACCCAGGGTCTCATGCAGATTGACAACGACTACACTGGCAAGGACTTCTCTGCGTCTCTCAAGGCTTTCAACCCGTCTTTCCTCGAGGGCGGCCTTACCGGTATCTTCGTTGGTAGCTACCTCCAGTCTGTCACCCCCGGCCTGGCTCTTGGTTTCGAGGCTATCTGGCAGCGTCAGGGTCTGAACACCCGCCCCGAGACTGCTCTGTCCTACTGCGCCAAGTACAAGGGTGATGACTGGATTGGTACCGCTCAGCTGCAGGCCCAGGGCACCTTCGCCGCTACCTACTGGCGCAAGCTGTCCGAGCGTGTTGAGGCTGGTGTTGACATGAACCTCCAGTTCGCTCCCAACGCTGCTGCTCTGATGATGGGTGGTCCTAGCCGTGAGGGTACCACTGCCATTGGTGCCAAGTACGACTTCCGTGCTTCTTCCTTCCGCGCCCAGGTTGACAGCGCCGGCAAGGTCAGCTGTCTTTTGGAGAAGCGCATTGCCATGCCCATCTCTCTCACCTTTGCTGGTGAGATTGACCAGGCTAAGGTATGATAACTTTTTACTTCACTATCCTGTTATGATTTGATACTGACAAGTCTTTTTCCAATAGCAAACCGCCAAGGTCGGCCTCGCCGTCTCCCTCGAGATTGCCGGTGAGGAGCTCATAGAGCAGCAGGAGAAGGCCGATCCTAACATGGTTCCCCCTCCCTTCTAAGCTTCTTGAACCCTTCTCCCTCTTTCCGTCCGAGTTTCCCTCCTCAAAACCTCTCGAGGTCCAGATGCATTCATCCCTTCCAGCGTCTCTCGAGTTAACCACCCTTTCGACCTCTCTGTTTTAGTAGTTCTTTCCCCCTTTCCCCCCTTTCCCCCCAATGTCTGGATTGACATGGCATGTCAATTCCATCTCCTTCGGTATATCTCCACCTGAATCTGGGTTGCTGGAGTAGGCGGCATTTGTTTGGCGCCATGGAGAGTCCCGCATGACCTGTATAGATTCACATCGCTGTGTTTTTTCTCTCTGCCAATGGTTTCTTTTCTATTCCGTCTCTTTTTCCTTCTCCCTCTGATCTAGTCCTCTCTTCCTTTCTTCTCCCGTCTCCGCCAATATCTGATGCTCGCATTTCTCCGGCTTTTTGTCTTGGTCCGTGGTCTTGTGTGTCTTGTCTTCTTGCGTGACTGGTTGGGGATTTGGCTTTACGGCTGCCATCTATCCTTTTCATTTCGAGGCTTTGGTGTTTCTCGTGTGGTCTGTGGGATTGCAAGATTTTATCTGTGAGGATGGAGGTTGGAGGTGCATGGGTTGCGTCTGGAGAGATCTGGTCATGTTTCGCATCATAGACGGACCAGTGTAAAACAATCTTTGAATCTTAATTGCAGCGCTTTGCATGTTGTATGGCTTGTTTATTGCTGATTTTAGAAGTATCGTAGAGTAATCGGTCTGTATTCTGTTGAAATCCGAGTGATAAATTGTTCTCGGACTCAAGCTCGGCAAGCAAGTTTTGACCAATCTTTTGGATCCAAATCAGGAGCCACATATTGTATTAGACCTGCCTTTTAAGCGTTAATGGCCTGTACGAGGGGTTTTAACGATAGATTTCAGCCTAATTGATACAGTTCCATTCTAGGAGTCTCGTTATGCACTCAGTCTTCCCCTATGAAGTACCCTTTCCTTTATATATTGCCTAACCCACGCTACCAATGATCGATGTTCCATTGGAAGACCAGTCACACAGTTTAAGGCCTGTGAGGAAGGATGCCCTAGTATGGGATGATTATAGTGTTGCTGGACATCATCCAGGTCGAGAACAATTAGAGCAAACCGGTCTATTGTGGTTCACAACTGCACAGCCCAGCGTCACCCACCATTTCTAATCCCAATAACAATATATGCATAGATAGTATGCTTTAGCTCTGACTCGGCGTCTCGCCGAAATGGGATAGGTTATTAACATACACAGTAATCATAATGACTGTATGTATATGTTTTCCGGTTGGAAAACCTAAGAGTCCGTTCACATGTATATGGATGTGCAAGACGTTTAATAGTGTACGGGGCTGCATAGAACATGATTGTTGTTGTCCCTCTGGACTACAAGCGCTGGGTGTCAATATTGACTGCTTAAGCTCACCACATAACTATGCTCGGCTACTATAAGCATCCTTCTTGACCGGGAGATATTTTCACAGGCCTGTCAGATTCACGTAATATACAGCTCAGTCCCTATATCCACTTCCCCACGCCTCCTCCTCTTCCCCTCAATGCATCATCACCATCATCACACAAACCCCGAAGCCACCCCCGCGCACAACCACCCCAGTCCCCCCAAAATCACAGAGTCAATCTGATAGTCAGCCGGGGGCCACAGCTGCGGCCCTGACATCATCCTCATAGTCTGGCCCAGTCATTTTACCCGGGTTTGTCGACCTGCATTGGCGTCTTTGGGAGGAGGGGGGAGGCGCCGAAGCCGCTACTCCTAAAGTAGTGAAGTAACCCGTACAAAACCACTACTGTCAGTGTAAGTAGGGTTTAAGTCACGTATCTCCGAGGCTAGTGATCGGATTGATGGCAACGCGAGTCAGATACCGTTTAGTTTTGTGGGTTGGGACAAGATGAGTGTTTTATAGGAGGGGAGGGTGACGGTCATTAGGTTAGGACTTGGGACTGGATATATTAAATGTGTCTAGAAGGTATTCTGGACGGACCATGGACTGTGTATTTTGGACTGGGGGGTTTGGATAAACTCGATGATTTGAATTCCTACTTGTACCCCGGTGATGTATATCTCTCCCCCTCCTTCATCCCCCATAAACCCACGGCACGCCCCTCGTACAAGGTAAAGTGTAAATTATCATTGACGTCCGTCGAAAACTATCATCATTGAATTGCGGCCCGACCTGACTCGGTTATGAAATGCCATGGAGTGGGAGGGGTTCTGATTATTCGCATTACTTTCTGTAATGTTGTTGGTTAAAAAAGGGGAGTGGACTCGAACCGATTCGAAAATTCCAACTACTGTAAACTACTCCAGTCGAGTCCCCGCAGCGAACCGCAGTGCGGGCTCTGGTTGCTCGTTTCCTTGAAATTGATTGTGGGTAACGGTTCCACTCCCGAGTTGTCTTTTTTTGGTCCTGCCACTAGACTACCGTACTGGGGTCCTGGTTGGATTGGATTGGATTTGCAGACTACTGGCTGGGAGTCCGCTTCTTTCTGCCTTTGCGGAAATTAAGTACATATTTTACAGCATGGAAAGTAAAAATTCGTCTTTTTTTGTGAGTGTAGGCGCCCGTTTAACTGTGAAACACTCGTACACGCGCAATTTAAATCAGAGGGAGGGTTTTTACTTCAGGTTTGGACCCTGACAGCCGTAAAATGGATTATGGGGTTTGCATTGACTGGCTAGAAAAATACGAAGGAAGACTCGACTCGTTAATTAATTCTTAGAGTTTCGCTACTCGCTAGTCGGGCAGCTCTACTATATGTGCAACGACGACATGTACGAGGCATACGGCACGGCATAGCTTATTTACCACAATCTTAATTAGCGACAGCTCCAAACCTAACATACCAGCCATGCCCATAGACGCTCTGAACGAGGGGGCAACTTATTTGGATCGTCGCGAAAAACTGGCAGATCGCCGAACCTACCCTACAGTAGCGCCCAGGTCCAGCATGAACGACAGAACCACGAGCCGTGAACTTTACTGTAGATCATCGAGGACGGTTTCGAACACACCCAACAACGTACCAAAAAGGCAACAGGCAACCACAGTAGGATAAGAACTAACAAACTACATATACATATCGCAATTTTAATCCCAAGTATGGACAGAAGTATGATTGGAAGGGCCGAGTATACTTAGATTAATATTGGATCCCTCTAATCTCGGGCGGGACCTCAACCAATGAGCCTCGCGGAGATCAACGTTTCGCGTTCGCATTACTCGGAACATTCCTAAACGTCTCTCCGACGGTTAGTCTCAATTTCTCGCTACCGAGGGTCTCAATGGTATAGGTTGAACATTGGTCTGCACATGATCGGTTAGAGATTAGTTGTATGAGCAGATTGTTTGTGGCATGTTATGTAAGAACTGTGGTGCTCTCGGGGCTGGGGACGAATGTGCATATAACATGCAATAAATATGCTTCCTCCCGAGTACATTACTTGTGTTGTGGTTCATGGTGTGGAAACACCATTTTTCCAGGTACAGTAATGTGCATCCGCATAAAATCCTCGTTGTGAATTTTCTTCCTAGAGCATCCGAATACTGCCCAGTCCAACGAGATACTACAAGTTGCCACAGTATCTTTTGTTACTAGGTGGCTCACAATCCTAGACATCACCACGACAAAACAACCGCAAGGCTAATTTCGCCTACCTAACTCCACGTGTCTGCCACGGAGGTGCCGCATTTATTGCAGAGATGTCGTATGTATTCGACCACCCACCCTCTCGCCCTTGCGTCCAGTCAGGTCGCCATTCCCCTTTCCCGTCCCGTCTCAGTGCCTCCCGTCGAGGTCAAACACGCATGCCAATGCCAAATGCCATGCTGGGATCCATATGCGCATTCCCACCCTAGACGGGGGCGTTTTTTTTTTTTTCTTCCACCGGGACGGCGCGGTAGTCGTAGTCTCAAGATAACCAGGGACGGTGGTTCAGCTACAGTACTACATCGCTGTGGGTATCTACAGTAGTAAGTGCATCATCCGTACCTCTTGCATTCCTCATGCCAGTGGCCGGGCTCGGAGGAAGCCCACGGCTCGGTTAACTACGTCGTGTGCCCCGACTACCCTACTCTAGTTCCAGCCCGTTTGTGCCGAAGCCGCAGGGTCCATACCAGGCATGTACGGCGTCCTCCGTGCTTCTTCACGGTGGGTTGCGGGACTCGACTATGGGAAGGGGGGGGGGGTGTTGGATGGGTCGTGCTGTAAGGCAGAATATGGGCGAAGCGACACGATAGGTGATGGATGGTATGCGGTCCGGTCCACCCGTTACAAAAGGGTGTAGATGGAGATTTGACCCCGTATACAACCCGGGTTGGAAACTCGGATGCTTTGTATTGCGTGAGAGTCCACTGGTCAAACACCACGAGCCAGAGATGATCGATGGGGCTGAACCAGGCTGGGAAATGGAGCCTTCACCCCCCGTTCATCCTACTGGTGCCAGTTGCAGGGTTGGGCTCCAGCCCGAGAGACCCGGAACCATCCCCAGCTGACATAAGGGGCATGGCCAGTGAGTAACTATCCGTCGTAGGCCCATCGTTCGTTATTGAGCTGGATTGATATGGTGGAAGTGGCCTCCCTCGATTCTGATTGCCCGATCATCGTTCAGACTCGACAAATTCGCGCATCACCGTGGAGCTAGTCAGTCTTCGATCCAGTCACGGCATCGTCGACTCAGTGCCCCCGTCCATCTCAAGTGCAGTGCCGACGGGGCCGTGCGGGCCTACGTCACTATGGGGAGGGGTGACAGCTGCGTCGCATGACAAGCGTGCGAACTGTGGCGAGTCCCCTGGGTCTGGTGATGTCGATCTGCCAGGGCAAGAGCGTTCAAAGGGGACAAAGGGACGGGAGTCGAAGGGGGTGGGCAACTAAGGAGACATCTGTCGGTCCTCGTGGGAGGATGCATATAGTGCGTTTGGCAAGGATATAACTCGGTTATTAAGATGTCAACTACGGAGTATATGTGAGGGGGGGGGAGGAAAGACTGTAGAATTGTGGTGAGTACCTAAGAGTAGACACTGTAAACTCAAAAAGGACGTGAAATATCAAAGATGCCCTGCCTAACGACTGTTCGGGCCGTGATATTGGACTGTAGATTTCCATTTCTACCTAAAATCGACCCAAATCATCTGGATACCTAAGGCAGGCAAAACTGGTACAATCGAGAGAGTATGCCCGTACTCTGGGTTGCAAAGTCGGGAAAACAGGAATGGCCGGGTTAAAACGTCCAGTACGGTGTAATTACCGGTCAGCAGTGACCAGAAACGGGCGTACCGGTTTTGATTACGGGGTCATACGAGTTGGCCCCTGCTTCCGGGTCTTGGCTTGAGTACTCTGTGCCCCCCCATCCGCCCACTGGATACGGATTGTCCATATGGTTGATTCATCTTCAGTAGACGTTTCTGTCTAACTCACCAAGACTACTGAATATGTGCTATATACTCTCTTTATAGCATTCGCTATCTACTTTACAAATCACTGCCTAGACTGTACTTTACGTACTCCAAGGCACCCCGTCCGAACCTGTGCATTGACCAAAGCCGATTGCAGATGCAGCCTTGGCCCTAGCCCCGACCGCCCAGTAAGCGCCGACCGGGAGCTTCTCAACGTTAACCTTTTCAGCCAGGTGCAGTTGCCCATCTTTGCGCTTCTCATCCTCTTTTCACTTGAACCCTGAACCTAAAATACCTCGTAGTCAAAGGTTGAGGCCAGAGTCTAGGGAGTGGGGTATACTACGGAGCACTATTATACATCATACTATACAGTTCTAGGTTACCGGAGATGTAAGCTGGCCCTTTACTCAAATCAATTTTCAACGTCCCCCTCGTCCTGCTGCTGTTGAGTGGCCCTTGCCCCCCCCCCTCTTCCGTGCCCAGTCCCGCCCCCCGCCCCAGCAGGAGCCAGAATGGGACCCGCGACCCGCTGCATGTTATTGGAGGATCTCGAAAGCCCGTACTCGGGTGCGATCTGTGTGAGGGAGAGAGGTTGGCTGGATGTTGGATGGGGCACGGACAGTTCACCTTTCTTATGACAGATTGACAGGTTGATCACGTTTCTTCCAGGGGTAAAGAGGTGTGAGGAACAGGCCATGGTTGCATCCTAATTTATCTTCAGGTCTACCCCCTTTTTCTCTGAATCACCAGGTTGGGCGTTTAAAAACAATAGAACGGCACGAGAGTACTGTAATAATGGGGAATACGGGAGCTTCACTATGCGATTATGTAAGCGCTCACTAAGGCTTTGCCACTACTGGCGTTAGTGGTGGGCGTTAGCATGGTTTAGGGCTTAGCTTGGTTGTTTACTGGAGAGTCTTGTGATGAATCTGAGTTGAGATTGTATCTACCAGCTAGTAGCTTTTTAGCTCAAGCCATGGGAATACTGAATCAAGGTCTGGACTGAACTGGACTGGACGGTCGAGTGCTTCGAGGCCCCTCGGTACCGGCCAAGTATAGCTGTGAGTTTGCAGACTTTGATCGCTCGTGGTATGTTTTCTTCTGCCGGGGCCCGATATCCGACTCACCGTACTTCTTGGCTGGATGTACGTTAGCGAGGAAGTATATAATACATCCTGGTGAAGGCAATATATGTAGAGAGTTTCCACCTTGGGGTTGGTACCTCTTCTATATCCCGACCGAACAGAGTATACATTATAGAATACCGTCTTACGTGTTTCCCCCCCCCAAGTATACTAATGTGCTATCACTCTCGACGAGGGCTAGAACCCAGCGGTGACCGTAAGGACGGGACAGAGAACGCACGGCTGGAATCCCAATTACTCGGAGCTGGGCATCGGCAACGATCACTGCAGCTCACATGCCAAGGGCCATCCCTGTAGGCATCGATTTAGAAGTACGCGGAGTACATCCTTGAATAAAAGACTGGCGGCCACGACTACGGTATGGAAGCAGCCTCTCATGGTCTCCAATTGAGTCCACCGGAGAAGGGACTAGACCTCCCCAGGAGAGTCCCCAGGGAAGTCCCCAGGGGAAAGGGGAAACAGTGACGGGGATCGACATTCGGTGTTGGGCTGCCGGGTCCCGTTCGTGCCGTATCTCGCATGGCATGTGTGGCTCAAGCTTTGAAAGCGAGATCGGCCGCAGGAGAGGGAGACGAAAAGGGAGATTGGGCTAGTCAAGTACTGCATGAGGTACTACAGTACAGGGTACGGGACTGTGAACTAGTCTGTCCGTATATACAGTAGTCATCACATACGTAGGTGATTCCATCCAGTCGGCACGATAAAAGGTTATTGCTAAAGGAGTAAGGGGGGAGAAAAGATAAAAAAAGAAAATATAGATCTTACGGGAAATAGAGACCGTGCAGCCGAGAGCAAATGACGGGCTCGGGAAACTTCAACGCATACTTCCCGTACGGAGAACGGAGAATGAAATCTCCCCCCACTACAGCTTAAGCCGAAGGACTAGACCTCGAGTTAAATCTTGGCTAAGCTAAAGGTTGTTGAAAATTCAAAATTGGAATTGGTAGGAGACTAAAATAGTACTCTGTCAATGTGAATGGAGGGAGACTAGTCTATAAGCTTGTATGTACTCAGTACACACCTCGTACTCACTCCACATTCACCAAATTTATACTCTAGTTAGCTCCAGGAACAACTATATACTTTATGATTGAAGAACGTGGTCAATATATCAGATGTAGTATAAAACCAAATACTCGGGGGTTTTCCAGTCTAGTTAGTTTTTGTTTCCATCAGACTCAAGACTCCTGGAGCAATGGAACTCGGACGATGGGAAACTGTGGGACTATGGATCTATTTCCACGGGCCACTTCATGGCCCAAGCTTCTTCAAGTCAGCTGGACTCGATGACATCGTGGTCACGAGGCGGATCCAGCCAATCGTCGGGGTTCCTGCGAAAATCGCGGCTGGTCACCCGACCGCGGAACATCAGTGTCTCCGACTACTTTGGTCATTTGGATCATTGGAGAAAGGAGGGAGGGGAAAGTTGAGTATGACGGACTATATTTAGTTATTGTGATTATAGTGTCATCAATAGTACGCAGTAACCGGGAATACCATAGGTTGTAGCACAGGAAGTACAGTGGACATTTAGTGAAAAAGTCCAAAAAGGTAGCGAAGAACTCTCCTCAGATTCCAGGACGCCGGTATGTATTATTGTATCGTCGTGTGGGTAATTGCCCTCGTTCCGATGATATCATCCCAGTCTTGGATACCGCTCAGACAGTTGACGTATCCGTAATACAACAATTGCGGTATTATGTTTTCTATACCTGACCAGCCACCTAAGTGTACAGTACCAAAGCGCCATGATTATTGACAGTAGGAATCATAATCATGAGAGGCAAATAATCAAGCCATGATATTCCAGCTCTTTCAGCTTTGGGGCGGGGGAGATGGGGCAAAACTGATGAGAGATCAGATCTCCAGCCTGACTGTTCTTTCTGCAGGGCATGATCCAATTTCAAAGAGGGTCTATAAAGCCGGAATGGAACGCATAAGGGGAAGGCTAGATCTTTTTCATATTGCTTTTTTGTACTCCCTTTCTTCTGTGCATTTTGTCTGAAGCATAATCGGTCTTGAACTTGTAGTCGTTCGGCGCCCCCCCTCTTTTTTGCCCTCTTTTTGTTCTATACACCCTGTACACTGCCACGACCACTGCCACAATTCCCCGTCTAACCCTAGCACTTGGATCATTTTCCCAACCCCCCCCCTCCATCGTTCCTCAAGTTTTGCTTCAGCCCCCTCTGCTTTTTTCTTATCCTCTATCTATCCATCGTACTGCTTGGCTGGTAAGCTTTCGTACGAACGAAGAATTATTCCCTTGAGCCAGTGGTTCTTCGTACGTCACCCCGGTTTCTGACCCAATCTTTCTCTGCTCCATCTCCTCTCAATATTCCCAATATCATATTATACAGAGACATACCCGTCTCTTACCCAGTACCCGCTCAATACCCATCAATACACCACCCAAACCATCATCTTACCAATCTTACCAATCTTACCACCAACCGGACCTTACGAACTGACTCTCTTCCTCTTCTGACTAACCAAAACAGGTGACCTCTCTCTCCCTCTCTCTCTCCACCACACTTAACCTTCCCAGTCTAACCCGTCTTATTTCCTCCACGTCCTCTTCATTGGTCAAACATTATCCTGCTATTTGCCCACCTTTCTTCCCTCTTCATTCTTCCTGCTTTCTCTCCCTCTCTCTTTCGTGCATTCTTGGCGCTCGCCGTTTCTTCTCAACTCGCCCCGTTCGGACCTGCCGCCCACTCCTCCCACACCCCTCCCCCCTCCCCTCCGAAGCTACTCCACCACCGACCTACACCTCGCCCAAAACGGATTCTCTTTCTCTTCTACAATAGCACATCCCACACCCTCCCAGAGATGTCACAGAATCGACCTGGGTTGTTCCCCAGTTTGCGCATGGGTGGTAAGTCGTCTCGAATCGTCGTCAATTGCGCCTCGCTGGTCCGTGTTCACTGACGTCTCTTCCTCTTTTCCTGCGCAGAGGTCATCCGCGAAAAGGTCCAAGATGGCCTGACCGGCGAGCACAAGGAGATCTCCTACACCCAGTGCAAGATCGTCGGCAATGGATCCTTCGGTGTCGTGTTTCAGACCAAGATGGCCCCCAGCGGCGAGGACGCTGCCATCAAGAGAGTCTTGCAAGACAAGCGGTTCAAGGTAAGGCGGACGCTGGCGGACAATCCTCACTTGGTTGGAGAATCCTCCCCCTCGGGCTAATCGATTTGTCCGGTTGCTTTATAGAATCGTGAGCTTCAGATTATGCGGATCGTGCGCCATCCCAACATCGTTGAACTGAAGGCGTTCTACTACTCTAACGGCGACAGGGTACGTGTGTAATGCACTCACTTTCTCTCCTCCCTCTTTTCCGCCCAACTGGGCCTCTTTCTCTTCCCCCCTCTGGCTCCCTTTTCTCTTACCTTCACTTTCCCCGCCCGGCTGACCTGGCTGTATTGTCCCGTGACTGCAGAAAGATGAAGTCTACCTCAATCTTGTGCTCGAATACGTTCCCGAGACCGTGTACCGCGCATCGCGGTACTTCAATAAGTTGAAGACGACAATGCCCATGCTGGAGGTCAAGCTCTACATCTACCAACTCTTCCGGTCGCTGGCATACATTCACTCACAAGGTATCTGCCATCGTGACATTAAGCCCCAAAATCTGCTCCTGGATCCCAATACTGGTATCCTGAAGCTGTGCGATTTCGGATCCGCCAAGATTCTCATCGAAAACGAGCCCAATGTCTCCTACATCTGCTCTCGCTACTACCGAGCGCCAGAGTTGATCTTCGGTGCCACCAACTACACAACGAAGATTGGTACGTTGGCTTTCTATCTCTTGCCCCCTTTTCCTACTCTACTCCCTTTCACCGGCCCGGCGTGGCTAATATTCCCGCAGATGTTTGGTCGACTGGTTGTGTGATGGCTGAACTGATGCTGGGTCAACCGCTATTCCCCGGTGAATCTGGTATTGATCAGCTGGTGGAAATCATCAAGGTGCTCGGCACTCCGACTCGTGAGCAGATTCGCACCATGAACCCCAATTACATGGAGCACAAGTTCCCTCAAATCAAACCTCATCCCTTCAATAAGGTATGTACCCCGTCCTTCCTCCCTCTTTTCCGTCGGTCGCATGAACTGTTAGCGGGAGAAACCATGGATATCAATGCTGACCGATCGCAGGTTTTCCGCAAGGCACCCCCAGAGGCCATTGACCTCATCTCGGCGCTCTTGGAATACACTCCTACCCAACGGTTGTCCGCCATCGAAGCCATGTGCCATCCCTTCTTCGACGAACTGCGGGATCCGGCTACCCGGTTACCAGATTCGCGACACCACAACAACCCGCCCAAGGATATGCCCGCCCTCTTCAACTTCACACGACATGGTGAGTGCCATCAAGAATATTTTTTTTTCCTTTTTTGCTTGTCCATTTGCTTTTTTTATTTCTTATATTTGCGCATTCCTTTGTTTATCATTCCGGTTTTGGTGCGAGCTCGAAACTCATAATGATGCAGAACTCTCGATCGCCCCCGAGCTGAACGCCCAGATCGTTCCCCCTCACGCTCGTCCTGCTCTGGAAGCACAAGGTCTCGACATTAACAACTTCAAGCCTCTACCGAAAGAGGAGATGATGGCCCACCTCGACTGAGTCGATTGATACCACCTCCGCGAAGGGACACGTCTGTTTGTTAATGCGTTCCGCACCAGTGCGTGAGTATTCAATGGCCTGACCGATCCGACAAACCTATCATGTTTCGAGTGGGCTCTGACACAAGAGCAAGGAGGGGCCCCCAATTGCCTATTGCCAAGTCTGTACACCTTTTGGGACTTGGCGGGAGCAGCCCTGGTGAGGAACTGCAAGTCTTTGTCCAGTTGAGGAAGTGAACTTTTGGAAAGAATGTGGAAAGAAGAGGCAAATGAGTGAAAGTGACGGGAAGGGGCGACATGGAAATGAGGTTTCGACGAGGGAGGGACCTGGACGTGCAAACGCAGAATATGGAACATTTTTTGTTTCTTCTTCATGCCTTTCTCCTTCATGGCCAGAAAATTGGGCAAAAAGATCATTCGCATTTTTACAAATGGAGGGGTGTCGGTAACCGGGGGGGAGAGCCTGATGATTGTCACGTCAACGGTGGGGAGGTCCATGGACTTGGAGTTTTGATTTTGGAGGTGTCTGCGACATGCTCTTGGGAGGAAAAAGTGATACCCTTTCTGTGCAAGTCTGGCCCGTCGGGGATTTGAAGACTGCATAGCTCCGCCGGTCGAGGGAGAGGCAATGGGATTCTGTGGATCTGGATCTTGGATATTCGGGAGAGCTTTGTGGCTTATGGGGGCTGCCCTGCCCCGATGATGCGCTCTTTCTCCTGATATTCCCGGGACATACGAATGGGATGCATTCTGGACGCCCTTGAAGGCTTTTTATTCGATTTCGTCCCCTTCTTGTCTCCCCGGCCTATTTTTTTTTTTTTGTTTCCGTTTTATCCTCTCGATCTCGATCTTCAAATGTTTCCCGCGTTGGGGCTACCGCTGGCTTGGTTGGGCCTGTTCGGATTGGATCTGATATAACTTATATCTGATCTTTTGATATCCGGTATAGTCTCGATTCGAACATCGGTCTAACCTTTCCCTCGTTTCCCTTGTGAAACTGGAAATTGGAGATCATATTTCCCTTCCCCTTGCCCCCTTCGACCTGCAGCGCTAGAATCCTGTTCTTTTCTTCCCCCTTTGCGTCTCCCGATGTTGGCTTCTTTCTTTCTCTCTCTTTAGTCCCCTACTTTTTTACTCTACCTATTTCTCTTCCCTTTATTCATCTCCCGCGTCTCGATGTCTGTGTTGCAAATGTCATTTGTCCTGGTTTTTAGCGGGCTCGGCTAGTCCTTGGTTCCTTTCCCCGGTTCTTCCCTGGTTCGGAGTCTCCAATTTTCGAATGTCGACTTGCCTTAAACTTCTAAGTTTGAACTCGTATCGTGGTCCTCCTAATTCTCCACCCCTGCCTCACGGACGATGCTTTGTTCGTTTCAGGTTTGAAGCAGACGTTTCTGCTTGTTGATGTTTGGTTTCGGGTGCTGTCGTTGTAGATTGTGTACGGGGTAATGTAGTGCTGGATCGAGTTGGTGTCCGTGTAGATTGCAACGGCAACGTGTAGATGCCTGGGCTAATCTATACCTGCAAAGTTCGTGTGGAACTGTGTGTACTGCGGTGTTGATCTCCCTACCTACTTCATCACCCATGAGACATTTCTAGAGCCATCAACATATATTAGAAGAACGTGACCTTGACTTGAGGAAAACGTTTCCTGGGGAAAGATTCACAAGGTGGATGGTGTAAGATGCCTGACAAGTAGATATACGAGGATGAGTGTAGTATAAAGAGTCATAGAAAGGCGGGATGGACGAGCTCGATACGTATTGATGGAATCGGTACCGTTTGATATTTCTCTATTGGATTTCATGGAACTGAAACGCCTAGCTGTAGGTGTTTATGTTTATATACTCTGCTTTCTAGCACGGGGTATAAAGCCAAGTTGAGACTTGGTGCGGACTCGGTGTCCCGGTTATTCCACGGACTAAGGAGATTCCTGCTATTGCTAATTAACACGAAGATCTTCCATATCCTTGGAAGGAGCCTGCGTCTTGGAAAGGGTTTCAAGTTGAGGGACGAGTATCAAAGGTTACATCTGACGATCAATCAATCAGTCTACTCGAGTGAATGTATATTTGGAATCGTATAGCCAAACCTCATACATAACATTCGTGTGGGATGTACTCCATATATATGGATGCAAAAAAAACATGGTAAAATCAAGCAAAGCAGAAACCCTTCTATGAGTCATGGTTGAAAACTCCCAAATGTTGAATATAAGGCTCCGCTGGAAAAAATCCAAATGCCCACAAAACCCCGCCCATGCCCTGGTGGTTGAACCCGATGATTGTTGAAACGGCACACTTTCAACAACTCCTCACGCTCACCCAAGGAAAAAAAAAGGAAAGCTCAAAAAGAAGAGATGAAAAGAAATGGAAGATTATACTCGGTCAAGGACGAGACGAGTATGTTTTACTCACTCCTCTTCTCCAAACCGTACCCACCAATACCATCCGTCGCCCCATAAGTCTTTGCCTGGCCCGAAACCCCATTCCTAGGTCCACGAGCCTTCAAGTCCTCCTTCAACCACTTCAATACCAACTCACCAAGCCTACTATTCTCCGACGTCCAATCCGGCACCTGATCATAAAACGTCTCCAACGGACCGTCAGCTCTGACCTTGCCCAAATGCATATGCACAAGATGAGTCGGCCACTGCGCCAGATTGTCCAGGATATGCGTCGCATAGACGATAGTACACGGTCTAGACTCGGTCTCCCTCTTCAAGAACGCGAGGAAGTTGCTCCGCGAAAGCAGATCCAGGTCCACGGTGATTTCGTCAAGCAACAACACGGTCCAGGGTCGTAAGAGACCCATTGCGAGCTGGACACGGCGCCGCTCACCGTCCGAGACGGCGTGCATGCGCCAGCGGAGATCGATGTCGAGGATATCGACTAGTTCGTCGCGGCGTTCGGGCCAGGCGTTCCCGCCGACGGAGGCGAGGAGGGTGGGGACGTCGATGTCCGTGCGGACGATGCTGTTCAGGACCCATTCTACGCCGAGGTAGGTTACGCCTTCGAGGCTGTCTTTGAAGGGGTCTACGCCGCCGACTGAGACGGTGTTTGTGGGTGCGAGGCGTTTGCCGGAGAGGAGGCGGAGGAGGGTGGTTTTGCCTGCGCCGTTTGCTGTGGTTGGTGTTAGCGAGGGTGAGATGGGATGGAAGCCTGGATGGTGGAAATTTAGGACGTACCGCCGATTAGAAGGGTTCGACTTCCGGCAGGAAGATCAAGGGTAACGTGCTCCAGGCCCTCGGAGCCATCTTGGAATTTATAGGAGAGGTCCTTGACTGCGATTGACGGGGCGGACTTGGCCATGGTGCAGGGGTGGGGTGTGGAAGCTGGTGATGGAGAGGAATTGACCCGGACACGGGTTTAATTCGGATTGGAAAAGGATAAAACTGAATTGAAGAATAGTTGAGGATGAGTCACAGCTTGGTTCAGAGCAATCCAAAGGGTAACATCCGAGGTGGTTGGTCTAGAAAACTAGACTCTGATGTTAGCGCCTTCGCCATTGGGGATGAGGTAATGTGCGATAAGAACCCCGCGATAAGGATCTTTTTCTGCGTATCGTGGGTTTCTGATCTACAACCTACCTGCCACGCCCTGCAAAAGGCAACATGTGGAGCTCGGCATGCTCTCAGCTCTTCGATATTTCTATCCCACTCGCAGAACAATCATGGATCCTCTCATAGCCGTCGTCGGCGCCACGGGCACCGGCAAGTCCAAGGTAATAAGAGCACCCCGCTAAACTCACCAGGTCAGCTAGGTACCAACCTAACGAGCGACCCTTGCCTCCTCACATGGAAAACGAATCAAGATTACAAGGATTAACTGGTACAGACAGCTCGCCGTGGACTTGGCCGCCCGATTTAACGGAGAAATCATCAACGGCGACGCGATGCAAATGTACCGCGGTCTCCCAATCATCACGAACCAGATCCCCATCGCCGAACGCAAGGGCGTCCCACACCACCTCCTAAGCTGCGTCGATCTAGAAGCCGAGGCATGGCGAATCAGTCACTTCAAAAAGGAGGCGCTGCGTCTGATCGAGGATATCCGAAGCCGGGGCAAACTACCCATTCTCGTCGGGGGCACGCATTATTACACACAGGCCGTGCTGTTCAAGGACCAATTAGTTGCGGACGGATCAGATGTCGAAGACGGAGTGGAAACCTACGAGGAAGTACCCTCTACATCGGAGAAATGGCCTATCCTCGATTCGTCGCCGGAAGTTCTTATGGAGAAATTGAAGGAGGTTGACCCCGTTATGGCGGCGCGATGGCATCCGAAAGATGCAAGGAAGATTCGCCGGTCATTGGAAATCTATTTTCAGACTGGACGGCCTGCTTCGGAGATTTATGCTGAACAGCAGGTTCAGAAGGAAAAGGCCGTTTCGCTGGAGGAAGGATTGCTGCGATTTGAGAATACCCTCATCTTCTGGGTTCATGCCGAGAAAGAGATTCTGAATGCGCGGCTGGACGCGCGTGTTGACGACATGGTTCAGCAGGGATTACTTGCCGAGGCGGAGAGTATGTTTGACTTTTTGCAAAGAAAGGAGGCTCAGGGGATCCCGGTCGATCTTACTCGCGGCGTGTGGGTATCGATTGGCTTCAAGGAGCTGGCTCCGTACTTTACAGCGCGCCGGAAGGCGGAGATGAGTGAAGAAGTACTGCGGGCTTTGCGCAGCAGGTGTATCGAGTCTATTCGGACTGCGACGCGGCAATACGGTGGATCCCAGATTAAGTGGATTCGCAATAAATTGTGGCGGGCCCTCGCGGATGCGGACATGACGAGGCGGTTGTATCTTCTGGACAGCAGCGATGTCAGTCAATGGGGTGAATGTATCACGGCACCCTCCGAGCAGATTGTCCAATCGATGCTGCAGAGTGAAATCACCCCGGATCCAAAGAGTCTGTCCGTGCTGGCGAAGACTGTGCTCGGCGCCAAGGAAGAACAGGCGCAGGCGCAGCCCGGGTCTGCTATGAAGAGCTTTACTTGTGATGTATGCGGGAAGACCATGGTGGGTGACGAGCAGTGGGAGATTCATCTCAAGAGTTATAGTCACAAGCGAGGCGTCAAGTCTGCGGCACGCAAAGCAGAGCGAGATGCGTACTTTCGCAAGCGGGAGTTGGAGGAAGCTCAGAAGGGAGCGGCCCTGGAGGCTGATTCCGAGGGCAAGTTCAAAGCATAGGGTAGAGGGTGGAATTGGAAGATTCGGTGCAGTGTATGTCGAGGATACCACTATATAAGTCTTACATATCTCCAGTCAGACACATTCAATCCAGCCACTCACTCCTCCATCAAGCCTTCTCGCCACGTCTTGAACGCAGACGAGAGGATATCACCATGCCCAGACTCTTCAACCTTGTAAACCTCAATCTTATGAGACTTTTCCACCTTTCGTATCCTCCAAACTCCCTCTCCCTGGATAACCTGCTTCAGCCCTGAAACGGAGAAAGCATTAGCCAAAGCCCAACCCCTATCCAACGGTAAACCTAGCTAGCCCTTGGAAAACACGGGACAAGACTTACACTCCAGAAACGCCGCCGCAAAATTGATACAAATATTCCCATCCCAGCTCCCCCGACCAACCTTCTTTACTTTACCGGGAATACTAGCAGTCTCGAGCTCTTCCAGACGATGCACGATACCCTGTTGATCACGGAACCCGACGATAATCTTGGGTACACCAAGTAAGAACGACTGGGCCCAGAATTTGAGTAGTTTCCGCTCGTACTTGAGCATATCGCGGTCATTGCGGATTTCGGCCGAGGTTTTGAGTTCAACCCAGTGAATGGGATCTTCTTTCCTATCGGGTTTGCAGTCCCAGACTAGAGATGTGTGTGTGTTAGTATATCATACCATTAGATAAAGGTTTTGGTGTAGAACGACGTTACCCGCATCGACTTCGCCGCCGAGGACCATGCGCACGTTTCCCATGCCCGTTTTGACGACCGAGCAGTATTGGGCGCTATTATTGACGACCTCGTTCTGACGACCTTCGATTTCTTCGCGGGTGGATGGATCCCATGGTTTTCGGAGGACGGATAGGACTTCGAATTTGTAGCCTGGTACCGTGAGATTAGCATCGCGGTTATTTTGTTTTCGAAGGTGGGTATAGCGCTGTTGGAAAGTGGAAAAGTGCCGGGTAGATCGTACCCCAGTACATCATGAGTTCTTGGGATGCCATTCCCGGGGGCATTCTTTGGTTTCGTTGAAGTTCTTTTTGTCGGTTTTTGTATGAGTTGTTCTCTTCGATGAATCTGGAGACGCCATGTCAATGCTTGTAGAGGTAGAGTACTGCATTAGTTATGTTGATACGCACATCGTGCCCTGTTCAAGGTTAGCCCGATGCTTTTTGTGTCGTTGAGCTTAGGGTTGGTCTTACCTGATAACATGTCGCATTCATCTCGAAACTATAGTAGACGGAGCCATGTTAGCCAAACTTCTCTATTACATCCGGATTCGAAGGGACTATCCACCCATTCATCATATCAAAGGGAGCCGTCAAAATCTATACACCCAGTCAGTATTGTCCAGTGTAACCATCAACTTGCATCCACCAACCTTGGTCAACATCCCCCGCCACGTTAGAATATCAGTCTCACATCTCTTCCCCGTCTCCTTTTCCATCGCAATGACGGTATCAAGCAACGCATCCAAATGCTCATCCGCAGCATCATTAAGTTTCTGAAACGTATCGAACCCGATATTTAGGTCTGCGGGTAGACTTGGTGGGTAGTAATATGCGATAGATGCATCACCCAGGGAGAAGCGGCGATCCTGATCATAGGAGAAGCACGCGATTTCCTATATATTGGTTCTTAGCCTGGTTGTTCTAGGGAAAGGGAACGGGGATGGGATTTCTCAAGGCTTTGTGAGTCACGTATTTACCTTTGGTCGGCGGATGGTGGTATTTGAACCGCCGAAACGGTTCACGGGTTGGATGTCGAAGGTTGCTTGGTTCATGGTCGTGATTATGGGAGAGGAGGGATCGATTATGGTCCGAGACGAGGTACAGGCGCAATGGAAATGCGCGGACCCTTGGCACTGGGATTGGAATGAAAGCCAAGGGCTAATCTCAGATATCCGGTTGAATAGGCCGTGCAAATGCGCTTGTTAGTCCGTCTGAAAGGCGAACTGGGCCTTGATGCGCCAATATCAGCGTCCCTAGCTGAGGGCGGCCCAGGGCTAATAATGAGCCGTAGAGATCCCGCGCTACCCTGACAATCGTCGCAAGACTTTGAGACTGGACGTAGCTGTAGTACTGCCGAACCACCACCCAGAAGTAAAGGGTGCAATATCTCCTATTAATGTCGAGTCTAATCGTTGAAGACGAATTTGACCGGATCGAGCGCAAACAGCTCAAAGGAGCTCTGGCGCTCGGGGAAAAAGGCGCCGGCCGATTGGCTCCCGTTCCCCACCAACGTTGTGCTTTGCACGCCCCCGCGTACACTCTCCATCAACGACGAGCTTGGGTCACTGCTTGAAACAGTCTGCATACTTTTCCCCCTTTCATTTTTTTTTCTGGTCATTCCTGTCCGTGACCTCTTGGCAGCTCCATCATGACTTCCCGCATTGACAAAACCATCGCCCGCCAGCGAGAAAAGTATGTCCAACCCGCTGAACCCGGACCCTGCCTGGAACCCTCCAGAAAACTGACCGGCTCTCTTGCACCTCTAGGATCGCGGCGGGAGCTTACTACGAGGCACACCAGCAACTACGTGTCATTGCTGCGCGCTACATCAAGCAGTCCAACTACGATGCGGCCGCGGAAATACTGGCGGGCGGAGCGACGGCTCTGTTGAGGGCTGGTTCTCAGCAGGGTGCGTCGGCCAGCGGTGGTGATCTGGCGATTATGTTGGTTGTGGACGTCTATAACAAGGCCGAGTGGGAGATTCAGGGGAGTGATAATGATACGGAGGGCCGGGCGCGGAAGAGTGAGTTGACCGTACATCGTATGTTGTCTTGGTGGGGAAGTGACTTGAAGCTAATGCGTCTGCGTGTACTGGGTAGAGCGTCTGATTGAGCTTCTGCGCGAATTTCCGTCGGAAGAACCCACGAGGAAGCGCTATATCCAGGAGATGATCGGGTGGAGTGGACGGCATGGTCCTTTGGAGCGTGGAGATCCCGAGCTACACCATGCTGTTGGCTCAGTCTACGCGGAAGGTCAGTGGAAATATCATGATGGCTATTTGGATATCTGGGTATCGGGCTATGAATGAGACTCTAACTTGATTATGTACAGATAACGAACCGTACGATGCCGAGAGACACCTGATACTGGGAACGTCCGAGTCCGCAGAGACGCTGGCGAAACTCGAGTACGAGTGGTACACGCACGATGAACCGCACACGGCCGCCCTGTATGCCTCGCGCGCAGTCTTCCCTTACCTCTTAACCGGCAACATCCGCAGCGCAAACAAGGCCCTCCTCATCTTCACCTCTCGGCTTTCCACTGCGAACCCTGCCCTGGGTGTGCAGACCGTAAGCAGTTCCAGCTCGGACATTCGTCTCTTCCCTGCCCTCCCGCTGCTCAACTTCCTCAACCTGCTGATGCTTACTATTCAGCGCGTGAGTGCGGATATGTTCAAGCAGCTGACGGCGCATTATGCGGCGCAGATCCGGGAGGTGGGTATTTGGGACGATTTCCTGGCGCAGATTGGGGAGCAGTACTTTAAGATCAAGGTTCCCCGGCAAGGGAACCCGCTCTTGGATATGATGGGCAGCATGTTGTTCGGCGGTGGTCAGGGTCAGGGTCAGGCTCAGGTTGGAGGGAGAGCCACGAAGAAGGTCGAGGCTCCTCCTTCAAACATGGAGCTTGACTAGAGGCCGACGGAGATGCTTGAAGAGAAGAGAAGCTTGCAGCTTGCAGCTTGACCTGGTAGTGGACATACCCAATTGACGGTGTAATGACTTGAACAATGGTATAACAGCGTGTTGATCGAAACATGGACTTAGAATCGTACATCTCTCTCCGGTTCGAACATCCAATTGTCGTCGTCCAGGGAAGCAACTTTTTTGCGTAGACTCTGGTGGACAATATTTAAGATTTCTAGCAGCAGAAGAAATAATCAGCAAATCCGTACCCAACTTCCGGCACTCTCCAGGAGAAAAGAAAGTGACCTACCATCTGGTTCCCCACTAGACTGGCGATTCCGATGCCGAATAACCATCTCAACAAGCGCGGCCTCGAATTCTATCCCAACACCGTCAGCTCCAGTCTCGCCATTAGAAGGATATCGTAACATACTATCTTTATCTCTCCCATTCAACTCTACGTCCAAAGCAGCCTCCCCGCCCTCCTCCTCAGCCTCGAGTCCACCCAACTCCTCCCCATCCTCCCCGACAACTCCATGCGGCAGCGACAGTACATCCAACTTGTACCCGCCATTCTTATCACGGACAACAATCTCCCTATTCTCGGTTGGTTTGATGGGGCGGGAAGTCTCCGAGGAGGTGGGTTTTAGGCGGTGGTGTGAAGAGCGGGACGAGAGGGTGTTGGTTGTGTTGTTGTTGCTTGGTTGGATGCCTATGCTTGGACCTGTGCTTGTGTTTGCGCTGAGGCTGTTCGGGGGGCCGGTGGAGGCGGGGCGGCGGCTGAGGGTTTGGTGGAAGAGGGTGCGGCGGACGGAGGGTTGGGACATGTTTGGCATCTTGGATAGTATGATAGGCTACTAAGAAGGTGCAGCAAGACTGGCTGAGGCTCTTTTGCTGTGCGGATGTTACTGGAGGCTTGTTATGTCGGAGATGGACGCGCCGCGTGTGTAGTGTTTGGTTGTTTAAAGCGAGTGGATAGACTTGACGAGTCAGGTCGAGTCTGGAGTAATTATTGAGGTTAGAGAAGCTGAAGTGTTGACTGGGCACTGTGTGGGTGGTAAGGATAGGTTGATATGCCGTGGAGGTGTTGGAGGTTTGAATATTGAGGGGGTAGAATAGTCGGAGAACTTGCGATGGCCGCGAACGGAAAATGATGCGGCAGCGCGTCAAAAAAGATTAGTGGTCGAGCTGGGCCTTCAGACACAACCATATTATTAGACCGAGTCTCAAGGATCAGGGGAGTCTCATTGCCTTTGTACTCCTAAGAAGCTTTTATCTAGCAATTCGTAGATTTTATCATGGCAGCAGATCACTCTGATTGGTGTTCTCTCTATACCATGCATGAACTATCCGTTTCCCTCAAGGCGTCGATTTCAATTATGGTTAGTCTGGAATAGATCTAGACTGATGGGACAAAATGAAAAGATCCATGAGCAATAAGCTTAGTATCACAGCTCAGTCTCTACTATGGTCCAAGAGCAATGCAACTCCTGTACTCCATACTCGGTCCAGCTTATCACCCTTTAAGGAAGCTCTTATCCGCTTATCGCGAGGCGCGTCCACTTTCGCGTCTTTCCACCACCGCTTTCTTCCCCCACGACCATCATCCCATCCATCACACACCATGGTGCAAGCCGAATCCTCAAAGACTGCCGAGCGCAATGCTCTCAGAGCTGTTACTGCAGGTGCTCCTGCAGACTACGAGCTCCCCTGGTCAGTATCAATTGCCCATGATTGAGGCAAGGACACCGAGCTGACTTTTTACTCTCTCTCTCTCTCTACAGGGTTGAAAAGTACCGCCCGGTCTTCCTCGATGATATTGTCGGTAACACGGAGACGGTGGAACGCTTGAAGATTATTGCCAAGGATGGCAATATGCCTCACGTTATTATCTCGGGCATGCCGGGTATCGGAAAGACGACCTCGATCTTGTGTCTGGCTAGACAATTACTGGGAGATGCCTATAAGGAGGCTGTTTTGGAGTTGAATGCTAGTGATGAGCGAGGTAAGACTGGTTCTACATTGATTGTTAAAATGAGATTGCAGGTATGCTGATCGTTGCTCACTATCTACCGCTTAGGTATCGACGTGGTCCGCAACCGAATCAAAGGTTTTGCCCAGAAAAAAGTCACATTGCCCCCGGGCAAGCACAAGCTGGTCATTCTCGACGAAGCAGATAGGTAAGACAAGCGACAGCCAGACTCCCGTCTTGTTTTCGAGTCTTTGCTCATTTGTCCCTCCAGCATGACACCCGGTGCTCAACAAGCCCTCCGACGTACAATGGAAATCTACTCAACAACAACTCGGTTCGCCTTTGCCTGCAATCAATCAAACAAAATCATTGAGCCCCTGCAATCTCGTTGCGCAATTCTCCGCTACGCGCGCTTGACCGATGCCCAGGTCGTCAAGCGAGTGATGCAGATCTGCGAGGCGGAAAAGGTCCAACACTCCGAGGATGGAATTGCGGCTCTGGTCTTTAGTGCCGAGGGTGATATGCGCCAGGCTATCAATAACCTGCAGAGTACTTGGTCTGGCTTTGGCTTTGTGAGCGGTGATAATGTCTTCCGTGTTGTCGATAGCCCGCATCCCGTCAAAGTTCAGGCTATGATCAAGGCTTGTTGGGAGGGGAAGGTAGATGCTGCGTTGGAGATTTTGAATGAGCTCTGGTAAGGAACTCTCTTATAATTGTGGTATGTGGTTTGAAGAAGACATCGCTGATTTTTGGTTTACAGGACGCTGGGATATTCCTCGCACGACATTATTAGCACCATGTTCCGGGTTACCAAGACCATTCCCACGCTCTCGGAGCATTCCAAGTTGGAGTTCATCAAGGAGATTGGATTTACGCACATGCGTATCTTGGATGGAGTGCAGTCGCTGCTGCAACTCAGTGGTTGTGTCTCGAAACTTTGCAAGATTAACATGAAGCCCGAGCTGTTCCAGCCTCCCAGGGCTTAAGTTAAGCAACTTGATATTCCGCAGCATATTCCCCATGGCGTTGAGGGCGTCTTATTTAAAATCAATGATGAATGATATTCCTTTCTCTTCTTGAAGCAGTGGTAATTTAATACTATCATAAAGATGTCAACTAACTCCACAACCTGTCGGATCCCTCCTACTCTCCCTGTCCAGCCTTCCCTTCCAGATGACTCTTCCAAATCCCTTCAATAACAGTCGCAGCCCCCAAAACCTTCTCCTCCTCAAATTTCTTCCCAATAATCTGCAAATTCACCGGATACCCATCCACCGCATCAACATCCCAAAGCTTCCAATTCCACTCATCCAACTCATTCCTCGGCACATACTTTTCCGCCACAAACCCATCTTTCTCCTTCCACACCTTATCAACCGGAAACGTCAACGCAGTATAGTCCAAAAAGTTCCAAATCTTGGTATACCCAACCCACCTAAACGTCCGGTGCGGGATACTCGTATGCGGCATCGCCGGCGCCAACAAGATATCCACTGGTCTTCCAGACTGTGACCGGGTGTTATTCCATTTATCGAGATACTTTTTCTGCGCGACGTGCTTCCGCTTGTTCAATTGCCAGTACTCGTAGACGGAAATCGGGTTGCCCCGGTTCACTAATGCTTGGACGTGGGGCAGATACGGGTCCCCTGCAACGGCCATGTCACGACGGATATCCTCGCCGCCGTCGACCGTATAGAAGGCGTCCATTATTTCGATGCAGTCTGCGTGGTCAGACGTATCCCAGGCAACTAGCTCGTGGCCTTGCGCGGCCAGTTCGGAGGAGAGTTCGTGGAGGGCCCGGGTTATCGGGGGGTGGGGGGTGACTATGCCGTCGTTTAGGATGAGGCCGATGGTGAGGGGTTTGGATTGGGTGGATGTGAAGATTGGTTCGTTCCAGGGGAGAGGCGTGCAGCGGGGATCGAGAGTCCAGGGGGCGCAGGAGGCGATTTGTTTTGTAATGTATGTTAGGGAGGAGAGGTCGCGGGTCATGGGTCCGATGGATGAAGGGACGTGTTCTTGGCCTTGGGTTGAGACGGGGACGCCTTCGTAGGGGAAGCGGCTGCTCTGTCGATGAGTTAGGATCGATGGTTCGTTCTATGGGGTGGAATGTTTACACTCGGCTTTAGTCCGTAGAGACCTGCGAAGCTCTGGGGGATCCGTATACTTCCTCCTATATCCGTGCCGAAGCCGAGGATTGAGCCGTGGAGTGCTAGTAATGGACCTTCCCCTCCAGTTGAGCCGCCGGGCGTAAAGGCAGGGTTTCTGGCGTTGGTTGTTAATCCCCAGAGAGGATTCTCGGTCTCTGCCCACTACATCGTGTTAGTTTATCATATCGGCTGTATAGTCATGTAGAAGGAGAAGTAGAAACAGTAGAGTCAACACACCATAATACTCTGACACAGATTCGTCTTTGCAATGACAATAGCCCCCATGTTCTTCAATATCTGCACCAGGACTGCATCCTCACTAGCGGGCTGCCAGGATCTCCCTACATATCCCAGAGTTGAGTCAACGCCCTTGACGTTGAATTGATCCTTGAGCGTGATGGGAATGCCATGTAAAGGGCCTTGTAGCTTTCCGGTCCTGCTGAACTCGACGTCTAGTTTTTGAGCTTGTTGTAGGGCTTCCTCGAATAGAATTTCGGTCAAACAGTTGGTCTAAGCCGGTGATTAAATGGTAAAGCTGGCAGAGGATGAGAGGGTCTTACCAACTGGTGTGCTACTACCGCCCTAGAAGAGAATAGGAGCAGTGTTAGCTAAAGTTGCATCTTCTGTCTGGTTACGGCTCCGAGATCTTGTCATACCGTTTGATATACGCTTGAATGACTTGGTGCGCAGTGAACTCGCCCATCTCCAGTCGCTTCAACAGGCCGATCAGGTCCATATCCGTGATCCATTGGACTTCAGGCTCATCCTCTAGCCGAGTCCGATAATCCACATGATCGACTCGAGGGACTCGATGCTCAATGTCGACCAAATACGGTGCCAGCAGTTTTTCTCGGATTGCACGTTTTTCAGAGACGATCTGCTCCCATGGTTGCTGGACGGTACCCATAATGTTGATGATTTTCAAGAACTTTGACTCTTGGATATTAAATCTCATCTGTACGGTGGACTCCTAGGGGCAAAGCTCCAACTATATATGTAATGAATACGGCTCGGGAGACGTGCCGTTATCTTCTATTTACTCCAATACTCCATCGTTAATCGCTAGACTGCTCCAATTGTCATTCTCGTGGCCAAAAGTGGGGGAGCTCACTAAGTATGCGGAGTTGGAGTAGTTTTTCTAGTGCGCGCCGACCTCGTGCCATCTCCAACGTAGTCCTCTCGACTTTTCTGTCGCTACATATTTTCTGACCGGGTTATTGATTCGATCCATACTACATTATCTACTTTTTAGTCCAGATCTATCCGAGGTATTCGCACATGTCACCCTAGATGATCCCAAAATTGGTCCAAGGTGTGAAACATTGTCCGTTTCCATACGCGGTGAGCGGGGAATGACCGTGTGGAGCCTCTGATTAACCTTGTTCCACTCAGCCACAACGACCATCACCACTGGTTCCCCCCCCAACTCTTTCCCCCTCAAAAGCTCCGAGTCCGAGTCTGAGGAGAAACCGAGACTGTGATCTCCTAGCTTGATGGAGTGGAGGCGCCATGGATTCTACGAGCTCAGGGTCGCCGACGGCCAGTCCGACCGGCGCTATCCGCACACGCAACAAGACCTCCGGCTCGATCGCAAAGAGAGCTTGCGACCAATGCAAGTTCCGCAAGATCAAGGTATGGTCAAGTTGATTTCGTACCCGAACAGAATCGCAACGACCCTTCCGTCTTCGTGTGGCCCCCCGCCTGGGTGATAAGAAGGATATCTGAATAGCAACTAATAGTTTGCTTATAGTGTAGCCTTTCTCAGCCCTGTAAGGCCTGTCAATCCATGGGCTTCGACTGCACATTCCTTCAACCACAGAAGAAGCGCGGGCCAACCGGACAGTAAGTCAACGTCGGCAATGACGCTTCCGCGCCACGCGCCAGAATAATGCGCTAACTATAAGCTTCTTCATCTGAAGTCGTGTCTCGCAAATTCGCCAGCAACAAACGCATATTATTTCTCGTACCCCGCAGGAAACCCCCCTACCCAAGCAGGAACCCTTCCGCTATCATGGCCCAACCTCTGGCGTGGAACCGAGCCAGTCGGTCACGATGCCCGGGGCATCGTGGACATCGGCGCAAGGCCAGGTGACCTTGTCGATGGAGGGAGCAACCGGTCTTGCACCCTCTGGCCCAGCACCGGGTGTCGTAGATGCCTGGGCGGGCGAGACGGCTTCTCTCGACTCATCGGGTACCAGTGTAGGCTGGAACGATCGCCCGGATGTGGAATACTGGCTACCAGATAATTTGGGCGCGCAGGTCCCCGTCTTTGAATTCCCCGGCAGCAACATCTACCTCAAACCCTCTCTCCCATCGATTATTCAACCCGTGCCCGACGTATCGACCATCAATCTCCCCCCAGCGGAACACCAGGGGATGCCATATTCCCCGGCCGTGGGGTCAATACAGTCCTCGGAAAGTCAGGAACCGGAAGAGTTCTGGCCTAATTCGATCAACGAGGCGAATATGATTCCCTGGCTTGACGTCTACTTTGACCGTCTTCACCCGACTGTCCCCGTGCTGAGTCGCTCGTCACTGTACACGCGGATGATGTGTCAGGAGCATCGCAAGAATACGCAGTTCGGAGCGATGCTACTATCTCTGTGTGCGTTTTCTCTAACGCAACCTATTGAGATCAATGAGCGCGCGACGACCTCGTCTCGTGCCAACCAGGCCCGGACGATGATGCACGAAGCCACCAAGATGCGGAGTTGCTGTGATTTTGGAGAAAACCCGACCATCGAGGCCGTTTTGACGAGTTTCTTCCTTTTCGGGTGCTTGTTTGGCAGTAATCAACATAATGCGGCGTGGTTGCGCCTACGAGAAGCCCTTGATCTTGCGTCGACTCTGGGTCTGAATGATCCGGAGTCTTATCGTGATTTGCCCGGTGACGAGAAGGGCCAGCGATTACGGACATATTTAGTCCTATCAATCACCGAGAGGTATCTAAACCTGCATCATCCATTTTTCAAAAGAGAGAAATAAAATTCTGACTACTCTTTAGAGCATATGCATTGCAACGCTTGCACCCCGTCACGTTCTCCGGCAAACCCGGCTTCAGCATGCGCTCCGTCCACGACTTCCTCCACAACGCCACCCACAGCCTCGTCTCCGGAATCATCGTGCACAACGAAAAGGACGCCGAAGGCATGATGGGTCTAGCCCGACTGATGGAACTCTTCGACGCCATCGACGAAGACTTCATCCACTGCTGGAACCGGCGCTGCGACCTCCACAACGGATACTGCCAACGCTTCACCGAAGCCAAAGCTCTGTCCATGTACGATAGCCTTGAGCAAGTTAGTCAAGCAGAGCGGTATAAGGGGTATGACTGGTTCGAGCGTGCCAAGGATGATGGCAACAATAATAATAATGCGCTTCTTGCTATGGGATTGCGCGAGACTCAGGCTGCGGATGTTTTCATTACGCAGAAATGGGTACAGAACCGGGTTTGGCTGTTGTGTTTGAATCATGGGCTGTTGCGGACGCGGTCGGATAGGCCGGAGTTGACGTTCGGGTTTGCGGTGTCGATTGCGGAATCGACTATACAGCTGTGTCGTTCGTTACGGTTGAGTTCGATGGAAGCTCATGGGATTGGTTTTGTATGAGTTGCCCCTTCGCATGCGCCTTTGTTTTCTTACACCCTTCTATTACTACATGATTGATCATACTAACAATCCTCGGTCCAGACTGAAAAATTATACGACATCGCCGTCGGCGCCACAGATATCCTCTGCAACATCAACCCACCCTTTGGCACGGGAATAACACCTCTAGGAAACTTTTCCGAGTCACTACCTACAACATCTACGCCGCAAGCCATGGCGGAAGATTTCTTGTTACTGCTGAGCAGTTTCCGGGGCGGCAACCATCCGTTCGTGGAAAAGTACAAGGCCCATTTGCGGGCTTTGCAGATTCCCGGGAATTGGGGACCTGCCCAAGTCCAAGTCCAAGTTCAGGGTCAGGCTCATTGACTGTGATGTATATATCTCAGCCTAATTTCGTGTGGGGCTGAGGGTTTTCTTTGATCACATGTGTTTACTCTGTTCACAATTCTGTATCTATGGGGGTTTCGGCGTGGACTGTATCAATAAACGGGGTGGGATTGGAGTCATCATGTGTATATTTATGCAAGGCTTTCTCTGACTTGAATCGCTTTCATCTCTGTGCTTTATCTTTATCCCTGGTTCTATATGAGCGTGAGGCTTGTAGAAAGATATTGCCGACACCTATCGCTGACTTTCAACCAGTCCATCCCAAACTTCGGCCCGGGTAAGCGAAGCAGGTGCGTCATTACCAGTTTCACTATGAGCACAGCTGGCCTCTTCCTCTGCGAAGAAGCGAATCCCGAAACATTTCTCTGACGGATGATAAATCCGCGTCGAAATGACAGTTCTCCCATTCACAAATACCTCTAGAACGGATTTGTCGAAGAAAGCGTGGATATGTAGGGATTCTTCGATTTCGACGCCTTTCTCGTTGAGATAGGTGAACAACGTGTGTGGTGCGGACTCGTAGCCGTGGTTTATGGTTTGGTCCTCAAGCGTAGGGCGGTGGATTGTAAATGTCTCCTTGGATGGAGTGTAGGAAAGGGTTGTTCTTTGTTTGAAGTCTGGTTATTGTGTTAGCTGAAGAAGAATCATAGGGGAGAATGGAATAAATAAATTATTTACCGGAGGAGTGTGCGATTTGAATACCAACTCGTTCGCAGGATTCATTGATTGAGAACTCGGCTTCTAGTTCCCACCGGGAGGTAGTCAAGGCAAGAGTCTCGTTGGAGACGTTCCGGAGGGAAATAGGTAACTGTGATGGTTGGAATAACCTCCTTTCAGCCCCCTTCCTGAGAAGAGAAAGTCGTGGATCAGGCTTTATTCCCAGAGTTTGGATCGTGTACGTGCGCGGCTCGGATGTATTGGGAATCACTTCGAGGGAAGTAATAGATTTCAACTGCGAGCTACGCGCCTTCGTGACATTCCGCAACGTCATCAAATGCACTACCCGAGGAATCGAAATCAGCCCGCTCCACCCCTGACGATGACGGGGTCCATCAGGTAGATCCTCCTCCGTGATCCAGCCGTATACAATGCGTTGGGCTGTGACGGGGTCCCAGAAGGAATTAGCGGCGTATAAGCAGCCGTGATCAAAGTGTCCAGCGAATGCATAATCGGCAAGGGCCTCGCTATTATTAGCAGGGTCGTGTGGTTTCACACACATCCATAGCTGTCCCCGGGCTTGTCGTTTGTATTGTGCCGAGCCCGGGGCTGTCCAGAGTGAGTCTTCGCCACGGAGACATCCCTCAGCGCCCATGATGGCAAAGTCTCGTGAGTCACCGGTGTCATTGGACAGTGTCGCTAGATTTCCAACTTCCCAGTTCACGCCAAAGTCTCCTGACCAGCGTGATGGATGGAAGTTGAGACCGACGTCGACGAGCAGGCCGACATATTTCCATCGTCGTAGATCTGTCGGGTCGACCTTGTAAACGAAGATGGCGGGTGCCTTGTCGACTACTCCGCCAGACACGATGCCGTATAATGGTTGATTTGGATTTGCAGGGCTGGCCTTTTGCTGTTCCGGCCACGTTGTAAGATGCGGATCTCTCCAGCCCGTCACCGACAGGTGTTCGGGGGGACCTGTGAGGACGGGGTTACAACTGAGACGCTTCCATGTCTGTCCACCGTTATCAGAGGTAGTTAGACTGATAGACTCGCAACCCGTAGTATACGGCAGTGTATAATGGAGTGGTAGATGTCGGACGGACGTGTACATCGCCGTCAACGAGCCGGGTTTCCCTTGGATATTTGTAGCCTGCAGACATCCTGTAAAGACACCACAGCAATCATACTCGGTTGATGGAGTCAAGGCTGGCGTGGGTGATACTTTCCACGAAACCAAGTCCGTAGAAGTAGCATGGCCCCAGGACATGTTGCCCCAGTCGTTACCGTGGGGATTCCATTGGAAGAAGATATGGTAAAGACCCGTGGCGAAATCGTAACCTAGACCACAGGGGTCGTTCATCCAGCCATTCGGCGCAGTCAGATGGAAGGACGGTTTCGAAGTAGCCATCTTTAATGCGCTTCCAACTGTGGGGTCTTGCGTTGCAACTTGAGGGTGTTTATCGCGTAGTTCAGGCCCGGACGCCTTGGGCGAGCCCAGTAGGACAGACATGGTCAGCCCGGTGGTAGTTCAGGTTAGGGACCCGTACACCAGAGATGGCGAAAAGATATATCGATCGTGTAATTGAATATCATCCCTTGATATGTGGTTTGGGAGCGTTCCTGAGCCTGATGGTCGCTGGGATACCTGGTGGAGTACTACGTCGAGGATCTTTCACCAGCTCCACCTCACAGACAGGGATGTCTGATCAGATATAGACCCTCTCAGGCCAGAAAATTCGCGGAGGTTTCTCCGATCAAAATCGGGACACCGTCGGCAAGAGGCTCGGCAACTTCGTTGGCCGGAAGATCGTCGGCGAAACTCCGTTGAAAGGACGAGACTATGAGCGGCCCCAGCCATGATCGACAGTGGATTGTCCCATCTGTAACCCCCTGTTTCGCGCGAATAGTTCGACTAGGAGAGCTTTATCCCGCAGAACTCGTCTGATACTCACTGTAATCCAATTCTTGGGAATATGCGCTCGACTGGGAAACCTCGGAGAATCTCAACCGGACTAACGAAACCCAAACGCGACCCTGCGAAATGCGGAAAAAGTCTGGGGAAAAGCTCCTCGCCCAACTTCTCCATGGGGAACTCCACAATTTCACCTACACTCCTAGAAGGCATGGCCGAGAAGGCACTGGAGCTGAGTTGAGCTCGACAAGCATATAAAGCAGCAGCTGCCATGTCGATGCCGGCAGAGTCTCGGCTGGCCCCAGTGGCTCTGCTATCGCAGTGGGCGGGATCGCTTCGAACGATGATGTCCATGACCGACAAGGATGAATATGGCTCCGCAGAGGTCGAGCATGTCGACCACGCAGCTCGAGAGAAGGGCGTTGTTAACGCGCGCCTCGTCTTTGCTTGTGTCGTGTTTGGAGCGGCGTCGTTTATGTTTGGATATGACGATAAGCTCATTTCGCCAGTGGCAGCCCTGCCTGGTTTCGTGAGTAAAATGACCTCTCTGGACTTGTGAGATCTGGACTGACGAGATACCATCTCTGCAGGTTGAAAAATTCCAAGGGCCAAACCCGGTTACGGGCAGATTGGTTCTCACGGCGCGCAACCAGAATCTGGTCTTTTCGCTGCCGCTTGTGGGCGCCGTCCTCGGAGGGCTGTTGGCCTCACCTCTGAATTACCACTTTGGTCGCAAGTGGCCTCTGGTCGCAGCGTACATCCTTTCCATTGGCGGTGGCCTGCTCCAAGTGTTTGCGCCGAATTTGGGAGCTTTCGTCGGTGGTCGATCCATCAATGGAATCGCAATGGGAATCGCAATGGCAACGGCTCCTCTTTATCTATCAGAGGTGAGAAACATGGCCCTATGTGGAGTCATATACACAGTTTTAATCACTAATCATCTCACAGGTTGTCCCTGCTTCAATGCGAGGTCGAAGTGTCAGCTCGCTCAATATCCTTAACCTCACAGCCGGTGTAGTCAGCACCGTCATCGTCTGGGGCACCCAAAAACTAGGCGGTCATTTATCATTCCAAATACCCCTCGCCGTTCAATCAGCCGTACCAGTTATCCTGATTTCAATTACAATCCCCCTCCCCGAAAGCCCCGAATGGCTCGTGGCAAAAGGCAACATCGCCCAAGGCCGAAACAACCTCCGCAAACTCCGCGGCTTCAGCGACGACAGAATCAACGATGAACTTCGTCTAATGGAACTGTGTGAGAAACAAAACCGTGAAATGCGAGCCGAAGTTAAATTCTGGCATATTTTCCAACGGCAACATCTCCGACGCACTCTTGTCGCCGGCTCGTTTTTCTCGCTCAATCAGATATCGGGTGTTATCCTCTCAACGACGTATGCGACGGTCTTTCTTACCGAATTGGGGGTTGTCGATGCATTCTCTCTGACTATCATCGCGTCATGTTGTACCTTGGCTGGTACAATCGCTGCACCATTCGTCATCGACCGTGCCGGTCGTCGACCAACGGCTTTCGTCGGAATGGTTATTCTCTTCATCATCGACCTCGTGGCAGGTATCCTCGCCTTCTACCGTAAAAACAACCAAGCCACCCTCACTATCGCCGCATTATCCTTTATCTTCAATTTCTTCTGGGCTTCCTCCTTCTACTCCCTCTCCACCCTGATGCCCTCCGAAATGGCTACTCCTAAACTCCGCCACCACACCATGTCCTACACAATTGCGTGTCAAGAAGTGACGGCCGTGATCACGACGCTCGTTGTTCCGCAGTTGACATCTGCTGATGCGGCGGATCTAGGCGCAAAGACGTATCTCATTTTTGCGGGGTGTATGGCTGCGATTATTGTTTTTGTGTACTTTTATATGCCGGAGACGAGGGGCCGGACGTTTGCGGAGATTGATGAGATGTATGCTGCTCGAGTGCCGGCTTGGAAGTGGCGGTCGTATCGGACGTCGAGTAAGGCGAGAACTGGGGAGGAGTTGGTTGGTCCTGTGAAGCAGGAGACATGAGATATTGCTGCCTGTATTATATTAGACTTGAATCAATAAAGCATTTAGGCAAAGGTACCTGATACTTATAGGATCTCTAGAACTTTGAGGTTAGACAGGGCACCGTGTCACTGGGGCTGGTTTTCTTAACGTTGAAACAAGCCAGAGTACTTCTAACCACCAAAGAACACGAAAGTCAATCCAATCGACCACACTATAATACTAATAGTAGATAAATGAACAAGTATACAAGAGGAATATGTAATGTTGCAGTACAAGATGAAACTCATGAAAACAGGATACATACGAATATGAAATTAAGTTAAATACTACGGGAACTAAGAAAATATCTTTTTTTTTCCCGTACATAAACGGCAAGCTAGTTGAGAATATCTTGATGTATTTTTCTCAAGGCGAGTGAATGAATGCGTCTAGGATCTTGCCTTTGTGGTTAGATGTTGAGACTGACTTTGCGTCTGTCGTTTAGGCATAGGAGTAGAACTTACCTTTCTATTTTGGTATACATGACTCCAGGCATGTCCCGTACGCAGCTACTATATTGGTCAGTATTGAGAATTCATCTCATACGTAGGCAGTGCTTTGCATCTTCGTGAAGGGCTCCGGAAGATCTGAGTCCAGCTAGCATGTCAATTAGAAAGTGGCCGACTCCTAGAAATTCCTCGGCCTTTAGGTTTACCGGCCACTAGTACGGGCAGTACTGGCCCTACCGAGTCGAGTTAGGCTCGCCCCACCTTGCTCCTACATATACCGGATGCGGGAATTGGATCTCTAATCCGACTTTGATAAGATCGTAGTATGTTAAAGTGTACCCCGAGGATCACCCGGTCGGCTTACCTGGCTCCAAAGAAACCCGTCAAGCTGAGAAGAAGGGTCCAACTTCTGGAAAACTGGGGACCTGGATATTCTCTTCCGGGGAACTTGAGCTACTTTTCACGCGGCTGATGATAAGCGAGGAGCGCTAAGCCTCAATCTGCCAGATTGATCCCCGAGTCCCCGATCTAGGTGGACACCTCCTCAGCTCCCTGCGAGTCGGTCTCCCCCTCCATATTCTACTACTCTGTAACCTTGTAAAAAGGGCTTATTGTTATTCCTTTGACCACCTGATCCTGTCTCGCGGAGTTCTCCACATTGGTCATAATCCCATGGACTTACCCCGGAGAGGCCTATAGTGCTCAACGAGACCAGCTAATTTTGATCGCCCGCCTCGGTGCCTCTTTCCATTTGAGACTGTACCCATCACTCCTGCAGATTGTGGCTGACAAACTACTTTCGGAAAGTGAAATCGCTCCTTGCTCAACAAAAAGGATGCAGTGCGCACCAGTTGCGTGTGTCCCCTGCCGCCAGAAGAAGCGCAAATGCGATCGCCTTCTTCCCGCATGCTCGCGCTGCAGCAGGTACGCTTATCCCCTTCGAGACTCTAACGGTTATCTAATATTCACTTCCAGTGTTCGAACGAATGAACCCTGTTGGTACAAGAATCGGTGCCGGCTCATTTGCCCAGTAGGGTGAGGCTCTTTGTCTCCGCTTTTTTCGGCACACCTGCTTTCAAGCCTTTACTCATCTGGCTCGAGCATGCATCAGCTAACAAGTTTGCCGCCGCGCGTGGTAGGCCAGATGTAGCGCGGCAGCCGACCAAGGCCAAGATGTCCTGCGAACAGTGTCGGAGTCAGAAACGAGCCTGCAATCGGGTGTTGCCCTCATGCACACGCTGTCAATCGTAAGGCCGAGACCGTTTCTAATTATCATTCCTAGACTACGAAGAGTCAGGTTGTGCTAATATATGTACGACAGATTGTCTAAAGAATGTGTCTACGGCACGATCCCGGCGCACAAGCGCATAGCCAAGTCGTCTTGTAAGCTCTTCGAGCGCTCTTAGCATGGAATTCGTGGCAAATTGAGTTCTCATCCGCTTTAGACCAAATATCCACGGGGGATTCGAACACCAAGACGAATCTGCGAACCATCTACGGGCCAGAAATCTGCATTGACTACCCCGTACGGGATTCAAAGTACATTCCGGGCTTACTTCATCATTGTAGAACTTTCCCCTTCCCCGATCTTGAGAATACCAACCTAATCGTTTCTCTCTAGTTTGCTCGGTCCTTGTCATACCAGCCACGGCGGCTTTACCAAACAGTCTTGCGAGACATGTACAGTCAATCTGGATGCGTTATGCTATGCACGACCCGTGCCTCTTCCACTCGACCATCTTCTCCGCGTCGGCGCACTTGGACGGATTATTCGGCATCGCTGAGAACCCACGCACAATCTACCACCAGCTTCAAGCAGTCAAATTGCTTCGTGAGAGACTAAGGCAACCGCATTTTCGGGTCAACTACGAAACAGTAGGGGCAGTCTTGGGCTTAGGTTACTTTGATGTATACTTCACCGCTTTCCTGACAATATTTATCTGGTTATACATAACTGACTTGATATCACAGATACTTATTGGAAACGCCGACGGCGTCCAAGCGCACAATCAGGGCCTCATTCAGATGCTGACGACGAAGCATGATCAAGGAGTGGAGACTGAGGCATTGCTGGGCCTGGCTAACATGTAAGCACAGCATGTATTTTTGAAGTCTCGTTCGCGATCCACTGACCCTTCGTAGGACACACTTTACCCTCTCAATGGTCTCAAACACCGATGCTCTCTACCTCTCCCGCTCGACGATATCATGCGACAAAAGTAGTCATCCCGCCAATCCTCTGGCGGGGATCTCCGCCGCGAGCCTTCTCAGCCGAGTCCTCGCACGCGCTGCAGCCCGCACTGATATCCTCGCACCACAATTGTTCACTCCGGACACCGTGCTCTACCTCGTCGGCACAGCGCACGTATTTGCCCAACAAGACGCGAACCCCCCTCTCCGTGTATCCCTCGCCGAAACAACAACGGCAGCGTCAGCCACGATACTGACTCTCGGCGCCGAAGCTCTACGACTTACATCTTTCTTCCCTTCACTCGGGGATCAAAGCACAACGGCAACAAATATAAATACATGCGTTCAGCTGGCCGCGAAAATCTGTCGCAACCTCCTTCAGCGTGCCGCACGAGGCGGACCAAGCACATCACCACCACCACCAACGACAAGTAGAATAAGAACAAGAACAATGGTCACACCAATAATAACGACAACAACAACAGCAAAACCCACATCCTCTACCACGAAACCCAATCCCCTGCACGACGACATCTCGCTCCTAAAAGCCACGCTGCCGAAAATCGACTTCATCTCCTGGTTGCAGCACGCGCCGGAGGCATATATCTGGGTGTGCTTCACAGCCGCGGCGGCCACGGTAGCAGCTGCTGATTGCAGGGACGAGGAGAGAAGTGGCGAGAGTGAGAATGACGACTGGACGTCGTTTATCCTCACGCCCATGCCGGTGATTACGGCGATGGACTCGGCGGAGCTTCGTCTGATGCGGGAGGGATGGGCGTATTTGAGGTGGTTGCGGTGGAAGTGTGAAGCTTGAACTCAACTGGGGATGACGGATTACGATGTTTTTTGAGGTGTATCTTGGGTATGTCTCAAATTCATTCAAGGTGGAGTTTAGAATACACTCATAGAGCATAATGTTCATATATCATTAAAGCTGTATATCTCTACGCAGTTTGATGATCGTAGGTGTCCTCAAATGAGAAGGATAACGATCTCTTTACTATCGTTTTAGTAAGATATGATAGGTATAATATAAAACCCAAGGAGTCAATATCCTTTACTATCCTAATTAGAACCTGAGCTCTATAGGGTTGAGGTCCCGATAAGCTCTTGCACCCGAGCCGGACCCAATGTTAAGCGGGATTTTTGGGTTGAACTCTTCCGGACTACTGCTCAAGTCTTTTGGTCCTACTGAGCTAGGTGCCTACCTGAATTGTTTCCTCTGTTAGATTATCAGGCTGTACGGTTATTCTTCTGTCAGACACGCCGCCCTTATCGCCGGCTCGCGTACTAATCGCCAAGATCTTACACCTTCCTATTCTAGTATGGAAAGGAATGATTGTCTTAGATGTACCTCCAGTGTAGAGGAAGGTAGCTGAATACAATGCTATGACTGGCACTTCCCTCTGTAGTTCAAGACCTTGTCAGCCAGATACTGGTTCTCCCAATTCGTGTCGACTACCGCACGACAAAGTGGAACCCGACCACGGTGACTTCTTACTTCCTTCACCATTTTTCTCAGCTGAACTGCTACCACGAGCTCAAATAAACGTCACACCGAATAAATTGATTTCTGAACTCATGGCAGGCGGTCTACCAAGTACGATCATTATTTAAAGAAGCACTGTCCTCCACCTCTGGGCTTATTCCTAGTAGCCATACATTCAGAATTCACCCTTGCCCTCGGAAGTATCTTCTTATCACGATATGACTCAAACTAAGACCTGCGAGAAAGACTTTTGGTCCACCGAGGTTCGTTGCCTTCCAATGCCACACTTTCACACGCTGACCAGTATATAGACCTACGAAGCAGTTGCTTCGTTCGTGCCACACTTTGCAGACACTCTAGTCCAGAGCATAGACTTCAGTCCTACTGATCGTGTCCTGGACATCGGATGCGGCGATGGGAAATTCACCACCTCCTTTTCCCCCGCAGTGAAATATGTGATGGGAGTTGATTCTTCCCCGGCGATGATAGAAGCTGCAAAAAAGCTAGACTATGGCGGAGCAACCACGGACTTCCGAGTTGTCGATTGCCGGTACCTCAATAAGGAAGCCGATATTGTGAATGGCAGCTGGGATAAGGTGTAAGGTATTAAACTCATTCTTCTTCGTTGAATACGTCCTGACATATAAATAGAGCCTCTAATGCTGCCTTACACTGGGTTCTGAGGGATCCAACTACCCGTGTCTCTACATTAGAGACAGTGTTTCGGTCCCTAAAACCAGGAGGAACGTTTTTCTTTGAGATGTGTGGATTCGGTAATGCACCCGAAATGGTCACAGCATTTACTTTTGCGCTTGTGAACCATGGAATTGCAATTGAAAAGGTGGAGGAAACGTGCCCCTGGATCCATCCTTCAGACGACTACATGAAGAGCCTGCTAGAAGACATTGGCTTCCAGGTCAAAATGATAGATCTGAAGCCGAAGCCTCTGAAGATGAACGCTGATGTTAATGGTGGACTTGAAGGCTTTATGCGGCTTCTTGGGGCTCCGTGGATGGATGTTTTAGAAACAGAAGAGAAGAAAAACAGTGTCTTGAAGCAGATGTGCCGCATGCTGCGACATGGGACTACAAAGGAAGATGGGAGCCAGTGGATTACGTATTATAGCCTGAGATGTGTGGCTGTCAAGCCTGCGACGAGCTAGTTCAATAGGTAGATAGATTTATAGAAAACCCCAATTGTTGTCAAAGCCAAGGGAGTTGATTGTGTTACATGTCATAATGTATATGTTCTGTCAAAACACCGTCGGCATTTCTCCATTCTCAATAAACAGAGAGGGTGGTGATATTTCTGCCACTTTTCCACGTTTACGCTAGGATTTCTACACTCGTATCACTGAACCTATGGAAATGGGGACGCATAAGTCATAGGACTGGCATGCGGCGTAAATTCTCCCTTGGACTGTGGGTTTCAGGTCGTACTTGTGACTACATTCGACGTTGATAGACTCTACATTTACATGCAAAACTTCCGAATCGAATATGCGCATACTGTGTCTCCAGTCGCCCTTGCCTTGGACACGCTTGGTATCGTAAGAAAACATGACGTGTCAAGTCTCCAGACGCTGAACTCTAGTGCAGCGCCTTTTTCTGCCAAAACGGGTCAAATGGACTTTCTCATAAATCAATGTTGGATTTCAAGTAGAGCTATGGCCTTACTGAGGGTCTTTCGCCCGTGGCTCTTGCAATCGCACATAGTCAATCGTTGAAGAAGCTCTTCCTGTCTCTGACGTAATATCGATCAATCAAATGGCCACCAACGCTCGAATTCAGCCCTTTCCTCGTCAGTTTCAAATAGTTGTTCCAACATCAGGCTCTTTACTTCGTCGAGAGCAGCTTTGCATTCATCGTACAGCTCGTGTTGGATGAGGCCCTTTTCAGGCCACAGATCGCCCAGTTGCTCCTTGACCTGTTTAACAAGCTCGGTTCCTGCCACTGCGCCATCACTGTCCACTTGAATACGCTCGTAGTCTGCGTCCGAAAAGTTAAATGGGAATGGGATATCGCTCGTGACGGCAGGTAATTCTGCCCACGTGTCCTTTAGCTCGACCAAAAGCGCATGGAAGAGTGCCTCGCCGTATTCAAACATTCGGTGGGCAAGAAATATTAGCCCCCACGCTGTTGTCTTTCGGAACTTCACTGCTCGATACAAATCTGGGTTTTTAGCATGCATGAGTTTCCGCCAACCAATAAACACGTTTCTGGTTGCATATTCATCTCGGACCGCGGAGCGTGCCTCTGGCGAAAGCCCGGAGAGAGTAGGCCGAGGTTCAAAATCAAGTGTTTCTGGTCCAATACCAGCCAAATCAAGGAAACCAGGATCGGGATTGTGATTAAAAAGGGGTGAGATATGACATGACTGCCAGTCGATGATACCCGTAATTGTCCCGGGATTTTGCGGGTCCACGTAGACGTTTTCTTCATGCAAATCATCATGCCAAAGGCGGGGTCTGGTGATGGCTGTATCTTGAGGACCAAGGGAATCGACGATTTGTCGATAGCAAGCTAAAGCAGTACTTTTCTTTTCCGTATCTGGTTGGTAGAGCTTTGGGCCACAGAACAAGGCGATCTGTTTGGGGGGCTTTAAGCACTGAATAGCCTTCATCTCTCGCATGCGGATTGCCTGTAGATACTGCGTTAAAGAAGCCCCTATATAATTATTAGCAGCTGCGCAGGAACGACCCGAATTTTACGTACATGGTCCCTTATCGACGTCCAGAGTCGATCGGCCTGCGTCACACCAGTCCCGGCCTGTAGCTGGACCAATCACGAACTCTGAATCACAGACGGCGTTGCCATCCTTGATATAGTGATTACCTGCTGGTGGCTGCGCATCCCCCGTGTAATACAAGCTACCGTAATGGGAGAAAGAAACGCCCAGCCATTTCTTGTGGAGACGTGTCATAGCAAGGAGAAGTTGGAGCTTCTGGGTCAGTTCCATCGTACTCCATACTTGGGCCAGCGGAACACCTGCGACTTTATCCATGATGATAAATTCAGCTCCAACGGGATGCGATTTTGCTTGCGAGTTCCACGCGTATACGCGAGGCACTGGTGTGTCGAGAATTCTTCTGGCCTCATGGCCCAGGCGTGTTAGCAAGACTTGGTGTTGGTGGAGTTCAGGATAAACTCACAAAGTCCATGGTGGCCACTTCGCTGGCAGTGGTATAGTGCGGGACACCGGCGTTCGGGTTTGGCACCTTTGCTACTACTTCTTGTCCATCATCCATAGACATCAGGAAGGCTTTATTGAACATGCCATCGGAATACTTCTTGATAGCAATGCATCGAGCGGCTCCGACTGAGTCTGCGGCGACTCTTGCGAGCCTGTTGAGATCGAATCTGACCTCTCGAACCCGGAGATTCTCTGTCCCATCCACGATGAAGCGGCCACGCGTAAATTTGAAGAATTCAGAGTTCGAATTCCAATCTGATACATATTAGTGATTTGTTAATGGGGCTCGAAGTCATTTGCTTACCGGTCTCGGAAGAGCCCGAGTCCATGCTAGTGGGATTGTGGTTGTATGACATGTTTGAAACTTTGGAGATGGAGCGGAGGTGTCGTGCCAAGTCTGTGTTCATACTCCGAATCGAGCAACCAAGACGCGTGAATGATGGTCGCCACATGTTTCATTGAATATCTTTGATCATGTTTACCATCCACAGGCTCAGGTGGCTTGTGATCACGCGGACACGAAACTGCCGGATGGCGAGTCAAGAATGAGGGTCCAGGTGTTGTGGTGGGAGACTAGGCAGGTGGTGAACGATTGTCAGTACAAGCAAACACGTGACTTTGAGACCAGCATTTGCTACACTTGCTAACTAAGTTTAATAACAAGTTAAATGACTATGCCCTTAGTAGCCTTACATAAATCGGGAAGGGAAGGGAATTATTCTTTTCGCCCAGCGCCATGGTGGCTCTAACTGTTCATGGCAGCTAAGCAGGGTTGCCGATTTTATCCTCTGTCTATACTTTGTAAGGTAGAGAGTACAAGATAGAGGGCCCGCGACTTGACACATCTACGGCGGACTATAGGGGGGAGGAGGCCATAACCCTGGATTTCTTCAAAGACCATTCACCGCTTTTCTTCCACCCTAAATACGTTTCATGCTTGCTACCTCGCTAGGAGATCAACGTAGAGATTAACTAAGAATCCATCTAAAATCCGTCTAGGAAACCGCTTAGAAACCGTCTAGAAAACTATCTAGGAAATTATCTAGGTAGCTGTCTAGGAAGCTGTCTAGGAAACTACCCCTCTATCTTAGTCACGATTGTAATAATTAATAGGACTAGGTGAAGACGTTAGGCCGTAAGAGGACTCAACATCAGGTTACAAATTACGATTATATCTACATTTTAGCTCCAGTAAAGTCATTGGTCATATAATCTGAATCGATTTCGATTGTTTCGGTGCGGGAAATCGCACTTAACAAAGGGTATATAGGATATGTGTAGATTATATGGGGAAAAGAATGCCTGACAAAGAGATTCTAAAATTGCGGACAAATGGTTACGGCCTTCTCCTCCCTATAGTCCGCCGTACACATCTCACAACTCTTTGAACAATAACACGCATAACATGAGGGGATTTCCATTTTGTCATACAGGGACCTTGTTATCGGTAAGATGTCAAAGCATATAAAAATCATTCCTGTTTGATCATCCGCTTGACGAATGCCTTCGAAACACGTCCATTAAGCCTCTATTCAGCGCCAGCATCCCCTCTGAGCAAATCGCGCTGTCATTCTATATGTGTCCGGCTAGTTTCGAATGAGAATCAGCGCTATGCTGCCTTGCTTCTGCCTGGGCGACGGCCTATTTTGCAACTCTGTCAGGCTACTGAAAGATTGATTGGCAATCGGAAACAGCCTCGGGCGAGTCTGCCTGTAACGTAGAATATGGCTTCATCGACTCATAGTCAGATATTTAAGAAACGAGAACACATCCTAAAGAATGCCATCACAGAGTCAACCCCTCAGCGATACATCAGTCCCAGGTGAGTGTTCTATCTCCGCCTCCTGTCGTCACATTTACAGATACCAGAGCAGCAACTACATTCCACATTCTCGAGACACCATCTCTTCAACAAAGTTACCATGCCCCCCCAAGGTACTAAAGGCATTCGATGCTGTCATGGCATACATCTACCGTTCGAGAGGGCGCCTCAAGACGATATTGAATGGACAAGGTGAAGCTGGTCACAGAGCGGCCCCGGCTCGCGGGGGAAACCACGACGCAAGAATCGGATGCCGAATCGATTTTGGACCAAAATTCGCCAACGCTGGCAAGGAATATCGACGGTACAACCTCCAACTTAATTCGAACGCTCAAGATCCCCATCTGAAGAAAATGGCCGCTCAAGATCCCCACAAGGTTTATTCGACTGCAGATGTTGAGATTAAAGTGGACAGGACGGAGGAGGAAGAAGACGAAGCGATTGAGGACTTCAAGGACCAAATGATCAACAACTTGAAAGAGTAGGCTTGATCATGTCACATAAGGCTCCACGCGCAGCGGATAATGCTGCAGAACATATTAAACCATGGCATTCTATGGGAAATGCGAATCATTCTTTCTATGAACAGTGAATACTAGTCAGCCAGTACTTGAATAAGACCCGATAAAGGGACACAGACATTATTTTGCCTGCTTCCTCTGCTTCTCAAGTCGCCATTATTACGATTTTACCAAACCAGTGATAAGGACCCGATAAACATTTCCTAAAGACACTTACGAACGACTTTTGTCGGTTAGTCACCTATCATGAATCTGATAGTCTTCGCACCAGAACCCCCGGACTTCTACTAGAATAATACTCCACCTTCCTCCCTTTCATACCCTGTAATCTGACTCTACTGGAAAACATGCAATGTAATGTAGCATGGCCTAACCACTCCGATTGCGGGTAGTTTTAACCGGATATGTGATTTCTGCATGCATCTTGCTATTGAATTAAACCTTGCCTGGATTTTGGTCAAAGTTTGTTGAAGGATTCTCTGTGTTCTGTCTACTATGTCCAAAGATACGATGGCCTCGCCGGATTGTAGTTCACCTCACACCTTTATTTGCCATTTCCAGTGATAGCCCAAACATGCCCAACGCGCAACAATAAAGCTTGTCATGGACAAACCAAGTATACCGCCGAGAAATGCAACCAGGCGTGATGGGCCGGCCACCTGAAGCAGCTGTCCCCCAATTGGAATACCGAGCAGGGTCCTTGACCAAAAAGTCAGTACATACAGTATTTAATTAACCTGAGGGGCTGGGGAATAAAACCTACCCGAAGCTGGCGAAAAGATAACATGTTCCAAAATATTGCCCGAATTCTTCTGTTTTGCAGATCTGACCGATACATACAGGCGTCAGGCTAAGGATGCTTCCCGTCCCAAAGCCCAGTAGAGCGGCGAAGGGATATAGTACGCCAATATAACGGCCAAATGGATACCATAAAACGAAAATGAGCATCGTTGTAGCGGCCATCATGGCTGAGATCGTGTTGAAGCGGCCAAGTTGATCAGACGCGAAACCTGAAAGCCAGCGTCCAAATCCTGATCCGCTATATGAAAACTTTTATTAGCCCTCCGAAGAAGAAGAAGGGAAAGAAGGAAAGAAGGAAAGAAGGAAAGAAGGAAAGAAGGAAAGAAGGAAAGAAGGAAAGAAGGAAAGAAGGAAAGAAGGAAAGAAGGAAAGAAGGAAAGAAGGAAAGAAGGAAAGAAGGAAAGAAGGAAAGAAGGAAAGAAGGAAAGAAGGAAAGAAAAAAAGAGAATCCATTTTCTTTTCAAGAGAAGGGGCAACCTACGCATTCAGCACAGCCAACAGATAAAATCCAGTCTGTGAATCAAAGCCCTGGGCCAATGCGTATGACGGTACCAGGCCCAGCGCGGCGAAAAGAACAATCTCACTAACTTTATACCGTAAGCTGATTTTGCCTGCTTTGATTAAAGTTGGAATAGGAGAGTCAAAACATACAAAAAGCCCCCACTGTGGCCCATATAAATCGAGAGTCCGTAAAGCATTGAAAGTTAATAATTCCTCCCCTCGACTTGACCGGCAATCTACTTCGGATAGAGATATTGCCAATAGCAAGAATGAACACGAATACAGACCCTAGTATTTTGAGTGAGAGTGCCCATCCAAGCCGCTTCAGGGCCGCTCTCAAAGCCAAAGGAAAGATTATCCCACCGAGGCTCGAGCCAGCCATGGCAACACCAGTCGCAGTGCCTCGGCGTCGATGGAACCAATGCGAAAGAACAGCCAGGCATGGTGTCGAGACCATTGCGCTGCTCACCCCACCCAGTATACCCAAACACAAAAGGAATTGGTAGTACTTCTCACAAGATCCTAGCAGGAAGATGGACAGCGCATAGAGGACGGAGCCGATAAGCATCATCCACCGTGGACCATATCGATCAAACATCGGGCCAATTTGAACACCGAGTGACAAGTTCAAAAAACAAAAGGCCGACGGTATCCATCCAATCGTACTCGACGAGTATCCTTGCAGCTGGTGCGTCTCCCAGTATGTCTGTAAAACCCCTACTGTGCTCATCATGCCGAATGTACACATGAGCATCATAGACGACCCTATCACCACTATCCACGCTACCATTCCACCTTCAGGATACTCATATGCAATACTCTCACTGCTACCATCTTCAGTGCCTGGGCTCGCAGATCTCCGAGCCGGTGCTATCGTCAGTGGCATATTATGTGATCTAGCCACGGTGATTGATGCTTCTTATAGGGAGTGGTTTGAAGTGGTGCTAAGTGGTGCTGATGATGTTGGGACTATGAAGAAAAGAAGAAAGACTAGATTTAAAAGGCCGCATCCTTTACGATGTTAGGTTACCGGCATCGTCCATAAATTCAGACAGTACACTACACTTTCACCACCCTAGGCGCTTTTAGGACAGATTGGCGATCCAACGAATGAATAGGTCGCGCTATAATCCACCAACCCACCTGCCAAGAGTCAGATCAGAGGGTTTAGGACCGATGAGAGCCTGACGTAGTTAGAGAGGAAGAGTTTTAGCTTAGTCATATATCAAAAATTCCAAGTTAGTCGAGTTAGTCAACCCCACCACAGCAAATGATCGGCTCGCACTTCAACGCTAAAGCCTAATTTGGAGCCCCATGGAGCCCCACGGAGCCCCACCAAAAAGTAACCTTCGACAGTTTCATGCACCATGCTATTTCCGCATGTACAGTGCCGGTCGGTATTGCCTTCCAAATCGGAAAACATAAAGACACTCATTCAAAAATCACATGAGACGCTAATCTTGTTATGGCTACTTCGGGCTTTAGAAACTTATTCCAGGGTTGTATGTGACTTGGAAGACGCGTGCTGCGCACGCTCCTATACCGCCTTTGCTTGAAATTGTGAGCTACAATGATAAACACGTTCATGCTCGTTGACCTCTTGAGAAACACTTCCACGTTTTCTCCACATCTCTAAAGCTATGTCTTCGACGTCCGTAAAGTGATTAGTCGGAAAGATTCGCAAGAATCAGGTACAGTCCTCGGCAGCCATGGCCAGGATACTCGTCCTCCCTATTGAGTTGCGCATCTCCATTTTGCAAGAGTTATCCAATATCGGGGTTCTTTCCGCGGCAGTTGCTAGCCATTGTCTGCTGGCCGAGGTGCTGCACGAATCCCCTACCATTGTTGGCCATATCCGGGGAAACGAAATGGATCCTCGACTTTGGCCGGTCGCGGTGACAATATGGCAAATGCGGACACGTAGAAAAGATACTCAGCTTCATGACGAACGAGCGGCGTCCTTGATCCTTGAAGAATGCCAAAGCACTACTCCCCAAGAAGCATGGAAATATTTAAACACAGTGAATCTGGCCGAGGCGCACAAATACATCCACCAACTACATTGCGCTTGACAAATTTACGACCGACTTCATATCCATGGCCCTTGACTTCCTAGCTGTTGACGGAGTGCTACAGCACTCTCCGCCCGCACCGTCACCTAATGAAGTCTATCGTGTCCAGCGCCCTTTCTATTTCTTAGAATTTTTCAGCTGTCTCTGGGATGACGGTCCGTATATCGCGGACTGGGATCGGCAGTGGTCAATGCTGGTAGACGTTGGATTTGACCCATGGGTAAACAAGGAACTCGCCTCGGTGTATGAGTATTATTGAGACAACTCACTATCGGTAACTATGCTCATCTATAGCACAGGGATAAGAATAATGCTGACTAAATTCTGCACCCAAAGCTCCCAATGATATAAATCGCATTCGCTGGGGTACCTGGAATACGGCCGATTTGGAACTACTAGACTATGAAAATGACGAAAAGGCATTTTTGGTTAGTAGTGATTCACAAATAAGGACGTCCTACGGCGGGCAAGTTGCTCAAAACCCTATTTCAGTAAGATTGTCTGTCGCCTTATTAACCGCCTTTGCCCTGAGGCCTTATTCCTAAGGCCTATACAGCTATCCTAAGGCAATGTAGGCAGATTCGAAACCACTGCATGAATCAATAGATCTCGCCCCTAGCAATATCTCTGCACCTATCGGCGGCGTAGGGCCTTCGCCCCGATAAGATAAGACCTCGAATCCCTCTCAATTCACATAAGGAGGAGACTATAGCCCTAGCGCTTAAGGAGAAATCGGTCTAGTTAATTTATGCCTTTTTCGAAGAGACTTAAGGGGTCCCTAGACGGTTTCCTAGATATTTTCCTTAACGGTCTTCTAGACGGTCTTCTGGACGGTCTTCTGGACGGTCTTCTGGACGGTCTTCTGGACGGTCTTCTGGACGGTCTTCTGGACGGTTTCCCAGACGGTCCACGTTACCAGGCCTACGCTTGACGGGCGTATAGAAAAAACCAGGTCTGCAGTATTAAGTTAGCCTTAGCTAAATATTCTGCCCGTCTTTCTGCCTAATAAAATGGGTTTTGAGCAACTTGCTTCTATCGTCCGCCGTAGACGTCCACTGAACTTGATAGGTCTCTCGCGGTATTCATTACGTCTACAAGCTTACCAGAGCACCGACACGCGAAGCCCGACGCCAATTATTGGCTGCCGAATCGAAGCCGGGAAAGTATTTCATGTCTGACGTCGCTATTTCGGATCTTAACGCCTGTTACTACCGTGAACGCTGGAATTCCCTAAGTCCCCTTTTCAGTGAAGCCTACATGAGGAATCTGCAAGACTTGTCGCAATACCCTGACGGTTCAACTTGTGAGCTCTTTCTGTCAGATTTGGGCAAGTCCGGGCCAGCAGAGATCTGGAGTCAGGCGCATCTATCCGATGATCATGCCCAGTGGGGCTTGGATTTGTGCTGAGCAAGAATTTCGCTAATGAACGGAAAGCGGGCTATGTGATGTGGGACCCATGTCGTATACTGGATTTCGAGAATTTTATGCGGAAATAAGACGTCTCTCGCAGAAATCACTACTAGAAATTCGATTAAGCCAAATGGCGACTGTTATTCGCAGGAGGCTCCGCGCGATGAATAAGGCGAAATTCATAGGAAAGGCCGGGAGGGGGTAAGGGATAACATTCCGTATTAATAAGAGGCATTTCATTCAAGATAGTAATATAAACATTGCGAGATCACGGGCCAATCGAAAGATACAAATCTTATATGCCTACTGATGAAAATTACCGCAGCCAAGTACGGAAAGAGGGAGAAAGTAAGGTATAGAAAGGAAGGAAAGTAATGTACAGGAAGGAGGAAAAGTATCCAGGATCATGGGAGACTCGTTCTGATACACTCTCCGATATCAGACGTCAACGCCTATGATTCTAATGCGGAAGGGAAGATTTGCTCCAAGTTCAATCATTCTGACTATCTCGCTGGCAAAATGCCTGTCTGAACTTACAAAACTGGAGGCTTCCATTTGCTCATTCATATTAATGGAGACCACCCCCTATGACTGGCCCAGCATAATTATTCCGTCCTCTGTAGAACCAGTAAATCAAACTGAAAATTAGTACGGACCCGAATATCAAGGACGCATAGTTCATGTTTTGCGCAGTCACAGGTTGGTATGGAGGGAAGAGCAAGAAGATGGATGTAAAAGTGAGGTAAATCACGGAAACGACGTTAATAACCGGGCCAAGGCGTCCCAGTCTCCAGGGTCCGTATTCCAGGACTGATGGTGTGAACAAGCGGCGCCAAAGCATAAAGCCAATCGGAAGAAGATAAGAAATATGAATACCGAAAACAGCGAGAGATAGAATTGCGTTGAAGGCCGTTGTCGAGCCGATATTAATCAAGCCGAGGAGCGCAAGGAATATTGTCACGATTAGAACAGACCATGTTGGAATGTTGCTCTTCTTGTTGATACGAGTAATGTATTTCGAGAAAGGAAACGCTATACACAATTAGCAGGGAGTTCATAGGGCTGTTCGCTTCTCTTTACATACCTTTATCGCGTGCCAAACTGTATAGCATCCGAGAGGTTGAGGCCGTCAAGGGAATGGTAGCCAAGCCGGCCACAACTATAAGAGCGCAGGTCATGGCGGTAGCCGCAGCTGTGCTGCCCGTTATATAGTTGAAAATCTCGATAATGGGAAATCCGGTCGTGGTAGCGAGCGCAGAATCCACGTCACCCATGCAAAAGAGGAGTGCAAGGAGGAATGCAAAGCCCATCGCGCCATTGACCACCAAGGAAAGAATCATGCACCATGGGACTGCAGTCTGGGGAGATTTCATCTCCTCGCAGAGATGGATTGCTCCATCGTAACCTTTGTAGTCGACAATGTCAGCGATTGACCGACGCATAATACTCAGTTAGATAATGACTTACCAACGAGAACATAAGCGCTTGAGAGCATCCCGATACTCCAAGAAACACCACTACTCGACCAGCCTGAATTATTCACGAAATATGTAAAGACAAAGCTGGCAGAGTTGTGTGTTGGGGCGCAAACCCATATCACTGTAAAGAGGATGATGAATGCGACAATGTGAATGACCAAGGACACATTCTCGACCAAACTCATTAGCCGGGTGCCCCATAAATTAACGACACCTGACAGCAACAAGAAGGCCCAGTATATGAGGGTGCCATGCCACCGTTCGTAAGTGTAGGTGGAATAATCCAGAGTTATGAGGCCCTGGAGCATCGTAGCCCCCAGAAAAGGGGCGCTCGCTGTAAAGGCTACCCATCCGAAAGTTGCTAGAGGACAACATCAGGATCAAGCCAATTGTTCATCGCCCTCCACTTTGCACTCACCGACCCATCCCACAAGCCAGCTGAGAGATAATTTCCACCGATCTGGCGCGAGATGGGCAATGAAATGGTACTGCCCCCCAGCAGTTGGCCACCTATGATGTGTTAGGACATGAAGTGAAGTAGTACTCGCTAAAGCAGCACTTACATTGAGGTTAGTTCACCCAAGGATGATGCGGTGGCAAGGGCCCCAATCAGAGCCACTAGCGACTTAGTTAGCAAGCAACTTATGAAATAGATTTGGCACTCAGTCCATCACTCACAGATGAACCCGTAAAAAAGTGAGACTGGTCCACCGCTGACCAAGCCAGACACCATTGTGCTACCTAGAATGTTAGCCACTGCCGCTTTTGATAGCTGAAGAGTCATGTACTCACGCGCACAACGCCTCCCATGTTGCCATTAAAACAGTAGCCATAGCCATGATTGTTAACGGTGTAAATTGATGCTATGTATGGTGAGTTTGATGAACGATTACCCCTCCTTCGGATAAAGTAGGTATGAGGAAGACTTACCTTGTGATGGAGTTCGCTGATGCCTCCTTCGCCATCATCGCAAGAATAGCCCTCTTGCGACGAATGCCGCTTCTCTCCGCTAGCCTTGCTGGCTGAGGTGCCGATATTTGTGGCGGTAGATAGATCCATGGCGATGGGGTTCTATTTAGTCTTGCAGTAAAGAGGGCCAAGAGAAATCAGGGGATATGGATGCGATATCCCAGCTATTCGCAACCTGAAAATAAGCAGGCGGTGGGTGTCAATATATAACCAGCAAGAGATCCACTAATAACCGCTTATAAAAGGGTCAAGACATCTCTCTCCGCAAGTCCGCTTTTGCGATCGCTGCGGCTGGAAGAATGACCTTGAAGACATCATAGGCTAGCCGGAATCAAGTCCGCGAATGCATCAATATTAGTACTGACTAGCGGTGCGCCATCGGCTGTGAAACTCAGTCATAGAAATTTAACGCGTATCCGCCATGGTCTAGGTTTAGGTAATGGTCGTAATATTAGTGAAAGTCGTTTTGAGCCCGGTGTAATAATTCCGCCCGTACCATCGAATATAAGAAGAAGGGTGTATTGTCCCATCAGATTGGTCGTCATATGCGGAATATCGCGGGGGGTGGCGAGCGAGATTGCTCTCGAACCACGGTCGTCTTTTTGAACCGTGGCTTTGATTGCAGCCCCTTGCGGCAATTGTTTTGTTTAGATCCCAACATAATACGGAGTAGATAACAAGCCTCGGTGCGGGGTAGTGAGCGGATCATAGAAGGTTATGACCCGACTCTAGCAAGCGGATGAGAACTGTTGATTGGTGCACTCGATACCAAGTGGCCTCCTAGATCGTTAGTGGGAATAAAGTGCGACGAAACACGATTGGCTGACCTAACATCTATATCGAAGCCTTTCTCGACGCGTGGCTAAGAATGTCATCTTTGTATAACAGTATCCATCTACGACCTTGTCCTAATACTGTATATCATGGGCCATGCTTATCACAAGGTTACTAATGGACATCATTGAAGTCTTCCGTGACCACAGGAGGGCAGATGTGCCGAAAAGGCCCGACTGCCAAGTGCAGTTTCAGCGACGTGTTCGCCCGTTTCGATAGCCCCTGGTAAACCCCGAGTAGTGCCTTTGACTGGCTGAGCTGAACTTGACTCTTTCAACGAAACCTCGCTTTACCTGCTAAAGAATCTTGAGGGGCTTTGATTGGTCCGCGGCAAGGCCACGCCCTTCAAAAATGTCCAGTACCTTTGAAGCTCTCATCAGAGAAAGCTATCTTGCTGATTTTATCGGAGCAGATCAGTAGATTGAAGTTATCGACTTTCACTAGTGGAACTCAAAGATACCTTACAGATTTGATTCAGTGCGTGAAGCAAATGAGCAGGGCCAAGTTCCAAAGACGACTGGCGAGGAAGTATACCCAAAGCTTCCCCTGTATATAGTAGGCGGTACTGGTGGTAAGACGGGTGAGTTTCAAATCCATTGAGACGTCACGGAAACCGCCGATCAGACGGCACATGACTGCTTCATTTATCTCCAGCTCCCCATTGGCAGTCGCGGGACACGCCAGACTTCAACACCCGCAATGCCCCGGATTTCTTTGGCAAAGGTTCCACCTTCGTCCTCCCCCTTTCTTCCGAGATTCCGTTAGCCTTCCGACTGGCCTGCATTTTAATTGACACTGAACTTAACTACGCTCATAAGCGATGGGTAAGCGGCCACGTTAGGCCTTTCCACCCATTGGCCGAAATTCGGCCAAGTCACGTAGTATGATAATCTAGCACGAAGGTTAATGATAACTTATGGCTGATTTTTCTGACTTTAGAGGGTTGTCTCCATTGAAAACAGCGTATATAGCACCAATAATCTTCAACACATACCCACAGACGTTTGAAAAGAATCACTAACCTTTGTTTCAAGCACATCAAATGTGATGAGGAAGTACCTACGTGCGGCCCAGATTCGAAGAAAGGTCATGTGTACCCCGGTCCGAATAATTACTTCAGATGGTCACCAAAGCATCAGCCTAACATATAGGGGGTCCGAACTCGAGCAAACGAACCTCAAAACACGTGGAAAGAACATTCACCAGACGGCCTTTCAACTCAACGAATGATGATAGGCATGGCACATCCGGGGAAGATGGTGGAGCTGATCTTGTTAATGATTCCACATTTGCGCGTTCTTATAGTGTCAAACTACCTATCTGCCTGGTCCATCAAACTTCCTCATGGTCTTTCCATCTACTGAGGCCAGCAACACGCGCAGAGTTCGACCAATCTACCTTAACGGATTACCGGTAGAATTACACGTACTCTTCGCCACCATTCGCGACCCTAGATAGGTAAGCTCACAGGTATTCTCGAGGGGACTAACCAACCCTCCTTTCAATTTGTGGTATTTTCCCATTTGATCTTTTTGTGCCAATCGCCTAGTAAATCCAATGTATTCCACAACTATACGAGGCGGGGCAGTCCACTACCCCACAACCCGAAATGCGGGGTATTACCGAACTGCGGAGCAATTCCGGCCCTATGTATCTCCATCCAATCGGATCTTTGTGAGAACGGTCAGAACGAGCATGTCGTAGTAAATCTGGCTAATAAGCTATGGCCGAAAAGGGTAAACTTGTGCGGCAGTGACAGCTTTGATGGATCCTACCATTAGTACGTACCGCACCGTGTTATTTATCTATGAGCGGGAATTTCTTGCAGTAACGTTGATTGAAACCGTAAATCAACTTTCTTCTTATTTTGGGGGTTTCTTCTCCTGCTAAACTCTCACAGTCAATACCCTAAGCAAGAGCCGGACGCGATGTTGGTTTCACTAGGTTCACCAGAAATATCAATTCGGGGAATAAGCGCCGTAAGGATAGGCACTCTCCCCCTAATCAAGGCGAAGCAGACATCGAAGAGACCTAATGTTAGGTACTAGCTGCTTGACGAAGTAATTTCTTTCGAGATAGCACAGATGCTGTACTAAATAATTCATAGAGCTGTGAAGAAAAAAATTCTTTTTTTCTTGAATTTTTTAGAGCACAAAACTAAAGACAATATTTGTCATTTTGTCTCATCTACGACGACTTGATTCTGTTTAAATAGACATTGTCTTACTGAATATACTGGTATTTTTAGACTATAGTCTTGAAAATAGCTAGAGTGATCATGTTATAGATTTGATTTACATTTTTCTTAGCAAACCTAAACACCCTTAGCGCAAGGGTCATTTCTATCCACACTGCTGGCTCTCGGAAGGGATCGTGATGTAAGGGCATCAATCGCGGCTGGTACGGCCATCACCTGAGATGAAAGCCAGTCCGATGCAGTCTAGAAGTTGCGATGTCTCCTTAAGAGGCACCTCTACGGGCGGGCCACGAAAAGCCATGATTAGTGCCGACATGGCGCGGCAGTCCCTACTGACGTTTTGAGATTGACGTGAAAAGGGGTAATTCTCAAGAACGCAAAGCGCGGGATATCATCTAAGTGTATAGCACCCAAAGATTGGAAAGATGAACTAAACCTAGTTCGTAGAATACGGGGGGTTACCTTTGTGGACGACATTACGATGTGCATCTCATGCTGCGGGCCATCTGGATTTCGCCGTCTAAGTTCCTCAATTATGTCTAGCCCGATTCGCACACTACCTTCGCCGGCACAATGTAAGTTGTAAGTCACTCCTTTTCCGTCAAGCTTCTGGAGCTTCTTTAGGAGATTTTCCTTTTCAATGAAAATCTTGTAATATCGGGGTGACCGTCTCCGTCCAAATTGCTTTGAGTGTAGTGTGGAGCAAGTGGCGCTCCATCAAGCCAAGGATTTGCAAATTGCGTTTGGACATGTTCACTGGCAAATATTTTCGCAAAAACCAACGGCGAGGAAAGATTTGCCTCAGTGTCCCTGCCCTCATGTCTTTATTCAAGAGCAAACGCCGCCCTATAAGGTATGCTAATCTGGGATAACTCGGTCACTGAAATTGCAAATTTGGAAGTATGCTTACGCTATGTACTACAAACTGGATATCGACTGATTGTTGCGAGCCTCGCGTCAGCCACTGTGTTCAGTGCGATGCTTTTGGGGTATTATTTTGTTGAGAACAAGCGACGAGATAGAGAATCTAGGTAGATGGGCGAAGGACATGACACGGAAGGCAGGGTTTAAGAGCTGAGCAACCTGACCGATCGAGAGATGCTTAGTTTCCGTTATGTGCTCTGAGCTTTTGGTCGAGATACGGAGCGGTGATCCATCGCCTGCCAAGGGGAGTCTTAATCGGCTCATTGTTGAATATCCATCGCTACGGAAGTCAATTTCTTGAACTTCTAGTGGAAGCTTCTTAGAAGCCAGAACAATGGGTAATAATGCCCGGGGATGAAATATCAATGGAATCTGACTGTAGATGCCTCCAGCGGTCAGTCAAATACATACAGTCTTCAAGACAACTATGTAAGATGCAATATTATGATTATTCAAATCTATCTAAGACACTCGCAACATCATCAAGTGTATAATGTAATAAGACAAAGTTCGAAGTTCGAAAGGAAGAAAAAAAGCAGCACAGGCCCAAAGCCACCGTCATCACTTCGTACGCCAATCGCAGGCTTCAGAGAAAGAGAAAAAGAAAAAGGTCAATCCAATCACACGCAGTGCGTGACACGAAAAGAGGAGAGACATATATGAAAGCGCATCGTGTCTTCTCGGGTTTGTATATGTATGGGTATCAAATCATAAAGAAGGGAACCAGCGACGCGGAGATATATCGATGAAGTAACCAATCCTCATTGCAGGCTTCTACCGCGAATGCCGTTTCCAAAACTTCCAGCCTAGGACACCCGTAGACCCATCACGCTGGTAGATACGCCAGTAGTATACCGGGATACCGGTGATGATAAAGCCCACCACGATCAGAGTCTGGAGGGGCTCTGCAATCACCGCGCGACTGAGAAGGAAGAGACTAACGCAGCAGAAAATAATTGGTGTAGTGATCCACGTGCGGTAGGGACGTTCAAGGTGTGGTTCGCGAATGCGTAGGACGATGAGGCCTAGCACAGTGACGAAGTAGAATGTGTAGCCTGCGACGCCATAGAATGTTACTAGGGTGCTGAACTCGCCGACGGCGATGTAGACCATGGTCAAGGCGGCGTTAAATGCCATAGCGTTGATGGGGGTGAAGCCAAGGCGGGATTCGTCGCCGAAGACTCGGGAGAGGGATTTGCTTGCCCATGACCGGCGACGAAGGCGGCTGGCAGCGGGGGGAGCGGGAGATGAAGAGTTGCCCAGGCCGATGCGGCCGAAGATTGATGGGAGGTAGCCTTCTTTAGCTGAGGCGTAGACGAGGCGGCCACTGGTGAAGGTTGTTGCATTCAGGGCTCCGAAGCAGCTGGCTCCCACAACGAGTGCGAGAATCAATGCGCCTACGGGGCCGAACACTTTGCCGCCGAATTGGACGGCAATGGTGTTGCTTGCTTCGATGGTTTCGTGGGGTAGGACAAGGAAGTAGGCGACGTTGGCCATTAGATAGCACAGAATGACCAACGGCATGGCCGTATGAATCACTCGTGGTAGATCCCGATTGGGGTTTTTGAACTCGCCAGTGACATAGTTTGTCTGAGAATTGTTAGCACGAATGTTCTCGAGAACTCTTCCTGGTCTTCGAGTCCTTGCTTACATTGTCCCAACCATCAAAGGCCCAAAGGCCCGCATACAACGCCACGGCGAAATCGGAGATCTCGGTATTCGTACCCTCGAACCAGCCGTGGGTTTTCCATTCCTGACTGGCACTTCCCTTGGACGAAAGACCAGTCACGGCGACCACGATACCGGTAATAGTGACACCAAGCAGTGCGACAAACTTGAAAAACATGAATAGATCGCCAATTCGAGTAGCGATCTTGGTGGAGATGCAATTAAACAGAGTAACCGCCACCAGACCTCCGATCGCAACGCCCTTGTTGATCCACGGATTGACATGTTCCACGTCGGCACCGACAAATGCACGAACAATATACTCGCCAAAGATAATCGAGATGATCGCCGCGGATCCAGGTTTCAAGACCAGCACCGCACACCACGTGAAGAGGAAACCTGGTAACTCTCCAAAGATCTTGGATAGATAAACCTGCGCACCTCCATTCAGAGGAATAGCACCTCCTAGCTCCGCATAACTCGCAGCTCCCGTCCACGCCAACAAGCCTGCCACGGCCCAAACGATGAGCGCGGCACCTGGTGACCCTGCGTTCGCATTCACCTGGCTCGGCGACGAAAAGATACCGGATCCAATGATCAACCCCACGATCAGGGACAGACCATTCAAATATGTCAACGTCTTATTTCGTTCCAACGAGCCATCCGTTCCCTGCCTGTCCAGCGCCGACGGCGTTCCTAGCGGAGCATATCCGGCCTGCGTTTGCGACAATGGGAACAAGTTGCGGCCAAAGTCAAAGGCGGAGGAGATCGAGTAGGAGCGTAGAGGGCGTTGACGGCCTGTTTCCAGGTATCCGTCCCCTTCCTCGCCGGCGAGGGGATCTTCATCATCGAGGGAGAGCTTGCGCGAGGAGGAGATTCCGTCGGGGGATGAAGAGCGGGAGGAACCTCCAACGGAGACGGGGGAGGAGGAGGCGAGTGAGGCGAGTTCTAACGAGTCTCTGGGGGCGGCGAGATTGCCATTCCGAGATTCGTGCGGGAATGCGCTATTCGACATCCTCCCTTTGTCTGTGTGTCAGGTCGTCGTTGTGTCCGGGAAGAGTCGTGGAGCGGAGACAACGCTCTCGAGGAGGTTGGATGTACAGGAGAAAGGGTGTTGAGTCAAGAGAAGCCAGCCAGACTCTCCATGTCCTTTGGTAAATCACCAGTAAAAATCCAAAGCGATCGAAAACAACGCAGATGGAGGAGAGAAGGTTTCTCAGTGGGTAGTAACCCGGGAGCCAAGAGAGTCAGGGTGCTAGTGCCAAGGGGGTCCAAGGGCAGTTTAATTCCCGTCGATCACCCAATCGGCTTTCCGTCTGCGCGCAACCCGATTTCCCCGCGGTTCAACTTCTCTCGGCCATGCGATCTTCATGACCTCGATCTCTCTCGTCCCCATGAAATCTTCCATATCCTCCTTGCGCTGCCGCTGCAGTGGCGCTACCTTGCGGTCGACGGCCAGTCGATCGCACCGGTATGCCTCGACCTCGACCTCGAGTTCATCCTCATCCTCCTCCTCAACCTCGGCGACACCCTCCACGTCTCCCACGTCTCCAAAAACGCGCTGGCTAGCAATTACCCTCGTGAGCGTCGCCGCAGCCGGCGTAGGTGCCTATATCCGATCCCAAACACCAGGCTCAGCAACCCTCAACCAAGAAACCTTCACAAAATACAGCCTTGTCTCCCGGGAACCAGTCTCCTCCACGAGTAGCCTATTCACCCTCCGACCTCGATACCACAGCGACGGCAACTACGATGTCTACGAGGAAGCCTGGCGAACGGGAGTATGGAGTGTAATGTTCAAGCAGCCGCAGCTCCAAATTGGCCGAGACTATACGCCTCTGCCTACGACGGCGGCGACGTCACTGTCCGTCGATGAGGAGAATGAGGGATACTTGCGGTTCTTCATTCGGAAGGATCCGTTTGGCGAGGTTTCGAGGTATCTGCATACGCTGGAACCCGGGGCCGATATTGAGTTGAGAGGGCCGCAAATAGAGTGTGCGATTCCCAAGGAAACAAGGGAGATTTTGTTTATTGCTGGCGGGACGGGGATTGCGCCGGCGTTGCAGGCTGGGTATTCGCTGTTGCATCGGACGACGAAGAACAATCGACCGAGGATTCATATCATTTGGGCGAGTCGACTCAGGGCTGATTGTGTCGGTGGTGTGAGTGATACACCGAAAGCTCCGGCGGCGTCGTCAAGTCGCTCGTGGTTCTCAGGCTGGTTTGGTTCGTCGTCCAGCGGCGCAAATGCCTCTCACTTCGAGACGGCTAGTCCGGTCTCTCCGGGCCAGGAACAGTCGCTGATTGTGCGCGAATTGGAAGCGCTCAAGTCGCAATATCCTGGGCAGATTACGGTGGATTATTATCTGGATGAAGAGAATCGTTTCATTGGAAAGAACGACCTGGCCCAGTTTATCAAGCCAACAACGGAGACGGAGAACCAGGAGACCCGAAAGTTGATCCTAGTGTCTGGCCCTGAGGGCTTCATCAGTTACATGGCCGGGCCTAAAGTGTGGGCTCAAGGTACCGAGCTCCAGGGTCCTTTGAAGGGCATTATCAAGGAGCTGGATCCTAAAGGTTGGGCTGTATGGAAGCTGTGAGAATTTTCTTACGTCCCGATTTTCCCTTTTGAAGTCATTTGTATCATATTATTTTTGGTAGCACATATAGCATATACCATGGAGTCATGTTGAATAGTGACAACAGTCCCGGGCCGGCTTTTGTTGTCGTCCATATTCCCAATACCAACACCCACTCGAGTTCAATAAACCAAATAAGAAATAGCTCAAGGTTGAAAGTTTCTTTTTCGCGAAACCATGATCAACGCTTGTTCTGCCTCCAGGGCAGTTTACTGGGTTGAAGCAAAGTCCTCGAGGTACTGCACCAGCTTCTGGACGTTCTCCAGAGGGACGGCGTTGTAGTTGCTGGCACGCATACCACCGACGCTGCGGTGGCCCTTGAGGCCCTGAAGAAGGCGCTTCTCAGCACCGGCAATGAACTCCTTCTCCTTGGCATCGTCACCACCGCAGACACGGAAGCAAATGTTCATGCGGCTGCGAACGCTCTTGTCGGGAACGACCCGGTAAACTTGGGGGTACTTGTCCAGAGCGCCGTAAATGAGGTCCGACTTTTGGTCGGCGATTTTCTCCTGACCGCTGACCTTTTGAGCACCGAAGACGTTCATCAGGTCAGCCATGACCTTACCGGCAACCCACAGGTTGAAGATGGGGAGAGTGTTATAGAGGGAGTTGTTCTTAGCGATGGTGGCATAGTCGAGCACAACGGGGCCGGGCAGGCCACCAATGTTCAACCGGTGCAGCAGAGCAGCGGGAGGAGTGGCAGTCTGAGGAGGGAGGAGGTCCTTGCGGACAATAGCGATAGTGATACCGGTGACACCGATGTTCTTCTGGGCGCCGCCCTATAAGTAGTGCATGTTAGTTCTGGGTGGTTCAATCACATTTTTTGATCATAACGTACGAAGATAACAGCATATTTGCTGACATCAACCTTGCGGCTGATGAAGTTGGAGCTCATGTCAGCCACAACAAGGCGCTCATCCTCAGCATCCTGGCCCTGGGCCTCGAGAACTTTGGGGAAGTTTTGGAATTCCACACCATCGACAGTCTCGTTGTCGCAGAAGTACACGAACGCCGAGCCCTTGCCACCCTCGCGCTTGGTCGGGGTCAACGACCAAGTGTCCTCAGCAGGAATAGTGCCGAACTTGCCACCATTGGCCTTGCGAGCATCCAAAGCGACATTGACATATTTAGAGCCGATCAATCGAGCAGCCTCCTGCGAAGCCTTGAGCGACCAGGATCCCGTCACGAGGTAATCGAGCTTCAACTCCTCGTCGACCTCCTTCTGCAGTCTCTGGAAGACCAATTCGTCGACCTGAGCCTTCTCGGCATCCGGGTTGGCTTTGGCCACATCGGCCTCAGCTCGGCGGCGGCGGCGCTCAATCCAGACGGGAACGAGGTTCTGGACGACGGCGCTGAACTCGCCGCTACCACCGGCCTGCATGAACAGGATCTCGTAGTTATCCGGGATATCGAGGAGGGCGGACAGGTTTGCCTTAGTGTCATCAAGAATCTTGTTCGCGGTGGGGGAGCGGTGCGAGATCTCGCCGAGGCCGAGACCGGAGTCATTGAAGTTGACGAAGGCCTGGCCGGCGGCCTCAACGACGGGAGTCGGAAGGGGAGCCGGACCGGCTCCAAAGTAGGAGACTTCTTGCCGGGAGGGCATTTTTGTGTGGTGGGATTGGGGTGGTTTGGTGAGGGAGAGGGTATCTTGAGTATAGAAAGAAGAGAAGATGGAAGGCAGTGGGGGGAAGAAAAAGAGTCATAGGTGGATCGTGCCGCAAGTGGATCTATCAATCGTGGGAGTCATCATGTTTAGTCAATTTAGCTCTACGTTAAATAAGAGGTGTTTAAATTCGCGGTCTCCAAGATGATTCACCGAATTGTCCTTTTTGAGGGCCAATAATGAGTTGCGTTGCTGCTAATTCTGGCGGCTATGGCGGGGCATTGAGTCCAGGGCGCGGGGGAGAATTCATAGCTGCAGATGCGGTTGCGGAGGTCGTGGGGTTTATTTCATTGATGGAAAATTGTCCAAACAAGTATATTGACGGTCTTTAGTTGAAAATTTATCTAATTCCACTTTCAGCTTTGCGTAAATAGAGCTGTGGTCGTGTTTTCACCTTTTTTCTGTTTGATTAGAAAGGTGGGGCTGATCTACGCTATCGATTAAGATACTGAAATCGACATTGCATACGGTCAATTGACTATCGAGAAGAATCTAGGCCGTATATTGAAGGGGAGCACTAACACAATATAAGAGCCTGGCTATAGCAGGACTATCTGGTGTTATTATTCTATCCGGCCATCAATCTATATGATCATGCAACAATAGACTCGAGTTGATGGTCCACGAGTACCATTGTCTTTACTGTAAACTGGTGATAAGCACGTGCTACAATGAAAATGAGAAGAATGGAAGTTCTCATTATGCAACTTCCAGTTCGAACGACCGTGAGAGTGAATGCATAACTCAATCAGGCGCTGCCGTCCGAAGTGGGTAGCTTCCACGTTGAGCTATATGTCTACGTCATATCTCCACCGGTAGACACTATAGCATCAAGCAATTGATATCAAAATAGATTATTTCTCGCCATTCAATATTCTAACATTAACGAATTGGCTCCTTGAATCCACAATGAAGGGATCCTGGGACCGAAGTTATACAATGCGACTAGCCATCCGAGATCGGCAGTATAGACATAGTCACGTGTTGTCAAAGTGCGTTGTTTGTCCTGTTTGCCACTTGACCCTTGAATTTTCAGCCAACCAGAATGCAGATGAGTCACCTCTCCAAATCCCCGGTCGCTCATTTGCCGAAAGCCGGGGATTCATTTTCTTGCATTGTTCTGTTCTCAAGACTATACACAAGGGCATCATGACTGTAAGTACTCAATTAGTCCAGCCTGAACTTCAAGCTGGTACTCATGCTAATCTCCCCTCTCATGCAGTCCCGATTAATGCCTTCGGGCCGCCAGGCCATGCGCAGCCCCTTCCGATCATTGCGCCGAACCTTTGCGACCTCCCGCGTGTTTCTCCAGACCCTGAATTCCCAGCAGGGCTTCCACTCCCAGCTTGAGACCATTACTCCGGAGATCCTGTCCTCGCTGGCATCCAAGGCTGTGCCCCAGACCTTGACCGAAAAGATTGTCCAAAAGTACTCCGTCGGGCTTGCAAAGGACAAGTTTGTCCAGTCGGGCGACTATGTCACCATCTCTCCCCACCGCTGCATGACCCACGACAACTCATGGCCCGTTGCCCTGAAGTTCATGTCGATCGGTGCTTCGAAGATTCATAACCCCGATCAGATTGTGATGACGCTGGACCATGATGTGCAGAACAAGACCGAGAAGAACCTCCAGAAGTATAAGCAGATTGAGGACTTTGCGAAACTCCATGGTGTTGAGTTCTATCCTGCTGGGTATGCTCCACTTTCCGGGTTTGATTGTTTGTAGTTGTCAAATGCTAACTGTATATTGTGAAGACGTGGTATTGGTCACCAGATCATGGCTGAAGAGGGCTTGGCTTGGCCTGGAACTCTTTGCGTTGCCTCGGATTCCCACAGCAACCACTACGGTGCGCTTGCTTGCTTGGTAAATATACTCTTCTTTCTGTGCTTTCAAGACTCCAAATTCTGACTGCTTAAAGGGAACACCTATTGTCCGAACTGATGCGGCGAGTGTCTGGAGCACTGGCCAGACCTGGTGGCAAGTGCCTGCCATCGCCAAGATCACCCTCACTGGCGTTCTCCCGGCCGGCGTCACTGGCAAGGACGTTATTGTCGCTCTGTGCGGTCTCTTCGACAAGGACGACGTTCTGAATCACGCTCTCGAGTTCGCTGGTTCCGAGGAGACGATGCGCAGTCTGCCTATTGATAGCCGTATGACTATTGCCAACATGACTACCGAATGGGGTGCCCTTTCTGGTCTTTTCCCCATGGATGACGTGCTCAAGGGTTGGATGAAGGGGAAGGCTACTACCGCCGCCATGGGTCTAGCCGACGGCCCCTTCAAGACCACGGCTGCCCAGCGCTTCACCCACGAGGCGATCGAGGAGCTCTTCGCTAAACCTCTGACCGCGGACAAGGGTGCCAAGTACGCCAAGGAACTCTTCTTGGATCTCTCCTCTCTGTCTCCCTACGTCGCCGGCCCGAACTCGGTCAAGGTTGCTACTCCTCTGAGCGAGCTGGAGGCTGCCGATATCAAGGTCAACAAGGCCTATCTTGTTTCCTGCACGAACTCACGTGCCTCTGATATCGCTGCCGCCGCCCGTGTATTCAAGGAGGCTGCCGAGAAGAACGGCGGTCAGATCCCCAAGATTGCTGACGGTGTTCAGTTCTACATTGCTGCGGCCTCCATCCCCGAGCAGCTTGCTGCCGAGGGCGCTGGTGACTGGCAGGTTCTGATCGATGCTGGTGCTACCGTACTCCCCGCCGGCTGTGGTCCCTGCATTGGCCTTGGCGCAGGTCTCCTCGAGCCCGGTGAGGTCGGTATCAGTGCTTCCAACCGTAACTTCAAGGGTCGCATGGGTTCCACTGATGCCAAGGCCTACCTGGGTTCCCCCGAAGTCGTGGCTGCCAGTGCTCTTAGCGGAAAGCTCTCCGGTCCTGGCTGGTACCAGACCCCCGAGGGTTGGACCGGCGTGAAGCGCGGCGAGGGTGATGGTATTGCCGAGGAGGATCGTATGCTTACCACCGAGGAGGCTCTCGAGAAGCTCCTCGGTCAGCTTGACGATCTAGTGGCTGATGGCGAGAAGAAGTTTGCTCCCCAGCCCACCGAGACCAAGGTTGAGGAGATCTCTTCCGAGGACTCTCTGACCGATGTGTACCCCGGTTTCCCCGAGCGTGTGTCCGGAGAGATTGTCTTTTGCGACGGAGACAACATCAACACCGACGGTATCTACCCCGGCAAGTACACTTACCAGGACAACGTCTCCGTCGAGACCATGGCCCAGGTGTGCATGGAAAACTACGACACCAAGTTCACCACCATTGCCAAGGCAGGTGATATTCTGGTCACCGGCTACAACTTTGGCTGCGGCTCCTCTCGCGAGCAGGCCGCCACCGCTATCCTGGCCAAGGAGATCCCTCTCGTCGTCGCAGGCAGCTTCGGCAACATTTTCTCCCGCAACAGCATCAACAACGCCCTGATGGGTCTGGAAGTGCCCCGCTTGGTCTCCCGTCTGCGTGAGACCTTTGCCGAAGGCGATGGCAAGGCTCTTACCCGCCGTACCGGCTGGACCCTGACCTGGGACGTTCGCCGTAGCCAGATCGAGGTTCAGGAGGGCCCCAACGGCGCCAAGTGGACTCACAAGGTCGGCGAGCTTCCTCCTAACGTGCAGGAGATCATCGCCAAGGGCGGTCTTGAGAAGTGGGTCAAGAACGCGATCGAGGCGTAAATCCGGAGAAAGAAAGAACCACTTTGAAAATAGGGTTTGTTCTGCCGGTGAAAAAGAAAAATGCGTTTGGCCTTTTGACGTGATACCCGAGCTTTGGTTTATATAGATGCCCGGTGCGGAGATGTTTAGCGAGATATTTGTTTTGGACCATTTTGAGCCTGTACAGTATAGAAAAAGGCGTATCGTTCAATTGCATTGTATGTTCAGTGATATCCATCGATATGATTTGATCTTCAGGATTGTAAACGAGTGTTTACTGTGATCAGACGAGGTGACCGGAGTACTCCCAAGGTCAGATCATCAATCAAATGATGATTCCGTATATTCGTACGAAAGATAACTATAAAGGAAATTAAATTCACTGGTCAACCACCTGCCTCTTCCAAGTCAAAAAGACTACATAAAACTCCTCCGTGTTAGAATCCTCCCCAGCCTGACCACCAAAAGTAGCAGCAACGCCGCCACTAGCACCCGCACCTTGTGTAGCTTGAGCATCAAAAGGCCTCAGAACCGGCACAGTCGGGACAACAACCTCCTCCGAAACAACAGCCTCCTCCGGCATAACATGAGGATTAGGCACAATGGCCCTCTCAATGGGCTGTCTCTTCAAATCCCCCTCTTTCGCACCCACCCAGCTATACGCACTCCGCGACGCGGGTTCCGCAACAAGATACAGCGATTTCTCCAGATTAACAGGGAACTTCCACGACAAAGCCCACTGGACGATAGCATCAAGTTGATCCCTCTTCCGCATGACAGTTTCAAATTCAATCACCAGTTCTTCCAGGCTAGGCAGGAGAGTGAACTGATTGCCCCACGCTCGGTTTGCCTCGTGGGCTCTCAAGCAGTGAATCGGCCGGCCCATTTCATGGGCGCGTGTCCGGCCCGGTCTGAACGGGTCGATTCCCAATGGATCGTTATTCTCCCAGAACCACCAATCCGTGTGTCGGAATGTAAGCGTCAGCTTTCTGGGGCTGATCGCGTAGGGAGCGGCCCTTTGTCGGCTATCGTGAAACCCGGGACCGTCGTTGATCCATGTACCACCCCACACCCTGGTCCAGCAGTTATCCTCGAGGAAATACTGCTGCGTGAAGAGGTGGATGTGCCGGACTTGAGCGCGTTGTTTCGCGGTCATTTTTCGGAAATAGCCTAACGGGGACGAAGCGTCTTTGACGTGTGGGGGTGCGCGGTAGAACCAGAATGTGTGCTCGTTGATGGCGGCGGGGAGGAGGGAGGCCTCCTCGTAGATTTGTTGGCATGTTTGGAGGAGGGCGGTTTGGATGCGTTTTGGTTGTTTGTAGCCTGGTCGGAAGTAGAAGGCGTTTTGGCGGTAGAGATGGGAGTGTGTTGTATTATCCCCTTCTTGTTGGCTATCGTTGGTATCCTCGGATTCGAGGGAGAAGGTGTAGATGCGGTTGCGGATTTCGGGCGGGAAGATGGTGAAGAGGAAGCATGACGTTTGGTTGATTGCGGGGAGTGAGGGGTGAAGATCGGGGTTGTTTGGTGGAGCGCCATTCTTGTTGGAACCCTTTGGTGGAGGGCGTGGGCGGAGGACTCGTCGAGTTGGCTCCATTTTATAGTGCAAGTTGAATATTTTCGTGCAGTGTAGACGTTGATGAGAGAGTCCTACGGAGGGATGATCAAGCTTTATGTCTGCTTGGCAGGAGAAAAAAGAGACTCCCGCTAGACTGGGTTTCTCTATTCTGGCGGGTATTCCGGTGCTTAGACTGCAGTCGCCCCGCTGTAGCCTGGAATGGAATGGACCCTGTTTTGGATCTATGAGGCTAGGATGGAGTCAACTTGGCCGAGTTAGGAAAGGTTAGTCTCGGTTGCCTGGAATTCGATGCTGGTGGAGTAACTTGAGCCGCCGCAGGAATTGACTCTGACGCCGTTGAGCCGGCAAAAGAAGTATTTGATGAGGAAACTGGGTCGCGAGAATAATGGGAACTCGTCGACTCTATGGGCAATCTATAAACTTCGTGGACATGAGATAGTTCAAAAGTATATGCAATGGATACAGGTCTAAATACACAAAACTCCTCCCACCGCTATATGTTGAATGAAGTCTTCACTCGCAATGTACTGATCCAGATGTTGAAGAAACGAGTATACCGTCTGTGATCTAGTGAAGATGAAAAGCAAATAAACAAAACGATCCAATGCCATGACATAGATCGCCAGGCATAAGTCTGGAATTCCCAAGCTTTAGCCCTTGCTAGCGGGCTCCGACGGTGTAAAGACGTTGCAGACAGTCTGCAGCTTGGTCAACATCTCTTGCCATTCCCCCTCGGCCGTACTGAGGGTGGTGACTGCACCACCTGCACCGATCCTCCATGTCTGCTGGTTTTGACTACCAACGCCCTGTTCAGGGTAGCGAGTAAACGCGGTTCTAATGAGAACCGAGAAACTTCCACCACCACCGAGGTCGAGGTACCCCATCACACCGGAGTAGATGCTGCGCTTACGCGCTTCGATATGACGAAGATGCAAGCAGGAGCGCTCTTTGGGGGCACCAGTCATAGAACCAGGAGGCAGGCAACGCTGAAGTGCCGTGAGTCCATGAACCGCCATACTCGAGGACTTCAACTGAGGCATATGCCGCACCGCATACCCGAGTTGTTCAGCGCGAACTTCACCCTTCACGTGCGTAATCATCTGGTAAACCCGACCATGGTCCTCGACTTCGAGTAGCTTTTCGACGCGAACACCGCCAGATCCACAGATTCCGTACAGGTCATGACGAATCAAATCGGCAATCATCAAATTTTCCGCCATTTCTTTCGTTGTACCCAGGATTTCGCGGGCTTTTTCCATGGTCATGTCTGGCGTTTTGCGGACGGTGCCTTTCATCGGTTTCATTTCTAGCATGGACTCGCGATCCCAGTTGAGGAAACATTCGGGGCTGCTGCTGACGATTTTGGCGTGGCCCAGGTCGGCGAAGGCACTGAATGCGGCGGGGTTGTATTTTCTGAGTTTCTTGTATAATTTCCAGGGGAAAGTGGCTCGGCCTTCGTCTGTTGTGGGGTTTGGTAGTGTAATTGATGTTTCGGAGGTGAGGCACAGCTCGTAAGATTCACCGGCTTCTAGTTCTGCTTGACATGCCTGGATCTGTCGTTTGTATGTCGCTTCTTCGGGGAAGGTAATTTTGCCGTCCCGAAGGATGGAGTCTAGAAACTGGGTATCGACGGTGTCCACATTCTGGGCGGATCCTGAAGATTCCTGAAGTAGCTGCAATGTCTCGTCGAGCCAGCCACATGGCAAGTTGTCGGATTCGCAGGTAGACTGTACAATAATATTTCCAGTGGTGTTGTCGATGACGATGCTCCTTTCACACCAGAGTAGACTGACATCGGCGGGGTGATCTTCAGCACTACCAGGTGGCGATTTAAAGGAAACGTTATCATGGTACGTCGGCGAGGAAGATCCCTTGGGATGAGGAAGACAGGCCAGACCCAGCTCGTAGGAGAAATATCCTAGGAAGCCACCCCAGAAAGGAACTTGTGTACTACCCGAGCTGACCTTTTTCATTTCCATCAAGTATCGGAGAGCATCCCACATTTGACTCACAGTCAGGGAATCCTCGACTGATTTGCGACCAGCGCTGAGTTGGTACATGGCTAATTTCTGGAGCTCCACGCTGAATTCGAATCGCCATGAGCCAGGGCTGGGAACCGAAACGATGTTGTAGCGGCCATTTGACTGGAACAACACTGTCGGCGCTCCAGGCCTGTTGAACAGCTCGCTCAGAGACTCTGCAGTCAAATTGCCCCGATAGAGAGACCGGTATGCCGAAGTGGAAGATGTCGATGAGCTCCATTTCAACATTTCAAAGGCGATGTCAGGAAAGCCCTTGGTCTCTTCGTGTGGCGTGATGATCGTTTCGGGGAGAATTGCATACCCCCCACGTCCAACCAGCTTATTGAAAGTAAGAGCCTTCCGCCACCAGTTCAGCAGCAGCGTTTTGCAAGCATCCTTTTCCGACTTGCAAGATTCGGGATGGAATTGGACACCCCAGAACGGTTTCTGGCGATGACAAACCGCCATTGGGATTCGAGTCACCGAACCAGTCCCCTTCTCAAGAGGAAGCCATGCCAAGAATTCCAAATCGTCCGACAACTCACCCCGCGATCTGCTCACAGCATCAAAATCAGCATAAAGCGAGTGATACAGCGTAACTTCCACATCGGAAAGCCCCTCAAAGATATCTTTCGACGCCGTTGAAATATGACGGACTTGACCATGCAGTGGATAAGGTAGACGCTCGACCGGCACGCCGTGATGCAGACACAAACTCTGAAAGCCCAGACAGATGCCGAAAACCGGCAGGAGCTCGGTATCCCGCAGATTCCAGATATCGCGCATGATGCCGACATCTTTGGGCAGATTGGGATTTCCGGGACCGGGTCCCAGCACTATCGCTTCATAGTGCGTGAGGAACTCGTTCATGTTGCCGTCCGGCCAGTCCGAGTCGATTGTCATAACGGTCACTTGGACGTTGAGCGTCTCCTCGAGCATTGCGACCACATTGTAAGAGAATGAGTCGTAGGCGTCCACATAGAGAATACTTTTCGAAGTTGCGGCATTCTTATTTGCTGAATGTGATGATGGAGTGGCGTCTCCATCCCAATTGCCTAACAGTGGCGCCATCGTCGGATGTTCCTGTTGAGTCCCCCGAAAAGCACTGAAAGACGTAACATGCACAATTCCCACAGCCCGAGGGACTGAGAGGTCGGTATAAGAATAGCTCAGAGCTTAGACCGACGGCGCGCGTGGAAAGCCCCGGCTATTAAATTTTTTTTCGCGCTTCACAAAGCCGAGTTAGACATGTCCCGATTGAGGGTCTCGGAGAGTGGCGCAAAGTCGTCAGCGTTTCTTCAACACCGCGCCTCTCGTTTGATAGGTTGAAGCGAGCAGAGCTAGCGCCGCATCGTATACCGCGGCTATGGTGGATGGATGGAATACGTCGATGCAGCTAACAATGCATTGTGCAGAAATTGGATTGGAGGTTACAGGAATCGAAAAATTTAAGGTTGGATGGGCAGGCAAAAAGCGGGTACCGCCGGAAAACGGATGGAGCAGTTCGGGTGGCGACGCCGTTTATCAAAGATTGAGATCGAGAGTATCTACGAGGCCTTTCCATAAATCGAGAAAACTGACAGAGTAGAGGGTATCCGACATTTCTAAACACATTGAAGTTCTAGGCTATTTAACACATCGAAACGAAAACATTGGCGCATGAGCTACTGCGGCTGCGGCTGCGACTGCGGCTGCGGCTGTTGATGTTGTGGAAGCGTGGCGAGCTTGGCTGCTACTCGGGGGAAGTATTGAGCCACAAAGCCCTCGGTGTAATAGCTATGCGCAGAGCTATGATCACCCACGAGATTGTGAGCCAGTTCGTGACACAGGATCACCCACCAGTAGACAATCGCGTCAGTACGGTCGGGGGTCGCGCTCTGCAGGAGGGACTGCTCTTGCAACTGCTGGAAGTAGAAGTAATTGCAGAAGATGCTGCCTGCTCGGTTGAAGGCTATGGTCTTGCCACCGGGATCGTAGAAGATACTCAAGCTGTCGGCACGCATTGAGAAGATGGAACCACAGTCCAGAAGGACCGATGCGAAAAGGTTGATACCGCTTCGGTTGTTTGCGAGGAAGGCAGATCGATCGGTGATGGTTCGGACAAACAATACGTTGACCCCACTGGGGAGAGTAGCAACAAACTCCAAATCGTGGCTAGGTCTTTCGTCACAGTAAGACTTGCTCTCTGAGATTTGATTCGTCTCGGGCCGACTGTACACATCGGATGATCCGTGGGGCCGACAAGCCTGAACGGCCGAGAGGAGCTCCTGGTTCAATCGGTGTGGAGAGCTGACAGATACTGGCTGTTCCGGGCGTTTATTCTTGGGATCCGTGGCGGAATAAGGGGGTGGTGGTGGAGGAGTATCAGACTCCGGAAGCAAAGAGCGTGACTGCTCAGACGTCGAAGAAGACTGGTTCTTGTCCAGGCCAAATCGCTTTGACAGGTTCGCAAATAAGCCACGAGGAGTCCTCTCGGGTATAGCGGCTCCGGTTGGTGCAGCAGGTCTTTCATCCACCGAGGATTTAGCATTAGGTGACTCGGGGAAGACGCCAGGCATAGGGGATTGTGACGTCGATTCGGGCTGCTCTTCTTGGGCTCGTTGCGCCTGAGCCTCGGCCCATGCGGCTTCCTTTTCTTTCAAAGCCCGCCTCTCCTCCTCCACCTGTTTCTGGCGTTTATCCTCCGCCATCCGGGCCTCCTGGGCCTTTTGCCGGAGAATACGCTCCACGTTGTAACCACGAGCACGGAGCTCCAGAAGATCAGTTTTTAACAGCATCTCGAGGGTCAGGGTGGAATGAAGCTTTGGCCGCTTGAGGATCAGGTGTACAAGCGATTGACTGATCTCGTAGAGATCATATTTGCCCGGGCAAATACACAATCCCCAATTGCTAGACAATCGTGCCACAATGGCACTTCGCTTCTGAGTATGAGATGCCCTCCGTCCCTTTAGTGAACGTGTCAACGTGATCGAATTCACCACCTGCACCACAAAACTGGTCTCCAGCCACCTGGCTCCATGTTGAATTGATTCGGCAGGTTGGTCGTGCAAGAAAAGCCGTGCGCGCTCAATGATCACTTTGTGCAACTTGGCACCCGAGCTCTGATCGGCCGCTACACCACCGAATCGCGCTTGTTCTTCAACAAGACTGCTCAGAGGCACTGCACCTAGAGCCACGTAGAAGTTCTCCAAAGCTTCCTCCTGTGGCGCGGCAAAGATATGCTCTTTGAAAAGATTGAAGCTCTGGAAGTCATCCACAACAACGATGTCCTTTGCGGCTGAGAGATCCCATTCTCGGATATCCATGTCTTCGTCGGGGTCTGCGCTATCCTTCTCACTGGCTTTAGGTTTGCCATTCTGAGCTGTAGCCTGCGGCGGTATATCACGACTGGCTAACAGGAATTTGGCCCTCTTCATATCACTGAAAAGCTCTCGGTCCTTCTTCAGCACTGAGAGATGCTCGGCAAGAGTCCGCAGAAGCATCAAATACTTGTCAGAGCTCTGGAATGCGGCGGATATACGAGCGGGCTCCTTCACCAGCATACGAGCGATTTCGTTCTTGGTTGGCTCTCTCCTCGAGCCCACTGCCATAAGGAAGAGATTCGCTTCCTGTCCAAAGTCTACAAAGTCAAAGATATCTTTGTAGTCTTCGCCATCGCCAAGATAGCAAAGTCGGGGTGCAACGAGACGAGTACGCGCGCCCTTTTCCGATTGAGTGTTTATGGGGACAGGAATGATAGGTGCATTTCCAACGCGCTCGACATCTTGGGGACTCAAATCGGATACCCTGCCTGCCAGGTATTTGAAGATTGTCCTGGCGTCCCTTTGAGTGGCTGGAGGCTGGCGAACGAGAGTCTGAAGACAATCCGACATGGGAGGATGAGGCTTCACTCCCAGCTTCGAAGCATGCGAGTGAAGACGCTTTTGCAAAATGTTGAAACCAAACAGAGATGCACCCTCGTCGGTAAAGCATCTCTTTGGCGTGCTGAGACTTTCTGAGCCCTCGATCGGGAGAAAAGGCACAGTGACGGCACTAATATCAAACGCAGCATATCCGTTCGTGTGGTATTCATTGAGGAAGTACGCCAGTGCCTTGCTCTTTCGACCCGCATCCTTCTCAGAATCGCTCATTATCATAAGCCGGATGAGTTCAGACCCAGATGGATAGCTCTTCAGTCCCATCATGGCGAGGAACTTGCCCTCATTGCTCGCATTGTTGTAGATACCTGGCCATTCAATGATGGGTAGGCCCAACGCACGGAGTGAGTCCTTTGGCTCATACAACTCAGCGATCTTGTACCGAGTGCCTTGGTTCTGAGCGTCATTTTCAGCGGTGCAAATGCTCGTGTTCTTGAGTCTTTGGATATCGTTGGCAGGAATGTCCTCGCGGACCGAGGCGAGGTAGCGAATAAGATCCACGTGGTTCCATCTCCTGGCTGGAGGTCCCTTGGCATCTACAGCTTCGGGTGTATTGATCAACCGATCAAAGATGACACCAAGCTCAACGGTCTTGCGAACGCCGAGTGATATCAAAAATTTCTCCTTGACACCGTTGAGCCCGTGAACTACAGGTAGGTCATCAAAAAGTCGAACGGAGGCGAAATATGTCTGCGTCGGCTGCTTCATGCCGACTTTGGTCGGAATCACAGTTTGCGGTTGCAGAACATCGATGACTGCTTGTCTGGAAGAAGAGCTCAGGATCTCCCACCCCTTGGACAACACAGGTAGAACCTGTCCAGCAAATGCAGGGCTTTTCAAGATGTTTTGCTCTTTCTCGAGAAGACTCTCGTCACCAGCATTTGTGACAAGCCATCTGATCCAGGGCACGATTTGCAGCTCCCCCCAGCCCAAAGCCTCAAGCTCAGATTTACTTATGGATCTAGTGAATCTGAATGGCATCACCGAAGGTGGCACAGGCAGGTCAGCTGGAATGCGATGGGGATTTAAGAAGCCGGCGATATCCGCAAACACAATCAAGCGTGTAGGTTGGCCTTCCCTCTCTTCATCATTTGCCACTGCGACTCGGAGTAGGCTCTGCACAGACATCCCGTCGAGTTGTCCGCTAACAGCCTTGCGACCAAGCCATGACAAGAACTCCATAATTTGATTGGGTCGTAATGTATTTGACTCCAACTCACGTTTGATATCAGAAACGGTGATTTCTGTAACTAATCCAAAGTCTGTCAACCTCTGAACAAAGTCCTTAGCATTCAGTACGAGCTCATCTGGCAACGCTGGAATGGAGTCCATGAAACTGAGGTCCTTGGGAGCAATACGGGTTTGATGACTCGGAATAACGCCGCAAGTAGAAAGCACTTCAATAGAGGCGTTCTTGTTGCACATCCAGAATGCGTCCTCGATCGTTTGTCCCAGAACAGAAGACGGCGTAGACTCGCGAAAGACAAACTGATTGGCAGTATGGATTGCCTCCGGGAGGACATCCACAATGTCTTCTTTTCGAATCTTTGAAGCGCGTGTTGAGCCAACTTTGGCAGCAAGCTTGGATTTGATGGTGCTCATCTCCGCAGACCAGGCAATTCGACATACAACACCGACCGCCCTTAGCATCTCAAGATTCCACTTGCTGATGTAACGTGTGTTCAGATCAATGCTTTCACGCTCCACGGTAGGGATGACTGATGGTGCCGACACGTGAGCATTGAGGCCAGTGGTTTGCTGGGTAGGGAAACCGATGAAGATCCTTCCCGCCTTTGTGGGTAGAATGGAGGCAAGGATCTCCGACTGCGACTCGGATGCGCCCGTCGCGATGTTGGCATCGTATGATGGCGTCAATATGGCAATTGTTGCTCTCTTTGGAGGCGGTTTCCGCGTGGCTCGTTCAAGTTCTTTGCTGAGAGCAGTACTAATCGAAGGCTGGATGGACGCAGTGTTGATGTGGAGAAACACAGCAGCCTTTAGCATGACAGTCATGTTGGCTGTCTCGTCAACTTTCTCTGTTTGCTGGGGCTGTGCGAGCTTCTCAGGCCCATTCTGGCCAGTGAACTTGGAAAAGAAGCTGCGGAGTGAGTTCGTGGTATCCCGAATGTTGTCCAAGCGGAACATGCTTGCATTGGGGTTCCACTCCACAATCCGCATCCAAGCCGCATCAACCTGTGCAATTTCTTGTGTAATGCTGGTCACCTTCATCAGACCTTCGCTCGTTCTTGTTTCAACATCCCTGGGAATTGGAACATTGACACCAGGTGCTGTCTTCTTTGACAGCTTGAGCAAGTTCCAATCATCCACCCATAGCTCAATCTCTTCCAAGGCAACAAATGTCAGACTGCTCGACAGAAACTGACACAGCTGCATCAAGGATGGAACGGGGGAAGAATCGTTGCGGTAGTCCAACACAAAGGTCGTGTCTTGCGATGGGGTTTCACCCAGGTCCAATCGACGGGTGAACAGTGCATTGCCCTTCCAATAAAACGCCATAGCCTGACTGCCCGAAGACACAAATGGTTCTTCACAGTCATCAAACACACTATAGAAGCCAACACCAAAAGCACCGATCTTTGTTTCATCCGGGTTTCCATCAGCAATACGCTTCAATCTAGCCCAGTCCTTTTCACTGAAGGCGAGACCGTTATTTGAGATCAAGAGACGACGAAGTGTATGATTTGATATTGTATGCTTCAAGAGGGCGGTAGGGTCCGTCGAGGATGGAGTTGGTACCGTTGTGGAGGGAAGAGTCTCGAATTTGATGGTCACTTTAGTCGCGGAAGCATCGGCAGCGTTCTGGATCATTTCACGCAGAACGGTCCTATAGGTATCCGGTTAGTATATTCAAAGTTCCCAAGATATCTGCCACATGAGCCTCTTCAGGGGAGATACCATTTTCCAGAATAGCGCGCCAGAACTTTGGAGATCAGGCCCCGTGTGTCAACCGTCACTGCTTCTTCGTCGGCACCAGACCCCATGGTCCGGGCTTTCAAAGCGTTGAAATCCATGTTCAAGGCCATCTTGTAGTCTATTATCTGGTGATGTCTTTAGGTATATCTGTCTCGATTTGAGTGGCGTATGCAAAGCTCCGCGTGGAAATGGAGATGCCTATGCCATCTTGTGGTGTGTAAACAAGCTCGACGCGGGTCTGAATTAGGAGGGTAATGACCGATAAGCGCACGTATTGAAAAGACTGTGTCCACAAATATTTGTTGCAAGAAACAGATATGGACTAACGAAGGATATGACGAGTACAGTCCAAAACCAAAGAAATGACAGGTGAAACCTCCGAACGACGCCTCGGCGACTGCGGAGGGCCCCTTATCGCTCCGGGCTTATCGGCGGCTGACATCAGCAGCCAAACTTACCTAATCATGATTGTTTCCAAAGCATCGCGGCTTCAGGAGCATTTGCGGAGCGGAGTTCCTAGGTCGAGCTCAAGTTGCTCGCTGTTCTCGTGGCTAGTCCAGTCATTACGGTCGCTTTACCGTATCATTTTGTTCTCATCCTGCTTGGACCCTCTTGAGCTGGCGCCATCTGGCAGTTGGGCCGTTCCATCTGTTGTGAACGCGGGACTAAACACCGTCAACCGCATCTAACCCCGTCCTCCCTCAAATGACACCATGGGGGTCGATCCTCTATCTCCAATTGCGCCAGTGCGCCTTCGAGCATTACTGCTTCCAATTGGCAAAATCAAGCGCTCGCGCTTCTTGAGCTTTGCTGCGAGGCTTCAAGCTGAGAATGTGGTCCGACTAGGGGACATTAGTCCCGACTCTCGACCAAACCGAAGTACGCAATACCTAGCGGAGTGCCAACGGACACACACCACTCAAATGACTCGATGGGAAAGCTAACTTTTTTGGTCTATAGACATGTTTTCCCCGCTTGCCTTCCCCACCGGAATGATCCTCTACGACCTGTCCTTTTCCGTTCCCCCCACGTCACATCTGGAGCTGTTCCCATTCGAGATATACAGAGAACCTCTGGTCACAATTGCTATAGCTGATGGTACTGAGCTGTCTCAAAGCTCCGGAGACAACGCAAAGCACCCCACGCCCCAGGAACTGGAACGATTACGAGAGGAGCTTGATGCGGTGAGGGAGAGGAACCCGCGTGCATTGGTCCATCAGCTCCTAATCTTCGATTATGAGGGGCTAGATAATATCACCAATGGTCCCGAGAATGTGCTGTGGGTTCCTCGGCCCGAAGTCTCCAAGGCAACTACCATGAAAACTGTTCTGTGTGATATTACATCCGTCTTGCTATCAGAGCTGGATGAATTCGCCAAGACAATACAAAATATCCCGTCGATAGAGTCGCCTAGAGCTTCATCATGGGGTCCACATCGAAACCCAGAGTTACGGCCACGACCTGTGGACCGACTGCTGAATCGCATGACTTTGCCTGCGCAAATGCCATCCAACCCTAATGGTGCACCACCGGAAACGCCCCTTAGCTCGAATGCCACCTCTCCCACTCCTAGCGACCACGAAACACCTACGACATTCGACGAGATCACGCGATCCATCCATTTGTCTCGAACGAACTCCGGTGGCAGAAGCCCCGCAATAGCCTCACCTAAGGAGCATAGCCGAGATCGCATGTCCGTGAGCGGCATCAGTGCCACTGATAGGACCAAAAACCGTATCAAGGGCCGCTCTGGGGTCGTCATTGGTACTCTCTTCCTGCAGGCAGGAAGGTGGCCAGATGCGCTCAAGGAGCTAGTCGAAGCAGCCAATAATGCACGGGCTGGTAGCGATTATCTCTGGCACGGCAAGGCTCTAGAGAACATTCTTCTTTGTCTCGTGATGCTTGCATGGGCAGGCATGGATTTCCAAATTCCCCCCGTTCTGTATCCAGTTGCCGACAAGGCCTCTAAGGCGGTACGAGATGCAATCCAGGCACCATCTGCGGCTGGTAACCGTTTGGTCTCTCTTCACAACCTTGCCAACCTATTACCCGATCTCTCCAACACTATACTGAACCTCTACACTCGTGCCGCCAATATAACGGACGAACCTCTGCCTCAGCTAGTGTTTTCCGAAACCGTGATTCGATTGTCGAGGCTTATGGTCTCTGCTCGCATTCGGGATGGCGGACTTGATGACAATGCTTTGAAGCACATCGTGATGAATGAACCTTTAATTCCATTACATCAACCAGAACTCCCACGGGGGACAGTCGTGCTCCGTAAGTCGGAGATTGCCAATTTCCTCTACCGGGCTCTCCCACTTGCCCCCGAGGCAGACTTGCCTGCCACGGATGCCGTCCCCATCATCGTGGGCGTTATCTCTGTTCTGAATACTCTCGACCTGCCTCGGAAAAAGGCATTTGTCCTGCGCGAGCTTCTCACTGTGATGATACCCAGTCTGGTCCAGGCTCGGAAGATTGGTGCTGCAGAAGTTGGTATTCATCCTGCCGCTGGTCTAGCATCTCTGAGTGACACGGCATTCGAAGTAAATGCTCTTGATATTGGTCCTGGCAATATGGAATTAAGTGTTCGACTTCTCCTAGCTACAATTGGTGAGATCTACGGAGTTCAGCCTTCGGCATCCTATGAGTGGGAGAAGCGACGGAGTCGGATGTCCGCTTTGGAGAGCGCACAACAGTGTCCCGAGTATGATTCGATTGCCAGTATTGCAGAACGGTCTTTCCGTCATATTGCGCTGGATCGATATGGTGATCTCAATCTCAAGATTGACGTTCTTAAGGCGTGTATCAACTGCTGCGAGGCGCTTCCTGATTTTGACGGCGTCCTTCGCTTCACAGTGGAGCTTCTGCAGACTATCCGAGGAGAGCTTATGCTGAACGAAGCTCATAAAGTGCCACCGTACCTGCCACAAGACGAGCAAGTCCGTCTCTTGAACAATATCAAACGCACGGTGTGGGCTGGAAACCGGCTGGGGGCGGCTAACATGGCTGCTGAATACTGGGATGATTTTCTTGTCCGCGACATTCAGTTGCTGGCGCTGCCTGATCCGCGACGACCCGTCCGTCGCTCCAAGACAGAACTAGATGCCGTTACAACGAGTTCCGAAAAGGCAAAGAAGGACCCTTTCCTGTACAACCCCTTCGCTAAGCCAAGTAGCAAGGCTTTGGAAGTTCTTACCGTGACTGATGAGCCTGCCTCCTTCCGAGTGACCCTTCAAAACCCTTATGAATTTGAGGTCGAGATCGAACACCTGCGGTTAGAGAGTGAGGGTGTGAACTTTGAGGCTGTGGCAGAGAACATCGTTCTTCCTCCGCTTTGTCTGCAGGAGATAGTTGTTCTTGGGACTGCTCACGAGGAGGGGAGTCTCAACATTTCTGGGTGCATTGTGAAAGTGCGTCATTGTCGGGAACGACGTTTCCCTATCTTCGGCACGTTATGGAGACCCGAGCCTGAGATCAAGTTCAAGCGAACGGGATTGTCTGCAAAGAAGCCTCCTAGTGATCGCCCGATGTCCTGGAGCTCAACTACATCCAAAGATGGCAAGTTGTTTGCGAAGAAGGGACCTCAAACGGAGACGCGCCCGGTAAAGGTCATTGGCAAACAGCCATCGCTTCTGATTGAGTCTATGTCGCTCTCCCAATCGGCAATGATGCTCCTTGAAGGGGAGATCAAGTCATTCTCCATCACACTTCAAAATACATCAGCATGTCCCGTGGACTTTGTGTTGTTTACTTTCCAAGATTCGACCACGCGCCAGCTTCAGTCAGCCTTGAGAAACAAGGACTTGCTGCCCGTGGAGATTTATGAGCTAGAGTTGAAGCTAGCCACCCAGCCTGCTCTAAACTGGCGTCGTGAGGGCCCACAGTCTGACGATTGGAATATTCCACCCGGCGAGAAGGCCACATTCACTGTAGACGTGTTGGGTAAGCCCGGGTTGCAAGATACGACAATACAGATTGACTATTCATATCTGAAGAGCAAGCAGGGACAGCTGCCGGAGGTATTCTACACCCGGCAACTGTTTGTCCCACTGACTGTGACGGTCAACGCAAGTGTGGAGGTTGCTCGCTGTGATATCTTGCCCTTTAGTGGAGACTTTGCCTGGAAGAACCATCTCGATGCTCCGTCTGACTCGGCGGAGACATCAGACTCCCCGTTATCTGCCACTGACAAGGATCCATTTTCTCAAATTCTTTCCCGTCTCGGCAATGGGGCCTACGGACCAGACCACTGCATCGTTCTAATTGACCTTCGCAATGCTTGGCCAAGCCCCCTGTCCGTGTGGCTGCGCGTGAACGAGCACTCCATTATACAAGCTCCCGAGTCCTTCAAGGATGGCAGCAAGGGCCAGTACTCTATTGATGGTAACCTACAACCGGGCCAGGTCTCTCGATTCGTCCTCGTTCTCCCCCGTGTTTATGTAGACAACCCGTACGCTAGTATTCCCGTCGTCAACACGGGAACTCGACGCCAATTCGTTGTCAGCGCTAACAAGCTCACCTTCGAGGCGGAGGCCGCCTCGCGTGAGGCATTCTGGTTCCGCGAAGAGCTTCTCAAGCGAGTCCTTGGAGGCTGGTCCGAACCAGCTACTGGCCGTGCGGGATCTATCGACCTACGCAATATCCGTCTAAACACCCGCATGGTCGAGTCAATGCGTCTTGAAGATGTCGAGACCTCCTTCGCCCTGGCATCCCCTTCCTCCCAGGAAACCTGCAAACAAACGGGCCGTTCTCGCTTCCACGCGCAAACAGACGACCTCCTCAATCTCACCGTCACCGTCCGCAACCGCTCCTCACGACCCATCCACCCCCTCCTCCGTCTTCAGCCCAGCCTCCGCCACCAGCCAAACAACATCGCGCTAGACCTCACACGCCGTCTCGCCTGGACTGGTATGCTCCAACAAGCACTTCCAATCCTGCAACCTGGAGAATCCACGCAAACCTCCATCGGTGTGACAGTCCTCTGCCGCGGCGAGTACGAGTTCGGCGCTAGCGTCGAGGAAGCCCGACTCTTGTCGCGACTTGGTGAAGACGGCAAGGAGGAAGATCCAGATGCTGCCACTCGGTTTATCGAGGATGGGATCAAGGATACCTTTGGCGCGGACGTGGTTCGGCGTCGACGAATCTGGCATGCCAAGGAGACTTGTGTTATTCTTGCGCGGGACTAAGCTTTTGCAGTGATATGCCTGTCTGTTATGACGTCTCCCGCCCTTTTTCTTTTTCTTTCCCCGTGACGTTCATGATACAAAGAGCTTGTCGTTTCCGACTACCATGAGCTGCGTCTTGTGAAGCCTAATGTGGTGATGGATCACGTTCTCTTCTTGTATACTTTTTAGATGGTCTTAGCGTGTACATATACACCCTGATGAATGAATACTGTTCGATCTGAAATATGATAGTTGGTTGATAAGCTTGCAATTCTTTGGGTTGGTCTACGCGCCTACCCATACTCGTGAGTCTTCATTATGCATTATATGAAAACAAGTGGACGGCTAATCCGCCTTGAATGTATAGTGTTCTTCATGGTTGTAGGTTCAGGTTGGAACCGGGAGGAGGCTCGAATAAGCCTCGTATAGACCTATGAGAGCTAGCCTGTGCGGACTGGATCGGGGCTCCGGAAACAGTTGTGGAGACTCCAGCCGTCGGGATGTCAGATTGCAATGTTGCAATTGCTCAGCAGTGTTCTGCCAGTGCTGACGAGGATGTCGGGTTCTCTTTTGCAAATAGATAAATCGTCAAGACAATCCCGGTCCTTCACCCCGTTCCACCTTCAGCCCCCTCAGCAGACACGGACTTGTCTCGAGTCCCAGCTGCGGGCTGCGTCTCCCCCAATGGGAAACTCAGATGTTTCCAATCCTCAATCTCCTCAATGATACACTTCAGCCGGTCCCGGATACTCTCCACCGCATAAGTACCCAAAATCAACCTAAGCGGCGGGTACGAGCAATGCCCCAGCTCCCAAACAAGATGCGCAGCCTTGACAGCCGAAGCGGGCTGTTTATCTCCCAACCACATCAACATACGCCGGGCATGCGCCGCAGGAGATGTCGGGGTATTATACGGCTCGCTGGGCGGCTTCACCAAGAAATGGCCATAAAGCGGCAACGGCGACGACAAATTGTGCGCCGAGGGATTCGCAGCCATGACGGACGGGGAAACTAAATCCCCGATATCATCACGACGCATGTGTCCCGGTTCCACCAGCGTCCCCTTGATATTGAAGCTATCCACCTCGTACAGCATACTCTCCATCAATCCCTCAACCGCATACTTGGACGCACAATACGGGCCGAGTCCCGGTACACCCAACGCACCGGACGTGGAGCTGAAAATCAAATACCGCCCAGCACGTCTCTCCCGGAAATGCGGCAGAGATAACTGAATCATGTTCAGCGTGCCGGTAAAGTTTGTCTCGAATTGGTTGCGGATGTCGAATTCGTCCTGGTCTTCGCATGCGCCGATGACCCCGTACCCGGAGCAGTTTGCGATGACGTCGATGCGGCCGAAGCGGGCTATTGTTTGGTCGATGACTCGCTTGACGGTTTCGCGAGCTCGAACGTCGCATAGGAGGCCGAGGCAGTTTACGTGTTCGTCTTCTAGCTCTTTCATGCTCTCGGGGCTATTTTCGTACGTGCGGCCGACGGCGGCGACGAGGTCGTTGCGGGCTAGGGCGTTTTTGACGAGGGAGCGTCCCATGTGGCCTGTTGCTCCGAATATCTATAATAAAAACATATGGGTTAGTCATTGTAGTTCTGGAGAGGCTTCTTGGGTTTCTTGGAGAGTTGCGCATAAGCTGTAAAGTGGGGGAGCAGGAGCAGTGCACTTACCAGCCATACTAGAGGCTTGGGGGGATTCTGCGGGCCTGGAGGATCAGTAGTGGATGGAAGATGTAGTCGCGGCTCACGAGAAGCAGCCGGAGAAGAAGGACCTCCCTTGGGAGGGGAGTATTGCTCCATTTAACAGGTAGTTGGAGAGGAAGTGAGAGACCGAGGGGAGCGGGCGGTGGAAATCTCGCGGGCTCTCCGCATTCTCCGGACCCACTTGGTCTATAGTACTCGAAGCTAGATAACTAGTTCGGGTACAAGAAGATGTTCCATCTCGAATGACTCGGATGGAAAAGATGAATGACATTATCATATATTGAATTCAAAATTATCGCCTATATGCTAATCACCTAGCGCCCAAGTTCCCTCCGCAGCCGACCAGCAGCTGTCGTAGGCCCGGGCTCTGGCCAGCTGCTAACGGCATCATCCACTTCTTCGAGGAACGTGGTGCTGTTGTGTACACTGGTACCACCCAGGACCACTCGCACACCGGGAGAGCTGGCATTGACCTGTGCCACCATCTTGGCCTCCTCGTACGTGGTGCCGCCGACCATGAAGATGATAATATCCTGCGGCTTGTCCCGGGTATGCCCACTGCCTTCAAGGAACGGATACTGCAACTCCTTCAGACGACCCTTGATGAGATTTTGTAGAGTCACTTCTAGTCGTGGGGAATGTTGGGTATAGACATTTTCGACACCCTTGAGACCCTTGAAGCGGTCTCGGGCGCCCGAGAAAAAGGAGGTTGATTCGAAAAGATCGGTGAAGCCGCCAGCAACCGGTGGGGCTTGAAGAGAGTGGTGATAGGCGAGGAGCTTGGGGATGATGTTGACACGATTGGAAGGAACTTCGCCTGCGGTGACGAGCAAGTCGAGCAGGACGGGAAGGGCGCTGTTGGGCTGACTCTCATAGCGGAGTCCATAAAGAGCTACCAGGCGGAGTTTGCTGTCTGCTGGGACATTTGGTAGCTGGATAATTCGTTGGAGCGACTGAAAGTTCGATTAGTATATCATACGAATCTATTCATTGTAGGGGCTGAACATACCTTTAGGTCGTTGGTGTGGTTATCATTGCAGGCCAAGCTCTGCTCCAACTCGCTCACATCCAACAGACTATCCTCGCCAACTCGACGACTCAGCTCGCCCACCAAGGTAACGTGTTTGCTCACGTTGCCAGAGAGCTTGCGGAATTCGGGGTAGTCCTCCACGAACCGCTTCATGTCGGCAATGGAATCGATATTCATGGTGCTTTGTGTCTTGACCTGGTACTGCTCGACGTATTCCTTGATGTTCTGTCCCAGATCGCCAAAATTCTGGTACATGTTCTTCTTGAAGAAGGGATCCTGGTCTTGAGCGAGAACAATCTCCTGCAGCTCTGGTCGAATGTCCGGTACGTCGCGCAAATCAACTCGCCCATTATTGATGCCGAGAAGCTCGTGCACCATAGCCTGATATGTCCATTGTGAAAGCAGGGGCGTGATAGGGTCGTCGCGACGGTCCAGAATCAGTAGGATGGGCGGCGTGTCCGTCCGGCGGAAATTAAACAACTGCTCCTCCTGCGTTATATGGTATCGAACTTCTGTCGCCAGTTTCCGAGCTAGAAGACTGTTCTTCTCGTATCGGATCAATGGGTTCTTTTTCAGCGACAGCAGCAGAGCCAGAGTTCCTTCCGTAGCCCGTTGCAACGAGTCCGGATTCCATAGATCTGGCGAATGGCTCCATAGTCGTGACAGCGGGAATCCGAGATTCAGCGTGCACAGGTCCGGGTTGATGACGAGGAAATCGGCAAACTGTTCCTGCACGCACTGCACGACTTCGTGACTGTCCGCCTCGGCGAGTCGCTCGAGGGAGGACTTGCGGATAATGTTGCTCAGGTAAATGTAGTATTCGCCGTACTTGGGCTCGCGAAGCTCATCGATAAGGAGCTGGATCGAATTTGGGGAAGGGCGCACGAAACACAAGCATCGCAGATGGCGCATCTTCTCGCGCGCGGCGTTGTCCAGGCGGTCAATAAGGTAGACTTCATGATTCAGGAGGGCGGATTGGGTGATGGCGGTCGAGACAATGGACACCTGGGTGAACAGTGGTTAGTCTATCATAGCCCAGACACGTATTTAGTCAAGCGCAAGTCCCACTGTCTCACTATCCAAAAGCAGGATCTTCATCTTGGTAGATGACGACCCTGAAGCCGACTCGCCGGCCGTCACCATCTTGGAGATGTAGCCCGAGACGGCCGCGACGACGTCCATGGTGGAGGGAGAATGCGCCTGGGCGCGGACGGTCAACGGAAAAGAAAGGAAGAAATGAGGAAGCTCGAAAGAGGTGTTGCAGCTGATCTCGGTGCGTCGTGTCGTGGCGTGTCCGCGGGGGAAGGTGGAGAAGGCGAGGTTGGTTGAATGTTGGGTGCATCCGCTTTTTCCACATGACGTCCCTCCCCCGTCGATCTCTTGACGCCAGTTTTCCTCCTCCTTGGCTTTCTTCTTTTCCAGCGTGCATGCGTTGTTTCCTTCTAAACACCAGTCTTCTATCTGGGTCGACACCATGTTGCCCTATATAGACGCTTGTTCGTCCCTCCATATTTTCTCCTTGCGAAGCTACCATAGCTGTTGGACCTCGGACTGACCTCCCCGCAGTGTTTAGCTACCCTGCTCAGCTCACAGGCGCGTCGGTGGATGAGCGTACGTCTTTCAGACGGTTGAAACTTGAGATTTAAAGCTTCTCACCCTTCTTTATAGTCAAGCTGATCGCTTCGTTCCTCCTCTCCTATCCGCTCGCCGGCCTACTAAAACGAATTCCCGACGCCCAGCCCTGGAAAAAGAATGCCTTCATTATCGTTGCCTCGCTCTTCTACATCGTCGGCCTTTTCGACCTATGGGATGGCCTTCGTACACTTCTTTACAGTGCGGCTGGCACCTATGCGATTGCATACTATGTGGATGGCTCGCTGATGCCTTGGATTGGGTTCATCTTCCTCATGGGCCACATGTCAATAAGCCACATTTACCGCCAAATCATGGACGATGCGCAGGTTGTGGATATTACCGGAGCACAGATGGTTCTGGTCATGAAATTATCTTCCTTCTGCTGGAACATTCATGACGGTCGCCTGCCACAAGAACAGCTATCGGATGCGCAAAAGTACTCTGCAATTACCGAGTTCCCCAGCATCGCCAACTACCTAGGCTATGTGCTTTTTTTCCCATCGCTGTTTGCCGGTCCTTCCTTCGAGTACGTGGACTACCGCCGCTGGCTGGATACGACCCTGTTCGAGATCCCGCCAGGCACAGACCCGGCCAAGGTGCCCCCGACCAGGAAGAAGCGCAAGATTCCGCGCAGCGGCACCCCTGCTGCAAAGAAGGCTGCCATCGGCCTGTTCTGGATCTTTGCCTTCCTAAAGCTGGGCTCCTGGTTCACTATTGACTTTGTGCTGTCCGATGCATTTTTGAAGTACTCCTTCCCTCGCCGTGTCTTCACCGTGTACATGCTCGGCTTTACCACGCGATTGAAGTACTATGGTGTGTGGTCTTTGACCGAGGGTGCATGTATCCTGTCTGGCATGGGATACAATGGCTTCGATCCCAAGTCAGGCAAGGTTTTCTGGAACCGGCTCGAGAACGTCGACCCGTACAGTCTTGAGACTGCCCAAAACTCGTATGGCTACCTTGGCAGCTGGAACAAGAATACTAACCACTGGCTGCGCAATTATGTCTACCTGCGTGTCACGCCAAAGGGCAAGAAGCCGGGTTTCCGTGCCAGCATGGCTACCTTTGCGACCAGTGCTCTATGGCACGGTTTTTACCCCGGGTACTACCTGACCTTTGTGCTGGGCTCCTTCATCCAGACCGTTGCAAAGAGTATGAATCCCCCCCCCCCCCCGATTCCACAACGCTCACCCGATATGGGACTTTCATTATTATTCGATCACTATGCTAACGCCCGACAGACTTCCGTCGCTATGTTCGCCCCTTCTTCCTCACACCGGACGGCTCCAAGCCGACGCCCAACAAGCGATACTACGACATCCTCAGCTGGGTAGTCACCCAATTCACCCTCGGCTTCGCTGTCCTCCCATTCATCCTCCTCAGCTTTAGCGACTCAATGACCGTCTGGTCCCGAGTATACTTCTACGGTATCATCGGCACAGTATCCTCCCTCGCTGCCTTTGCCTCTTTCTCCCCAGTCAGGGCATATCTAGTCGGTCAACTCAAGCGCCGGAACCGGCCTCATGCCCCGCGCACAATGAGCCAGGAGACCGTGCGCCCACCGACATTGGGTCTACCAAACGACCCGGAGCGTGACTTTGATGAAGCCGTTGCAGAGATCAGGGCGGAGATTGAGTCGAGACGTCGGAGGGGCAGTGTGGTTACCATGCCTACTGGAGAGGAGTTGAAGATTGCCGTTGAGCAGAAGATTGGACGGAAGCTGTAGGCTGTAGTCCTTGGTTGGATTTGCTTGTTTGACTTGTCAGAGCTTGTATAGATATGGGGACCACGTATGAGATAGCTGGCTCATGGGTCTCGTTGGGACTAGAACGGCCTGGGTCCGTTCCGGGTGTGTTTTTGCGAGTCGTGTTTAGAGAGTGCATTGCTTCTCGGTTTTTAATAACGATGAATGTCAGTTCGGTTTGCAGATAATATGGTGCGACAGAAAGAAAAGTCCTGATTATACAAGATTCCATACACGCGGGCTGTATTGACTGATAGGCATGAATACCAATGGTGTCCATATGTCCCATGTATCTCCGAGGAGGATGCGCGTGTATCAGTGGAAGGTAAACAAGCGGTACCTACCGGTGGCAGTTTTCAAGTATTTTTGTGGCCTGGACCCCTAAAGCAAAATACTTTAGCCTAGCAATCCTTGAGTGAGTCTCGCCGTTGATTAGGCCAGTTCTCAGTCGGGGTCCGGGCCCAATTATATATATCAGTGCCACCATTTCACCCAGGTTAAGGTGAACCGAACCAATGACGCTGCCAATTCGCCTAGATGTCGGCAATCGAGCGATGGAGAGTGAGAATCAACCGCTCTCTCGCCTGGCTTATGACTCTGTCTATTGTGCACTCACCCTACTCACCTCTAGTCGGGCGACGCTCATTATGATTCATTATACTTAAATACTTTAATTGGTGAGTACTTAGGTCGACTCGTCTTCGAAACAAGCACATACGACCATAGGGTGTGGAGAACAGGGCTTCCCGTCCGCTCAGCCGTACTTAAGCCACACGCCGGCCAGTTAGTAGTATGGTGGGTGACCACATGCGAATCCTGGCTGTTGTATGTTTTTTTATTTCAAAATTGTTTTGTTTTCTGCATAAAAACTGCTGCTGCTATGTTACTCTTCACCCCCTGCGTAGCCTCGCTGAATTGGAGGTAAAACATCTTCATCTTTGAAACTTTCGCTAGTGTCGGGCTTCCGACACATGGCTGGATGCTAAAGAAGTTGGTTAATCCTTCATATCCAACGCCTCATCGATGTGAAAAGGACCATGCTCCTACATGTCCATCATCTCAGGGTCAGGATAGGGTGCAATTTTATGCGCGTCGATGATCCTGATGTGCTCCTCGTATTCTTTGTTGAAGTTTCCAACAATGATGAAAATCTCAGTCTGGTACTAAGATATCATCAAGTAACTATTATAATTAGCTCCGAAATTTTATAATCTGACGAAACAGAACGATTAGGCTGAGAAGGCCGTGGTGGTGTTGTACTTATTCTTGACCTAAGACGTAGTCATGTGAATTGAGGTAAGGAACTGCCCCATGTGAGAATAGTACTAGTTGTATAGCTTCTTCGCTACTGCTTTTCTTATCTTGATCTGGCACTCTGGGACGCTGATGTCCCACTGATCAGGGTGAGCAGAAATCGCAATTGCGGCCACTCGTGTACTGACAGCCGTACACAGCATGGCTGTTTCGTCGTAGATGTCTTGATCACTCTCGTCGCTAGCTGTACCCTCAAGGCGCACCGTACTATTCGCCTTGTTGACCAGGTCAAATTGTTCCCGAGTGAGTTTCTTTGTTGGAGTCGTATCCGTGAAGGTTCTCGCCTCCAAATCGGCATTGAACTCATCTCGAGTGCTGCCCATCAGCGCATGGAGCTTAGCTAGAGTAAAAGTCTTGTGCAAGTAAGGGTCGGTATGGGTGACCATGGCTACTTCAGCCGTCTTGCTCATGTTTGAAGACAGACTGGCTATAAGAGTGAAGCTGGTTATCTGAAGGCCATGAGAGAACACGTTGACGTTCTTCGTCCCAGAGTGAACAGGGGTACGGGCGATCATGTCGCCAGGATTCAGAGTGATGTTGTTGGGGAAGAACCATTCCTTGCCGTTAAACCGAAGGAAGCGGACGGAGTGTGCTACGAACGAGACCGAATGGAAGACTTGACCAGAATCGATTGTCAGGACCAACTTTTCGTTCTTGTCGTATAGGCACACGAAGAGATGGTCCGTGGATCCCGAGATAGAGTTAGACACAATTTCGCTGTTGGCCATGAGCAATGCTGCCATTTTTGCGATCCGCAAATGTAAGAGCTATGGGGTCTACGAGATACTTATAGCTATAGCTTAGTCTCTCATATTCGCCCACTTCCTTCTCGGTGATATAGAATTTTCGAATAACTAGCTAAACCCGCCTAACTCTATGAGATATTATGGCTAGTTGACATGGCCATGCGCGAGATATTCATTACACAAAGTCAGGCTGCCGCGATAGGGTGAAAGTACGAGGGAAGGGAATCGTAGGAATGTTAGGCGAGGGCACTGTGATAGTGCCATGAAGCTCTAACGTCAAAGACTCACTCAGCCTTATTCACCATGTGGTCCTCTTTTGCCGACACGCCAGAAATTTCCATTTTTTGATATCTCGTGGTATAAATCTGGCACCTATGGGATAAATCAAATCCACGGCTGATGAAGCGAGTGATTCGGACGAGACTTATAAATATCTTCAGATCTTCTCTATACGCTATCATCCTAAAAATATATGTTGATTGGACCTTGACTTAATAATATCTATATAATGCCAACTATGACATACCACGGGAAAAAACAAGAAACAGATCTTCTAAAAATAAGGTAAACCGCTGCTCCAATTTAATACTAAGTCTCGCCAATATCTAGCTGCTTCTGCAGACGGTAAACCGTCTGCGGTACTTATCTGGACGTTGGGAGGTGACATGGTATATAAGAACCTTTTTTCATTGCTGACGTATAACAGCCTGTCTGGCTAGCTCAATTGGCTAGAGCGTGTGACTGTAAGAAACCCACCCCTCAACTGATCGCTATTCGTCCGATCTTCCGGAAACACAACTAACAAACCCTAAGTTTACTACGAAAGTATTGAAATCCCAAGGTTGCGGGTTCGAGTCCCGCGTCAGACGATGACATCTGCGCTCAACCAGCCTTCTTTTTTCTTTTTTTTGGTTTCTTTTTGAACCAACCCTCAATTCGTATTAGGCCAATAGCCATCAAGGGGAGCTGGTTGAGGTCCTGCTGCCGGGTACTCGAAGATCTTTTGTTTGGGACGGCAATTTTTGCTCACGGTCACAGACCATTTCTGCTCCCTGGCCGGAGCCGCGATGAACCAGAGCTCATCATGCAGGCACTCCTCCGACTCCGATTGAAGCCCTCGTTCGCGCAAGTTCGGCAAACCCGGCCATGCGCGCTCGCGCGTCCTAGCCTCCGACCATTCAATCCCTGCTATATCTCCCTCCGCCGAGCAGCAACCGTATCGATTTCCCGAAACCTCGACCTTCCGGCTCTAGACACGAAATGGCAAGCGAAATGGCAGATCACGGGCGCGTCATTGCGACCGGCCGCCGAGACGAGCTCGCAATCCAAGCCCAAGTCCTATGTCTTGTCGATGTTTCCCTACCCCTCTGGCACTTTGCATATGGGTCATCTTCGAGTATACACGATATCCGATGTGATCTCACGGTACTACAAGATGCGCGGCCATGATGTCTTGCATCCTATGGGGTGGGATGCATTCGGGCTGCCGGCGGAGAATGCGGCGATCGAGCGAGGCGTGGACCCAGCGGCATGGACGGAACAGAATATCGCGAAGATGAAAGAGCAGTTGAAGTGTATATCTGCTTCATTTGACTGGGATAGAGTGAGTGGAATCGAAGAGTTGCGCCGTGCCAGGGATGTTGGTTTGAGTGCGCCTGACTGACCTGGGCCGTGTCCTTTAGGAATTGGCGACCTGCGCACCCGAATTCTACGAGCAAACGCAGCGGATTTTCCTGATGCTGTACGAAAAGGGATTGGCATATCAGGCTGAGGCATTGGTCAACTACGACCCCGTTGACAAGACTGTGCTGGCAAACGAACAAGTGGATGCGAATGGCTTCTCATGGAGATCGGGCGCGAAGGTTGAGAAGTTGAATCTAAAGCAGTGGTTCTTCCGTATCACTGAGTTCAAGGAAGCTCTCTTGAAGGATCTAGACTCGCTGTCTGGTGGTTGGCCCGAACGCGTCCTGTCCATGCAACGGAACTGGCTTGGGAAATCACATGGAGCAAATGTCACATTTCCTGTCACTGTTGGCGGAGATGGCCAAGAAGTCAAGGTGGACGTGTTCACGACGCGCCCGGATACTCTGTATGGTGTTGAGTACCTTGCCCTGTCGTTGGACCATCCCATCGTCGCAAAGGCCGCCGAGAATGATGCTGCACTTCGAAAATTCTTAGACGAAGCTTCCTCATTACCGGCGGATTCGAAGGCTGGTTACCGCCTGAATGATGTGTTTGCGTCCCATCCTTTGCGCATGATCGACACTGAAAGCTCGCACATTCAGAGGAAGCTCCCTATCTTCGTCGCGCCGTATGTCTTGAGTGACTATGGAGAGGGGGCTGTGATGGCCGTTCCTGGCCATGACTCTAGAGACATGGCCTTTTTCAAAGAAAATGTCAACCCAGAGTACATTCCTATTGTCATCGAACCAGAGTCTTCCGGAAAGGCAACGAGCGATAGCACCGTACTGGCCAAAGGAGCTAAAGCCTTTACTCAAGATGGTTTCCTGACCTCACGATGCGGAAAATACCAAGGTCTTCACTCCAAGGAGGCTGCAAAGCAGATTGTGGCAGACCTGGAAAAGGTCGGACAGGCTAAATTTGTCGAGTCCTGGCGACTTCGAGACTGGCTGATCAGCCGGCAGAGATACTGGGGAGCTCCTATTCCAATCATCCACTGTGGTGATTGTGGCCCTGTTCCAGTGCCGGCGAGGGACCTGCCCGTCAAGCTGCCCAAGATTGAAGGAGATTGGCTGAAAGGAAAGAAGGGCAACCCACTTGAGTCATCCGAGGAATGGCTTCATACCAATTGCCCCAGCTGTGGCGGCGCTGCAAAGCGTGACACTGATACCATGGATACCTTTGTTGATTCATCTTGGTACTATCTGCGCTTCTTGGACCCTGCGAACAAGGATGCTCCATTCTCGCCTTCCGTTGTGCGGCCTGTGGATGTGTACATCGGTGGCGTGGAGCATGCTATCTTGCATCTGCTCTATGCTCGATTCATTTACAAGTTCCTTGCCCAATCAGAGCTGTTCCCGGCGATCTCTCACTCGGACGAAGCTCCTGCGGAGCCTTTCAAGACTCTTCTTTCACAGGGCATGGTCCACGGTAAAACATTCACGGAGCCTTCGACTGGTCGATTCTTGCTCCCGTCCGAAGTGGACTTGTCTTGCCCTGACAAGCCTCTGATCAAGGGCACCACGATCACGCCCAATGTATCCTTCGAGAAGATGTCAAAGAGCAAGTATAATGGCGTTGATCCCACCGTTTGCGCCACCAAGTATGGTGCCGATGCCACCCGCGCTCATATCCTCTTCTCCGCGCCCGTCAGTGAAGTTTTAGAGTGGGACGAGACCAAGATTGTCGGCGTGGAGCGTTGGTTCGGTCGACTATGGAAGCTCGTCCACGACGCGCAACAGACTCTGGCTAGCGCATCCTTTGCTATCGATGCGGCTGACCTGGACACTTCTTCCGGCCACATCCTCTCTCTCCCGCCCTCACTCCAAGACCTGAGCGATTCCGATGCCGATGCCGTTCTGGCAACACACAACATCATATCATCTGTGACAGCATGCATCGAGTCAAACCCCTATGGTCTGAACACCGTCATCTCCGACCTGATCAAACTGACCAACGCCCTATCATCGGCTCCACCCTCCTCCCCTCTGGCCCTCTATCTGTCCATCTCTTCACTCCTCCGCCTGCTCTCCCCCATCGCCCCAGCCCTTTCATCCGAATCTTGGGAAATCCTCCACGAACCCCTCCTCAAAAACACCAACCCCTCAAGCCCCATCCCACCAATTCTTTCCGCTCCATGGCCCACCTTGCTCCTCACCCCAGAACAGGCAGAAGCCCTCTCCGCCCGCGGCGGCCAAACCGTCGCAGTCCAGATCAACGGGAAACTGCGCTGCGCCGTGACTATCCCACGTATGGACTCGCCCACAATCACTTCTTCTAAGGGTAAAGGTCCGTCGCAGGAAGAGCAGGACTGGATTGTTAGTCGGGTTCTGGAAACTGCCGAAGGCAAGTTGTGGCTTCGGGAGAAGAACGATTGGGAGAAGAGGAAGAGGGTTATTGTTGTTAAGGGTGGGAAGTTGGTGAATATAGTGTTTTAGGTTGGCTTTGTCTTGTCTTTGAAGTGTATTGCATTGTGTTGCATTTGCATTTGCATTGTTCGGGTCTTCCGTGTATGGTTAGCTTTCTCCATTCTGAAACTTGTATTTATATGTAAAAATAGAACTGTACATTAGATATTGATATCCATATATTTATGAGGGAGGTACTGATCTGACGTTCTAAGTGCTAAGAATAAATTTGATGCTGGTGATGTAGCCACGGGGCACCTATCCAACTTCAGAGGAGGCTATTAGGACCCGAATTTCAACATATACACCGGATAATGTCCGGCAACGCTTGGCATTCTCCTTCCGTTCTAGTGCTCACCCTCTCGCCGCTTTTGCTCACTGAGTAGAACTGACTGCCTCAGTGATTGTTATGGAATCAGGGTGACCTGCTCACTAAGCTTGATCCAAGCATCCTGATTTACTCACTGAGACAACTATGTCTTACTTTCGCTTTATTATGGCTACAGAAGCTTTCATTTCTTCCTATGGAAATGCAGAAATTGTTTCCGATGTTGCGGTTTTGTTCTTGAGGTACACTTGCCTTATATCACAATAAAAAGCCTGAGAAAGCAACCGTGTACTGGTATGGGTACAACCCGGCAAATTTAACTCAGGCCTTCTTCTTCCTCATAGATAGCCACTGCATAGGCAAAGCGCCAAAAATGGAGAGCCCTGAAAAGGCAACAGCGATATAGAAAGAATACGTGACGGCAGAGCTATATGCTTGCAGGACTTTTGGCAAGACCTCTTTTGAAACAACACTTTGGATCATTGTGGCCCCAGCGTCAATCACCTGATTTGCATCAACCTCTGGAATGTTAGTCAGATTCTCCAAAAGTTTGTTGTGAAACAGATTCTGCGCGGCCGACACGAACACTGCCCCTCCAAGTGATTGCATGAACATTACAATGACAGTGGCACTGGGCGTATCAGTCGGAGGGAGGGTGGCTTGAACAGCCAGCATGGGTTGCGACATTCCCGCGCCAACTCCAATGCCGTAGAGCGCTTGATATGCTAGATACTTGCTATGACCGGAGTCGACCTGCAAGGTGGTCAGTAAGCCACCAGCAATTGTCGTTATAATGGCTGCAAAGTAGACAAATGGCATGTAGTAGCCAAAAGCGCTGACGAAGCCTCCGGCCAGGACTGAACAAATTGTTGTGCCCAACAGCATGGGCAGGCTGAGGATGCCGGACTTTGTAGCCGATACGCCTTTCACGCTTTGGAACCATATAGGCAGCTGCATCGGCTGTTAGGCGGCTGCTGGGTGAAAGGAGCAGTGTGACTTACGTAGTACGCATACACCAAAAATGATGCGCTCAGACAGAAAATAAAGACAGAACCACCCCAAACATTCCTGTTCATGATGAGACGAGGCGGAATAGTGGCTCGATCCTGTTGCCAACGTTGCACAGCAATAAAAACAATGAATAGGACGCCAAAGACAACAAACAGCGTAATCACCTGTGCGCTGTCCCAGGGAAACTTGGTGCCGCCGTATTGCAAAGCAAGCAAGAGGCAGATCATAGCTGGCAGGAAAACAAAGAGCCCAATAGGGTCTAGTTGTATGAATACCTCTTGTAACCCATTTGCAGCTTTGACGGGCTTTCTAGCCTCGTAAAGGAACAGAAGAAAGAGGAATGTGACGCCTCCGAGTGGTAGGTTAATATAGAAGCACCACCTCCAGCTGACACGATCTGTAAGCGCACCGCCAATCAAGGGCCCAGCAATACTTGCAACCCCAAATATTGCGGTTATAATCCCGATGTATATAGGTCTCTGGCGCATCGGTGCTGACTGAGAGACGATCAGCATCGACCCTGAAAAGATTCCGCCGCCCCCAAGACCCGCAATAGCACGCCCGATGATTAATCCCACAGAGTTAGGGGTGACGCCGCAAAGTAATGAGCCGAGCTCAAACAAACCAAGCGCGGTAAGGTATACCCATTTGATGGGAAAGAAAGTGTATAGCTTTCCGTAAAGCAGGCTCACACTGCAGGTCGTGAGCAAGAAGGCACTGCCATACCACCCAACATCGTCCAAAGAGCCGAACTGCTTGGTGATCTTTGGGATTGCAGTGGCCATGATGGTATTATCCTAAATAAAATGGGGAAAATGTTAGCCACGACAACGTCTGAGGGCTTTAGTAAGCCCGAATCCTGTGTGGATACATACCAATGCGACCAGGATACACGCGAGACACAAGCCGATAATGATCGCTCCGAGCTTCCATCCTGCCGGATATGTTGCCGGTGCATCTCTTTCTTTATGCTGGTCGTTACCATCACTGACTTCCAAAGTCACTCGTCTCGTCTCAACCTGGTCGGTCGACACGTCTTTAGTGTCACCAAATCCGTCAACGGACTTGCTTGCCTGTATTGCATCGGAAGCGTCCTTTTGGTCATGGAAATGCTGTTTCGGCTCCGGCTCATGAAAGGGGACCTCAATATGGGAGCTCTTGCATCCAGACACGCTTTTCGTCATCTTTGCAGTCTTCGCGTTATTCTGCTTATTCGACAACGAGGTAGCCAGATGCGTGTAGTTCGCACAGCAAGAATATTTCCTTGAACAAACTCGGACGAGGCGTTCTGTAGGCCTCTAATGAGCTTAGTGAGAGGAATGTAGCTGTGTTAGCTCTTGGACAAACAGTTAGTGTTTATGTGATGTAATATCTGTAGGACCTAGCCACCGCGGCGATCTTGCAAGATGGTCCACTTTGCTGCATAATGCCATAATCAGACTTCGGGATCACCGCGCATACATTATTGCTAACCCCAAGATATCATTGGTGGGTCGGCAATTTTGATTGACATCTGCAAATTGATCGCCTTCCCGTTATTTCTTCTAAGAAAAATGGATATCCAGTTTGTGACACAAACATCCCCGGCCCGCAGATATGCGGGAGGTAAGGGATGGACGTTTTCGATTCAGTCACACCGCATCATGTATGTCCCATTAGCTATTCCTCGGAGGGTAAACTACCCCTTCCATTCTGTGTAACCGATGTAGCATAATTTATCTGACTGTTTGTGATTTCAAAGCATGGTGGGCTTTCACTAACGTAATTCACAGGCGAGCGGATCACCATAAAACACATAACTTAGTTCACGTCCGAACAGAACACACGGCCGAGCAGAACACCCCAAAACACCATGATAACTGCCACATTTTGATTCCTCAATATTTCAAAAACCAGGGGTTCATTTCGATTGAAGTTAGAGGTTATACACTTAGTGAACTGCCGGGCTAAACCTCATAGATTTTTAAGCCATGTATTTTTGCCCTTTCAAACTTGAATTCAAATATCTCTATCAATACTTAAACTGATTTCCTTGAAATATGCCAGTGAGCTAGAAATACTATTTAAATCATGGAAGCTTGATATTTCATTATTAAATTATCTGGTTGTTAAAATATGAAGTTGTAATTTATCGCATTTAGTATAGTGTGTTAGGGTGTTCCGCTCGGCCGCTTGTTCTGTTCGGACGTGAATTACGTTTATAAATGGGATGTTATCATCCCACTGTCAGTCAACCACAAGGTACAATTTTTTTTCGAATATCAGATATAAGCTCTTCTAGGCTCATAGAATAGTATAACCAACATATCAGCGTATTTCTGACAATTAAGACTTGAATATATATAAATCTGTAATTACTTGAAATAAACTTTCTGTACTAGAAAAGTAGGCTGGAAATCCTAGTCCGAATATATCAACTAGTGCCTTGACTTAAATAGATATAATTGTTGTAATCGTTGAGACATGAAGTTGTAAATTATAGAATTACTATGATGGATTGATTGATCGATAGATTCCTCAGACTTTTCATGACCTTAGGTCGTATGCACCCCCCTAGCTAGTGTGCGCTGCACCGTTGAATATTACAAGCCGTTGGTGTCTTCGACCAGGGTCGGCTTCGTGATTTAGCGACAGAAATTCTCTCTCACTACCCATTTCGTCGTCAACCTATCCCATTTCAACACTCCTGTCCGTCTCTTTGTCGACGTGAACCCGCTTTGGGTGTAATCTAGGCCGATTCTTATTGCTCGAACACGCATTCCAAAAACGTAACAACACTTTCAATAGCAAGAAAAGGGTCCCTCTATCAAAGCTGAGGCAAACTTCAAAGCCCAGGCTCAAATATTCGACGAGAAATCCTCTGACGGCATGATATTGATTTTTCTGCATGAATCTGCTGATTTTCTTGAGTTCAATCGCAGTTTGACATGTGGCACCAATGCAGATACGGGGAATAGCTCAGAAAACATTGCTAAACATCGAAACAGCGCATGTATCAACCTTGTCGCCCGCAATATGACTATCCAAACTTCGAAACTGATACGTTGCACATACTCGCGGGGCCACCTTCAGGTCTCCTTCAGAAAGGCGTGTAATAAACACTCAGGTAGGGCTTGGAATTGCGATATGAGAACGAGATCCCGGAGTGTACGTAATTGGTCTTTGTCAGGTCAAGTTCGGGGCTGTCAACTGTAATCAGCCTTCTCCAGTTCGTTCTACATGCCTCGGCATAAACTTACTAGTACGATGTCACTTTGTCCCTGTAGGTTCTGGCGAGATCCGTCCAGCCAATCATCTTGTAGAATGTAACGAGCGCGTCCATAACCACAACATCACTCATGCCAAATGTCAAAAAGTATATCTGGGGGTCTGGGAACCTCTTGGTGGGTGATAGCGTCCAGTTTGCCATCATAGTGGCTCGGTAGTCACAGCTCGGAGGTTCCCCAAAGGCCAAGTCTGGCCAAACGTTGTCACGGTTGCCTTCAGGGATATCAAGGAGGTCCCAGAGCTTTCTGAGTAGGATCAAACCATCGCCACACTGAGGATCATCCTGCCGACGCCCGCCGAGAGTCCAGACGCCCACCACACGATCCCATGTTACAGTCTGGTCGGTGATGTATAATTTCATCCGACTCTTGGCGGGGTCGCAAAGGTCGCAGCCGAGAAGTACTGGAGTAACAGTACTATCGGCGGGAATTCCGTCCTCGTTCAGGCCGAGGAAATCACTGAGGTGATGGAGCGGTTCTTTCAATCCAGAGAGACCAAGCTTCTCCATCGAGTTAAAGAAAAGCTTTCCCGGGGAGAGGCCTGTAGCCAGCGCCTTCATGTGTGGGAAAAAGTATGCCTTGGCATTGATGCCAGAGTTCTGAAGCTCCACAGCCAGGGCATACTGGCCCCGGCCAGCCCTGGGTAGAGGTGCTTTGCCTTGGAGGATTCGACTTTCTTCATCTGGGTTCACAGCAAGCTCGCGTTGAAAGTGTCTGAATCGCTCCAAATCAAAAGTTGCGTCCAGAGAGGCAAGCTGGGATAGACATTCTTCTGTTGCCCGTTGGTTGAATATATCACCGCCGTTTTCTGTCAAGTGTGAGACTGGTTCAAAGCCAATCCTGACGATGTTATGTAGGAGATTCCAGCTCAACTCGTATGGAACCCCATAGGTGGTCACTTGGCTCCAATATCGCTGAGAGTCTTGTCCAGGAGTTGGGAAAACACCGAGAGTTGGGACGATACGTTGCTGCAACAGATACAGGTAGAGGACCTGGTCCTTTTCTGAATATTGAGCATCGCCCAAAAGCTTCTGCAACTTGGAGCCAGTTTGCTTCCACCAGCGCCGCTGGTCATCACTAGAAAACCATGAAAATTTGTCCAGGAGCTCGAAAGCCTCTTGGCTGTTGACAGAAGTTTCATTTAAACCAGTCATTGTGCGATAGAAATCGGAAGTGCTAGCGGTGAACATAAATGATTTAGAATTGCAAGTTTTGTAAAAGAGACGACAATTTATCTCAGAGCCCAGCAAGATACCTGTGTAGATGGAGACAACTTTGCTACCGCGGGCTGACCAGCCGCAGCGGCTGACGTGCGCCGCTCTGAGAACCTTGCATGGACGCTAAGGATTCGACCTGTCATTGAATCATGGGAATCACCTGCCGTGACCGCGTTGGAGAAACAATGAACTTTGACCCATTCCTACGAAAATTCATCACGACAGGAAAGGACTAATACCATGACCTTGGCGGCCACAATGGACCCAAAGTCCGAGGTGCACTTGATCACGCTGCTACTGATGAATACATGGGTATTTAGCAATAATCTTGTGTGCGTCTTGGGAAAGACCTTGCGAAGATATTGCTTTGGAAAAAACAAAAAACAAATAAATAAGGAGCTAGTGAAAAAGCGAAAAGACTGACAGATCAGCCACTGTGGGGATCTGAGTCTCAGGGGTTGCAGGGTTGCAGTGCATATACCAGACATAGAGTTTGATAAGATCCATCCACAGTTTGTTATAATATATGTGGGGTAAATATGCACCTTGGAGAGTGACATGCAAAGTCAGCGCAACTTCGCTGCATGAAAAGTCGCGCAAAATAGTAGTTCAGCTATGATAATTACGAAAAAGAATGGTGTTCTCTTTGCTACCTGCAGAACAAAAATATTAGACCCATGAACAATGTAATGATAATTGAATACGGCACTGTTCTAGTATGTAACATGTCTTTCAAAACACAAACGTACAGACCCTTAACCCCTGTTGGAATGTTGGAACTTTTCCCCCGTAACTGCCAGCCTGTTCTCAATTCCAAGAGTCTAACGTCAAGGGTTTGAAGTAGCAGATTAATCATTTTGTAATTTCAAAAGCTTCTTCTCATATAGACAGCCACATTTATTTCTTGCTTTACTCAATCGTTTCCCCAACCAGCCCAAAAGACTCTGGCTTTTCCCTCCCCCCTCTCCACATGGGCAATATCGATGTATTAATAAAAAGTCCTTCCAATGACATACGGGGTTGAATTTGGTATGGTAAGTTACGTGTCGTCTAGAAAATTGAGAAGTGACTTTGTGCTGTGAGAAAATTCATCTGGACGTACTTTGTCCCTTGCCTTTGCTGGCAAGACCCCAGTACACTGGAAAAGCCCCACCCGAGAATAGGCATCGCTATAAATCAATCAGAGGTTGCCCGGGAATTGCCTTTCGTAAGTTTCCAAGGAAGAATTTTGGCAATGGACACCTTCAATGCAATTCGCCTGGCTTACCCCGAAGTGATCTATGCTTGTTTGGCTCTGATCCTGGGTGCCCTGCTTTTCATCCCCTCTCTTAAAAATGACTTTATATGCATTAATAAACATTCATGGGATATATTTCACAGCAAAGCCAAGAAAAAGTTCGAATACCATGCATTTACTCTACTGAAAGAAGGTCTTGAAAAGGTGAGCCGAGAGATTTTTGGCAGTCTAGGGAAGAGACTAACATGCCTAGGGCCGTTCGGCTTTCCGACTGGTGACAAATATGGGAACTTATTTGATTCTGACAGACAATTACGCAGAAGAAATAAAAAACGATGACAGATTCAGCGCTTTTGATGCTGTCAATGATGTAAGTCGGACTTTTCACGAAGCGAGGTCTCACCGGACTTTCTGGTTCTAACCTATTCAGGTGTTACTCGTGGATATACCTGGATTTGAGACTATGTTTCAAGGATCGCTGCATAACCATGTGTCTCCCATCGCGATTCGCGCTATGAACAGAGAGCTTGGTGATTTCTCATTCTCAAACCACTTTGCATTTTGGCATCCTTTCTAATTATTGCGTGTAGTGAACCTGACTTCCGCCCTTTCAGAGGAAACCGTGCACTGCCTCCAGAACACCGGAGCAGATAAAGATAGTACGTATGAGGCGATTCCACCTCCAATCAAGCAACTTGTCCATCTAATGTGAATCAATCAGGTTGGCATGAAGTCTCAATCCACGAGCTAGTACTCGATTCAGTTGCACACATGACAACCAGAGCATTCCTTGGCTCAGAGCTTTGTCGCAATTCTGAATGGCTTGAGATTGCTAAGAGCTTTACGATGAATCGTTTTATTGCCGTAGCTGCGATCCAGTCCTGGCCAAAACTCCTTCACCCCCTGGTTCACTGGTTTTTACCCCCATGTAAAATTGTTCGCAGTCAAATTGCGCGCGCAAGAAAGATCCTCATGCCAGTCCTCGAGCACGAAAGACGCGCCAGTCTCGAAAATCAGTCAACCAACCGGGAATTCTCCAATTTGATGTTCATTGATCAATATGCGAATGGAACTCGCTATGATGCTACGATGTCTCAGATGCGACTGATTGCAGTGGCTTTTCAGACTACTAGCGATATGATCGAAAAGGTGCTGGCAAGAATTTGTAAACACCCAGAGCTCATTCAGCCGTTGCGTGATGAAGTGATCTCGGTATTTGCACAGTATGGCTTGAATTCCAAGTCATTGCTCAAGCTTACCTTGATGGAGAGTGTAATGAAAGAGAGCCAGAGACTTGAGCCTGCGGTTATAAGTAAGTCATAACCCGAGATTGATACTTTTCTTTACAAAATTTTGCTAATCTTGAATCAGTATCCATGTTCCGGGTGGCCAGGGAAAAAGTGACTCTAAAAGATGGCACGGTTGTTCCAAAGGGGACCAGTCTTGCGTTTGCAAACAATCTCCGCTTTGACCCAGAGATGTATCCCAGCCCCGAAGAATTCGATGGTTATCGGTTTCAAAAAATGAGAGAAGATCCGAAGAAAAGTACGCTTGCGCCATTTACAAAGACCAGAATGAGCCATCTAGCCTTTGGCCACGGGAAAAGTTCGTGCCCAGGTCGCTTCCTTGCCTGTGATGAAGCAAAACTTATCCTGTCTCATCTTCTTCTCAATTTTGATATCAAGGCGGTAGATGGACAACTTCCGGAATTACAGATACAGGGAATGTTCATTCAATTGGACCCGAAGGCGAAAATGTTGATCAAACATCGAGAAAGTGAACTTTCACTCCACGAATAAACTACTGTGCTGAGTGTCGACTGTTTACAGTCATACATTGAAGTCGTGGGGAATTGATTTTTAAAAGATCCCATTCCGATACTCCAGCGTAATTCACCTAAAAATGGATTGTGAAATCTAGCTTTCATGAATGAAATTATTATCTTGTATCACGACTCTCTTCGGAATCTTCCATGAAGCTTGAATCGAATGGTTGGGCATTACCATTAACTATGATATATCTTCCTGAAACTCCATCTATAACACCAGCAGGGGATAATACAAGATGACTTACTTGTGCGTCTAGTATTCGTGGGTTTGACTGTCTAACAATATGAATGAAGGGCCACTGAAGCATTGAAGCAGGAAAATTGAAAAAGAGCATGAAATATCGATAACCGCGCTAGGCACGTAAAGAAGAGCGAGAGCGTAACGGTCGGTCAAAATAACACCCTACAATTAGAACTTGTGGAATCCAAGACAAAATTTTGACGAACAAGGGTAGGAAAATCACGGAGTTATGATGTATCATAAACCGATATATTCTATGTCCAAGGTAACGAGATTGTCATGAAAACATGTGTAATTTCAATACGTAGACATAACGTATGATGTAAGAGCAGATTTTTGGTATTTCAAGCGGCGCTAATTAAGTCGCACCAGGCCGCCCCGATCCAAATCATGCATGATGAATGTAACGTATGGCGTTAGAGCACGATACCAATAGTCTACTACAGAACCCGTTCAAAGACCAGCGGAACGGTATAAGCATTCTTCAGCTAGCCACCGCGGCGAACTTGCAAGATGGTCCACTTTGCTGCATAATACCAGAAATAGACTTTGGGATCACCGCGTATGCATAATTGCTAACCGTAAGATATCATTGGCGGATAGGCAGTTTGGGTGAATATTAGAAAATTCATCGCCTCCCTGTTATTTTTTCTAGTCAGACGCTATTGATGGAGGAGACACTTCACAATAGTGGGGCAAGAATTCAACCAAGGCTGAAATGTCGCGGAGTTGAAAGCCTCGAGCAGGTTGTGACATTTATGCCCTATCACATCCCCTCTGTATGGATGGTACTTAGAAAAGTAAATTTTGTTATGTTATGTTATGTTATGTTATGTTATGTTATGTTTCCTTTTCCTTTTCCTCTTCGTTCGTCTTCTTTTTTTCTTTTTAAGATCCTGTTATCTATTGATCATATGAACTTCACCAATGAAGGTGACCAAGTATCTTCACCTAGAGGATTTCACCTTCGCAGTCATGATCATAATATTCGTGAACAAATTTTCAATGGTCAATCTTATCTACGAGGACATGAATTCAGGAAAGAATGAGTAAAGGATAAGATTACAGGATGCCAAATGTAATCCATATGTATGACTTATAGGCATAGCAAATACAGGGCTATTTAACAGAGCCCCTATCCTGGCTATACAACAACCTAGGTATGTATATATCTGTTCGTAGGTATATATCTATGTCGGCGTTACAGCTTGGCGAGAAGGAAAGATCTAAATCGCGGTATTTAACGAAGTAACTAGATATAGAGGAGAAAAGAAGAAGTTCTAGCTCCAAGGCAGAAGGTAGGCGAAAGGAACCTTCCACTAAACACCTACTAAGTAGTTACTCAGTTTTCCCCGTTCCAGAACTCTCGGTCCCATATGTATTATACCGATCGTCACGACAGGGATACATAATATTGATGGGGCTACTACGTAGTACATGTAATATTATAGTAGGGAATAATATGATATGTAGAAGATTGACCTAGAATATGTAGGCGGTAAATGTGACCTGCATATGTAGGGGGTACTTCGTGGAAGATAGGAAGGTAATGTAGCTAGAGTAAGCTGCAGCTAGCTGTTATGAGCTAAGAGGACTTGAAAATATACTTAGCGCTTAATGTAGGCAGTCCATGAAGAGTACGTGTGTTTGAAAGGTGGTAAAGCTAGACTAACTGGGAAGGAGAGACATTAGAGGTGACGATAGAGAGGTTCAAAATTACCTCGTGAGCCATGCGAATGAAATGGCGGAATACACTCAGACGTCAAAATCACAAGTAGCGCACCAGTATAGTGCTTCATCGCACCCATATCTACTCGATCCTCCTGCGAGTCTTTCCAAGCACCGATAGCGTAGGATTTTAAGACTCCACCAACAATTAAAAGGCAAATCTGAGACTAATTAACTTGGGTATTCTGTCCCATGTGTGATCATCGTCGTAGAAAACCTCATACATGTTCTTATAGTATAGGTACGCAAATATTCGTGATGGGTCTACCGAGTGGGAATTGAGATTTGAAAGAAATTCATTCTGGCTTGCATCTTGAGCCCGCAACAAAGCTGTCAAAAAATGATCACCCTTGGCTACAGGGAATCAAGCTTTGAAATCTCAGACGTGGACTAACACAAAACGACTACTGATTGGACTTGAGGTCCAGCACGACTTCAAGTCGCTTGTCATCCACGAGATTGACTCCCACAATATTAGGATCGGCAGGTTTCACAGTTCTCCAACCGAGCATCTTCTGTGCGAGAGGAGTACAAGACTCAATCATCTCACGGGGCATGGTCCGGTACGTCTCGAATGGTGTGAGCTGCACACTATTGAAGTATGCGAGAACAACCCGTCGTGGAGGCTCGTCCGTTGTGTTATTTCCACCGCCAGCATGGACAACGCGCTGTCGTAGAATCAGAACATCTCCTGGGTCCATGGTTGCTAGCACGGCCTCATCCCGTGAAGGCTCGCCGACTTCGTTCCACTTATGGCTGCCGAGGATAACTTCTGTTGCGCCGTTCTCTTCGGTGAACTGTGTCAAAGGGAAGATCACACTGATCGAAATTGGGGGTGCCTCCAATGGCTGGTAGTGCATCAGAGGGTGGGTAGCATCGTCCCGGTGGAATCTCTGCGCGGGCATTCCTGGTGCAATGGCCCTGAGAAAGGCGGCGCTCAGCCAGTAATCTCCGGTGTTCTTGAAGTAAGCTTCGCAGACGGCGTGAATAACCGAGTTGTTGAGAATTATCTTGCGGAAGGTCTCGGATTTTGATGGAATGTCCGGGACGTATGTGAAATGTGGCGGATATTTCTCGGCGAGAAGCCTCTCTCCCTTAGGAATTGGCTTTGCCAATTCCACGTCAAGTTCGCAGTTAAAGCGTTGCATGACGTTAGGCGAAAAGAGGCCGTTCAAAATAAAGCCGCCATCCTCCTCGAGGAGTTTGCACATCAGGTCGACATCTGCATCTGCAGATAGTCGCTGAATTTGAGGCTTCTGGGGAATAGTCATTGTGGTGGAGGACCAATGTTTCCGATTGTCAAGATTCGTCCAAGTTTATTCAGACTGATTGGAAATCTGGCTTTGATAAAATAATGAGCGGGCGGCACGAGTTGATATATATGGACTGCTGATGATGCTGTGGAATGCGTAGCTTTCTATTCACCAATCAACGCTTCCAGCGTTGTTGGCATAGTTGAGAGAATTACGAGTCCGTTGCTTCGGTCAATGTCCCATGCTATTGTAAATGCATCTGGCTTGACAAGTCACAAATATCCCCGCATATCCCCGCATATATCAATATATACCTTGTAAGACAGAGACCTAAACACTAGCACTGATGATGCTTCGCCGGTGGGTTATACTACAATCTGATTGGTGGTGGTTGGTCACACGGCATATAGTAAGGCCTGATCTTCATTGAAGAGCTTGGCTAGAGGAATGTAACGTACTTACGGAAGCATTTTACATCATTGCATGCAGGAGCAGTCGAAAGTCATATTACGATCCCTTATGGCTGCAGCTGGAAGTCAATAGAAAGTGGGGCACTACTCAACGATGATCTTTGCCCAGAACCCTTCGATGCATGCACTTCGTATATTCTCTCGGGTCAACTGAACCTGATGCCTGCTTCGTCAACGCATCCAGACCCACACCCCGATTCCACTGCATATCTTGATCAAATCTAGTCATGACGTGGAATAGACGGAGCATGCGGTGCAAAGGTCATGTCGCACTAGCTGAAAGAGACATTATTTCTGGACTTTTACCACGGAAGGCTGCACAGCATCCGCCGCCGGGGTCTCGACGATTTCCAGCCCTGCGGCGTGATTCATTGACGAGGTGGAATTCAATCTCTCTCCCTTTCCCCCCTGCACTTAAAGGAGAGCACCGAACAACAAAATTTCAATCAACAAAGTGACGGATGATCATGGATCGACTGCCGGTATCTCCTGCCCTTCTGGTGCTAGCGATATCTATCCCAGCTCTTTGCTCCTGGTTTGTACGCACCTGGTTAACCAGTCAGCATCGAAAGCGCCTTCCGCTGCCTCCTGGACCGAAACCGCTACCCATCATTGGCAATCTGCATCAAGTGCCTCGAGAAGTGCCATGGAAAATATACAAACAATGGGCAGATACATACGGTCCGATCATGACAATTCACCTCGCAGGGACGACAACCGTGGTTTTCTCTTCGTGGGATGTCATCAAGACTCATGTCGAGCGCAGGAACACCATCTACAGCAGCCGACCCTCCGTACCATTCTTCTTACGTGCCACTGGTGGTCTTAGTGCATCAATACTGCCTTATGGGGCTGAATGGAAGCTGCAGCGGAACATTCGCAGCTCTGTCCTCAAGCCATCGATGACGATAAAGTACCGAGAAGTCCAGGACCTAGAAACAACGCAACTTGTGCATGAGCTGTTGTCAACAAACGACTTTTCCTTATGTCTACGCCGGTGTATTGCAAGTATTTTTTTGACTGTGGCGTATGGGGAGCGATGCAAGGACAACGCAGGGCTGGACGCAATAGATCGGCTCGAGTATCTCAACCGCGCCATTGCCATGCATGCTGAGACTCTATTTTCGGGAGCGTCTGCTCTTGTTATGCAATTACTTCCGTTCCAAGGAATGCTGGAAAAGCTTCCAGCTCAATGGAAAACTGACGCTGACGCATTGCACGACAAGTTGACTGCGGACCTAGTGGAGCGTGCAATGGCCGCGCTACACCGACCAGGGTGGAACTGGGTCAAAGAATTCCAGACGAGAGGGGGGACAGGGAGTGAACAAGAGGAAGATGGGAGCTTTGAGTTCAAGCGGCTCGCCTACATGGTCGGGTCGCTGTACGAGGCATCCATGGCAGCGTCGCAGGCACTCCGGATTATCATTTTATCTGGTATTCTATACCCGGAAGCCGTGGATCGAATGAAAGAGGAGTTAGACTCTGTGGTCGGAAGGCATCGCCTTCCCAATTTTTCTGATGCCCCCCAATTGCCTTGGACGCAGGGATTCATCAAGGAGGCCATGCGCTGGCGCTCACTAACTCCGATGGGATCACCACGCGCCACAGCTGATGAAGACGAGTGCAGAGGCTACCGCATTCCTATGGGAGCCAATATATTAGTGAACGTCTGGGCGATGAACCACGATGAGACGGTCTTTCCAGATTCCTTTGCATTTAAACCCGAGAGATGGATTGAAAACCCACATTTACCACAAATGTTGTACGGGATTGGGCAACGAGCTTGTCCAGGGCGCCACATGGGGCAGGATTCCTTGTTTTTGGCCACAGCCCGTCTGTTCTGGGCTTTCGACATGTCGCAGCCTCCTGATGCTGCAAAGATAGACCAGGAGCGTTTCCTTGATAGTGGAACAACACTCGCGTCTTTTGTCCCTGACTTTGAGGTTCAGTTCACACCAAGATCTAGAGAGCATCAGCAGGTCGTTGAGGAAAATTGGTCATTGATCTCGACAGATAGCTTGAGCTTGTCTGACAAAATAGTGCCATCCGCAATGCCAAACTAGTTCGCTTACCAATCAGAGAGGATTTGGCTCAGAAGCGCTTGAACCGATTAGATGAATTATCGCCTTATAAAAAGACCTGGAAAGCCAGAGCTTGGTACCATTTCAGTGTTCCAGGTAATAGAGACCGAAATTACAGACGCGCAATGTTACAGACTGCCCAGTAAATCGTGAGACATCTTATAGATTCAAGCTTCGTTTGTAAATAACCTTGACAGGACCCTTTTCATGTTTTGATCGAGAGAGACAGTGTATCTTCGATACCAGTAAGGAGCTATCTATATAACGTGGTACTGGGAAGGAAACACGGCAAGGACCCAAAATTCTTCAATTGGGAAGCTGTAGGCCCGCAACGGGATTGAAACTGTGGTTGTAGAGAGTCACATAGGCACCGCCGTTCTTGTAAGAGAAGGAGACATATGCGCACAGGTGAGCTGCCTGGTCAAAGTCCTCACCGGGGCTGCCAAAGAGGGTTATGTTAGAGAGTATCTTACCAAAATGATCTCAAAGAACTTACTAATTAGCAAGGAAATTCGATTTGTAATATTTTGCCATGTCCTCCCAGCCGACACGACGGTAGAACTTTGTCAACCCGTCAACTACGTCGCGTGAGTTCATGCCGAAGACGCAAACGTACATCTGAGGCTCGGGAAAGGGCGCAGAACTCCCGTCAAGATGGAAGTGGAACATCATTGGACACTCAAATCCAGCCGATGGCTTACCCAGCTCGCAGAAGTCAAGCGGCATAGTATACCAACCCTCTCGCATGTTGATGTCGGACCAAAAGTGTCTGAGCATTTCCAGGCCGGCAAGTGCATCTGGGTCTGTTCGGAGTCCCCCGAATGTCCAAATGTCCTCGACCATCTTGAGGTCAACCTGTCGTTCGCTCGCATAGATCTTCACGCGCGAATTAGCGGGCTCCACTAGATCCGTGGCTAGGAAGTGAGGAAAGAAGGAACATTCGTCGAAGACCTTATCCGCGTCTGTGGATCGGGAAGGCTTGTTTGCCATGACTGGTCCATGGCCCTGGCGACGCCGCTCCATGTAATTTTCAAGATTGGCTAGCTGGGTCTCGAACCGTGACTCTTTATCGGACTTGCGAATTGCGCTGACCAGAAGCTCTTCAGTTGACCGACCAGTCACGGCGGATTTCGGTTGTGGGTAGAAATACGCCTTTGCCAGCACAGTCCCTTGTTTTTTCAAATCCATCGCGGTGAGTATCTGCGACTTCCAGGGACTCTTGAACATGTCCGGATTGGACTTGAGGATTGCTTCCTCTTCGCTTGTAATCACTAACTCTTTGTGAAAATCATAGAAGCGTGTGAGATCCATCGTTGGTAGCAGGCATGAGGCTGTCTCAAGAAAGGCTTTCGGTGGATTTGTGTTGAACGGGTCTTGCTCTGTGCCAGATTCAGAAGTGACGGGGTCGACACCGATGCGAATCAAAGCCTGTGCCACGTTGTTGCTGAATTCAATCGGCAGCCCCGTGAGCACCATTCCACTGCGCCATTGTGTGGCGATGACACCCGTTTCCTTGTCAAGCGTAGGATAGGGACCCAGGGCTGGGAGTATCAGGTGTCGATAAAGCGACAAATATTTGTATTGAACGTCGACATCGTAATTGGAAGATATGAGTAGCTTTGAAAGAATAGGGGCGGTACTATGCCACCAAAGCTTCTCTTCTAGATTACTGAAGATAATAGTCTCACTGAGTGCCTGATAGGAAGCGGGCTTCACAGGGGAAGGTTTCTGGTCGGGTGGTGCTGGAGGCATTTTTGCTGGCTTGAGAGCTGATCAATCCAAAAAAGTGGTTAACTGGTAGCTTTTTCTAGTTTTGAGACACAGGTCTCTCCCCTAGAAGATTGAATCACTGGAAGTGTACGTCAAAAGAATATAGAAGGTGAGACCTGAAGGCACTCCTCGGAGATAAGTTTGCAGTCTATCACCCAGCTCTTTTACCTGTCGTGGTCAATTGGCGAAGTGAGTGGGTACACGACATACGCCATGGCATAGCACATAGACCCCACTGACAGCTATCTGATTTTTGCCTTCAGCCTTCAATCCTCTGATCTCGGCCTTTGGACCTTGCATAGGTACTATATCAAGCCTGCATGAAGTGAAGTTATATAACATTACCTTTGCACACGTACGGCTACACCGAATGACCCCTCTGGCAGCTGCCCCACGCCCCACGCCCCCACGCTTATGTTATCAGTAATTTATACCAAGTAGGAACCGAAATATTGATTTTACCCCCTAGTAAACGCTCATCGTGCTCGCCATATCACTATTGATGATCACTAGCCAATTATCATGATGGGTGAGTTTTGAGATGACCCCTATAGTCATATGAATTGTGGAAATCATCAGACGTGTTTTTGTTACAACGCCATACAATGTACAAAGACTTGCCCCAGTGGCGTAGCTAGTGGGAAAGGTGGGGGCTAACTATGCTGCAGGGTGCATATTTGTCAAGCATTATTGTTGGAAAACACGGGTCATATACATATTCCAGGGCTTGTATAATACACCAAGTCGTTATATACATGCATGAAAAGGAAAGTATTACCTCGTAAGCCCTTATAAATATTAAGTCTTTATCAATAATGTATCCACAACACTCGTATACTTGCCAGATAGCTGCATGAGGTGTGATTTGCCTTGCATGGGAATGAGGCACGTAGGCAGCTCTGAAGAAAGGGCGAACGATGAGATGGTGTTTTAACTTTTCACCCTGGTCTCCAGCTGTCGCAATTTCGTACATGTGAGGAGAGGTTGCAGCTCAGCAATCAAAATGCTCTATAATCCATGTACGTTTGGCTTGAGTTGACCGTAGTGAGGCTGGCCAATTTTCAGCTTCTCGCGCATTACGCGAGTGTTCCCAATGAAAAGTGGCTCCTGGGATTTCAATGGAGGAAAGACGAAACGGGAAAAGATCAGTGTGCGTATGTTATACGGTGTGTAACCATTGCCATTGTGGGTCTACTGGTTCAAGGCCGCTTTCTCCAATGTCCTGTTGTTCACCCTAGCCTACTGTCGCTTTCAGACCTCCTACGACTCGATACAATATTGTGGTAACAATGCGTGAGATCTTGTTCAAAAATCAGCCGTTGTCAAAGGACAACTAAGAGTCCAAAAAAATCCTGTAAATTCTCGACTATACGACTGTAGTTACAACTCAAACAACGTAGCCGCTACTCGCAAACCCAACTCAGCATACTAGCATGGCTCCCAGGTGGAGCGTATACCTTCTCAAATCGGAGCCGACTGTCGCAGCCCTCAACCAGCTGTCGCATCTGGGCCAGACTCCTCTCTTTGGCAGAAAACAACGTATACATTCCTATGTCACTCCGGCGTAGCTGCCTCTCACTCTGAGGAGATCCTTCATTTGGCTCTGGGAGGACGGCGTCCATTATGAGCAATTTGGCATTAGGCCGTAAGGCCGGGGAAATCTGGGTGATGATGCGAGTACAGTCCGCATCGTTCCAGTCGTGAAGAATGAGACGAAGGAAATAAGCATCGGCGATACGGGGCTGTGGCGTGAAAAAGTCGTGCTCCTCAAAGGTGAGTTGTGGGTGCTGTTCCCGTTGGCGAGCCTGGCTGATTATCTCCGGGCGATCTTGGACGGTGATGTGAATGTGGCTAAAGGCCTTTGCAATAAAAGTGGAGACATGACCTTCCGACCCTCCGATCTGGAATGAAAAGGTCAGTGTTAGTATATGAAGTGAGTGAGCTGATAAGCTTCTCTTCCTGAGGTAGATAGGTTCAAATGCAAATAACTGCTGGGTGGATTTTGACATACGTCGACCAATGATTGCAAGGTATTCCAGTCATAGGCATGAGCAACATGGCGTACCATAGTGTCATTATGGACTGCCATTCCATCGTGCCACCGAGTTCGATTCAGCTGGTCTTTCTCCAAAACCTCGAAGAAGGTCGGACCCTGACGAGCCTCTGGTTCCATAGCCATCAGGGCCAGTGGCCCTTTGCGCGGCGATTCACCGGTCGGATCCAGCTTTATGGACTCGTATATGAATGAGCATGGTCGAATGCCAAAGTCCGCCATGAACTTAGCCTGGCCTGCACTGTCCTTATCAAGGACGAAGATGGCAGACATGGGAGTGTGCTTCACAGCGCCGGCGTCATCTTCGTCGAGGAACCCATCCAATCTTGAGAAGCGGATCAGGCGTTGGAGCAAATTTGGCTCTATGGGTGTTTCCAGCTTCCTGGCGAGGTCGTCATAAGTGATGGATCCGGTAGATGGGACATGATCTGGAACCTCAAGTCGGATCAATGTCTGAATAGTGCCGACATCGACTGCCTATGAAATTCGTTAAAAACAAAACCAAAATAAATGTAGTAATGGAAGGGAATCACCGATTCTAACATGTTGAGTACTGCAGGCGCAGGACCCCGAGCCTGTTGAAGAAGGTTTTCAGCCATCGTGATGACTTCACCCCTGATTGCCAGCCCTTCGGAGCTTAGGAGATTGAGCTTTCCACAATCTGCATCACATCCTGCCTTATCGAGCTCGTCCGCATAGATCTCAACACTCTTGCTAAGTCTACGAGCAAGTTCGCGGAGATCAGACATTGTTGATAAGATGGGCTAGATGAGCTTCTCGATAGTAAAAGAAATTTCTTAGGAAAACACCCTTGGAAGTCAGCTATGTATTTGGCTGTTGCAATGGGGTTATAGGAACAAAGGAAACTTCGTCAGCGTCAACTAGACAACGCTGCGCTTCTAGGCTCCTGTTATGAGAACTACGTAAAGCAAAGGTAAAAGGCAGCGAGACCATTCCTGCTTCACAACACCATGCCATTATATGCAAGCGCTAGGGGCACTAGCTGTTGTTTTCCTGCATGCATGGTATTTTACGACAGCGTACTATTTGAATGGAGCCCCACCTTTTTCAATCGACAGTGAATGACTCGCCTGCTGCCCAGATCCACTTATGGACAGATCAGATGTATCAGATTTATTCATTGGTTCCGGTACTATGTACGGAGTACTTACACAATTACTCTGCCAAGAAAATGCTCAGCTGTGTTTCACCAGCCCTTTTATGATTCTATGGGGTCTCCCACCAGACTCGTGGGGACTATTTGCTCCTTCTTCTCTCACGAACTCAGGTCCTCCCCAGCTGAATGCTCGTCATGATTTCGCGGAATCTGGGAGCTGCTGTCCTTTGTGGTATTCTAGTTCATCTTGGATATTTTCGTCGCAACGAACATCATCTTTATCCTTGGCGATATGTGAAATTTCATGTCTACCTAATGGTGGCGATAGCGATATCACTTCTATACGCCGAAGGTTGGCCGCAATACATTCGGCCGGTAAGTAAAATATGTGAAGAGACCTGTTTTCTCATGTTGGCCTACCTCGCTGGCCTTTTCAGCTCTCTGCTCCTCTACCGAACACTCTTCCATCCTCTCCGTCACATTCCTGGTCCGCGCTTAGCTAGGATTGGCTCTTTTTGGTTATCATTCCGTCTAAGAGACGGACCGTCTTTCCGCCTTCTCCACAAATTGCATGAGGAATATGGGCCTGTCCTCAGAGTGGGCCCGTCCGAAGTATCGATCACTCACCCTGAAGCCGTCAATTTAATTTATGGGCCGAATTCGCGCTGTTCAAAGAACGCCTTCTATGACAATGGCCACCCCATGATGTCACTTCACTCTTATCGAGACCGAACAGCTCATGATCAACGCCGTCGAGTCTGGAGCGCTGGTTTCGGAGACCGGGCTCTGCGAGGCTACGAGAAGCGCATCCGGGTCTACCGTCAGAAACTATTTGAGCGACTTGAGGAACAGGCAGGGTCGAACTTGACAATTAACGTCAGCAAGTGGTTTAATTTCTACAGCTACGATAGCATGGGTGATCTCGCCTTTGCCCGCAGCTTTGACATGCTAGACGCAAGCCAAAACCACTGGGCGATTGAAATGATGATGCACGGGATGACTGGGTATAGATATCTGTTTCCGAGCTGGTTCTTTCGACTGCTCGCTACCATGCCCTCGATGTCAAAAGATTGGCATAAATTCATCCAGTTTGCGACAGCCACGATGTTGCATCGTTTGAGTGTGCGTCACATAGCTTCTCATGAATATTCTCACCACATTTGAACTGACCTTAGCTATTACAGGAGCAAGTGAAGATTCCGGACATTTTCGCTTCCTTGGTTGCTCCTCTGAATGGCCGAGACCCCACCAACGACGAGCGGAACATGCTTATGGGTGATGCTATGCTCATAATTACGGCTGGAAGGTTGGGACCTTTGCAGAGCATCGAACTTTTGAGAATATTGACTAATATAATTCCTTTGAATGGCAATAAACAGCGATACCACGGCAACTAGCTTGACTAGTATCGTGTACGAGCTCGCCCGACATCCCCAGGAGGTCGAACAGTTACGAGCTGAACTGGTGCCAATTCAAGTTGACAAGACTGGGGAGTACCACCACGACGATATAGCGAAGCTGCCCCATCTTAACGGATTCATCAACGAGGCTTTCCGACTGCACCCACCAATACCTGGTGTCATTCCACGAAAAACCCCACCAGAGGGACTCCATGTCAAAGATATTCTCATTCCAGGAAATATGACTGTCTACAGTCCGCAATGGAGCATGGGTCGATGTATGAATATGGTTTTCGTTCGAACGTGTGAGATCTGAACTCTAACTTTTGTCACTACCGTAGCCCAAGCCGCGTATGTCGATCCACTGTCTTTCATCCCGGAACGGTGGTACAAGGACACAGATCTTCTCAAAGTCAAATCTGCATTTGCCCCGTTCTCCATCGGTAAGTACGAATGCGTAATTATTTGAAGGTCAAATAAACTGTGATTTAACTAGGTTTCTGAATCAATAGGCTCTTACTCATGCATCGGAAAGCCGTTAGCCATGATGAACATTCGAACCACTGTTGCACGCCTAATAATGACCTTTGACGTGAGATTCCCACACGGTGATGATGGGACCCGGTGGATGAATGCAGCGGACGAACACTTTTCCATGGGAATAGATCAGATGCCTGTTATATTAGAGAGACGTCAGTGAGTATGTATCTCCGATGCTTCGATGATGACTATATGTACAAGCCGTGCTCCAGGTTTGGCTAGTTGTCAGGGGGTATTGTCTAATTACAAATCCAATGCCGATAACGCAATCCACGGCCGAGCTGGCCACCCCAAAACACCATACAAAATGTTGAATATTGATGCTTTATATTTCAACCACCACGTATTTACTTTAGTTGGGATCATGGGACATACACCTAAATAGGTAAAGAAAGAGCTATGATGGATTTTTATGTCTTCCAGACTATTATTTGAATGCTTTACCATAAAATACACTGTAATTTTGATGTTTCAGATGCAGATATACATCTTCTAATCACTTAAATCTATCTATTCTCAATAGACAAGTAGGCTATATATACGTCCGAGTTTCTGTATCCTTTATTTCTTTTATTCACCACGTATCGTTGTTAAGATATGAAGTTGTAATTTATCGCATTTAGTATGGTGTTTTGGGGTGGCCATCTCGGCCGTGTACAAGCCAGCTCGGCCGTGGATTACGTTACACATCCCCAAACTTCTAAGAAAATGCCAACGTTAGATCTGCTAACAAATCAATGCGTACCAAAGACATCTCTTTTAACCCTCATTTGCCTAAATTGAAATGAACTACGTTGGTTCCATAAACTAACACCTACAAAACTTGTATAGTAAGCCGTCGTTTTTTTTTTAACGAATTGGAAATGATGGCCTTGTAATGATACAGTAACGTAATTTACTCAGTCAAAATCGGTCTCTTTTCGAGGGTCTTTTACCATACGTTTGCACCCAGAAATGTCTGCAAAAACGATTTTCTATAATAAAAAAAATGAACAAGATCAACAATAGAATAGATTCAATTACAATCATTAGAAAAACAAGAAAAAAAAATAGAACCGAGTCTGTTTAAATATTGAATTAGAAGTATTTATTAGAGAGATTTATATTTCACTGTTAAAATAGAACGATCATTGGTGCGAGGTTGAGCTGCTGTTGAGGGAAGTGGAGCAGTCACTTACAGCTGCGTCCTGTTGAATTCCTTCGCCCTCCGTCTTTCCCTGTATCTTGTATGTGATTACGGGGTTCCGAGACAACTTTCAAGTCCCTCTCGAGTATCCATCCATAAAGAGCTAGAATCCCATATAATGGGTAGTATGATTGTTAGCGAGTAGGAGTAACGGAATCAATAGTGGAAAAATATGTATGTATGATTGATGGAAGCAAAGAAGCAAATCTATCTGTGAGATGGTCTTGTAAAGGTAGCTTCGTCAGTAGAATCGGAACTCCGGGATAAGAATTTCCGAGTCATACAGATTTGTCGGAACGCATACAGAATGCGTACATACAAAAGGCGAAGTAGGCCTCAGCATTCTATTCCAGAGTGTGGATTTTCTGGGAGCATTTCGGCCCGGGAGTTAGCCAGACTGTTGAAGATCAATGTAATTTAGCATCGACTATTATTTCCAATATGAATGACGTTATAAGGTACTGTCTAGTTAGTCTGAACTTCCGGCGATGACCAAGAATTATCCCATAGTTAGCCAAAATCATAGGTGGTATTACATGCAGCGATTGATGATACCAAGGTGGCTTCTAAGTTGGATCTACACCATTTTCATGCCCAACTCATGCAACTACTTCTAGGTTGAATCTTTGCAGCTGAAAGCCCTCACATTGAAAAATCTGCTCCAGAGTGCCCGAGACCCGCGTCATTAGCTCCTGGGACGAATGCAAGACGTGTAAGTGTGATGTAGGCATAGGTCTTTTGACAAGCGTTCTCAAACAAGTAACTACAGGTGGCGGGTCGCGCATCAAGAAACAAAGAAAGAAGTAGACGAGGGATTTCCAAGAATAGTATATTATTTTTATTCTCTTAAACTGCATGAGGCTCGGCGCTCAGGAAAAGGAAAAGAAGTAAAACTGATATTGCTTTGGTGGCGCTGCTGGTCTTGTTGGTGGGTTCAAGATTGATTCCACTCTAGCTCTGCTTCATCCGCTTGATAATAGAATAATGGAGATGACGAAATAATGGGCGACTATCGTCTTCGATTGAAAAAAAAAAAAAAAAACAAAGAAAAGAAAAAAAAACAAAGAAAATCCAGAGCAAGAACGCCCCACTAAAGCTCCTCAAACACGGGCCATTAGATAATTACGAGCATCCCGAACATTCTTTCCAATTTATCGGCACTTTCTTTTTATTTGTATTTGCTGACCAGTGAATGTCCATGCAAGGTTTCTTCACTACCCCGTGTTCCCGCTACAAGAGAAGTGGATAAGACTACGGCAGGGCCCACCTTGTACCTGGAAATTACTTGTGGTCTGACTTCACTGGCTTGGTGACGAAATCACATCACGCAGCTTTCAAATCAATAACATATGATCTATCATTGTTGTATTGCAGAGTAGTATCATGGAAACGGTAAGCCTTGAATTCTCGCGATCCGGTTGTGATTCTGATGAATCCACCGCCGTACAGCTGTAGCGAGATCTGACAGGCTCAGGCAGCATGCTAATTACAACATTCGAATTATTCATCTATTCTGTCCATCCATGGATAGCACTGTGAAAAGAAAGAAAAAACATTGTCAGCTGCTTTCCCTTTTACACACTAGCGCTAAGCAGCACCTTTTGTCATTTTAGCAACCACAGTTCTACTTCCAAAAGAAGACGGCTCTGCTGTGGGTCCGTGATCGTCGTATGTTGTTGATCATTCGCAAGGTCGCACAATGGTTCAATGTACAGCAGTAAGGGAGCGACACATTGTCCTATGCTATAGAGATGTGACTTGCATTCAAGTATACGATTTCCATCGGTGAGATGTAGAGGCCGATCAAATAGTAATAAGGGTTCAGGGGAAGCCCCCCTAACATGCATCTACTGAAGAAGAACATAGCCATCTTTGTTGTCGTGAATGACTTTATACCTGATTTGAGATTATCCTTCAATTCTTCATGATGCCGCCAATCATGACACTAAAGGCAGCCGGATCAATAGGCATTTCCAAAGCTTCCCCCCGACAACCTTCAAATGGGCACGGCTTTCTGCCATTGGCCACGCCAAAATCCGATCCTACTGTGAGCCACATAGAGTTGACGGAACAAGACAAGGATGGAAACGACGACTTTGGATTCTGGAACATCTGTGTACACCAAGTGATCCGCGAGCAATGTCTAAAATCCCCGGATTCACCCGCTGTTCATGCGTGGGACGGGTCTTTCACATATGCGGAGCTTAACAGGCTGTCTGATGGCATTGCATCGATTTTGAACATTCTCGGTGTCAAGCAAGAGACAATTGTGCCAATATGTACGCAGAAATCTCGATGGACAACCGTTGCCATAATGGGTGTGCTCAAGAGCGGAGGAGCTTTCTCTCTTCTCGACCCATCCTATCCTCAGTCAAGGCTAGAGGAGATGTGCAAAGAGCTGCAGGCGTCATTTATACTCACCAGCGAGGTCTTGAGTGAAAAATGCTCGCAATTCGCTTCTGCCCTAGTTGTGGAACATCTTAACAGTGCATGGCTGTTGAGCCCCCGCCTAGCCTGGCAGGCGCCATCTCGACCCGAGGACTCTGCTTATGTCGCGTTTACATCTGGCTCAACAGGAAAGCCCAAGGGAATTGTAATAGAGCATAGATCATATTGCTCTGGAGCCCGTTCTCATCTAAAGGTGTTTGGCATAGACTCAACTTCGCGTGTTCTGCAATTCGCCTCTTACGCGTTCGATGTCAGCATAATGGAAACGCTTAGTACGCTTATGGCCGGAGCGTGCCTGTGTGTCATGAGTGAAGCTCAGAGATGTGACCCCAATTTATTTGTCGAATCTTACAAGACACTTCGAATCTCCCACGCTTTCATGACCCCATCTTTCGCAAGAACGGTGCCATGGAAAGACTGCTCCAACCCTCCACCAACACTTATTGTTGGTGGCGAATTAATGCGTCCCTCAGATGCCGTGGCATATTCGGAGCTTGGTATCCGTTGCATGAATGCATACGGCCCCGCAGAGTGTTCTGTCAATGTTTCTGTACAGCCCAAGGTCAAAGATGGCGTCCATGCTACAAATATCGGATTTACAACGGGATCAACGGCGTGGATTGTCAGTCAAGAGAGCCCAGAACAGCTTGTACCTCCTGGTGCAGTGGGTGAACTGCTCGTCGAAGGACCTATTGTAGGTCGCTGCTATCTTAATAACCCCAGCGCCACTCGCTTAGCATTCATTGAGCCACCTTCATGGTTGCGCCAGCACCGCAAGGGTGCAAATTATCATCATCGAGTATACCGAACGGGAGATCTGGCTTCTTATGACATCAAAACCGGTGCTCTTCTTTTACATGGTCGCAAAGATGCTCAAGTCAAAATTCGCGGCCAACGGGTTGAGCTTCATGAAATTGAGCACCATCTCCAACAAACCTTCCGGAACCGTGGTGTCGAGGTAATTGTCGAAAAAGTTACCTTTACTGAGGATGATCTTGAGAAACTCTTTGCATTTATCCTCATGCCCTCCAATGTGTCTACTTTGATCACAGACAACAGGGAAGACTGTCTCTTCCTGCCGCCGCAGCCATCCGACGTCAAGCAATTTAAAATGAGCAAGCAACATCTTCAATCATGTCTACCGACCTATATGATTCCAGACATCTTTGTACCTATCACCTTCGTTCCTCAAACCCCATCTGGAAAGACAGATCGTAAAACCTTGCGAGCACGAGCAGCCAACCTTTCGAAGCAGGAAATTCAACGTTTTTCCCTTTCGGCCACGGCTGCTAAAACAATTGTCATTGCTAATAACCCCCCCATCACCCAAGAAGAATCAAAAATTCGGAGTCTATATAGCAAAGTGCTTCATATTCCCGTCGATCTGATTGCTATGAATGATACGTTCCTCCGGCTGGGGGGAGACTCGCTGCAGGCCATTCAGCTAGTTGCCGCCGCCAGGACTGCCGGGATCACTATCCACGCCGCTGATATACTTTCGTCACAAACCACTCTAGCAGAGCAATCAAAACGTGCAACATTTATGCAGACACCAGATCATGCTGAAGATGCACAAAGGCCCTTTGCTCTCTTGCCTATGGAGCAGACGCATGAAATTCTAGACATAGCACAAAGGCAGTGTCGAGTGCCCTCGAAGCTACTTGAAGACATTTATCCCTGTACTCCAGCTCAGGAGGGCATGTTCCTCACGTCTTTGAAACACCCAGGCATGTATACTGGACAGATTACGCTTGGTGTTCCAGATGACGTAGAGTTACCCCGTCTGAGGGCCGCTTGGTTGTCCGTTGCTTACGCAAACCCTGCTCTGCGGACACGCATGATACAGACACAAAAGGGACTAATGCAAGCGGTTATCGCGGAGGACTTTGCTTGGGAGGCAGAAGAGGCTGGAAGAGAGCTTTGCCACAATTCGCTGGGATCCGAGATATCCAGCATCGGTGTGCCCTTGGTCCGATTTCGCTATGATCATGATAGCCGGCAGTTGATTATGACAATTCACCACTCAATCTGGGACGGCTGGTCGCTCCGCTTGATGCATGAGCAGTTGGAACGTGCCTACACTGAGCAAAGATCTCTGACGCGCACCTCCTATCGTTCCTTCATTCAATACACACAAGCACTGCACGGAGTGGAGGAGTTCTGGGCGTCGGAGTTTGCTGGTTTGAATGCACCAATATTTCCGACCTTGCCATCTTGCACCTATCAGGCGTCTGCCCAAGTTTCGCATCGACACGTCGTGAAGGATCTCGTATCAAGTGGAATGGGTGAACATACAACAGCCACCTATATCCACCTTGCCTGGTCGCTACTCATCGCTCACTATACGGATTCGGACGAGACTGTCTACGGGGTGACGGTGAATGGTCGCAATGCCTTTGTCTCAGGCATCGAAAACATTCTGGGACCCACCATTGCGACAGTTCCGCTGCGCATTCTGGTAAATCAAGAGAACACGGTGAAAGTGGCACTAGATCATATTCAAGGCACTCTGGCGCGCATGATCCCATACGAACAGGCTGGTTTGCAACGCATCAGCAGATGCAGCGAAGATGCCGCTAAAGGTTGCAAGTTCCAGACTTTGCTCATCATTGAGGCGCCCGCAGATGGCGATATCCCTCACAGAAACGGAAAGGCTGGGAACTTTCCCATATTAGGAGGAACCACTCAGACTGGGATGGACTACACTGCATTCTCACCCCACGCGATGATGGTTGTCTTCCGTCCGAATGCTGACAAGACTGTGATTGCATTCGATATCACATATGACGCGCAAGTCGTCAGTTCTGCTGAGGTTGAACGGATTTCTTATCAATTTGAGCATGTCCTGCGACAAGTCTACAAGCTTACAGGAGAAAAAATCGGAGACATTACCCTAGCTGGGCCACGAGATCTCGAGCAGATACGAGCATGGAACAGAAACATGCCACTGGCCGATGAGCGTTTATTGCAGGATTTGGTATTCGCCCAGTGTGTCCGTCGGCCCCACGCGTGCGCGGTAGCTTCCTGGGATGGGTCGTGGACATATGAGGAACTCTTGTCATGGTCATCATTTTTCGCTTCCGAGCTGCAGACGCATGGCGTCAAACGGGGAACCCCCGTGGCCGTGTGTTTGGAGAGGAGCAGATGGAGCATCGCAGCCATTCTGGCCATTCTACTTGCCGGAGGCACATGTGTGCTCATTGATTTGCGATCCCCAGGACAACGCATTCAAGAAATCCTTCAAATCGTCGGCGCAACTGTTTTGATCAATGATAAAAAAACAGTCCTAGTGACGTCCGGCCTCTCTCGGACGGAGATCGATGTCTCTTTCTTAGCAAACCAAAGAGGCGATCGGCAGTGGGAAAACACATTGGAAAAGGAAATCTGGAAGAACCCGCCAGGCAACCCAGAGGATCTCGCGTTCATAATGTTTACGTCTGGAAGCACTGGCCGCCCCAAGGGTATTGAGATGCCCCATCGCACCCTTGCTAGCAGCATCTGTTATCACACCCCGTGCATGAAAGTCCATCAGAACAGTCGCGTGCTTCATTTCTCCTCGTACGCATTCGACGTCAGCATCTATGAGATCTTCACTACGCTAGCCGCCGGTGGAACAATCTGCGTTCCATCCGAGGTCGACCGCATGAACAACCTTGCTGGCTTTATCAATGAAGCTCAGGTCAATTGGGCGTTTCTGACACCTTCCACTGCCAGAAGTTTGAAACCCTCGGATGTTCCTTCGTTGACCACTTTAGTGCTCGGCGGTGAAGCAGTTACTCACGAAAGTGTCGAGGCCTGGGCAAAAGGTCGCTCACTCATCAACGGATATGGGCCTGCCGAGGCTACAATCTGTGGCTTAGGAGATATTCCAGAGACCGGATGGAAGTCAGGCGTCATCGGTCAAATTGTCGGTGGGCTAGGCTGGATCACTGTTCCGTCAGACCCGACCAGACTGGCAGCTGTTGGTGCCATAGGCGAGCTCCTTCTCGAGGGTCCGTTCTTGGCCCGCGGGTATCTCAACTTACCAGAGGTAACCAATACTGCGTTCATTGGGCTTCCCGACTGGAGGAATAAGATCCCTGCTCCGTCTCCTTATAGACAGATTTACAGAACGGGTGATCTTGTCAGCTATCAGGATGATGGATCAGTTCGGTACATCGGACGCAAAGACAGTCGCATCAAACTCCGAGGTCAGCTCGTCGATTTGAGCGCAGTGGAGGCGAGTGTGGTGCGAGTGTATCCCTCAGCAACACAAGTTGTCGCTGATGTGATCAATTCCGGCAGCACCACTGTGCTGACTGTGCTAATGAAGCTCAGCTCACATGTCACAGAGACAAGAGACGATGGAATACTGGGCAAGCCGGACTCGACTTTCAGCGAAGCTGCTTCCTTTACGCAAGCTCAGCTCCGAGCAATTGTGCCACCTTACATGGTCCCATCCATGTTCATTCCTCTATGCCAAGTTCCCCGTACTCTCACTGGGAAGACAGATCGTCGTCAACTCCGAGAGAAACTCCTCGCATTATCACGAGCAGACCTCCAGAGCTATAACATGACATATTCGACCAAGGTACCCGTGTCCGATGAAAACGAACAGCGACTCCAGGAGATCTGGGCAGATGTCCTTCAGCTCCCATGCGAGGAGATTGGGAGGGACGACTCTTTTCTGCTACTTGGTGGCGAGTCTCTAGCCGCGATGAAAGTGGTGGCGCAGGCAAGGCGAGTCGGATTCGAGTTCTCGGTGGCAGAAGTTTTGAACAACACGATATTGTCCGTCCTCGCGCGCTCAAGAAATCTGATCTCGGGACACGACGAACCAAACCAGGTAGCCTTGTCTTCATCTTCAATTATTCAAACCCGAAATTGCCAGCAAAGCCTCCAAACTCTCAGGAGAAGCAACATCATCCAAGAAGATGACGACATTCTGGCCGTCCATCCTGCCAGTGCGGCTCAAGCTCTTCTGATACAGAGGTATCCATGGTCTCACTTTCAGTTTGACCTATCTGGGAATATCGACATCAGACGGCTTCGAGAAGCTTGTGCTCTTTTGATCAGCAGGTTTGATATTCTTCGTACTGTGTTTGTCGAACATGAAGACCGGATATTGCAAATCATGCTGGGGAACTTGCGCGACTGTGTCCACGAGATCAGAACGGACGAGCCTCTTGAGTCATTCTGCGAGGCACTCTGTAAGAAGCAGCAGTGTTTCCCTGTTGTAAGCAGCCCGGCACCACCGACTCTGTTTACACTGGTGTCCCACCACCAGCTTAACAGGCATCGACTTCTTCTCCGCCTTTCCCACGCGCAATACGATATCATCACGATTCCCATCCTTGTGGATACCTTAGCCAATGTGTACAACCGCACTGCTGACACGACTCCCTCCTCCCAATTCAGTCACTTCATCAACCATCAGGCCAGGCAAAGCAACGATACCGAGGCGTCTACCTTCTGGCAAAAATATCTGTCAGGCTCATCAATGACACCTGCGCTCCAGTCCCAGAGCTGTTCGAACTCCGAAGACATGGAAATTATCTCTCAGGTCACTGGATCATGCAATATTACACTCGGGCCAATCCTCGTCGGTATCACATTAGCCACCGCTGTCAAAGCCGCTGTTTGCCTCGTCCTGGCTTCACGAACGGGCCGAACAGACATCGTTGTTGGTCAGACAGTTGATTGCCGTAGCAGTTCTACTCACGGCGACCTCGACCAGATCGTTGGCCCCTGTACCAACTACATCCCCTACCGTCTCAACGTTTGTTTCGATCAAGTGGCGTCGGAGTACCTCCTCACCGCACATACCCAGCACACCACATCTCTCAGCTACTCTTCTCTAGATTTGAACACAATTGTCTCAAAATCTACCACCTGGCCCAACAGTAGTCATTTCAACTACGTTGTCCAGCACCAAACAGTCAACACAGACTTGACTCTTTCCCTTGGAAATGTTGTCTCGTTGCCTATGACATCTTGCGGCCGCATATTTCCTCAATCGGAGGTCTGGATCGGCTCGACGCCCGACGCTTCAGGTCTCAAAATTGATGTCATTGGATTGAGCACAGTCATCAGCCAAAAGGATGCTCAGTCCCTGGCGGAGCAGGTGTGCATGGCATTGAGCGGGTTGCTTCATCGTGATGACCGGCCTATTTCTGATTTGATAGACAATACTTCGGCCTGGTAATAGACTGATAGTTTACATAGGATTTAGAACCTCATGGAACTTAATGACACAATATGGAAATACAAATTCTGCTTCTCTCCCAGGTCATTTTTTTACAGAGAGGTTAGAAAATAGAGAAAGAAGTGGAAACGGAAATATTCGTTAGGAAAGAGACCTGCCCTGATGCGTGGCCCAAGGTAGCTGAATTCCTCCTAATAGCGGGATAGCTCAATCGAAAGTCAGGAGGAAGCCATGGGACATCTTTGCCCTTCAAGTTTCTCTCTTTTTCTTGCTCAATAGAGATCAATAGATTCCTAGAGCCGTATAGTCTGATCTGCGTAGCCGGCCATCGCGTAAGAAGGCCACCGACAGAACCGGGCCTGAATAGTCCTCCAGCGTCTGCTATAGCGCACCTATCGTCGAGCATTTCATTAGGATGCCACCAATAGAATGAAACATTGGTTTCACAACAGCAATAGTACCTGCTATAAAAGCAATTGCAAGTGTCAAAAACGCTCTCAATCCACCGTTCTACGTTCATCCCAAAAAGATCCAACGAGAACCTCAAACTAATCTGATAGCGATCTGATAGCGATCTGATAGACCGCTACATGAGCTACGATGTTGATTATCAAGTATCACATCAGATAGAAAAAGCAACGAGTTTCCTAACACTCTCGAATGCCTCTGTGAGCAGGTTATAGTGCGCATAGGAAGCGTGGTAGGCAATATAGGAGGAGAAGAAGATTGAATACTATGATGGAAATAGTAGATGATCAGATTGAATTGTGGATGATACTTATTTTCTTCCTAGCCCGAAATTTAGGGCTTATTCATAATTAGGAAGTAGTAAAGCTTCCCAAGATGCCTATCTTGGGAAAGATATATGATATATCGTACTGAAAGTCATGCTGAAACCTTCGGATCCTTCGGATCTTAAAGACAGGGGTTATCTGAAATTCATGAGACATCAGATTTCATGCCATCATATTCTATATATGATAGACTAACTATGTAATCGACGACAGTTCAGTGTAGCTAATTAAGAACTCGTTTAAGCTTGTTGTAATAAGAATCGGTGTATGGTGTCGGTTCAGCGTAGCTCTTATCTTACACACTGTCTCCAGGCTGTCTTCCCATGGAAGTCGAGGAACCAACCTTATCTCCATCGTCAGTGACCTCCCGAGAATCCTGCCAATTCTGAACCAGACTGGGAATCTTACTAGCCTTCAGTAAACGATGGTTTCCCTCGCTCTCTAACGGTCAGATCTGGCTCAGTTGCGACCACGATTTCCCGATGTCCGCTCGTCGATTCTCTAAAAGACAAGAAGGGTGTTTTTAGTATTAAACTCTGCGCCCCTACCCGGTTATCTAGAGGCGATTTGCTCGTCCGAAGTCGATTTTTGCTAGAAATAGCCGTATCCCGCAGTATATATAAGGGCTTAGCAGGTATTATACAGATGTCGAGTGTAGCATTTTGTATCTAAGGAGTGGCGTTCCTAATTAGGACTAGCCTGTCGTGCCATGAACTTTTTTGTCGTGTCGCTAAGTTCACCCTTAGTTAACTTAGTTAATGAATGCTTATGAGGAAGCAGTGGCGGGGTGATCATAGACTAGTCACTGAGTGATCACTAAGCAATCACTGAGCAGCAACTGATGATTATTGAGCATCTATGATTGGTCACTGCGCAATCACATGAATGCACTGACTAGATCTACTAACATTTACTCACTAAGCCTGAGCCTGATCGCCCTCATTAAAGCGGCGGCAGCCCAGACAGGCAAGCCCCACCCGGCGGACATTATCGCATATACCGAGTCCTTCTCAAAGCATGCAGAGTCTAAGTTATAATATAGCATCCATAAAGACCACCCATTAGGCCCAGTTATTCCCTCGAGGCGAGAATAGAATCCCCCGCATAGGAAAGCAGTCCAATCTTCATCAATGACCCGACCAGCCTAAAAAGTCCTAGATCAATGCCATTCCTTACTTCCTGAAGTATTTTACTCTACCTAAGCCTTGCCAGTTGTTTTTGAGTTGACTGCAAAAGCAATTGCCAACTTAGAAATTACATTACATGAATATACCCCATGGAAGGGGATAAGATAACCTCGTACCCTAAATTTCTCGTGACATAGTACGCTTTGACACCCAAACTCCATCCCAAGGTAAGCTTAACCGTGTTCCAATTTCCCCGATAAACTTACCCCGCACACTACCGCAGTGATATCACCGCACAAGAACCAAGCAAATGCCCGCGCAGGAGTTCCCACCAACAAGATTAATCGTTCCTGAGGTCTTTTATCGGTCGGGACCTCGCACCCCTTTTAGACCGAAAGGGGACTTGATCTACTATCGGCCGCCTTATCCGGCATCCGGCTGCTCCGAGAAGACCCTTCGGCGCGTGATAGGCGCGTTGGCCTGTGCATCGACCGGGCGTCTCTCCTGCTCCACCCAAACATCAACATGAGTGCGAATATCTTTGTTACTGGGGCATGTGGCTATATGTATGTTCCATGCTCTTTGGGGATAACTTCCGAGCTAATCCGGTAATTTATAGAGGAGGATCTATCGTCGCTGACTTTGCTCGTCATAAGGGCGGCCTTCTCGAATCGGCCAGAATACACGCTGCAGTTCGGTCAGACGAGCAAGCCGAGAGTTTGTCGACGTTAGACGTCAGCGTTGTGAGAATTGATCTTAGTAACCCCTATGCTTTAGCAGGGTATATGATCCGTCATGACGGTGAGTGAATGGATACTTTTCTAATGGTTCACCATACTGATTTCGTGCCGGTCTAGTTAGCATCGTCATTCATACTGCAACCTCGATAGATGCGGAGGTGGTGCAGAACCTAATAACGGCGCTGAAGAAGCGCCGCGAGGCTAACGGAAAGAAAGCATTCTTCATTCATGTAAGCCCATCACGTCCACTCTTGAATTCAGTGGCCGTCGTTGACTCTGGGACAGACTTCGGGGTTATCGGCATTCGATGATAACACCGGTTGGCCATTCGGGGAATTAAGAGATATTGACCCGGTTTATTTCCTTGAGAAACAATGTACGGACTCGTACATTGTCAGGCAGGTAGTCTCTATCAAGTCAATCGCTTCATTCGCGGTCCTTCTCTAATGACTAGCCAGGTTGACGTTCTCGTCGCCGAACAAACACAAGCAGCAGGCCTCACAGGGCTCATAGTTATGCCCCCAACACTACGTGAGATTAATTTCTGTCCAATTTGAAAGTCTCGTCTTCTAATAACGACATAGATGGACGAGGCAGCGGAACCTGGAATCGACTATCCCCACAGATCCCCGCCCTCGTCAAGGCTGCAATCAAGAATAAAAAAGTATACAAGTTTGCAAAAGATAGAGTAAGCGCCACAAGCTACCCCAGCTCTTCAACCAGCCTCACTTTAGTTCACAAATATACTCACACCCGTCGCAGGAAGTTCTCTTAACCCATATCTCCGACCTAACAACCTTCTACGCGCAAATGGCCGAAGCCATTCTCCAAAAACGAGCTCTCCCTGCCGGTATGTCAGGGTACTATTTCACCGTTTCCCACTCTGTCCGGTGGTGGGATCTTCTCGACCATTTAGCAGCAGCAATGCATGCACGTGGACTCGTAGACGAACCAACCACGGAAGTATGGCCGAGCAATGCCTTCGCAGCGGAGGCACTCGGTGTCTCGGTAGATTTTGCGCATAGTATCTGGAATTCAAGGTATGTTAGTTCCTCCGTTTCCCCGTCATCGACATCTATATGCGATGTGCGTGGGGTTCTGTATCTTGAAGCTGATTCTGAGTTGCTACAGTCCGAAGGTCATCTGTGTGAATAAAGATCTAATTGGCTGGAAACCGGTCTGGAATAGGGAGCTGTTATTGCAGAACATTGATGAGGAGATCGATGACTTTATAGAGTTGGGAATGCCCAAGAGTAGTCTTCTAGACTCCTTGAGGCCTCAAGCAAGGGAATGAGGCTGGTAGGCGGGAGAGCCAGCAGTACAATAGCCCCTTCCTTTGAGTAACGATGATGAGCACAATTAAAACGTCTTCATAAGTAATATAAGCGAGGCATGTATAGCGAGCGCGTGTAAAGGTTAAAGCACACCATTCGTGATGCCCTAGTGTCCCATGCCGCGAGTGCAAAGGGATATTATGTTAGCAAACTTTCTCACCTCTGCCCTTGTAATTCTGGTTCATGGGATTTTCTCAAGCCTGCAGAAGTGAAAAGTCAAATATAAAATTTGCATGTAATAGACACACTAGCTTCCTCATTGATCTGTTATTCAATGATTTCTCCTGCACACCCAACATCGAAGCGAGCTTTCTCGTGGATCCGGAGAGCGTAGCATAATATGGAGATATATATTTCGCGACCCCAGAACATCAAGGGTGGTTGGAAGTACAGGGACTGCCAACCCCACAGTGATAAAAACAATAAATCATATGCTGTATCAACATGGTCTTTCAGAGTTTGATTGATTGAGAATTTACATTTGATTAAGTTGACAAGGGCGATTGTTGTGCTTTGTAGATTAAGGTTGTTTGTTATGCTTCTCTCGGTTCGACATTATGCCGAGACCGAAGTGTACAACTTCCGCTCAGGAAGATCCCGACCAGAGTATTTACCGCATAGGTAGCTACGAGACTAGATATACATCAAGTTGCGTATTCATTAGAAGCGCTATCTTGACCCGCTCAGGACGGGAGATGGCAGCTATAGACATACCGTAAGACTTCGTGACATACAGATGCATATTCTCACAGGCTCAAAATGTACCGCCATGCGAAAATACAAATCAAATCATGACAGGGGATCCGAGGAAAAACAAAAGGATACCACCCCATTGGCAGATCCCACCTCATTTAGCCCCCTTCCTCCCAAAATCAACCAAGGCATTATAAGACTCCGTCAGCGGCCACAACGCCCATGCAAACCCCATCGCCCCAACGACGAGCAACGTATAATACACCACCGTCCACATGATACTCAACTCCCCATCCCCAACACTGACACCCCTCCCCTTCCCATCTCCATCCTCCTTGCCCCGCACCGGCGGTCCCAAAGGCTCACCAGCCTCCACACGACCCCAGAACCGGGGCAGCCCGCACCAATTGCAGAAGCTATGGACCAGGATGACGGCGGGCAGGGAGCCGGTGCGCAGGAATATAAAGGTAGCATACCAGCCGAAGATGGTGGTGTAGCTGAACTGGAAGAGGGAGCGGAGGAGGGCGGCTAGCGCGGGGGTGTCGGGGTGTGTGAGGCGGAACTCGTAGAAGTGGTGGACATGCGCGATGCCAAAGTACAGCGGGGAGAGGAAGGTGATGCGACCCGGGGAGATGCGGGCGAGGATATGGAGGGGGATGATGGCGGAGCGGAACATGACTTCTTCGGTGATGGGGCCCTGTCGTACTTCGTTAGATATGAGGGCCTTCGAGTTCTAGTTGAGAATGTGAATACCTACCGCAACATAATTTCTCCACCCAATCCATCCACCGAGAGACTGCGACCATTGCGCCCGACTAGACCACGACCGCCATTCACCCTCGACAATGCCGTGTTCGTACAGTGGGCCGATGAACAGGATCGCGGTCAACAGGAGACTGCGCAGGATATCGCCGAAATCAATCGGCCACCATCCGAGTAGACTCAACGCAGCACTCAGCGAGGAACCGCCCTTATCAACGACCAGCCAAAGCACGACCAGCGAGCAGACGAGGCAAGAGCCCGTGACGGTGCGGATACGCGCGCGGATGACGGACGGCGCATCGCGGCTTAAACTGGGTGAAGGCCTGGTTGCGGGGGAGAGGTAGAAGGGTACGACGTAGAGTAATGTAAGGGCGACCTGGGAGGGTTTCGTTAGTGTTGGAGCACGGGGCGTGGGATGCGAGATGTATGTATTTCTGAAGAATGATCGGGGTATAAAAAGGAGGGTGTGATTTACCGAGAATAGCGCGACGGTGTGCACTGATAATGAGGGTTCATCTAGGCGGCCGCTATTAGCTGACAGGTCCGAACTTTGTGTCGGTCGAGTGTTTGGGGGGTGGTTGGCTTGAGATCAGGTGTGGGAAGGGAGAATACAAACCCTGATGCTTGGTGTAGAGGCTCTTGAGACGAGCCAGAATGCCGACGGGAGCCATGGGCGAGGGGCAGGTTTGAGGTTTGGTGATGCTCAACGGACTTTCGAAAAGCGCTGGGCGGCCAGTTTATCAAGGCAGACGAGAGCCGAGACCTTCTTTGTTGCGGGTGACGCGGGGGTAACAATACGAGACCGTAATTACGGGCGTTGAGTCCAGGTCCAATATGGGATAGAGCTTGCGTGGATCGTAATTACCTCGTCACGCTATACTTTTTGGGCACTGGGGGACTTGTACTCGACCAGGTTCCTGGATTGTTCTTAGTATTGTTCTTATCGTGGTTCATATTGTTAGCTTCCATTAACGAAAGACATCGTATTCTGTACGGTTCATATTCATCCACAGAACCAGTCTATGAAGATGACAGTTGCACTCTCAACCACACCTACCCCGGCCGTAGTCCCGATCATAGTCTCGATCGCGATTTAAACTCCTTCAACCCGGCGAACCAGCCAGTGACCAGGAACTATTGAAATAAAAAACCTCCGTGGCAGGCGAGAGGTCGCATTTTCAATCCCGAACACATGGACCGAGCGTCCCCATCGCTCGTGGGCTAGGATGGTACCTGGATTAGTCTCGTTTGTGAGGTATCAACTGCAGGGCCCATCCCTTGAAGGGCCCATCTTTCATTTCAAAATCTGAGTCAACGCGAGGGAATCGTGGGCGATAATTCTCCGATTTCACGAGGGTCAATCACGGGTGGATTGAAGTGTTTTGGTTGCTAGGTGACGGGCGATAATCGAGTGAACGTCCGTGAGGGGATATAGTCTTGAGACATAATATGTACGGACCGTATAGTCTCGGACGTCGTACGTTTGCTGCACGGGCGGCGAGGACTCTTCGAGCGCTCTTCAATCTGCCTATATCGGGGATGAGGTCAGACGGCGCTACCCATTCCCTCGCTAAACCGTTCATAGATTAGTTGGCCCGAATCCGGGACGGGGGAAGACAACGCACGGGGATCCACCAGGCTGACGGAGAAGAGGAGAAGAGGAGAAGAGAAGGAATTGCAGGGGAACCGATGGAGTTGGATGGGGCATCGTGGAAGGAATCAGAACGATCTCGATTGCGCCTCCTCCGTGGAGTAAGCTAGACTGCGGAAATTGTCGACTCAACCAGCAACTTAATCCTAATTGACTCCCTACTAAGCCCTAACTTCTGTCATTTACAGTTCCTTTCCGAGTTTGCCGTTTCCTTTTTCACGCGACTCTACACCTATCAACGCGATAAAGAAAGAGACGAGCCCAGCCATGCAGATTTAGCATCACGTCGCGAACCATACAAATCGGAGCAGATCCACTTTAAGTCAAGTTCTCCATAAAAAACCCAAAGCAAAACCAGTAATTCTCCCCTAACGAGGTCAACGGTCGAGGCCGTAATTTCGCGACCGTGCAATGCCTGCATACCCCTGCGCCTTGGTCTCGTCGTGATAGGCGCCCAACAGCCACTGGGCCGAGTCCTTTTTCTACTCCAGAAGGTACAGCCCACACTTGACTGGCTCACTGCGACCGGACTGTCAAAGGCGCTTCACCGCCGCTGGGGATCAAAATTCCTGGCGCCCCCCTTGAGATCGCCCGAGTGTCTCACCATCTCTCTTTTTTCCCCTTCTTTTCCTGTCGTTGTCGTGTTTGTGTTTTTTCGGTCATTTCGTTGCCGCCAGTCGTTCTGCTTTCCCCGTCGTTCATTTGAAACTCTTTAATGACCTTCTTGACGCTCTCTAATGTTGCTGAAACGATCATACGCTTAATCTGCTAGTCCTTGACGACTTGAACGCTCATTGATTCCGACGCTCTTTTTCATGGAATTTTGATTCCCCCCCCAGCCCCATCGACGAATATAGAGTCTATATCCACAGTTACCCACCACAACCGCCGGTCTCTCCGGCTACAATCCTTTCCAAGGCCAACCCTCGATCCAACATTCCTTACATCGAACCAATCCAGGAAAACAACAACAACTTCCCCCCCCCCCCCATCATTTCGGTCAACGTCATTCCTTGTTTATGATTCTTGCCTTTGGCTCTGCTATTCGTGATTGTATCATTATTCGCATTCTTCTTCGCGGTTGGTCATCTCGGGCGGTACACCAACCTGGTCGTCCTCGTCGTCGTCCAGACCATGCCCTAATATTCTCAACCCGACACCCTCGACAGCTTCAACAACGACAATGCCGACGTCTAAACAGTCAACGTCGCCTCCGCCCCGGCGGCGACGAGCTCTGCAAGAGCGCAGCTCCGCTCACAACAATGAACGATCGCCAAATCCGTCCATCCAATCACTCCGCATGGTCTTCGGAGAGAAAGAAGATGCCGACATGTATACGGCCACTCCATTTCCCACCAAGCCGGAACAGATCTTGCTGCCAATTCCCGGCAAAGGTCAGCAAGGCTACGTCTCGGATATGGGCTTCAGCTATGCGGATACCCCCGGCCCGTCCACGTCAACCTGGTCATCGCCCGCTTTCAGCCATGCTGCGGCCAGTAGCACGCGAGACCTGTCCATTCGCGAGACATGGGACGTATCGTCGACCGTAGATACGGTCAATTCACCACCCCAAATGTGGGATGATCCTACTTCTAGCAAGTCGTCCCTGCCAGAGGTCAGCCCAATGACCAAACATGAGGAGTATACATCAGATGGCCCCGACGAGCCAGAGTACTCGGACGACGAGATGATAGTCCTGCCCACGGCAACACCGACCATCAAAGCAGTCATTTCGGAACCCCCGACATCACCCAAGACTGTCTACGACGAGGATCAATCCATCATTGGCTATTCCAGTCCCAACATCGAGCAGATCGGTGCGCCGTCAAGCCCTAACTTTGAACCTATGGGCGCACCATCAAGTCCCAACTTTGTGACACTAGACAACTCAAGTGTCAACTTCCTGCCACATGGTGCGGACAATTCGGATTCCGACCCACGCTCCAATTCGCTATCATCCTGGAACTCTCGTGGAACGGCCGTTCGACACGTAGGCGTCGCCGGTCCCTGGATCCATACGGCCGGCTCATCAGAGCGAGTGAGCACCCGCTCTCCATCACCATTCCACTCCAGCCCACCATTGCGCTCAGTCTCATCATTCCGGTCCGTCACTAGACGTCCATCAGCAAGCCGATCCCGCTCTGCGACCTCCTCCACCCGCAGCTACCGCTCCGTCTCGGAGACCGCCGCCGCCATCGACAGCGGTATCCCGATCCAGTACGCCCGTATCCGAGTACCATCATCCAGCTCCCGCGCCGGTACATCGGTCTCCTCAGATCGTGACTTCACCCCGGTCCGCGACTTCACGCCCGGCCCCGCCTCTGGCCGCTGGAACCCGCATCTGTCCCGTGTATCATCAGTCTGGTCCGACGAAGACCTAGCCAACCTCGCCGCCGCGGGCGAACCCGAGTCCACACCAGTCCGCGAGATGTCAATGTCCGAACCTTCCATTCCAGACGCAGTAGCCCTCAGCTCGAAAACCAGCAATTCGAGCATCTGGCCGATTACGGATAGCGACGAAGACGAGCGTCTAGACAGTCTGACAAATCTACCCCCACGGCCGGGCTTCCCACAAAGTCTTTCCTCGGGCTCGAAGCGCAGCAACAGCAATCGCAGTCTGAAACGACCCGGCACCGCCTCGAGCACCGTCTGGCATATCCTGCCCACCTGGGCAAAGATATACTATCGCGCCGATGCATTGGGCTTGAACTCGGCTCTGTCAATTATGGACGTCAGCAGACCGGGGACCTCCAACTCCAGTGTCTTCAATTTCAATCTCATGCCTACACCACTAAACATCCCTCGTCCCCGATCCCCCGAACCTCCTCGCTCCCCACAGCAACTTCCCAAATCGCCATTCCAGCAAAACCCCCAACAACAACCCCAGCAAACACCTCAACAGCCCTCCGAGCAAGCCGTCCAGAAAACCACCCAGCTATCGGCAGTCTCACTCCCCCAACGCCCCGGCGCAGTCCGCTTCGTCCAGGGCCACACAGAAAGTGACCCCCTCGACCCACGCGCCCACTGGGTCCCGGACCCCGAAGAAAACGGCCAAGTCGTTGGTTCATCACGACATAGAACGCGGCATAGCTGGTCACCACATCTATACGCTGATCGACGCAGGATTCCGCATTCGACAAGTGCATGGACGGCGCCTTCGCTGGATAGCACGAACGAACCTGTCTTTGGGAGGAGGAATATTCAGGTTTATTCTTTTTGTTTAGGGTTCATTTTTCCGCTTGGTTAGTTTGCCTCCCTTGCTGGATTAGAGATGCCTGTGTGAGAAGGGGTCTAGAGTACTGACGAGCCATATAGCATGGATCATCGCATCATTCCTCCCTCTCCCGCCAATGCCGAAACTCACGCCGGAGATGGTGGATGTGAACGACGACGATGTCGAGATGGCGCTGGAGTCGCAGTTGATTGCATTGCAGCGCCGACGACATGACAATGCGCGGTGGTGGAGGAATCTTAATCGGTGGATGATCTCTCTTGCAGTGGTGATTATTGTTATAATTGTAAGTTTATAACTTTGCGGAGAGAATCGGGGTTCAGGCTAACTTGTGTGACGCAGATTGCATTGGCTGTTATTGGGACTACCACGGGCTTTTAATGTCTGACTTTTTGTTTTTTGCAACTTGAATCCTGTCTTTTGGAGGACTGGACTGGACCCGACGTCTTTCGACACACCATTTATTTGGAGCCTGACTTGAACTTGCACTTGTCCTTGATCGAATCCGTTTCTCGTTTCGGAACTTGACATGGACGCCAATCTACCATCTCGGTAATATTTCTTATATGATTCGACCTCTACACTCTTACTCGACTTGCAACTGCACCCCGACCTCATAGCGACACGCCTCCATTCAAATTCCTCTATACAACTCTCGAGATAACCATTTCCCCTCTCGACATGTTTTTTGTTCATTTTTCGATTCATTGCACATTTTATCAGATACGACTACACGACACGATTGTACGCACATATATAATATTCCTCCTTTCACGGTTCGCTTGACCCGATACTTGACACTTGATATTCGTGCATTTTTCTGCTTGTTACCTTTCACTCCTCTTCTCTTTTCATCATGCCTGTCCTGGCGGTCATTGTTACTATTTACTTTCACTTTCACACTAACAGTGTGTTTCTTTGAACTTCTCTTTTATCTTCACCTTCATCTTCATTTTCCTTCTCAATCCAAGCTTGAGCTTGACACTCTATTTCTTTTCTCGCTTGCATCCTGCGTCTATGTAATGGATACATGCTCTCATTTCATTACTCCGTTTCGCTAGTGTTTAGCCCATGTCATATACACCTTCTATACTCAAAATGTGAAGATTGTACGGCAAATTCATTTTCATGATATAAGAATCACTTCTGTTGAGCATGTGATGCAGTATGACCAGTAGACTCGACATGCTGCTTACTTAGTTCTAGTATGTTCCTAGGAGGAATCTCATCTTATAGAAAACGAGACTTTTTGAGTCTATGCGTGGATATCTGGTCTGCGGATAAAACTCCTCAAAACTTTATCACGGGTAACCTATTAGGACCTTGCTTCTGCTAGGCCTATCAGGTACTGCCGCATTCGAAATCAGATTCCCCTCTTCCCACTGGTAGATTGTTTCCCAAACCCTAATAGCAAGTACGCTAGTCTATATTTGACTAGCGGTATTAAGACCCCTGTCAAGCTGCGCTGTCTTGCATGAACAGTAACAAACGAATGTCCGTATTATACAGTAAAGGTCTTTGGAGCTTTATGGAATCTTCTCTGCAAACAGCCTAAACAAAAGCAGACGTTATGGTGATCTGGCAAGATGGATGGTTGTCCACCTCCCCTCCATCACCAAGGCAACCTTCATCTGCGCTCATTTCGTTTCCACCACACTCATTTCCACCACTCTCGTTTCCACCGCACTCGTTTCCACCACTCTCGTTTCCACCGCACTCGTTTCCACCGCACTTTTTACACCACACTTGTTACACCACACTCAAAAGTCACGCCGAGATTTAGGACGCTACTAACACTGGTAGGCTGTTGTGATTCTTGATTTCCGAGGATCGTCTTCTTGCTAGTGGTTTTCCTTGGTTGCAGCTTTTTTTGAAAAGGGGTATCTTCAAGCCAGCTAATATGTGTCGTCGAAAAGCTACAACTGGTTCGGGAGATGACTCGAAGCCCATCTGATATTGATTGCACATCGCAGCCCGAAGGGCTCGAATCGTGGGAGCAGGACTCTCAGTATCCCCCTACGCCTGGGTTCTTTCATAGCCCTTACGACACACGGTCCGTGTGCAGCCCCTCCCCTTCGTATGCGGTCGATGACGGCAACAATGCGGCAAATCAATCACGACCGGATAATCTCAAATTGCTTCAGTTCTTTGAGTGGGAGGAGAACCGTGATTACGACGAAGAACCGCCAACCTGTATCCACTATCTCATAGAGTGGCGAGTCAAGATTAATAACCGAATTGTATCGAAGGACACTGATGAAGACCTCGTTTTAGCTCCAAGCGACTACTGGCAGCAATTCTTGGAAAAGAAACTGCATAATGTCCTTGGATGCAAAGTTTCCCGTGATCGAAGGGTGAGGGCTGAGGATACTTCCATTGTCGTCTCCGTAAGGGATCGTTCCCAGCGCGATCTGACCAAGCGATATGACAAAACCGACATTGACTGGACAATTATTGACCGGCAACTCCAGAAGTGGTCAGCTTTGTTTTGTCAAGGCAAGGAGCTGACATTGAAGATTTGTTTTAATTTTGTAGAGGACCACCATTCTCCTATCGCCGGGCGAAATGGTGAGAAAAGGGGTAAAACCTCCGTTTCGAGAAGAATGCTCAGTGAGCGAGACGCACAGCTGGATGCTGAATAGGACTCCTCTGGCCAAAGACCAGTTTGGCGTAGCGTCTATAATTTGATGCGATGCGATTCACCGTCGTGCCACCTAGGTCCCTACTGTTGGCTGGATCCAATGGGAAAGAAGCACTATCAGCTCAAAACACATCACCTGAGGCGCCTCGTGACTTACGTTGAAAAGGGTGGCGTTCTGGACTCGCACAAAGATGTGCCTGAAGCGGTTCGAGAAGAACTATATATGGAAGAACAACAGAAAATGGAGAAAGACAAGCGCAAGGGAGACCCCTACCTTGGTTGGGGAGGCCCATACCCTCCCATCAATATCAACGTTCTGCCATCACAGTCTCCGGTCCCCGGAATGGAAGTTTCCAGAAAGGCCGATGATGCGTCTACTATGGATTCGTTGGAAATCCCCGGACCCAGGGACCGAGCAGTTAAAGAGTACGGTGAATGGCAACAATCACATGTCACTGATGATGGCCTCAAGGATGCGTTCCGACAAGCGTGCGATGTGATGCTTGACGATGGTCTGGATCTCGAGCAGGTCTACAAAGACCGTGACCCGGAATTCTTCATCGGCAAGGGAATCAAGAAGGGCATTGCTCGTCGTTTCGTAGAGGATATTCCAAGCTGGGTCCAGAACGTGAAGAAGCCAATGCATGTTTATGAAGTCGTTTAGAGCGGGTAGGGCAGATATTGTTGGCGTTTACTCGGGTTTGTTTGGAATCCTATCGCGTTTATAGGGAACATTGTTTTTGTGTATCTAGTGAAGGTTTCATCTTGCGAATAATTATGATGCGTTCCTCCCATTGATTTTTGACAGTTTATGGGCAGAAGAATGAAGTCCATAGCTATTATTGTACAAATGATTGTGAGTACTTTTTACAACTGTCGCGTAAGCTTCAACCCACTGTCATGGTCTTGAACAAGGAGTTCGATGATTGGCGCCTGTCCCTAACTAACCTCGCCAATGAAAATACAGTAGTTATGCCTGTTCACCGTCTTCGCCACATTTTTGAGGCCGCCCCTTGTGAGAGTCGGGAAGCACTCTTAATATAGCTGCCTACGTCGGGCGCTAACCCGAATGGGAAGGGAGAATCCTAACACCCCTCTTCTCACCTGAGCAGCAGCGTCTTCTCTGAAGTGCACAGTCTCTGAAGTGCACAGATATTTGTAATCCTGGCCTCTCTCTCCCTTTGGAAGCACCGAACGCTAGCTCTCGTCTACCTCCCACTCCGAAATGGATGGACTTTCGTCTGCAGCCAGCGTTATCGCGGTCATTCAACTTACGGGGACTGTTGTGAAGATCTGCGGGGGGTATATTCAGGAAGTGAAGGATGCGCGAGACGATATTATTTCTTTGCAACGGACGGTTGCAGATCTTGAAGTTATTCTCCAGAAACTCAGGGAACTCCTCCAGGATCCCCGCGGCATAAAGCTATTCACCTCGTCGCTGGTCAATAACATTAGCGATTGCCTAGCATGCCTTGTGGCCGTGGAAAAGAGAATTGATCTTGGGAGAAGAAAGCGAATGATGAAACGACTCGGAATTCGAGCTTTACGGTGGCCTTTCAAACGCAGCGAAGTGGACAGAATTATCACCAACCTCGAGAGGTATAAGTCATTCTTCACTTTATCTTTGCAGGTTGACCAGACGTAAGTTGATCGACTAAAATCGGTCGAGGGATGACTAGCTTACTGTACGCCTACATAGTACTCTCTTGACCGGCGTGGCTCAAAATACTGACCGAATCGATCTGAATTTGGGCCTCGACAAGTTGCCGGTCGCGCGTGGGGCTCAGTTTGACTCTTACATGAATCAACATGAGGATGAATGTCTCCCAGGCACCAGAGCTGAGCTCCTTCGCCAAATTACTGAATGGGCCAGGTTGCCGCAAGCTAAATACATATTCTGGCTAAGTGGCAAGGCAGGGACAGGAAAATCGACTATCTGCCGAACAGTGGCAAAATCCTTCAGTGAGGCGAAGCTCCTCGGAGCGAGTTTCTTCTTCAAGAGGGGGGAAGGTGACCGCGGAAATGCCACGAAACTCTTTCCTACAGTCGCGCAGCAGTTATTAATTCGCATGCCTAAGTTGAGAGCGAGTGTCCTGAAAGCACTCGGGGATGAACCGGATCTTGCAGGCAAATCGCTCAAGGAGCAGTTTGACAAACTACTTCTTCATCCACTATTGAGCTTAGACTCAACCAAGGGACAAGTGCCGACCATTGTAATAGTTATTGACGCATTGGACGAATGTGAGAACGACAAGGATATCGGAGTTATACTCCAATTACTACCACAGCTACGTGCGTCAACTGCTGTGCGTGTGCGAATTTTCTTGACAAGCAGGGATGAGACACCGATCATGTTAGGTTTCTCGGAAATTGGAAATCATCATGAGAATCTTGCTCTTCATAATGTCCCCGAGGCAGCGACGGAACACGACATATCTCTTTTCTTGCAGGACAGATTTGCAAAGATCAGAGACCAGAGAAAAGTCTCTCCAGACTGGCCTGGAGATGAAACAGTTCAAGCACTGGTTATGCTGTCTGTTCCATTATTCATTTCTGCCGCCACTGTGTGCCGATTTCTTGATGATTCAAAGTGGGACCCAGAAGTACGCCTTACAGAACTTTTGGAGGACCAAGCGAAATATGCGACGAAAATGGAGAAGACTTATCTACCGATCCTTACCCAACTCCTTAAGGATCAAGATGATGACGAATCAGAACAGCTGCTGCAACAGTTCCAGCAAATTGTCGGCGTTATCATCCTCCTTGCTATTCCTCTTTCGGTCAATTCGCTCTCTAAGCTCCTCCGTACCAGAGTCGGGGTTATAAGGAATCTGTTGAATTCATTCCAGTCCGTTCTCCATATACCTGGTAACCAAGACATGCCAGTCAGAATATTACATTTATCTTTTCGAGATTTTTTGGTTAACTCCAGGGGAAAGTTCCGCGTGAATGAGCAGCAGACACATAAAAAGATAACCAAATACTGTCTTGCCGTCATGCGAGATGGGTTGAAAAGGAATATTTGTGACCAATCAAGCTACGGAACTCAAAGGAAGGATGTCGATGCCCAGTTATACCAACAACACTTACCACCGGTATTGCAATACTCTTGTCGTTATTGGGCACACCATCTGGCGCAATGCCCAATCCCCGCCGCTGAACTGGATGATGCCCTCACATTTCTCCAGAAACATTTCCTGCACTGGATAGAAGCAATGAGCATCCTAGGTCATGCTTCTGAAGTTGTGGGAATTATTAACCTACTGCAGTCATTGTCACACGTAGGTGTCTATTGAATGTGCTGATATCATTACGCTAATTGATACAGAGGGTACAGAGAGATGAAAACCACGAACTATCAGAGTTTTTGCATGATGCAAGGCGGTTTTTCCTTAAAAATCAACAAATCGTTGACGACGTTCCCCTTCAGATTTATTACGCGGGACTTGTATTCGCACCGAGGATGGCGCTGATTCGACGGAAATTTGCAGGAGAGCTTCCAAATTGGGTACGTGTGTTTTCCAACGTCCAGAATACTTGGAGCGCAGAATTGCAAACACTCGAGGGCCACTCAGGTCCCGTTCGCTCGGTGGCATTCTCGTATGATAGTTGGCTACTGGCGACTGGCTCTGATGATAACACTGTCAGGCTCTGGGATGCAGCTACGGGCGTCTTACAGCAGACTCTCGAGGGCCATTCAGATTGGGTTCTATCAGTGGCATTCTCGCATGATTCTCGGCTGCTGGCGACGGGCTCCAATGACAACACAGTCAGACTCTGGGACACTGCCTCAGGGGTCTCCCAACTAACTCTAGATGGTCACTTGGATACGGTTCGATCGGTGGCATTCTCGCATGACAGTCGGTTATTAGTGACCGGATCGTATGATAACACAGTCAGGCTCTGGGATGTAGCTACGGGCGCCTTACAGCAGACTCTCGAGGGCCATTCAGATTGGGTTTTATCAGTGGCGTTCTCGCATGATAGTCGGCTGCTGGCGACCGGCTCCAGTGACAATACAGTCAGGCTCTGGGATACGGTCACGGGCTCCCTTCAGCGGACTCTTGAGGGCCATTCAGACCGGGTTCGATCGGTGGCATTCTCGAATGATAGCCGGCTCCTAGCGACCGGCTCCGACGATAACACTATCAAGCTCTGGGATACACCCGGGGGCTCCCTAAAACAAACTATTGAGGGCCATTCAGATTCGGTTCGATCAGTGGCGTTCTCGCGTGATGGACGCCTGCTAGCAACAGGCTCTGATGACAACACTGTGAGGCTTTGGGATGCAGCCACGGGTGTCTTACAGCAGACTCTCGAGGGCCATTCAAGTTTGGTTCTCTCAGTGGTATTCTCGTACGACAGTCGACTGCTAGCGACAAGCTCATATGATAAAACTGTTAGGCTCTGGGATATGGCCGCAGGCGCCCTAAAAAGCACTTCCAGGGGCTGTCCAGGTTCTGTTCTCTCAGTGGCGTTTTCGCATAGCGGTCGGCTGCTAGCGACTGGCTCTGATGACAACACTGTCAGGCTCTGGGATGCAGCTACGGGCGTCTTACAACAGACTCTTAGGGGTCATTTAGATTGGGTTCTCTCGGTAGGTTTTTCACGCGATGATCAGCTACTAGCGACTACTTCACGTGATAATACAGTCGGACTCTGGGATGTAGCCACGGGTGCCTTACAACAGACTCTTGAGGGCCATTCAGATTGGGTTCTCTCGGTAGCATTCTCGCGTGATAGTCGGCTTCTGGCGACGGGCTCCAGGGACAACACAGTCAGGCTCTGGGATACGGTTACGGGCTCTTTAGGACGGACTCTTGAGGGCCACTCAGATTGGGTTCGATCCATTGCATTCTCGCACGACGGTCGGTTGCTGGCGACCGGCTCTGGTGACAACACGGTCAGGCTCTGGGATATGGCTAGGGGTTCCTTACAGCGGACTCTTGAGGGACATTCAGATTGGGTTCGATCCATTGCATTCTCGCACGACGGTCGGCTGCTGGCGACCGGCTCTGGTGACAGCACAGTCAGACTCTGGGATATGACCACGGGTGTCCCGCAGCAAACCTTAAATGTCAAAGGATTAGTCACCAATCTGGAATTTGCTGAAGATGGGTTATACCTAATGACTAACCTGGGATACCTCAACACTCACATCCCGTATGAAGATCATACCTCCGGTTCACCCAAGGCGCGGACTATCCGATTCTTAGTAGAGGATCAATGGTTGACCCTTCGTGGCGAAAAGGTACTGTGGCTTCCTCCGGAGTATCGACCTGGCTGTTCGGCAGTCAGCGACAATACTCTTGCTTTGGGACACTCATCGGAACGGATTTCTATCATTGAGTTTCGTGCGTAACACGTTGATTCAGTTTTTATGGAATGCATGCTCCACTATATTTTAATACCTCGTTTCGAGGATGACCTGGGAGAAATGGACAATTCATTTTGCTCTATCCTATCACTATAATCTGCTAGGGCCTTGAGGAACTGGTTAGTGCCTAGTAGTTACAATTGACTCTTCAGTCATTAGTATCCGCGTCACCAAATTTTGAGATCGCTCCGTACCAATGCCATAAAGTTGTTTAAAAGGGTTGAGACCAAGATGGTCCAAATTTCATGTGATCCTGTCAATTGCTAGTTTCAAATTCTTATAGAGACTCTGTAGGCATCGCTTTCGCGTTGGTTCCTTTCAGCTGGGCCCTTCTCTATTCTTCTTCTTCTTCTTCCTCCTCCTCCTCCTCCTCCTACAGAGAGCTAGCCCAGATAGCCACATAAAACACGTTCCTGTAACTCATTCTCCTCCTCCAGTCGATTGACAGTACCCTAGTCTCTCGACTGCGACGCTCACAATGTCGCAACTAGGCGAGATGTACAGAACACATGGCGAGACAGGAAGAATGGTGCAAGGATATAAACGACTGATAAGAGCTGACCAAAATAGCATGGGCCACCTAGTGGCTCAACGGATTAAATGACTCCGGCTTCGGCGAGAGCAGCCTTTAAGTCATCTGTATTTTCAATCATGAAATGAGGTTTCCCTGCCCGGAAAATCTGGTGAACCCCTTTCACTGTCGCCGCATGTGTCTCATTTGCTGTGCAGACACGCGCCTTTCCATTAACTGACTCAAATTTCCAACCTGTGATGCGGGTTGGCACAGTGTTCTTGATGCAAGTTGAATTTAACATAACAGTTCCTTGCTCCAGAATGAGTTCCGACATGGAGTTTTCATCGCACCCAAGGACTTGAAGGCCAATGAGGTTTGTGAGACTGTTCTGGACAATATACTCGATGAATTCGTCAAGGAAATGCAGCCCAACTTTAGACATGTCCGGAAGAGGGCCCTCCTGCAGTTCATAAGCACACATTCCATCCTTAGTGAGGGCGAAGATATGTCCATGAACACTGGTGGGGTTAATTTTCTCAATGTGGGTGGGTTTAGTCCAGCGAAGAGAGAGGCTTTCCACATTGGTCCCAAGCATGACCGTTTCCTCAGGTATCTTGAAATGACCGTGGATCAGGTGGATTCCAAGGATCTTGTCAGCGTTATGACGGACAAACATCTCCGCTAGGTTCGTTATATGCTCTTGCGCGACCGGGGGCTGATCAGAGTCATCTAGAAGCTCGTTATATCTGCAAACGTCAGCAAATTTCTCAACCTCTAACATAGACTTCATACAATGCACAGCTACTGTAGAAGTCCTGGATCTCCAAAGCCTTATCGAGCCCGGGAAGGGTGGGAGGCGTAGCAACTAGAGCCGTCATTTTGCGTAGAGCGCATGTAGGACTGTGAAATGGGGTACGTATACAATAACACGAGGAGAAAATGACTGGAAGAAATGTTGGACATGCAAGCCCCGCACATTAGCGAGCGGGTTCGTTATGACTGACCCGCAAACCCCGCTTATGTGGCCACCTCTGATTTGACAGTCTGTCAACGGCATGTTAGTTACTTTTTTGCTTAGCTTAATGAGGCTTAAAAGATGTCCTCTGACCAATCATATTCCTTCAACTGAGGATATACCTCAATTATCATGTATGTGGTAGTGTTCGCTTCGTTGTACCCAATCTTGGAGCAAGCGCCTTGGCGATATGCCCCAGAATCAAGAGAAGGTTCTAGAACAGTGGAACAGTGAAGCTGGATTTGCACTTGGCTGTAGAGTATTGTTTGAGAAATTCTGACCCGGCCATTTAGAAGCTACATTATACAAGTCTCGGATAAGTCTGGCGATAGAAGAACTATAATTAGTAGCACGGCCACCCGCTTCATATTTTGGCAACACAGATTAACTTTAAGCGAAATGCTCCTCTCTTATGTTATACTAGCGACCACAACTAGTGGCGCTATGGCCTCCCCACTTATTGAAAGACAAATATCCAGTACCTGCTCCAACTGAAAAAAAGACACCCAAGTGCTGCAAGCTTCTGCTTCCCGTAAACATTCTGGGGAGAAACGTTGACATTGGAGTGGCATGTATACCCTGTACGCCATATCGTTATGCCTTATCCCAACCGCTATCTGTTGAAGATGTTGACTGGCTCCGTGGTCTCTTGCAAGGGTCAAACGTTGTGCTGCCACACAGAAAATGCGGGTTACTCATACCGTGTAAGCAAGGTGCACACTAACATAAACAGTTCTTGATTGAGATCCTAAAAGTTTGCTCTGAGCCAAGCGGAGGTACGGGTACTGGTAATGGTGGTTGTGGCTAAGGTAGATTCTTTTCTGCATATCACAACATGTATTTAACTTTCCAAAAGTTCTATCTTCAGGCCGGCATGTTGAAAATGACCTCTTGCGCTGTCGTCTTTCGCTCCCACTACTTTAATACACCATTCCAGGAAGGAATCAAATCCTTGACTAGAATCATCTTCAAAGTAGCCCCAGTGACGTTTGATAAAGCCTTTGAGCTCGGCAAAGAATTCCTCAATTGGATTGAGATCCGGCGAGTACGGTGGCAGATATACCAGTTTGACACCAGCATCAGCACAGATCTGCGTAATCTTCTCAGAATGATGGAACGATGCGTTATCCATCACAATAACGGACTTAGGTTCCGGCCATCGTCCGCAATGCTGAAGAAGTTCAGCAATAAAGTCCTCGAACATCGCCGCATCGGTCGAGCCACGGAAGACACGTGAAAGGACTAAACCATCTTGAGAATACGCTGGCAGTATCTGGTATCGCTGATCGCGATGGAACCGGGACACTTGTACAGGAGCCTTGCCAAGAGGTGACCACCCTGTTCGTCTGAAACCCGCCCGTTTATCACACCCAGACTCGTCGACGAACACTAGGTGATACGAATGAAAGTCCGATATATTATGTAAATAGATCTCCCTTAGATCAGGATTTTGCTCCCTTGCTCTCCGCTGGGCCACCTTTTTAGACCAACCGTGGGCTACGAGAGCCCTTCGGATACTCGAGGTCGTTACCTGGGTCTCGAATTCATCCCACAGAAAGACAGCGATCTCGTCTAGATAGAGGGTTGGTTTTTCGATCAGATGGTCGCACAGTGCTTCGAGTATCCGGGGTGTTATAGTGCGTCTCCGACCGACTCGACTCGTGGGGGCGTGGACATTTCCAAAAAGCCGTAAGTTCCTGCGAATATTCTTGATCGTACGTTCGCTGCATTCAGCCTGCTCGGCTATTTCAGATGTGGTTAGCGACTGGCTCTGTATCATATCACGAATGAAACATAGCTTCGAATGGGGAAGCCTCGGCGCCATAATAGGTAGTTGGCGTTGTGCGATTTTTCAGACGACGAGTGAACGGTTATAAACGCAACAGTCTGGGAGGAGCAGACCTCTTGGAGGGGCATCGAGGTTGCACCCTATATGGTGATACCTGTAAATTACCGTATCTTACGTTATGTAAAAACAATAGTCTATTTCTGGCAAGCTAGGATCTGCAGCTAGTCCGAATATAGACTAGCGCAGCTTAGGATAGGGTTAGAGAATTATTTTCTGAATGGACGAAGGGGAATCTGATTTCGAATATGGCAGTAGTTGAATGAATCAGAGTGAAGGAAACCAAGGGTTCGATTGTATGGGTAAACTAATTGCTAAGGTTCTAATACCATGCGCGGTGTGTGTGTTATCCCCGCACCTGCTGCTTAGCGAGTACGTTGAGCCATAGAGACCGTCCCTTCGAGGGTTAGCCCGAGAGGGTCGTAACATGACCCATGCTCTATCAGCTAACGAAAAATACAGTCTCCTCTAGGCCCTATTGAACTAGGTCAGAATCAGCGTACCGATATAGTAGTATAAATGCCATCTAGTTAAGTACCTATAGTTATAAGCCTCTAGGGTCTCGGTGTAAGAACCTGGTCTGTTTTGGTCTAATTCTCGGAGGCTCTCGGAACTCACTTCGGAATCTGTTGTAGCGATGGCGAACTCTTTGCCAGTGCCCTTCCTTTCGTCTTTCCCGAAGGCCATACTGGTGACTAGTTTGGCAATTTTCTACGGCAAAAGCTCCCGTTATCTGACAGAAGACGACTCAAACAATACTCAGTTTGCTCGTGACATTCTGGGGAGAATCGATGCAGAGCTCAGAAGTATAATTGCTCTAAACACAATCATTGTGAGGTTCTGTAGCGGACCTCCAGCCTCCTCGGTCAGAAATATTTTTGAAGGCCTTGGGTGGACCGTCTTAATTGGCGGAATATAGATTGTTACGAAATGAAGATGCTCCTCAGAGTCGTGGCGAAGATGCATTTCTACGATCACGTGTGTAACAAATATGTCATATATATCGCCTTTCGCCAATGCCCAACAGGATCAGATCGTATTCGGAGCCTTGCGATTATCGTTCCTGGAGCTGGCGGAGGAGCTGGTTTTGTAAGCAGCGAAGCAAAGCCAGTCCCCACGTGTCCTTGTTTTACGGGGGATTGTTTTCTCTACATTGCCCAGAAGGTAATTGTTCATCCCACTATTCGCGCTGGTGGCCTTTTAATGACAAAAAAAGTATTCTATACATATCCATCTGCGTATCTTGGTGGTTAATTTGGTTAGAAAAGTTTAGCAGAGAAAGATTCGTTAAGAGAGACTATTAAGGAAAAATTGAGAGAGATTGGTAAATATTAGTATACAGACCATTGATGTTATAAAGTAGACGGGGTACCTAGAAGGCTAGCACCAATAGCGGGTTGGACAATTATCTTGTGGGCGCTGTAAATTGTTGTCAGGGGAAGACTCATTCGAAATTACTGTAGACGGGCTATCCAGCAGTTCGGATTCGAATTATTCCGTTGCTTGACTTGGACCCAGTCTATTGTAACGCCTTGTAGAGGGCGCTATGATTATTTTCCCTGGTAAGCTAGGTAACTTGCAGATTGGCTTGCAAATGGATGACAACACATACATGCACTAGCCCCAGCAGCAGAATAAGTCATGTCCAATCGCTTACCGATGTCTTGAGACATAGGGTAATGGGTGAGGCTTGCATATCGGCAAGCTCGCCTCAGGTTCGTCTACGAACATGATTTTCACGATATATACGCTGACATCCTACTACACACAAATAAGAGTCTCCTACGATGGCGCAGTTGACTCTTAAAGATGGGGGCTTTCGAGATAAATTACGTCGACGTCTAAGTCATTTTTGAGACAGATCTCGAGGTCCTTTGAACAACGGTGTCCACTCATAACGAAACACCCAAGCACAATCGCTTCCCACAATCAAGTCAGTCATATCATTCATTTGCTATTTGCTGCTAATGTGAAAGACGGCGTATTATCAATATCGCAAAATCAAACGACAGACGATGTATCTAACTCCATTGAAGACTGAATTTTAAGGAAAATCCACTGGTACTAAAAATGCAGTCCGATCTCGATCTGACCAGGTATCTCTCTAAGAGACTAGGGCTAGGCAGTCAAGTGAAATAAAGCCGACATTCCATTCCTCTCGACGCTCGTCCTTTATTGCTCAGTCCCCATAAGCCGTCTCAAAACCTCATCCACACCCCTGCTACGGGATAAAAGTAATTCTCCTGCAATTCTTGTCTCTTTGCACCGCTGCACTAGCTGTTTTTGGCAAGACCAACCCCGCACAGCAAGAATCCCTCATCGAGAAGGGCGTGATGGTCCAACAAACCAAGGTTCCCGGCCACAACAATGCCGTGCACGATATCGTGCCTAAAGAAGACCAGCTATATAGCATCGAGTCCCTCGAGATTGCCCCGACGCCCATTCTCGCGTAAGTTCCCCCTCTCCTTGGTGTGCAGTTTAATGATAACGTTTTGACATCCTGATGAAGCGACCGTGTCCTCTTCGTCCTCCTGAGCGGTTATCTTCCTGAATCCAAAAAAAAGGAGCTAGCACTCCCGGCCGAGGGCCTCGTCAATGCGACCCTTAAAGTAAGCGGCTCAGTCGTCTACGCGGATGGTAGTCACGACGACGAACGTTCCGTTACATTTCCGCTCAAGACTACGCCCTTCAATGCGCTAGCGCACCTTAGCATTCGCGATGCCCGTGGAGTTCAGGTCGACTACTTACCTAGCAGCAGCAGCAGTGACATCCTAGTGGATTTCCAGTTTCTTCCAATGTTTTTGAGGAGCGGTATGTGGACCTTCAAGGTCGACGCGAGACTCGGAGATGAAGATAATACGTGCCTGTTTGCTATGTCGTTGACACAGTGGTTAGAGGGGAGGCTTACGGAGTAACTAGTATATTTAATGTAATGACAAGCTCAATGACCCCGTTTCTCAAAGCGTTCTGTATTGTCCCATTGATGTTAAGAAGCCGCGTAGAGACCTTGGAGGAGAGCGCTCCTTTCCAATTAGGATCCTAAAAGACTTGCTCGAAAGCAGGCTCATGAGTCTACTACTACGTAGTTGGTGAGCAATCAGTGTTTCGCTAGCGGAGTCCTGTGCGTATATAGGGCCCCATACGATAACGCCGAAAACATTGTTTAGTGCAGCCAGAAGGTAAGGTAGACCCCGACAGAACAATAATGATACAGTCCCTGGCTTGCCCTGATACTATACTGCGTATAAAAGAAGACCCACGGCGGGGCGGTTCTAGAGATTTGAACCACGAACCGCCCCTCATAGACCCACAACCTATCCAACCTCAGAACCGCGCAGCCCCGCGGATCTTTGCGGTTCGGAAGCGGGTCGACCCTTATAGACCCGCGAATGCATAACTTTGCTAAGAGTTTCCTCTTTTGGACGCATAATTTGATGAATTATCTTTGTTATTTATTATTAAATATGGGTTTGGTCTAAATCCTTCTATCTATCCAAAATAACTTCTATTTCCAAATTAGATGAAATATAATTGTATATAGATTGTTTACTATAAAACTACCTACTCTCGCTTTTGACAGTGTATGTTGCCAGCATTGTTGCGAGATTTAATCCAACGTGTAGTTTATTCAATGTGCACGCTCGGAAATATATACTCAAGCCTAAGTGTATCACCACCATCTTCCATTAAATCTACTCGTTCTATACGTAAAACTCCGTTTAAGATCCAAACAAACCAAATTATATATTATCTTATAGCTTGCATTCTCTAATAATAGGTAGATCATAAAAATGTTATTGGAAACCGACTTGGGCAGCCCGGAAATTGCACGCGAGCTTTTAGTTTGTTTACAGTAGATCCTTTGGTAGCTGATACCCGAAATACAAAAAAAATACAGCTATTCCATAAGCCAACAGTCCAGAGCTCCCGAGGGCCACTGTTGTTGGTCTTAGCAGAGACTAGCGATCATACTAAGTGCCCTCGCTAAGGGCGAGAGGCTATTCTAATTCTCACTAGCTACATGGAGCTAAGGAGATGCCTTAGTCTGCTAGCGGACAAGCCTCAAGCGTGTGGCCAAGACTCCTGGCGACACTACCCCTATGATTTACACAGACGACTGGGTTGATTAGCTAAAAGCTCTAGAATAGATTGCTTCTAGCGGAGCCTCCATAATTTGTTTGATTAGAATACAGTTGATGTCAAGATTATGGAGTACTAAGTGTACGTGTTCATTACATAGACATTTCCTTTGTCGGATAGATTGCTAATTTAGGATGTATTTCACATATAGCTGTAGGTACCGACCTCGACACCAATCAGGTCCCTCGAGTACTCGAGTACACCGCTAGGAATCGGATAGCTTTCTTGCTCAACCAATTGAGTAATCAACGAATTCATCTGATCCCGTCGTTTCCTTATTTGCTATAGGATATACCTCCTTCATACAGTATCTCATTACTTCGATAAGTTTCTTTTAGAAGTCCTTTAGCAGCAGCTTCTCTCGAATGGCCGAGTGTTAACAAAATAAGAATATCAGACATACGCCATGGGGCTCATACGTATGGCCCGGAATTAGTGAAAGTGGGAGACTGGGCGATCCGGGTGAGAGTCCTCGCCCTATTCTCACCCGCTCTTACCCTGTTCTCACCCCGTTCTTAACTCTATCACCCTAGTCTCTAAACTTCTCACCCATATCATCCACACTCGCCCTAAGATCAAACCCTACGCCATTTTAGAGCTTAGGGCGCATTGAGAATTAGCTGCGTACTATAATGGGCTTAGGTACGGCTAAGCGGACAGGAAACCCTATTCTCCACACCCTATGGTCGTATGTGTTAGCCTTAACGTAAACATGACTTATATAGTGTTCTTAAAAATAGATTAATATTATAAGGCGGAATTAGAGGTAGATAGTTAAAGGGAGGGTAGTAGTATTACTTTATCAGTCCTCTCTAGCGGTATAAAGTATCTTTAAAGTGTATTAAGTTAGGCCGCGCTACCCCCTAGCTAGTCTTAGATACTAATACTACTACTTCTATCGAGTAATCTACCTATAATTAAGTATAGCTACTACGACAACGAGCCTAGTGTATAGGCTCGAGTTCACTCTAGAGTTAGGAACGGCTTAAGCTTAGTTACTTAATCTTAAAGCTTAAATTTCTCGTTTTAAGACTTTAAATACGTGCTATCAGCCTAAACAAAGATACTAGACTTTATCTTCTAGAGACCCTTAAGCTTCTATTACTCTAGTCGTAGGAGAGGTAAAGGGCCCCTAGACTAGGCGGCATCATCTAGCTAGAGACGTGGGTAACGCCTTTTTTATCTTAGGTGATGCCCTTCGGGATTACCTTAGTAAGTGATCTTAAAGATCCGTGGCTAGGCTCATAAGCCTATAGGTTACGAAGATCTGACCTCGAACTTCACGAAAATTACATGATCGATACCCATGGCTGTTCATATCCCTAAGTAGCAAATAAGATGTGCGCCCGATTGTGGAGATGTTGCACGACCAGAAAAAATATGAGCGAGTCAATAAAGGAGACCGATGAGTATCTCAAGATAGCCGAAGGAGAAGTCGAACTTTTGAGTGATTTGTTGGATGGCATAGAGCCTCACCTTTGAGGATTGTTTGGCCAAGCATAATTATGCTTCTGCGGGAGGCAGAATGGACATTTGTACCTAGTGGTGTTATGACGCATGTGTGCTACTTCAATTCACTCTTTCGATCAAACCCTTTCAAATCCCAGTTAACCTTCCGCAGAGCAGCGGTAGCGCCAGTCCTTGTCCTTGTGGACCTTTTCGTGTATCAGGATTAGTGTATTCTGGTAATCAGATCGTTCTCTTCTGTTGCCTTATGACTATTCGGAAATGAGCTTGAAGGGCACACAGGATACGCGCAATCAAATTCTGAACCGATATTGAAATCACTTCTCTGTGCTGTCTCTTTGCCCCATATTGAGCGTCTAAGGATGCCTCGGCCGTTTACTGGCTCGGTATCCAGTATTCGAAGACACCTCGAACTAAAATCGCGAAAATGATAAAAGAAGCGATAGAAGAAATTAAATACCTAGGTATAAGGCAGATAGAGAGCTGCTGGTATGGATATCAACCATAGTTAAGGCTTAGGCACCTACTTTCAAGAAGCTAGACTCTAGGCCGGACCTAAAACTTTCTTAAAATACTGTTAATATCTCGAAGATGATGTCTTTAAGTTTTGGTAAGTGGTTTTCCACCTTTATTCTCTACAAATCTATTATGGATTCACGAAGCTAAGAACTAATTAAGTCTGACTCTACTGACATGTCAGCTATTGGTGTAATTATAAAATTGATAAACCGACCTTCGGCACTTCTTAATGCTCGTTATAACCACTTAAGCTATAGAGACCACGTATATAGTCCCTTCGAGGGTCAGCCCGAGAGGGTCGTAATAATATATGTGGTAATTTCATCTACTTTATGAATAGATTCTGGGTATATGGAACTAGTAAATCGTTATGCACTGGCGCTTAATCTACTTTGAAAAGGACTATATGTCGTCCCGCATCGCATGCCGTACTTGTTTGATAACGAGCCACTAGTGTATTTTTCGGCGGCCCATGATACTGGGCGAGATTTATTAATCTCCATAATCAGTATAACTCTTGCCCGACTTATAGTGATCCAGTAGGAATGCATCTCGGCTTTTCTAAGAGCTCAGCTGCATCGACTCTACGAAGCACCTCCTCACGTCAAGAACAAGGTAGATATTCGGCCTCAAGGGGACTGGACAGAAATATAGGAATGACCCTTGCTCTTCTAGATCATTCTGCTTGGAAAATTCGAAGTAGATGATTTAGTATGATTCGTCAAAATGAAGCAAAGTATTGATCAGCAATGACAATTTCTAGCGATTATACAGCGTCCTGAAGCTTCATATTCTTATATCCACCGAGGTGCAGGGTCGGCGGTGCCGGAGTCGATACTAAATATGTATGTATGTTGCACTAGACGACGGTGGGTTTTATCTTCTAGGGCCGTTGTGTATAGTCTGATTACCTCTTCGTTTTCCTTGTCTGTAAGAAAATGAAAACCCCGACGCCTCGCGCAATAGTCGCACTCTATAGTATAGTGGCCTGCTACTCGCCGTCTTTCAGTAGCCTGCACACGTTTTTCGCAGCACCCACAGTCACTACCATAATACCCTCCGTTCCTAGCGTAGTCGTTAACGAGCTCGGGATAGAGATACCATTTTAGATTTAATCGCCACAGGAAAGCACCCTTCGGAAGTAAAGCTTCGTTACTATATATCTCCCTTTTAAGATACTAATATACCCTAGGCGCTATTTCTAATGCTTAGAGCCGGTTAGAAATATACCCCTCCGCTTACTGGATACTTACTCTCACTGCCCACGATCGATCTTGATCCTCTATATATTCCTTTAGCTATAGGCCCTCCCAGAAACGATGGTACTATTCTTCTGATTGTACCGACTACCGAAGAAGATATTCTAGGCGCATAATCTCCATGAAAAGCTCCTCAAGCTCACCATTTTTGAGACGCTCCTTCGTGATATAAAGACAGGAAGTATACAAGCGAAATGTTATAGTAAACGAAAGCTTCCATGCCGTATTAGCAGGGTATCCATCCAGTCACAAATTAGAATCAGAAGTGAGCGCCACATTCTGCGCAGCGAGGCGAAGAGTCTTAGAGGCAAAGTAGCACTTAAGCGCGTTTTAACGAGTACGTATAGTGCGATAGAAGGAAGTGGAGGAATTAGGACACAGAAGATATCGGGAAGTTGTCACAGATAGCAAATACTCTTGAGAGGGATATATAAAGAGGTTAGCCCGCCTCTAAAAAGAGTTCGGAATTTCTTTACATAGCAGGATGATTCCTGTTAAGGTAAAGTAATATTAGCCCAGGCTCAGGTCCATAACGGCTGGGTTGCATCACAGTCGTGACCAATTAGGAAAAGTACCAGGGGTATTGAATCATTTAGCCAACACCTTTAATTTGGTCCAATTTCCACATATCCTGGCTAAACTTTTGAGTCCAACGTTCCTCGCTTTGAAGATAGCCAGGCGTTCTGAGGCTTCATTTCTTCCTAATCAGGCTCGTCTCGAATACAGTACTGTATGCCTCCCCGTCTTCTTCTCTCCTCCTTCGTTGATTCTTTCTAAACTTCTTTCTTTGAACTAGGCTTAAACTTCCCCGGCCAGGGCTAGCAGGGGATTTCTTCATAGTTGATCGCTCTCCAATTAGTCAACACCATTCAAACTCTGGAGTTAAGGCTTCCCACTGGTAGAAGGCCTGAGCGCTTAGGCCACTGAGGGACCCTTACTGCGTACTCCGTATATACAGGCCGCCCCCCAGCCTCGGGGAACATGGTCATCATTGACTCTTCAATTTGGGACGAAGCAAACCCTGCGGTCAGCTGTGGAGAAGAGTGTGTCCTAGTGTTACCTCCCTACCCTCTACCTACTCCATCAGTTGTCACATTTGATGAGGGCTTTGAAACGGTACTCAATGTGGCATGGGAAACCCCATCAGTGACGACGCTTCCTGACGGAGAAGTTAAATCTACTAATGGCATAACACACATTCTCCAGACAACTACCATCACACTTCCCCATAGTCAGTCTCAAGATCCGATGGAGCTTCTTACCTTGGTCATAAAACGAAACTGACCTTCTGTTCTGCAGTGACTGTCGATGAACTCCACTTATGGCCGGTGACCGTGCCCACTCAGACCACGAAGACTACCATCTACGCGATGGTGCGGTTTCCTCCTCAAACCTTAGTCATTACAGATGATCCCAATCCTGTTTCGGAGACTGGCGGAACCCATTCTCCCGTCACCCGCAGCATAACCATCCCCCCTTACCCATGGAATACAGAATCAGCGAGCGACAGTCGGGTCAAGCCTGTCACCTACACCAGTGCTCCAGACAAGAAGAATGGACCGCCTTGTATCAATCGTGCAAAGTGTGATATTCCCTGCTTGCTGCCAATCTTTTGCCACGGTCCTTGCGTGAAGAATTGTGGCGGCGGAGGGTTTGCTGCTTTCAACGATCCCCATCCTTTGCCAAATCCCGAACCAGGGCCAGACGAAGATCCGGACGATGATGATGATGATGATGATGACTGTACCCAGACTGCCACCGTTACCGATGAATGGGTGTCTTGCAAGACTATTGACTCGACATCCACCTCATGCACCACCACAAGCTATCACGTCCACATCGGTTGCCGGGCGACTGCATCGGCCACAACCACTGGGGTAGATGCCTGCTATTCTGTGGACCCGTACGAGGATCAAGGGGAAGACGGTGGAGTACCTTCTGGCTATGTCACAACGACCGATGATCGTAGGATCACCACCACTACTCGTGAAGTGCCAAGCACTACTACTCAACGGCCGGAGCAGACACATACTGTTGATGGAGGTGTCCTGAAATGCATGTCAGACAACAATGACTACAAGCAGGGAGATCAAGATCATTTTGCCACTCTGGATCACTTCAACTCAGTTGCTCGCGATGTCTGCCGTCAAGAACAGGTTAACTTTGCATCGGATACCAATGGCAACTACGGCATGGATTACGGCCGACTCGACACCCCGACCAAGCCCCTCCTATTTTTCGATATCAGGAAAGTAGCCGGGAACAACTGTCCCCCCTTTCCCGACTTCTCTGCTCAGAATCATAACGAGGAAACTGAAATGTGCTTACAGAGATTCGCTACAATTATCAACTCGTGTAAGTGATCCTGTGAATGCAAATGGAACCACACTAACAGGGTGTTCAAGGCGATACGGCTGCCAATGGGCATGACTACTGGAAGCAAGGCGGCACTTTCACAAAAGTCTGTATGCAATGGTCCTTGACGCCATTGTCATGATGGCCTTGATTTTCCCAGTCAAGATAGCCGTCCATTTCACTTCCCACGATCAACTTCAATCGGTTGGCATCTTGAAAGTGAGCAGTGTGCTTCATGCTCACTTGGCTCATTCGCCTTGTGGTTTACGGATCCGGCCTTGGAGCCTTGGACAGAAACTGAATGATTTTGTAAATCTGATCAATGCGCATTTGAATTAAAATAACATGATAAACTGTATATTTATGATCGAAAAAATAAGGGCTCACACCCACCGTCTCATGAAGCAATGGTTTTCAACGCTGACGCTTTACCTGCGAGACCCAACGAGGAGAGCGACCTATGTAGCAATGAGGAAGCAAACTAGTTGCATAATGTCGGAGCAGTAGACCCTTTGGGAGCTGCTAGTGTCTAGCGAGAGCCACAACGGAGACGCTCGCTGCTCCTGATAATGAATTTCCTTGGCACGTATGGTTCGCCCTCTTACAGTACGGGTAGTGCACAAATACTGTAATACTCTGAGTTGCATTACCCCCAATTCTGGCAATTTGCAAGGGGCGGTAATTACATGCTTTGTAATAAAAGCCAACGACATGGAAACAATTGTGGATTTTTGGATTTTGGCCTCGACAATAAATATTGTACTCGGCCTCTTCGTTCGCAATTTCTTCCTCATTTTCTTTTGCCCTACCCATATTTTGCCCTACACATATTCAAAATGTCCATGAATTTGTCAATCGCGTCGAATATGGATCCCTTTGCAAAAATTCCGACCGAAATTATTCGGAAAATCCTCGAATTATGCCACGATTTTACCAGCTTAGACGGTCTTCAACAAATATCCCCCCGAGTGAAGGAAGCTTTTGAAGGCTCGTTTAAAAATATCACCGAGCAGGTCCTGAGGAACTGCTCCCTCACCTCGCACGGGCTTCATTACTATTTCACGCTCCTATCGTCCATTCGATCGACATCATTCACCCCACAAGCTCTGCTAGAAGAGCTCGCTAGCCCACCAGGGGATATTATGCGACCTATTTCGCTTTCCACTACCCACTCACTAGCTGCAGTGCAGCAGACTGTAAATACAGCAGCGAAGATCCATCTCACTGCCTGTGCTTGTCTTCAGCATCTCCTCAATCGTCTCAAGTCCGCAGAGCCCCATCGTCCTATGGCTTCTACTGCCACAGTTGTGGATTGGACGGTGGATAGAAGACATCCACCACCTAAAGCTGGCGAGATCATCCGATTCGATGTTGACCCACCATCATGGATCGAAACTTATCGGACGCATCGAGGCCTCTGGAAACTTGAGCTCTTCCAACAGATCCATCATGCTGCAACGAACCACTGGCTATGGTCGACGCACGATCTGAACTACTTCATCGAACAATACCTGGAATGGTGCCTGTGGCCGGGGGGGATAGAAGAGCCCCAGACGATTTCGGAGTGTGTGGTCGTTCTATGTTCCTCCGCACCAACAATACTCAGTCATCAGGCTCCATATCTAGTTGCCGTTCCATCACCAGCTGAGTTGACGGTACATACATGCTGGCCTCTGCCAAATGTTCAAGATACAGAAGTTGATTCGAAATGGGGTCGGAGTCCGAGATATGTGCAGAACAGAAACAGTGTGCTTAGTTCTTTCAATGCCCTTCGTGGCGGTGAAAAGGGCCGTGGTTATCACATTCTCTGGAAAGTGGATTTCAAAGCATTTCGACAACTTGGTATACCTCTTTGGGATATGTGGCGATTGTACCAAATGAGACTCATGCACCAGTCTCGCAGTGTGCTTTCACCGCGGGGCGACTTGGTTGGCGGATGGTCAGATATAACCGAATGGCCCCGTCCGATTGAAGCCTACGTATGGTTTAGTCTGGCAGAGGAGGGTGACATGATTGCAACGCCGAGAAAACAAGTCATGGAGCCCTGAAGTCTGAGTGGTATATTCATTCGACGTGATGGATTAACCAACAGCATATGAGCATAGTGTGAATCGAGGCCGTGACGAGAAGCATGTAATTCTAGATTGAGAGGCAAAAAGATACCGACTGATGCTGCAGAGAAGTTGAAGTACAATGGAGAGCAGATTGTCGGATCTTTTCTCACTCAAGAATATCACGTTATGATCTGGGAAGGCCTTGAGGTATCCTATGTGACCAATGGTCTTGCCTTAGTCCTTCTCCGTATACCTCGTGATGATCCAGGCACGCTGCTCTACTTCCTCTGCGAGCCAAATATGGAAATTCATGGGAATATTGATGAGCACTATCGATAACCCAGAACCGCCATTGCTCGGGTGCTATGTCTTTCTTTAATGAGCTCTCTTTCTACCATCCGAGACCAGGCTTGGCGGACGAAGGCAATGAATCAGCTGAATACCTGGGCGGCAAGCATTGACCTCGTACGGTCGAGAATATCCGTAAGTCGAGAAGGTCGTTGACAAATTCGGGCACGCTTTGGGCAACACTATTGTAGGCTATCTGAACAACCTCCTCCCGTAGATAATTCGAAATATTAATCCGCGCAAAGCGTGCTGCAACCTCTTTCAAAGTTCTGGTTGATGTAAGAGGTAAAGCGTATACTTCCGGAACGGATTCAATGAATTCGATGAGATCGCATAGGGACTGAAGCCTCCTCTGATACTTCTCAACATATAACGCGAGTAAGCTATTGACGATGTATTTGTTAGTTAAGACAAAAACTCGAGCATAGAGTTGAAGAGCAGAGCATAATAATAGCGGCTCCGTCTCGGAGGCCTATTCTCTGTCGCTATAGTTTCCGTGTGAAAGAAGCTAACTAGCTTTCCAACAATAATTTTTGAGTTATCTAAAAACTCATAGACGCCTAATAACGCCTCCTAGACGAATCAGAGCTCGTTATTAGTAGTGCTATAGTAAGGTACTAACCTTAAAGTTACTAGTATAGGCGGCATAAAGCACATCCGATTAAGAGTAAACTATAACTTTATATACGTTAATCCTTTCTCCCTTATAGATAAGGACTAGATTTATGAATTTACTAGGGTTTTAACACCTAATAATCTATAAGACTAAGTATATTAAAGCCTCTTAGCTAATAGTGAAACTTACATACAAACCGTGAAATAGCTTCTAAGACACCCTAAGATTATATAGAAATTCCTTCGTCTATTCTAAGAAATTCTCTTTCCGTTTAAAGTTATCAAAGTGGCTTTTAACGTAAGGATTTTATAGATTGTAGTATTGTCGTCGCTGTCACTAGAGCCGGGGAATATCTATAATCCCGATACCGATACTCGTGAATATGATGTCGGTTAGACGGTTTCGCCAGGCTCCGAGCTTAATGTGGGGGGAGAATCAAGTATCGCCCAGGAAAGATAGGCAGGAAGACGCGACTTTCAATGGGGGTGGCCCAGTCATGCGGGAATTCCGTTAGTTAATGTAACGTAATTCCCGGCTGATCTGGCCACCCGGCCGTCCTGTCCACCCGCGCTCATTAGAAAATTTTGAAATCGATTAACTCAACAAAAACCTATTAATTCAACTAGATATAGCGATTTTTACATGAAGTGATCCTGTGGCCAATTCCTCCACATCCACTACAGGTAGGCGGAGCTCTCCTGGCCGGTTGAATCGGCTGATTAGGCAGATCGACCTGTTCATGCGATACTACCTCATCAGCTTCTACTGGCTGAACTGACTGCTGAGCTAGCTGTATGCCCTCTTTGATCGATAGACCACCTTCGTGTGCGATCTGCCTAGTCGACCGAGTGCGCTTTTGACGTTTCTTCTCATTCGCTGCGCGTAGATCGGCGTTCTCCTAAGTCTGAAGGATATCTAGATCCAAAGCCCACATTTACGAGTAGTGGTACAGTACGTGATCTAGTACTGTACAACATCAATTGGACTATTTGTCTAGAGTCCAAGATCTGACAGCAAAATTAACAGTGGTCGCGCGACACAGGGTGAGTCTCACCTGTTCTCACCCACTTCTCACCCTGTCTATTGCGCACTCACCCTATCTCACCCCTAGTCGCGCGACCACAAAGCGGCGATCACCCATTTCCCCACCAAGCTAAACTACCTTATCTGCTAGGATTGGCAAATGGTGCGTGGCTTAAGTACGGCTGAGCGGACGGGAAGCCCTGTTCTCCACACCCTATGGTCGTATATGCTAAATTAGACTTGGAAGAGGTATGTGTAAGATGATTTCTTAGAAATACTGGATTCGAATAAATGGCATGATATTTCTCAAGTTCTATAGAATGTTGGATAAGGCATAGAGGACAGAGACACAAGCTTGTTGGGTTTTAGGGGAAAGTTAGACGGGATAGGTACGTAATGTAATAGGTAAATCTTGGTGCGAGGTTTGCGCAGTAACAGGTAGGCTAAGATATGTAATGACGCTTTCTATGGATGTCTATTCCAAAAGAATTGAGAAGCGTATTGACCATCTCTATTTAAATCTATTGTAATAATTTCCTACTACCCTACAAACTACTACCTTACACAATTTCCTAATCACACTGTTCTTACTTCCCCCTACCCTCTCTACATTTGCTTCCTTCCCCAAGCGCTATAATCTGCTTCATTTACGAAGGATTACATTCAATCCACTGCTGGATCTTTTCCTGTGGTAATTCTTCCCAAGCTGCCTGCCATACTGTAAACGCTTCCTGCCGCGTCTTCGCTGCTCCTTTGAGTGTTGTTATTCTCCTCATCCAAGGCCATACAGGCTCAATCGCGTTGAGATCTCGCGAGTTAGGACACCAGAGTAAATGAAACCACAAATTTGCACATTCAGGCGGAAATTTTGGAAATGTGGAAGAGAAACGAGAAGGAAGCGAGGAGCTGGTTTGACGACACAAATGGTGTCAGGAAAATGGTGGTCGGCATCGTATCTAATTAAATGGTACCTCTAAAGTCTCCGAGGATATGGTACAATACAGTATTGGGTAGTGGGATTACGAGTACCTCTGCCGGTTAGACAAGTCAAATTATGTTTGGAAAGGCCTCTCGAAGTACAGGAAGACTAAGGCGTGGAAAAACTTTAGACACCATAATTGTGCTGTCCCTGAGCGGGGATTTTTGCAAGCATCCACGTAGATTACTTGGATACATCTAAGATGCAGTGAATATGACACAATATACAGGCGGCCTTTTCCGTTGTTTATTACAAAGCCAACATCTAAGTCGCAGTGTATGGATCTCTAATTTCTATTTAAACTGTCGCGCTGCTGCCATTTCAAATCATGGACATCTTAACCAAGGGTCAGATAACAACTCTTTCGCAGTGAATCGATCTTCTGGTCGCTATTGCAGTATTTTCCGTATAAAACGGAGAAAACTCTCTTGCCGTTCCCCCTCTAAGTTACCTTCAATGCTCTCTAAAGACATAGGACAAATTTCAACAAGACCCTTCCATTTCCCTATTCTCGAGGGGTCAGAATCACAGACTGAGAATAAACAGACGAGAGCGTGGCTAGCTTATCACTACTATCAAAAACTTATGAGCCTTTTCATATTTCTTAAGTATCTCACGTGGCGGTAGCCCTAGATACGCAATCATTTCAGTAAGATGATGACCATCCGAGTCTTGTTTGTTTGCATCCCGGGCGTAGAAAAGATGGCCTTGCTCGAATAGGTCCTACGCCTACATATAAAGAATGTTTAGTAGAAAAAATGAATAGACGTGTAATGCTTTTAAACGTACTAGTACTATAAGGTTTTAAATGTCTATCTTTTCATTCTAGGATATGCGAAGTAATACCTCCGGAGCCCGGTACTTAAATGGCTGTATATCATCGTAATATGTCCCTGACTCTCACCCGAAGCGAGCCTCGCCGAAATCTGAGAGCACTGGACGTCTATGTTTCGAATACCTAAATTTCGAGACTGGTAGATTGCTCGATCGCCGACCACTTTACGTGGACTTGGGTTTGATATCTCGGCCTCCTTAAAATCAACGAGAATCGACTCATCTTTAATGTTGAGTATGATGTTCTTTTTTTGTAACTATGTCTTTTGTTATATGTTAGCAGAGATCGGTTGGAAACATACTGAGGGCGCTAACTAGTGTGGACCACTTGCGCGTCGGTATGTAGGAAATCTAATGTAAGAAGGATATAGATGAGGGTGGGTTTAAGTAGGTTTTTAGGTAAAACCTTTCGTGGGTACCGATTTCGAAGTTCGTAGAGACTCATGCCTAATAGTGGGTGAACGAGATATTTGTAAAAGGGGGAGCTCGGTTAAACTAAGCTAGAACTTATCTAATACGGTTCGCACGAGGATAGTACCGGTATGACGAGATTTAAGACTTTTAAGGTGTTCGTAAACCTTAATTTCTCGTGTAGCATAAGCAGAGTCACGTTCGCATAGTTTTAAAGTGGCGTAGACGTCCTCTCTATACCTATTAATACTTATTAGTTCCCGTCTCCCCACGATTTACAATCATAAAAGGGCCTTACTCTAAGTTTCTGCAGAGCCAAACGGTTGAATAACCGCCATAGCCTAATTTTCCGACCACTTAAAACTTTGAATAAAAGACGTCACCAATCTTTACAGGAAAGAAGTTGTCTTTGGAATACCATGCTAGTTTTTCCACCTCGAATTTGTCCGTCGAGTTGAGAACAGGGCCGGGTGGAAACTGTCGAGCTGGCGATGGGAGCCGCCGTGAAAAAGGATCCCTAAGGATTCTAAGCAGACGAGCCACACCCTTCATTGCATAGGATTCTAGTATGTCGAGATACAGTACAAAATTTCTTACGTTGCGTTGGAAAGGTTTAGTTTGATATGACAACCCTACGCGTGGTTAATGGTTAGTTAAACACAGGGTTGCTGGGGTGACTAAGCCTTTTTATGGTTGAATCGGGGTGCCCGTGAACGCTATTCGTTGCTGGTTCTTGTGCCTAGGAAAGTAACTGGAAGGAGACGGCAGTATTCTAATACACCGTGTTCGGTATATGTCGCTTCAGTACTTCTTTTACTTCTTTTTGCGTGATAATCCAAGAAATTTGTCGCTGGCGAATTACAACCATGTCCATTCTCCCATCGGTCAATCGCGACATTCTTCCGTATTTCTTGTTATATCCATATGTGAGATCTCTTCTCTGAGATATCATCCAGGCGATATTTTTCAGAAGACCCTGCTAAGTACAACCGTAGCGGGATTGGTTCTCGAACGTATACATATCTATCGTTGTAAGCCGTAATTATCTGTACAATATATACAATATCCTTCCAGGCTTCCGGGCACCCTATATCTACAATCTCAAAATATTCCCATCCCGATCAATGCCACCCCGGAAATGATCCGTCACAACCCTGCCCCCAAGCACAGTCTCCTCCACAATACCCTGCACGTGCTTCGGTTCAACACGCCCATACCAAATCCCCATACCCGCCAATGGATGCACCGTGCCCGTCGACGAAGTCATCTTCGGCGGAATATACACGATCACATTCCCCGCATACTTATGTCCGCCCACATGGCTTATCAATCCCACATTTGCATGTCCCAGCCCATCCAACCGCCCACCCTCACAACCGACAGAATCAAACCCAACCGTGCGCAGGACGCGGTGGAATTCGGCTTCGAGGGCTGGCGCCATCAAGCCACAGCGCATGTCCCGGCCGCCGTGGCCGCAGATGAGGATTGTCGGGGAGTGGTCTATGTCGAGCGTGTCTGGGAAGTGGGAGGCTAGTTCGGGGGCACGGGTCATGGCTTTTTGTTTGGTGTGTGGGAGGAGATGGTGCATGTTGTGGAGGTGTTTTGGGAGGAGGAATGCGCGGATGAAGGTTTCCAGGCTGGTGGCGGAGGTTGGGATTGTGGGGATGTATTTGAAGGATGGGAAGAGGATGGCTGAGGCGGTTGAGGGGTTTGCCGTTGCGGATTTGATGGAGGAGTTTGTGACGAGGATGTTGTTGAAGGGCTGTAGGTAGAACGAGTGGAAGTTAGCAGTTGGCCCAGTATAGCTAGTTTAGAATCTTTGATGACGCGGTCACATACATCGAGATATGGCCCTCGACGACCCATTAACCGCTTCAGTCCCCGCACAAGACTACCCCAGCCCTGATGTTCCCCGTCATCCTCGATTCGACTGGTCCAGTCCCGCTGTCCGGTGCAGACTACGAGCTGCTGTGCATACGCCGCCATCGTTCCGTTCAATGCGTGCTCGTGGTCCAGAGGCAGGCCCTCGGGCATCGCTGGTGTCGGCGGACAGTTGCAGCTCGGTTCGGGACAGGTCTTGGTCACTGGAAATGGGGGAGGAATTTCGAGGCGCGTACGGAGTCGACTGGTGCGGCATTGTGTCGTGGAAAGAGGTCTTGTGAACCCGGTGCCGATGCTGTGGTGGTTCTGTCCACGCAAGTCGCGGGCGAGCGACTGCGCGATGGCTATTGGACGCGCTCTCATGGCCTCGAGTGGCTGTACCGTAGAGATTGGGCTGGAGTTTTGCAACGAGTGTGCTAGGGTGGAATCCGTGCCAGAAACGGCGGCGCGATAGAATTATTAATTAGGCAGGCGCTATTGGGGAACTGTTGTAAATCCGAGAACGCGCTCGGAGCGGAGATTAGCGGGATCTTCAAATTGCAGCGTCCCCAAGGTCCGGAGCTGAGAACCCGCTGTAGGGGGAGTCACGGCCACTCCTTTAACAACCCTCATCATGGTTATGGGGCATATGAATTGAAAGCTTGGAATGGAAATAGTTCGAAATCAATTCTCTCGTCTTTCTAACTTCGGAAATAGATTAAACAGCGCTGTTTGAGTCGCATAGCATCCACGCGACTTGTACTTGTCGCAGCGTTGGATTCGTTGCAGACAGCCAGCCAGTCATGGAAGAGCGGTTGGAAGATCAGTTATATCAACTCGAACGCTCCAGAGAGGATCAATTTGCCAGATGATCGGTTGGTCTCCCCTCACGAGGCTTTCTCTCCAACAAGCTAACGTACGCAAGAGCTATTCTGGAACCGCCCGCACGAAGCGGAGGGGCCTCCGATCCGCGGAGATCACGTACTCCAACATCGTCAGCCTTCTTCGAAATAGACTACAGGATCGCATGTCCAAATTCAGTATCAAGGATCTTGGGGTAGCCAACTGCTACCGGCCAAGATCACCCCGCGTCGTCTAGTCTCCAGCACAGTAGTCCAAAGACAATCCTATTCCATAGTCTAACCAATTCTAATAATAACAAGCATTTGGGTGAGCACCGCCGAGCGATTCCCGCGTTTCTGCCGAAACTCGGCCAACGGACCGGTTCTCCAACTCATCGGACCCGCTCTCTCTTGTGCTCTGCTGGCTGAGCGACTCCTCTGGTCCGGCTGTCCTTTTCTCCGGTGAGGAGGTTTTTGGAGATTCATTCTCCCTCAGAATTGGTATCCACCACGGCCACCACTACGGGACTGTGTGCCTGTTCCCGTCAGTCCCGTCACAGAGGTGGAACTCTAGGAAGAGCTCGCTCCAACTGGAGACTTGACCCGATTTAGACGCGGGTGCGGCGAGCTGTGCTGTTCTGGTCAAATCATTAGGGCTCGGCCCCACAAGGAAAATTCTCGCCTAACATTACCTTCTCCTTTCTTGTCCCGTCGACTTTCGACTTTTGTTCTCTTCTTTTCCATCCGTTGTGCTCACATCATGGGGTTTCTGCATGGCCATGGTGATTTAATGTGGTCGCTATGGCTATGCGCCCGTGTTTGACACCGCGATGATTTCCTTCGTTCTCGGCTTTCGTTGAGACGAAGGGTTATTACCGCGAGGATGTGGATTTGACAAAGCCGAAGGTCTTCGAAGGGGGTTCTTCGCTCAGGGATTCTACTCGAGGACTTCGCATTCGTCGGACTCGTTCTGGGTGCGACAAATTGCCCTCGGTCGGTCGATGCCGTGTTGGCCAACAAAGACAGGGCGTCATCGACATGGGAGGAGATGTACGTGCACAATTGATCGGAGTCAATTGACACGCAAAATGGGTCGTCGGATCATGTAAATTGCGCCGACGACTCTGCGATCATTGCTGTAAGTTGGTCCCTCGATATTTATTTCGTTATTTTTCCCCTTGCACCCACACTTCTGCCCGGCCAGATCCGCTCCCCTCGCGGTCGGCCAATTGATCACATGATGAAATATATTCGGATGTAAACTCACAGACCTGTTCGGAATGCGCAAAACCGTGTCGATATTTTCCGTTGCCTTCCTTCTGATTGATCAATCTTCCCAATTTACTTTGCTTTGCTGCATGTCTTGTCTTTTTTGTGACAACTCTCTGACTCGGCAATTTAGGATTGTTATTGAATGTTGTCCTGGCTCTGAGATGGAGTTGTGTTCGGCCTTGGGTCTTCGTTCTATATGCTCTTCGCTTCTCAGGACGATCTCTTGGGTTGGAGTCGACCATATCCGATCGCGATCGCTGTGTATCGGGGGTTGGTAGTGTGTAGCTTTTCATAGAATCGGTAACATTGATTTGTAGCCGCATGAAGTATCAATAGTTGAATTGAGAAATATTCGCAATGCATCTGTTCAAATCGCTCAAGTAGTAAGACCCGATAACCTAAGAAAACAGTACTTTGTACTGGAAATCATTAGCTCGTGGTTCCATGACCTGACCCGGTTTGGGCAGAGGAAGAAGAAGTGTAGGTACCATGTCTGCCTCCACCAAAGAGGCATTACCAACGCGGTGTCCATTTCTCATGATGCCTCTGATCGTCAACCTCAACAATTCCAACGAGCCGTCCTATGCGCTCGGAATTGATTCGGACCACCTACATCCATTGACCCATGTGCGAGCCGCCGCAAGGCGACACCTTTTTTCTTGTTTGCGGGGACCTCTCTTGCCATTTACCCCTCATTATGTCAGCTCCCCGCTGCGGAGAGCTATCCCAAAGGGGAAAAATAGCCCAACTTACTCCAGTAGAAGGTTACGCTTGGACGCGTTGCTGGGCTGATGGGCTGGCGGGGAAGACGGGGGATGTACATGCATGTACCGCATTGATGAAACGGACGATCATAGGAGTGTATCACTATCCTACGGAGTAGTAGCTGAATAGATAGCGCAGGCTACGATTCAATTGCCGACAAGGTGCGATGATCGAATGGTGGCCTCAGGCCAGACAGGCCAGATATTGGGAATTTCCCCGCACGAGCTCATTACTATCACCATCACCATCAATGAACTATCACTCAACATCCGACCATCCGATGGAGATCGATAATCAACTTCTAGAGAACGCCCGGCCGGGAAGCCGGTCCCTCCGAGTACCCAGGCTTCTGCATGGATCCTGGATCCCCCCCAGCTCTCGGGCTGCACGAACACGAGCCGCCCACGAAGGTTCTCCTCCCCTCTTTGGTTGTCCCTCATGCGGAGAGACCAAAGGACCACCACCATGAGTGGTGCAATCCCCATCCGTCCTCCGACCCGATTACGGTGGATCCCCCTTCCCACTCCCTCTTGCAGACGATTCCAGGATCTGAGGGGTGTACAACTCGTTTTGGGTTCTGTCGCTCTCCAATCCCACTCACTTTCTGTCTTGGAGTGTTGGCCAGCTGGTTCAAAGAGGGGGCTTTGAGAGGGGCTTTTCTCCCACCCTGTTTTTTGTCTATATATTCGGCTCCTCTGGCCAGCCAAGCGGTGTTTTTTTTTCTCTTTTCATCATTCCAACCTTCTACCCTTTTTTTACCCCTTGAAATTTATCCGTCTTAGGTATGGTTAATCCCAAAACTCCCTAAAAGCTTGCTTCATACCTCCCCCCCAAGCCTCGAAGGGCCTGCAGGTTCCCCACTCTTTCCTTCCCCCCGCTTCCCAGTGTTTTAGCCGCCACTTCTCCAACGCCGCTTTAGGAGCATCTGATTTCATAGACCGAGTGCGACCGGTCGAGATGCAGTTACTTATATAAAGGATGTCCTGCTAACCTGGTTTCCTCTTTTTTTAACAGCTTCGTGCTTTGATCAATTCCCCCTCTATATCGCATTTTTAACTTTCATTTGAAACATCCTCCAAAATGGTATTTATCCGCTCCCTTTCCCGTCAACTGCGACGGCCTGCCACTCAGTTCATCTCTGCCGGCTCCAAATCTGCGCTTGCCACCAGCTCCTTTACGCGAGCTCCAGTGTCGGGTGCCTTTTCTCATGCACGTACGCTAACCGCATCTGCCAACCTCCAGGGCAAGGTTCTTCTCGTTCTGTACGACGTAAGTTGATTCACCATCACGATTGACATACTTCATACTCACAGTCTGTTAGGGTGGTGAGCACGCCAAGCAGCAGCCCCGTCTCCTCGGTACTACTGAGAACGAGCTCGGCATCCGCAAGTGGCTCGAGGACGCTGGCCACACTCTGGTCACCACCTCCGACAAGGAGGGTGAGAACTCTACCTTTGACAAGGAGCTCGTTGACGCCGAGGTTATTATTACCACTCCGTAAGTGAAACCGTCTATCTGAATTGACTTTGATTGGAACCCCAGTCCGCTAACAAACCGGCAGCTTCCACCCCGGTTACCTCACTGCCGAGCGCCTGGCCAAGGCCAAGAAGCTCAAGCTCGCCGTCACCGCTGGTATCGGCTCTGACCACGTCGACCTGAATGCCGCCAACAAGACCAACGGTGGTATCACCGTCGCCGAGGTTACCGGCTCCAACGTCGTCTCCGTCGCCGAGCACGTCGTCATGACCATCCTCCTCCTGGTTCGCAACTTCGTCCCCGCCCACGACCAGATCCGCAACGGCGAGTGGGACGTCGCCGCCGTCGCCAAGAACGAGTTCGACCTCGAGGGCAAGGTCGTCGGTACCGTCGCCGTCGGCCGTATCGGTGAGCGTGTCCTGCGCCGCCTGAAGCCCTTCGACTGCAAGGAGCTCCTCTACTACGACTACCAGCCCCTGGCTCCCGAGGTCGAGAAGGAGATTGGCTGCCGTCGCGTCGACTCCCTTGAGGAGATGCTCGCCCAGTGCGACGTCGTCACTATTAACTGCCCCCTGCACGAGAAGACCCGTGGTCTCTTCAACAAGGACCTCATCTCCAAGATGAAGCCCGGTGCTTGGCTCGTTAACACCGCCCGTGGCGCTATCGTCGTCAAGGAGGACGTCGCCGAGGCTCTGAAGTCGGGCCACCTCCGCGGATACGGTGGTGACGTCTGGTTCCCCCAGCCCGCCCCCAAGGACCACCCTCTCCGCTACGCCGAGTACCCCTGGGGCGGTGGTAACGCCATGGTCCCCCACATGTCCGGTACCTCTATCGATGCCCAGGTCCGCTACGCCGAGGGTACCAAGAACATCTTGGACTCTTACTTCTCCGGCCGTGAGGACTACCGCCCTGAGGATCTGATTGTCCACAAGGGTGACTACGCCACCAAGGCCTATGGCCAGCGTAAGTAAATTATGGAAATAAAAAGGAAATAATTTGACTGCGAGAGTGGAGGGCACAATAAGGCTTTGGTTCCCTTTTTTTCATTTGTTTATATTTCACTTTTCAATGAGTCCCGGATTCCTCGGCTGGAGGATGGGAAGAGCTATGTTGTGAAAATATAGCAGCTACGATACCAATGACATGACTTATTCATACCATACATATTCCTGATTTTTGTTTTCCGGTCTCTTGTATTTGTTTTGTTTGCTTTCCTTGTTTTAGAGAAAGTTAATCGGCTCCGCTGCTTCTAGAGCTTCGATTGTGGGGCGTCGATCGGGACGGGTTTGTAGATCAGGTCACGATAAGGCGAATATCTGTGGATGCCAGCTCTTGTAACAATCAGGCGAGGATGTACTCTTCCTGCCATCATCTAATTTGCAAATGTCTATTCTTGAAATGTACAGCCCTGCTTTCGGTATCATGTATAACATACTTTAGTTCAATGTCTATCTAAAAATGCAGGAATAGCTCATAACGCAGATTTAGTCTTCCGACGTACTCGAAACATATCAGAAAAAAGAAGAAAAGAACTTGATTTCAGGGCATCCAAACCCTGAAACCTTCTTATGCGAGTATAAGCGCTGAACACAAAAACGCCGCCCATGACAGTAACCCATAAACGACAGACACACTCAACAACATCAAACGTCAGAGGTCAAGACCAACATCTCAACGCCTCGTCCCCAGAACCCCCCTGACTTCCCTCTCCTCCTCATCACTCTCGTCCATAAACCCTTCCTCCAACTCCCGACTGAGCCTCGACTCCGTCTCCGGGGCCGAACTCCGCCTCCGCTCCAACGCCTCCCTCCTTCTTGGATCCATATTCATACCGACCATCAACTCCCCCTCCTCCTCATCGATACTGATATTATCATTATCGGCGTCATCGATGTGTGCGTTTCTTCGCCAGGATGATGGTAGGAAGAAGCGCATGATGGAGTCTGCTATGCGGTCGCGGAGGGAGACGGTGTGCGCGGAGAGTGTGTGGAGGGGGAGGTATTGGGAGTAGCGTTGGTGGTAGCGTCGGAAGGAGGGGATGATGAGGAATGAGAAGAGGAGATAGACTGTTAGGGCGATGGAGGCGGGGATTAGGATTGTCTGGTTGCTGTTAGTCGGTGTGTAAAGAAGAGGATTTGGTAAAGGAAAGGGTAAGGGGGTTGGTTAGGCGGACCTTGGCGAAATTCAGTGAGGAGCCCATGTTGATAGGGAGGGTGTTGGAGGATTTATCCTCTGGCGGAGAGAATGTGTGGTCAAAATCGTGTCGAGTCCGCTTGTCTGTGTTGAGGTGGATCGTGAGTTCGGTTTATAGTCGGGTTGTTCGGCAACGGGGCGTGTAGATTGGTGCCTTGAACCTTCGGAGTCGGGAGTGATCTCTGCCCCTGACGGGATCAAGGGGACCGGCGCCGGAAGTGAAAGGGACAGGATCCTTCTTTTTTTCGGTTGTACTTTTTGGCAAGATCGGACCAGCGACACTTTCTGACTTCCCCCACACATCTGTCAAATCAATCAAGAAGAAACAAAGTATGGTTTCCCCACGGGACCTGGCCGATCTTCAAAGATAGCACATCACATGACCCTCTCCAGTGGCGCTCCTATCAGTATCACGTGCTCCGGTCGGGGAGTTTCTCCGGGACAGTTTGGCAGCCCCCTAATCAGGCACCTTGGGATTCCAAACGCCCGTGCTCTGATCGACCCTGGCGTCAGGACTCGCCGGGACTTGCATATTGCACCTATTTTCCGATCGTTTCATATTTTCCATTATTTGATTTTTGACTTGTCGTTCATTTCTTTGTGCGGTAAGTCTCACTATCCCATGTGTTTTTGGCGCGGCCCGCCTGCTTCCAACACCCCTCCCCAGCGCGCGGCGGCTCCGCCGTAGCAACAAAAGCGGGTATACTAAACCAACTTAGCCAGGGAGGGACAAAAACAGACTTTTGACAAATCCGTGAATGTCAACGCTTCTCACACCTAGATCCATAGTGATCGACCCCACTACCGTCCTGTGAATCGGAACCTTCGTGACTTTCTCTCCTCTACCCATCTCTGACTACGCGACGGAGGACTGTTAGCTTCTTTATGCTGCACCCTGCCAGCTCAGCCAGAGAGAGTGTGAGAAGAGAAGAGCGAGTGAGAGGAGAGTGAAACTCGCGCCAAAATGCCCACCGGCCCGCCCGCCGACAAGTCCAGGCAAACGTCCTCTGGAAAGTCCTTCTTTGGGAGGAAGCTGTACAAAGACAGGCCCGCTGATGAGCGCTCGGATGGGTATGGGGGTTCCTTCGACAGCCTGGCGCCGCCCGCCAGTGTAGCCGGTTCTCGCTCGTCCCGGTACTCCAAGCGCTCCTCGATTCAATCGGTCGACATGACTGCAGACATCGACCCTGCCGGCCTCGCTCCCATGTCCGGTGTCATCACCTCCATTCCCTACGACAGCATGCCGTCCGACACGAGAACACCTATCCCGATCGACAGCATGTCCCGCCCCGACTCCTCCCGCCTTGAACCCTCACCCAACAACCTTGGCAAGTCTGGTGGTGACTTCCTCCAATATCCTACATGGACTTCTACCTCTGCGCCAAACGGATACACCTCACATCCCTCCGGTCCCCGCCCGCCTCCTCACACCTCGGGCATGACCATGACCAGCAGCACCTCCGGAGACCGAGGCGCACGATACCAACAATGGGGTCGCCCTGGCAGCTCTGCTGCAAATCACTCGATAGACTCCTCGTCCAATTCTCGTACATCGCTCGATCAGACCAGTCTATATTCCTCCCATTCTTCCAACACCCGTGGCTCGAATTACTACTCCGCCGACGGCTCCTCCCGAACCCTCACACCCTCCCACTCGAGTGAACGCAATACCATGTTTCCCAGCAGCAGTTCCGGACGTCTTTCAAATGCGGCAGCCTCACAGCAGCCCATACCCGCCGCAGTGCCGCGCCCACCGGATACCTACCTGACCCGGCCACGGGATGACCGAGTTGTGGATCAGTTGTTCTTGGAGTTGATGCAGAAGCGTGGATGGCAGAATCTTCCTGAGCAGGCCAAGCGGCAGATGCTGGCCTATCCGGCTTCGAAGAAGTGGACTTTGGTCCACCAGGATCGGCTGACGGAGTTGCAAGGGGAGCAGAAACGACGACAGAATGCCCGCCAGACTCATGGGCATGATGGACTCTCCGGCCTGCTGGAGCGGGCTGACGAGGAAGGGAGCCCGGAGTGGTATGTGAAGAAAGTCATGGATGATACGATTACTTCCAAGCAACTTGCGAGTCTCAGCGTTAGTCTGCGGACGCAGCCAATTAGGTATGTTGGGGTGATATTTGCTCTTATCTCTTTTCGTGCTACGCCATACTGACTTTGAATATAGTTGGGTCAAAGCCTTCGTTGAAGCCCAGGGTCAAGTTGCCCTCACAAATGTCCTTCAAAAGATTAATCGGCGCAAAGCCTCTGGTCCCGTTCCTGCTGCGCCATCGGGTGATAAGGACCTTGATCGTGAATATGACATCGCCAAGTGTTTGAAGGGTCTCATGAACAACAAATATGGCGCGGACGATGCTCTGGAACATCAAGGTGTTCTTGTCGCCCTTGTCAATTCACTTTCCTCCCCTCGACTCAATACCCGGAAACTGGTCAGTGAGGTGCTCACCTTCCTGTGCCACTGGGCCGAGGGCCAAGGCCACCAAAAGGTCCTCCAGGCTATGGACAAAGTCAAACATGACCATAATGAGACCGGTCGTTTCGATGCATGGATGCGTATCACCGAGGTCACCATTGATGGCCGCGGCAAGATGGGCAGCTTGGTCGGTGCTAGCGAGGAGTACCGCAGCGGTGGCATTGGAATGGAGAACCTGCTCATGGAGTATGCCGTCTCGACAATGATTTTGATCAACATGCTTGTCGATGGTGCGGAGAACGACCTCCAGTTGCGATGCCATATCCGCGCGCAATTCATCTCATGTGGCGTGAAGCGATTGCTCACGAAGATGGAAGGCTTCCAGTATGAGATGATTGACAAGCAGATCGAACGCTTCCGGGAAAACGAGGCTATCGATTATGAGGATCTACTTCAACGCGAGGGCAGTAGTATGAAGGATAGTGTCGAGGGCGAGGTCAAGGATATGACTGATCCCCTTCAAATCGCCGATGCTATTGCCATGAAAATCCAGGGTACCCGTTCGCATGACTATTTCCTCTCGGCTATGCAGCATATGCTGCTGATCAGGGAAAATGCTGGCGAAGAGGGCCTTCGTATGTTCCAGCTAGTTGATGCTATGATGAGCTACGTTGCTATGGATCGGAGATTGCCCGATCTAGATCTTCGCCAGGGCTTGAACTTTACCGTGCAGAGCCTTTTGGATCGTCTGCATACCGATGCCGAGGCTAGGCGAGTGTACGATGAAGCTCTGGAGGCTCGCCAGATTGCCGAGGCTGCCATTGCGGAGCGCGATGAGATGAAAGCCCAGGTGGAGCTTGGTGCTGAGGGTCTAGTCAAGAAATTACAGAAGCAGATCGAGGAGCAGGCCGGTATCATCGAGCTCCAGGGTCGCCAGACCGAAGCACTCAAGGCCGAGGTCTCTGAAGTCCAACGATTGCGTGCCCAGGAGTTGCAGCGCAATGAATTGGAGACCCGTGAGCTATATCTTATGCTTCGTGACGCACAGGATATTGCTGCTTCGAATGCTAGGAAGCAGGCTAATGCATCAGAGGCTGGACCTGCGGATCCATCTCAATTGCCGGGCATTATGGATCGCGAGCGTCTTATGGAACGTCTCGAGCGCCAGCTTGAGCGGACTAAGACTCAGTTCAAGCTGGAGGGCAAGGTCTGGGGTCAACATGACCCGTCTGACCGTTTGCGCGAATTGCGTGAGCAGATGGAAGGTGACGCCGACTCTAGCGAAGAGTTCGCCGAGTCTACTCGCCGTAACTTGGACCCTGGTTCTCTGGGATCTGTCTACCGCAAGCGCAGCCATGTTCCGGATATGGATCAGGGCCCTGATGGCCTGCCCATGTCCCCTGTCGACGAGGATGAAGAGGCTGTGTACGAGAAGCCTCGCTTGGTTGAGTACCAGCGTCCTCGCATGAACCCTGCCCAGGCAACTGGCTTGCTTGGTGAACTTGCTTCCAAGGTGCCCAAGTATGATGATGATTCTGATGCTGGTATTGCCGCCGCCGCTAGTGTTGCCGCGGATGGGTCTACCAAGGCTGAGGATGTTGGTGATGCTGCTCCTGCGCAGGTGCGCGAGCCCGAAACCAAGGCCGAAGTAGATCAAAAAGCTATGCCTCCACCTCCCCCACCCCCTCCTCCACCAGGTGGTGCCAAGGCTATCGTTCCTCCCCCTCCTCCTCCAGGCGGCAAACTCGCTGTGCCTCCTCCTCCACCCCCGCCTGGTGGCGCCAAGGGTATCCCTGGTCCTCCACCACCGCCTCCCCCTCCCGGTGGAAAGGTTGGCATTCCCCCTCCGCCACCTCCCCCTCCCGGTGGTATTGGCATTCCACCTCCGCCACCTCCACCTGGTGGGGGTATTGGGCTTCCGCCCCCGCCTCCTCCTCCTATTCCTGGAGCAACTGGTGGCTTTGCTCCTCCCCCTCCTCCGCCTCCCAGTGCTCCCTTGGGCGCTGGATGGAGACCTACGTATATGGTTCAAGACGATGTATCCTCTTCAATTACTGGCATGCCTTCTATCCGGCCTAAGAAGAAGCTCAAGGCCCTGCATTGGGACAAGGTTGATACTCCACAGGTAACTGTCTGGGCTGCTCACGCACCGACTCAACAAGAGAAGGAACAGAAGTATACCGACCTAGCCAAGAAGGGTGTTCTTGATGAAGTCGAGCGTCTTTTCATGGCCAAGGAGACCAAAATCTTTGGAGCAAGCACCGCAGCCAAGTCACGCAAGGACAAGAAGCAGATTATTTCGAATGACCTGTCAAAGAATTTCCAGATTGCTCTTTCCAAGTTCTCTCAGTTCCCGGCTGACGATGTCACTCGCATGATCATTCACTGTGACCAGGAGATCTTGGATAACCTGGTTGTGATGGACTTTTTGCAAAGAGAGGAGATGTGCGCGATCCCGGAGAATGTCGCCAAATTGATGGCTCCGTATAGTCGCGACTGGACTGTCCCCGGTGCTGCTGACTCTGAGCGTGAGCAAGATCCAAGTGAACTCACTCGTGAGGATCAGATTTATCTTTCTACTGCCTTTGAGTTGAATCACTACTGGAAGGCTCGTATGAGAGCTCTTGCGTTGACGCGCTCCTACGAGCATGAGTATGAGTACATCTCAACCAGACTGCAGGAGGTGGTTCGGGTCAGCGAGTCCCTGCGTGACTCCGTTGCGCTGATGAACGTTCTCGGTTTGATCCTCGATATTGGTAACTTCATGAACGACGCCAATAAGCAAGCGCAAGGCTTCAAGCTGAGCTCGCTCGCCCGTCTTGGTATGGTCAAGGATGACAAGAACGAGACTACCTTTGCCGACCTTGTCGAGCGTATCGTGCGCAACCAGTACCCCGAATGGGAGGGCTTCAGTGACGAGATCGGAGGCGTGGTTGGACTGCAGAAGGTCAACGTTGATCAGCTGCGCACCGACTCTGTCAAGTACATCAGCAATATCAAGAACGTGCAGGCGAGTTTGGACGCGGGCAATCTCAGCGATCCGAAGAAGTTCCACCCTCAGGATCGTGTGAGCCAGATCGTTCAGCGGAGCATGAAGGATGCTCGTCGCAAGGCTGAGCAGTTGCAGCTTTACTTGGATGAGATGGTCAAGACCTATGACGATATCATGGTCTTCTATGGCGAGGACAACACTGACGAAAATGCTCGGCGAGACTTCTTTGCGAAGTTGGCTTCGTTCTTGATGGAATGGAAGGTAAGTCAAACTATTGACAGTGATCTAATTATATTTCGGCTTACTAACTTGCCTTATTTACAGAAATCACGCGAGAAGAATGTCGGCTTGGAAGAGTCCAGGAAGCGCACGGAAGCTTCCCTGGCTCGCAAGCGGATCAATGTCAATCTTGCCAATGGCGCTGCTACCGAGTCTCCCAATTCACCTGCTACCAGTGGAGCGATGGACTCGTTGCTCGAGAAGTTGCGTGCTGCCGCGCCCCAAACCAAGGATGTGCGAGATCGTCGTCGTCGTGCTCGCCTCAAGGAACGTCACCAAGTGCGCGTCGCCTCTGGCCAGAAGGTGCCCGATTTCTCGGGAGCCGAGGGAGGCGAAGGGTCGGAACAGCCTGCTGATGGGAATGCCCAAACGGATGAGAATGGCTTGCTGAGCCCGCCCATTCCCGCAGAGGGTGAAGAAGGCGGCAAAGAGGCCCAGATCTCTGAAGGCGAGGACGTTGCTGACCGTGCCGCCAGTATGCTTCTGGGGTTGAGGAGTAACTCTGACGCGAACGGAGATCGCCAGCGTCGCCGACGAGAAAGCGCTGATGAAGAGCGTCGTCAACGTCGTATGAGACGCCGTAATGGCGCGACGAGCGGAAGCAAAGACAGCGCCGATGGCTCTGGATCGGGTCTTGCAACCGTCCAGGAACCGGCCTCTCCATCACAGACGGACTCTATCGGTGGCACTGAAGATCGACCGCTGCCAAGCCCCCTCGCTGACGACTTCAAGCTCTCGGTGCCCCCCGAGATTGTCGTTTCAGAGCAGCATGACGATGGCCGACCTGAAACCGAATCACAAGCTGATGGATCCTCTGCCAGCCATCCGATTGAATTATCGGATTGAGACCAGACTCAACTCCTCAAGACTCACACTCATCTATTACTCACCCGGCCACCCTCATAATCTAATGTCTGATAGATTTTCTCTGATGCCGCCTCGGAATGCCTCCTATTTTTCTTGTCATCTCTTGCATCACATCGCACACACATCCTCATCACAACCCTCGACCTGTATAATATCATACCCGACCCTCCCCCTCCCTTCTTTTACCTCAAAATGTCCGATCCTACCAGACCTACCAACTACTACCTCCGAACTCCGAAACTTTCCTTGACCTCCTTTTCCTTTTCCTTTCCCAGTCCTCGTCTATCTCCTCTAATTCCACTTATCCGTGATGAGCAAAGCATGGAGTCATGATACCATCGTGTGTTAATTGTGAATTTTCACCTTCTTCATTCCCCCTTTCTTCTCTTTTCATCCTTTCTTTCCCATCACACTTTCCTCCTATTCGTGTGCAATGTTTGGGTCCGGCCGAGGGTACATTTTTTTTCGCATTCGCACTTGGCTCGCGGAAGCTTTGTGTCGTCCTTCTCTCTTTGTACATAATCCCCTTTTACAGCAGCTTTCATACGCATTCCTGGTCATGGCGGTTGTGTGTACTGTCTGTGGCTGGGGTTGTTGGGCGTCGAATTGTATACTTTTTCGATGGTAAATGTTTGATTGTATTTTCCTGTAATATGAGCTAGGTATTGGATCTTGATGTATCGGAGGGATGATGGATTTTGATTCTGTTGATGTTTCTATGGCAGACTTGTGTGCTGTCCCAGTGTAGTATCTGGGTAGAAATGGCCTCGTGAAATGTCAGAATCATCTTTTGGAGATAATAATTGAAATTTTATTCAGAGTGAGTGGGTGAGAGAGATTATCATGCGTTCGTCATTGTCCATCTCCAAGGTGGAAGTTGATCCATGAACCCGCTACATACAACCAGCTCACGTGACTGGATCGTTATCGCATCATTTGCGGCGAATCGATCAATCTTCCAGCAGCTCCGTACGAACGCCTAATCATCTGTATGCGAGCAACTCGCCCTCGAGCCTTGCGTTGGGCTTCTTCCTTCTGCCCATCATGGAATCAACCACATACAAGGGCGGCACGGCTGGGCAGCTGCCCATTATTCGGAAATTATGTCCCGGTCTCCGCGCGAACTCCGCATCGAGCTTCTTCCAACATTCGGAGCTTCTCGTCTTCTCAACATAGGCGGTTCATGCTAGATACCGACTCCACCATTTATGCGCTATCGACAGCACCTGGTAGGGCAGCAATTGCAGTCGTGCGGATCTCTGGTCCAGCATGTGCTACAGTACGTTTCTCTCGCCGACTCCGCAATCCTTCCCGTATACTGATACCGCCCTTCCTCTAGATCTACAAAGCCGTATGTCCAAACAAACCCCTCCCAAAACCACGCTTCGCGGCGCTACGCACCCTTTACGATCCCTCGCACCCGCCCTCCCCAAGCACCGTCTTAGACGCCGGCGCACTGGTGCTCTACTTCCCCGGCCCGAAGACCGTTACCGGCGAAGACGTACTGGAACTACACATCCATGGCGGACCTGCTATCGTCAAAGCAGTGCTATCTGCCATAGAACGCACTAATAAATCCGATCTGATTGTCCGATACGCGGAGCCGGGCGAATTTACCCGCCGCGCCTTCATGAACGACCGCCTCGGCCTGCCGCAAATCGAAGCCTTGGGCGATACACTATCTGCAGACACAGAGCAACAACGACGTCTTGCTGTGCGCGGGGCCAGCGATGCTTTGTTAAAGCGGTACGAACACTGGCGCCAGACACTGCTGTATGCGCGCGGCGAGTTGGAGGCGTTAATTGATTTCTCCGAGGATCAGCATTTCGACGAGTCGACCGAGGAACTTGTAACCTCTGTCGCGGGACAGGTGCGTGCGCTGGCGGTGCAGATCGGATTTCATGTGCAGAATGCTAGTAAAGGCGAGTTGATGCGGAGTGGAATCCGTGTTGCGCTTTTAGGCGCGCCGAATGCCGGGAAGAGTTCGTTGTTGAATCGTGTTGTTGGGAAGGAGGCGGCTATTGTTAGTACGGAAGAGGGGACTACGCGTGACATTGTGGATGTGGGTGTTGATCTTGGAGGGTGGTATTGCAAACTAGGTGATATGGCTGGGATTCGGGCCGAGATTGGCGGGTCCGGGGCCGTGGTGATTGGTGCTGTTGAGAAGGAAGGGATTCGGAGAGCTAGGGAGAGGGCTCTTGAATCTGATGTGGTGGTTGTGGTTGTTTCGTTGGAGGACGTCGGTGGGGATGTGAGGCTGTCTGTGGAACCTGAGGTCTTGGACGCCGTGAATGACTGCGTCCAGGCTGGAAAATGTCTCGTCGTTGCTGTCAACAAATGCGACAAGTTACCTGCTGAGGAGAGGGGTGGATGGCTACCACAATCTCTGGCCAACACCATTCACGGGGTCTTCCCTGACGTGCCTGCAGACCGGGTTTTTGCTATATCCTGCGATGAAGCGCAGCGCGAGTCGCTGCCTTCTATTGGAGATCAAGATTCAAGTCAGACAGATCCGGGCAATTTACAGGCATTCTTACGCGGGCTCATTTCGACGTTTGCGCAGATAGCCTCGCCGCTAGGCACGGATGGAGATGAAAGTGGTCAATATGATAGATCCTATTGGGAAGATTCATTGGGCGTCACACATCGACAAAGCTCGAATTTACAGAAATGTCTCGATCACCTGAATGATTTCTTGTCCCAGACCACCGCTGCAACCTCCAATTCTCCCGATTCGCCTGGATATGATTCCCCCTTCGTCGATGTTGAAATCGACATTGTGACTGCCGCCGAACACCTACGCTTCGCCGCCGACATGCTAGCCAAGATCACCGGCAAAGGCGAGAGCGGGGATGTTGAAGATGTGCTCGGCGTGGTATTTGAGAAGTGAGCCCCCATAAACTGAAATCCTCAGCCGGTCCTCCGTGCAACTAACACTGTTGTAGATTCTGCGTCGGCAAGTGATATCGATGTTCACGGTATCCATGTGTCGTGGGGATACGAGATCTCGTATCCCGGGAATTCGGATGCGAAGGGCTCATGGAGCCCTTGCAAAGTGGAGTGGCGATGCTGTTTCAAGTCAACTCCCAGTCCCTGCTGGGTACTCGTGCTCGTGTCCATTGTGCGCCGTAGAGGTGCCCTTGAGTGGAGTGTTATGAAGATGATGCCCGTCACTGGACTTGTTGCCCTTGAAACATGCGTTCAGTTGGTAAAGCGTTGCTCGTCCGACTCGTCCGCGTCGTTGGCTGGACCGTTGTATCCACCGCGGCCCATCGTGAATGTGTTGGCGATGTCTTGAGGTCTGAATAGAGAAGACAAGGTGGATTGGGATTGAAGCAATGGATGACCAGAAGTCGTTGATCAATTCACATAGACGACCAGATCAAATCTCGATCAGTCAAATGCGATGAAAATGTATGATATAATTTAAGTGGTCGAAGTATGAAGTCAAGAGTATATCGTAATGTATAGATGTTCTAAATGGTGAAGTAGAAAAAAGAAAGTCTGATCGCCATGATCGACGACCTTATTTATAAAAACCAGCTTCTTAGAGGAACGCTCCAGATTATTCTAACAATTCAAACAGACCGAAAAAAAATATCCCCCAAGATTCCAAACACAGCATCACCTGAGTCGCAGCACGATGTCTGCCTGAGCTCATCCTCCGGCGCCAATGAACTGCGCAGTCTCCCAGCAAATCTCCAGCCCCCAATTTCTAATTCGAGTAATATTCTAGACGAAATCCCAGACTAAACCCGCCCGAGGTAATGGTCGAAACCAAGAAAAATTTCTAATATGGGACGCCCTTCGTCGCGGCGTGCATGTCTGAGTCAGGGTCGACTCATACTATTTACGAGGAACAACGGAGGAAGGAAAATAGGGAACACCAACTATCAGCTACGATCCCAGCTACAAGCCCCCCTGCTAGCCACAAGGGCATCGACAAAGCCACAAATGTCTAGTTTATGAGCCACTATCTACCAATCTGGCACGCCCTAGCCTGATATTATTCGGTAAGGAATGCCACGGTGCCCTTTGGCAGCCTGCGGTGGACAGGGACCGGCTCAGGTGAGTGGTTGATTAGTCGATGAGTCCGACCCGGGGACTGGCGGGGACTCAGCTGAAGAGAAGAAACGAAACGGTCGGCGCTGCGGATTTGAGGTTGAGGCCAGGCCTGAGGCTCATTTACGTGTGATACTAGAGAGACAGCTGGGGTGGATGAGTTCTAGGCCAGGAACTTACTTCGGGGACCGTTTTGGGTGATTTGGCATATCTGTCGTGCAATAATAGCATGGTAGTATTCGAGTTTATTGTTCGCTATAGAAACCGTTCTCCGTTGTGGACAATTTGAGGCGGGAAATGGTGTCAGTATTTGTCAGATTTCTAAGAATAGCCCCCCTCGTAGTTGAGTTGAGTAGTTCCTCGGCTGGAACTTTACAATCGCTGGTTAGTTATCTGCTAGTGAAATCAAGTCACTAATGTTCCCAAGTACCTTATGGGAATGGCTTTTCTCGAATCCCGCCGACCGGCAGTAGTACAAAACCGGGTTGATGATTTGATCGAAATAGACACAGCATGACCTAATCTTGCCTTTTGACCGTAGAACTAACCGCGAACAGAAGGTGTAAATGTCAACTTAGTTGATCCCGTTCGCGCCGGCCCGTGAGTATGATGCTAAAAATACAAATAAGAAATAAGAATCCCACGTTGTGCCCCTGCAGAGGCTACTTGGGCCAGGGGCCAAAACATCAGGAACGATAAACATATGCGTAGAGAACTGGGATTATCATCACCAAGACCAGGGATATGGCTTGCTTCGCAAATATTATACTTTATGGCTGATCGCCTTTATTTTCCTGATTCATGGTATACGCTGCAATGGCCGACGCACATGGATGATTGGTAATGATGACAATTCTACCTCTTTCCATTTCACTGGACTAACTGGCAACTAATAGGGTGTGCTCCGCTCAAGATAGCCTGGATTAGGGTTCTTCGTCCGTGGTCGTCAATAATTTGGAAAATGGGGGCCATTGTGCTGGTCAGGCTCTCGTCGTACGAAGCCACCCGGGGAATTTGCATGGATATATTTGTAGGATCGAAATGGAAAATGGAAGACGAGTGGGTCACCCAGTCGAAACGCAGATTTCAGTCTCAAGACCCCGGCAAATGGGAGTTGAAAATGGTGATAAGGCTTGCTCGCTGCAGAAAGTTCCCTCATGTGGTCACCTCCAGAATAGGCCTCGGAAAACCCCTCGCGCACTCAAACAGGTTGATGAAGCCCGGGAGCAAAGGGATCACAGTTTAGTAGTAGGAAGAAAAATTGATGGCCTGCATTGTAGTAACTGGTTGGTCGCCCAAGATAATGTACTGTATCACTTGAATGAATCACTCCGACTGATATTCGGAGTAACAGGAGGGCACCGTGGTGGGCTCGTATAGATCGGGTGCCGTCGTGGCGCGTGGCATTTGAGAAAGAAACCAAATTCTGCCTGAGGCAGAGATGCCTGGCTAGCTGGTGTTGCCACGGGCGATCACCGCCCAGCACTCAGCACCAAAAAAGCTAACCAGATTTTCCACTTGGCCTTTACACCTCACGATCCTGCCCGTCAGAGCACGCACTTTCAGTCGAGCCACGCACTATATCCGTTAGACCTAACGTCCCGGAGAAACATGCTCGCCAATAACTGCATTCTTCGATCCACTACCAAGGGAATTACACAAGTATGGAAATAACTTGAAAATGGATCTTTGGGGGGCTCATCCAATATCATTGGGGTATCTGTCTACTCTAACATTCATGGGAACGAACTTTGAAAAGAAAACAAAAGAACACAAAGAACACCATCGTGCCCGCACAGTCACTCAATCCTGTTCCCCCATGAAAACAAAGAAAAGAAAAAAATCATACAAACCCTCTGAAGGGGAATCTGTGCTGTATTGCTCGTAGGATTTCCAGCTACAGCTGTTGAGGCAATTCTTGCCGGCGTCGTCGACCGAGAAGTTGTCGCAAGGATGAAAAGGTCTCGTCCGGGTACAGGAGCCACTCACATTCAGTGGCAGCCTCCAGATGGAGGGCAAGCTCACCGAGGGTGGACCAGCGGCGCAAGCAACTCTTGCAATAGAAGTCGAACTCGGAACTGGAAGAGATGTAGAAATCCCGGAAGCCAGGCGTTTCTTTCACGAGGCGCATCACTTGTTGGAAACCGCCGCATTCACTGCTCGACTCCAGGTGCTGGATGATGACCGAAAAAATCTCGTTCTTGTAACCGCATCCAGGGCAGCGGTACTCATCCGAGATATGGGTTCTCATGTGCTTTAATCGGATATCAGCTATATTTCATTCGTCGGATGTTGCAGGTGTGGGATCAAACTTACAGCGCGGCAGCGCTCCATGTCCTCGAAGACTTCGAAGCAGATCTCGCATGCGGCATGTTCGTAGATGAGGTGCGTGTTCAAGCTTCTCTTCGATGCGCAGATGAGGTCGCACCCTCCGCACCAGAAATGGGCTTCCGCCCTGTGAGCATCGAGCTGCTCCTCATCGGAGAAGTCGATCTTGCTGTCACAATCTGGGCAGAAATGGTGGTACCTCGGATCATCCCGGTGTTCCTGGAGCTCTGTCTTATCCAGGAACACCAACTTGCAAGCCTGGCACCATGGGTGGTGTGAGGCAGCTTGGCAATGCGAGTAGATGGCGTCGAAGGAGGGGAACTGGCGTTGACAGAGACGGCAGAAGAACTCGCCGTCATGGGTGATGACATGTTCACCGAAGAGGTAACACATCTTTCTGGATGTGTGAAAAAGAATTTGATGATAGGGGGTGAGAAGGTTGGAGATGAGCGAGGATGTGAGTGTGGATGGAGATGGCCAGGAAGCAAAAAAGACAGACGCGCCAAAGTCAGATACGCTCACTTCACCCGAAAAGGAAAGGACTACTTTCTATAGTCGATGATGTTCCTCTATTTAGGCAGTGGATTTATCTCGGATGTGACAGTATCAGGCTGACGCCCTCACATATCCTGAAGCTAACCCCTAGGCCACAGAGCAATCAGCTTCGCCTCTGTCGAAATGCCTTCTTGGGGTTCAATAAAGTACTAGAAAGCGGATACTTAGCATCGTTTCCAAGAAGACCTGAAAGATATCCTCTCCAAGTTTGCTCGGGTAATTTGGCATCTTGCCATGCGATCGTCATTTCCGTCAAGTATCGAATGGCTGATGAGATTAACTAATGAAGCAGACAATAAAGCAAAGAACCAAAAATCCAAAGGTTGATACTCAGTATACGCTCATATAATCCCATCAAACTAGTGTATAGCACAATGGTTGCTTGATCAAGCTTTCTTCCTCTTCGTTGCAGACTATGGGCTGCGCTCATGGCATACAAAAGCATCGAAATCTCGAAAATTTCTGAATATTTTTGTATCATCAAGGTTGTCACATAGAGGAGGAAACCTTTTCTGGTCTTTGACGTACTTGAATGAGCTTCCACGATAGGCTCCAATTCATCTGCTTCCACTATTCCTCTGGCTTTGCCAGCCTCCAGTGTCATCCGCGAGTCTACCTCCATTACCAAAGAATGCTGGGGAATGAGATCTAATTCAGCCGGGCTTTGATGGATTTGAGATTCATCTTGCCGGGGAATTTGTCGCAAGTCTGGCAAATCTCTTTCAAAATTGTTCGATTTAGGACCCCCTCTCATGCACAAAAGCAGCAGTCCGAGATAAATGAGAAAGATGGAAATGTCCGGATGAGATCCATGCCGGGGACAGTAGTTGCAGCTATATCTTTGGTGACAAAGAGGTTGCTATAGTTAGTAGACGGCCCACAATATGTTCAGCGCGAAGAGGAATATGCTGCTGAAAAGGAGGAATATTGAAGGTGTCTGGAGTAAAGATAATTAATAAAAGCTGTCAAGTCTAAAGGTTGTTTCCCGAATACTTGCCGTAATTGGCTCGAGTCTTTTATTTTTGGTAGAAAGGTAAATAGTCCAAGCTGACATTTCCATGGGAGATAAGCACGAAATCTCATAATCATAGTCATTGTAGCAGTCATTGCTTTGGCAGAGTGACCAGAAGACCGAGATTTTTGTGACTGCATATTTTGAATGTAAACAGCCCAGTCAATGCTGGCAGTCACCTCGATGACTCCAAGGACGTTCCAGTGGATCGATCCACCTCAGTGACTCGTTTCCAGTCATCGAAACATCAACGCAGTCGTAATTAGCGTCTCGCTGGAACTTATTGACATCATATGTACCAGGGGTATAGTTATGAAATACTTTCATTGATGACCAAGATGGGACAACCGTAGAATAATGGCAATGAAGACCACGGAGCCTTTTTTAGATGTTGACCATCGTGTAACATGTTGATTTCAGCCAGATCTAATCTACTTCCAATCCCAGAGAAGCTCGTGGATGGGCGAGTGAGCTGATACTTTGCATATAGCCAGATTATGCCTAGAACAGCCATCCCCTTATGTTATTTATGGAGTGGACAACGTCTTTCCCAAAGAGACAAGATGTTAAAAAGACAGTGCAATGTAGCGTCTGAATTTAGTTTGAAATCTATCAACATGGTCGAAGAAAGAAGAATTTAAACTTCCGTAATATCTCGGCTATGCGGACTCCGTAACATCACTACGATAATTCAAGTTCGTAGTGTCAGGTCTAGCCTCGCCTTCCGGTGCTGTATAGACAGACGAGATCGAGTCTGAGTCCGAGTCATCGTAATTATCTTGCCCATTTGTACGAGCCCGAGAGCCAGCTCGGGCTGCAGAATAAGGTTTTGTAAGAATTGTTCGTGGAGTTCGTTCTACCTCAGTTGGTTGCCTCAAGGTTGGGTTAGAAGCAGGGACAAACGTTGTAGGAGTGTCTTCTTTCACTTGATATGACATGGCACGATGGCTATGGGAGCTTGACTGCTGCATCGGTGGTGAGACGAAAGATGAAGACGCTATGGGGGTGAAGGTTGCGGACACCAGTGGGATGTCATTTGGTCGGGATCGACTTCGGCTTCTATTCTCATTGGATTTTATATTTGAACGCCTCATTGGTGATGAGCCCCTCGATTCTCGTAATAGTGCTGTTACCCGGTCGCTGGCCATTGGGAGCGGCTGCTCGATGGATTGTCTTGGTTCAGGTGTGGCAGTCCGTGGACTGATATCTGTAGATCTGACTTTACTGGAAGTCTCTTGATCCAGGCTCCCCGGAAGCTCAAAAGGTGTTGAACTATCTGCTTCAACCGCAAAAGGGATTGTCGGCGGAAGAGCAGGAGGAGGCGTGGGTGCACTGAAGAATGAGTCGCGTAGGCTGTCACCATGTAAGCCCACAACTTGACTCATTGGAGCTGGGAGGCTGGTCCGTCTTTGGCTTTGGCTGAGCTTTTCATCAAGGAGCTGTCGCACTTGGTACATTCGATCCTCGGGAGTACCGGGGGAGAACCCGACTGTGTCTGGCATACCGATGATATCCGCAATGTCTGCATCTGGCACTTTGCCGCTTGAGAAAAGTAACTGCAGGAGATCTGGTTGGCCAAAGTACGCAGCATATCGAATTGGCTGCCACCCAGCCTCGTCTTTCTTCAGCACGGATGCGCCGCGTGCTAGTAATAGAGAAGCCACCTGCCGATGACCTCCCATCGTGGCCAGACACAGTGGCGAGTCTTCTCGAAATCAAGTGCCAAATTTGAGAGAAAGCGGCGATCCTCGATCGAGCAGTTTTTGGACAACCTCAACATGGCCATACCGGCTAGCCACGCCGAGAGGCCTATCACCAACACCGTTACGGGCATCGAGTGATGCTCCCTTCTCACAGAGTAAATCTAACAGGAATATTGAGCCCCGAGCCGCAACGATATGCAGAGGCCGCGCTTGGTGTTGGGACTCAGACGCTTCAACATCAGCACCCGTCAAAAGCAGCAGCCGTGTTATTTCGAAGCTGTCAGCCATGCATGCATAATGAAGAGCTGTGAGGCCGTTTTTGCACCGAGTCTCAAGGGGAACCCCCTTACGCTGCAAAAATTCCACAACAGCAAAGTGTGATTGTACGACCGCTAAATGCAGTGCCGTTCGACCCACACTGTTAACCATTTCAAGTAATCCTTTCTTTTCGCTCAGAGTTCTGACGGTCTGTTCGTGCCCATTATAAGCCGCCCAATGAAGGGCAGTCATTTCGTTGTCATCAGTGCTGCGTGAAGATGCTTTTCGTTTGAGAAGAAAGTCTACTGCCTGTGCACGTCCAGCTTCGGCTGCAGAAATCAATGGCGTTTTGCGATCTCGACCTTGAGCCTCGATGTTTGCCCTATTGTCCAGGAGAATCCGGATGGCGTCAATATGGCCTTCTTCGCAAGCATAATGTAACGCTGTCATCATTGTTCCATCCTTAGCTTCCACGTCAGCTCCATGAGCGACCAGCAGTTGCACAATCTCGCCGTCACCACGCTTTGCAGCGGCATGCAGAGCTGTCATCTGGTTTTCGGCCCGTGCATTCACTTGAGCATGGTGCATGAGTAGCACCTGCACAGAATCCGGTTGCCCACAGTCTGCCGCTACACGCAATGCAGTACGGCCCTTGAGATTTGGAATTTCAATGAGACTCGGGTCCATCAACAGCAGTTCCATTACTTCCCAGTGACCTCGCGATGCGGCCAAATGGAGAGCCGTCTCGCCTGACCCGTCCGTTACGGAAAGTTGAGCGCCACATTGGATTAACAGATCGACCACGCTCTCTTTGCCGCAATGAGAAGCGACTAAGAGCGCGTTTCGACCCGATCTATCGTGCCGCTCTTCAATATTGAACCCTCGCTCGATGAGTCTTTCTGCTTCATCTCGAGAGCCTGATTGGGCAGCTTTTATAAGCGGGGATACCGATGCACCATCTTTGGTGAGATCAATGCTTGTATGAAAGTTTGGACGTAATCGGTGTCGGCCCTGGGTATTTGGACTAATGGGGGATTGCTGTGAGCTCACTGTCGATACCCTTAGACTCCTTCGGCTGGTTGTATTGATGCGACCGAAAAAGGACGAGAATCTTTCTAGCTTAGATCCAGATGATTGCCCCCGTGTCAAAGTCTTCGAGTCAGATACAATTCGTCGTATACTGCCGACATTTTGTCGCAATGGAACTTGCGTATGAGATACACTCCTGCTATGCAATGGTGCTGAAGGAGTTTTCGGCAACGCAAGAAAGCTCTCTTGCTGCTGAGCCATATCGGGTGACAGCGCAGCATTGTTATGCCCCCCTGAATGATAGCTGCTATAGCCCTCGTCGGTGAAGGAGCTTTGAGTGACGCTAATACTGGGTTGGCTTGATTGCGACTGAGACTGCTGAGTTTCCAAAGGTAGACTGGGGGTCGTCCATTGTTGCAAAGCTCGTTGGTAAACAGGTGAGTCCATGATGGTCGCATCAAAATCAAAGATCCGATCGCTGAAAGCCCGTCGACTGCTGCTCTGCGATATGGCGTCCGCGTCGGTCGCCGAGCGACTGAGCCGACCGGTCCTCAGTGTCGCAGTATCATCGGCGACTTTGCCTATGATTTGACGGGTTGTCGCTCTTCTCAGCAGACGGACTTGCTCAGTGGAGGAATGGCTGCCACGGTCAGTTTCCAAACAAAAACAACAATCAGCGTTGTGCATTCCCACCATTGACAGACTTGAAGGAGCAACTGCAACGCCTGAACTTGAGCACGCAGCTTCTCCTGATGCCCCCTCATGGTATCTTCATTCCAAACAATCTTCATACGGGTCTTGAAATTGATGGCCCCGCTCTCTTCTGCACTCTGGACCAACTCAAATACCTCGTACGACAGGACCTCCATGATGACGCGACATCCGTCCATGGCGACGGCGAGGTCCTGGTCAAGCTCGTCAAATTTGGTCCCATCGCGACCGTTGCCATTACGGTGGATGCGGAGCCACTCCTTGAGGCTGGTGAGCGCAGTCCGAATACACGCTAGCTCCTGAATCAGGGATTGGATGGTGAAATCGGCCTCTCGTAATTTCCCCGTCAGCTGGCGTAGGCCGCCAACGGTTGAGGCGATGGCCTGCAGGACCTGTATGGCGCCTGAAAAAAGCCCAAATGCCGTCACAGGATCCATGGTTCTTTGGGTGCAGAACGCAAGAGCGCAAGCTGAGCTGGCGAGGAGTGAGGCTCATAGCGTCAAATCACATGGCGGGGGTGCTGCTCCACTATGGATGGGGGCCGTCAGCGCGGGGCTCAAACAAGCCAGCAGGTCGGACATGAATGCTGCACTGAACATGGTCCACTCAGAGAAACAGAAAATCAATAAGAGATCAGAAGAATGAGGCCATTTAGTACATGTAAAGAGGAGGTAAATTTTAGACCTTTAAAGCACATCATTGTAGGTTACCATGTCTTTGCCTACTTTGCTTCCATGGAACGAACCACTAGAACCGCACTCTGGCTACACACCTCAAAGCACGTTGCACTTTAGCATCCGAATAAAAAGATGCGCTTCCAAGGTAGTATGCCTACCCACCACGTGGGGTTGGGGTTTCAAGCGTCTCCTGAAAATACATGTTTCTCGAGGCTAGCCCTGACACAACATCACGGTTATTTTTGGTCTCCTTGCTACGTAGATAGATTTTTGGATTCTTCCAACGGAAAATATTGAAAGAGTAACAATTGGCCACATCTACAGACAGCACGCTTCAAAAACATCGCCTGCTTTCAATGAATACCCAACGGCAGGACGCCTACATTCTGATTGGTCAGTCGTGAATCATACTCATCACAAAGGAGATCATGTGACTACCCACTTCCCCCCACTCTGACCCTCACCCAAACTGTTTATTCCAACATAAGAACTGCACCTCCCATATAATGGCACTTTCTACTATCGTTTTATGTTAATTATTGACGGATTGCGGGTCAAATTGCATTTCTGAACCTTTTTCCGCTCCATTGAAAAAAATATGGAGCTCAGGCCGGACCACCAATTCGACCCTTTTGGACCCTTTGGCGACCTTTTAGGTCCCGATGCAGATGCCTATAATGGTGTTGACGATAATATCATCAATAGCATTGATTGGAATGATCCTTCATCCTTCTTCAAAGCCATGGGTGCTGGTGCTGGTGGTATGCCCACACCCGAAATAAAATCGGCCCCAGAAGTTCGTCAGGAGGCCACATCCAGGTCGAGGAGGATTTATAACAGTTACTATTCACTGCATGCGATTCTACAGCGTCACGAAGCTACAATTCGTAAGCGATGGCTCAAGAAAACACGACCTCAGAGGCTTAAGATTCTGCTAAATGCTTGGCCGAACATGCCGACAATGCATCGCCCCGACTTTGAGGCTTTCCGGAAGGAGTCAGAGGCCGACCGTGACAGGGGCACCAAATACCGCGACTCTTTCTTGTGTCCTTTCATCAATCAGGAAGATCTTCTTAGAACTAAGACGCTACCATTGTTACTGAACGCGCGAGGCCACCATCCACCATCGCATTTTGCTGCCGCTGATATCGATGCCATGCACCTCGGCCTGGTCACCAAAGCAATTGTGCCTATTTTTCTAAACCAGTATGTCATGGTCTTGAATGGTGTAGATGAGAATTCCTCGGAATATGGCAAGCTCGTGGGCTGGGATGAGCATCCTGATGCATTTGAGTGGATGACCAAACAGAAACAGTTTCTTCCTGGGGAGGGCCTGTTGATTCTGGAGGTCCAGGAGAGACTTTTGATTGCTCTGCGAGAATGCTGCGTGCAGCTTCTCCATGACATCCCAGAGGCAGAGCTGGCAAGTGATTCTTTCCCAATTTTACCCGAACCACTGCTGAAGCCTGAAAGTGAAATCACGGGATTTGAGTCTCTTGGTATCATGGCCGCAGAGGCTCCCTATCGTGTGCCCGCGGAACTTGATCTCCGCCTTATTGAGTCACTACTTACCGCGAGGGCCTCTGCTGCGGAAGATCATCTCTGGGCTTTGCGAGAGAATCCTGATTACTTTTTGAAGGCTATCCTTGATGCCCAGGACCATCGGCAGGAAATGTTGAAGGATACCAGGGGCATGAGTCATCCGGTGTTCAGTCACGGCCAGCGAGATGTTCTTTGGGCACGCGTAATTGGGTCTGTGGTCTTGCAGGCATACCTCTATCTTGAGGTCTTCACGGAACTGAGCAGTCAAGCCAAAAAGCTGGCATCAATGCAAAGTAAATACGCTCGTGATATATCGCCTTCAGAAGACTTGCCCGACGAATACCTCGAGGCATTACTCCGATTCCGATTCTATATCAATCAGGCAGCGAAAGGACCATTGGGAGCACTCAAGTTCAAAACAGCGGCCTCCCCGCCACTACGAAAGTTCTTCGTCCGCGAGCCGCCGCTCGATTATCAGTCTCCGAAGATTCGAGTAATTTTCAAGTCGGGTGCCAACATGGATAAGGTGGAGGAGCAATTGATTTGGCTGCTTCGTACCCTGTGGGAGGATGGCCATGATCTGTTCCTCGCCACTATGCCTCTAGTCGTTGATGAAATTGAGCGGCTAATTGAATCTGAGCCCAATGCGCGAGAGTTACTCTCTTCCCAAATTACGGGAGTTGTTGGGGACCTCTCTATTCTCTCACAATGCCTGAATCAGCTGGGCCTTTACCATCCTTGGGCCAGAACCTTCGAGGACGAGGCTGCAGAGCGCGATGAAACTTTGCAGAAAGAATATGCTGAGCGGACCCATACATGGAACAAGATCATCGCCGCAATACACGAGAAAAACATCCTATCTAGAGCCGTCACGCTGGGGCAGCCTACAGGAGGCAAATTCCATTATCCGGTCGACAAACGCCGCACCAGGGAAAACGTGGAGGCACTGCGCGAGGCTGAAGGCAATCTGGACGCTTTCTGGGTCTCCATCGACCATATCATCATTGCAAAAGCCGGTGATCTGCGTGATAGCGCAGTCCGGAAGCTTTTGTCTCAGCCACGCATCCTACAACGTACTAAAGAATGGGTCGAGCCCCAAAAGCCGCCGCCCGGCGAATCTGCACAGACGAAAGCAATCGACGCAGACCAATATACCTGGTATCAACCGATATCCAAGTTCTACGCGGCCCCTTCTCCGAAAAATTTGGACATCCAAATGCCCAAGAACAAAGTCAAAACGCGCGGAAAAGCGCGCTCAGCCAAATGCCAAACCGAAGCTGAAATCCTAACCCAACCCAACCCTGTCGACCCGCAGCCTTCGCTTGCCGTCGATGCGCGCGCCCTCAAGGTCTTCCGCACCGTCTTCTTCAACCCCTCTACCACTTCCACACCGGGTGAAGTCCCATGGAATGATTTCCTGCATGCAATGACGTCCGCCGGCTTCACGGTCATGAAGCTCTATGGCTCTGTCTGGCAATTCCAGCCGACCGGGCTGAATGTTGAAAGAAGCATTCAGTTCCATGAGCCCCATCCCCGGGGCAAGTTATGCTTCAGGGTTGCTCGTCAGTATGGGCGACGGCTGAATAGGGCGTACGGTTGGTTCGGAGGGATGTTCATTTTAGCTGAAAAGTAGAATGTTTCGTATCCAAAAATCAATAAATGCGTCAGTGTCTCTGCGGACTCGAGCACTGTTCCTCCAAGTTCGTAGTACCCATTCCAATGCTAGTGACCACCTATGTAGCCCGAGGCTTAGTCGGCCTGAAGAGGCCCGAACTACAGCACGAATCTAGCATCAGTAGGGATATTATTTTTCTCTGATTAAATAGTGGCTCCGCAATAAGCCGGTGTATAGGTTTTACCCTACATCCAACCGATCAACCGGCGCCTGTAAGCGCCCCAACTCACAGCCAACAGCAGGTTCCAATTTTTGCGCCGCGAGAAATGCCTTCTTCGTGAAGGGCCATTTTGGCCTCCAGTTAGGACTCTCTATAACAGCTCACACGATACCAAGTAAGGCGAATTAGCCGTCTCGGTCGAGCCATAGTGCTCTGCAGCGTTAACTAACGTGTCCATTTGCGTGGCGACCAGGCCCAGTGGTCTCTAGGCCTAAAGTAAGCAGAGGCCATCAAGCCATAAGTCCGTCCAATCACCAGGAATACTCAGACGAGACTGCGATATGAACAGAGTTGCAGGTGATGCCGAACTATCGAGTGGCCGATATCGCCCCTTGCCAGGTCTTCGCGGGGGGCGAAAAGTCCGTCGATTTTGCGGCTCGGCCCGTTCGGCGTTGGCTCGCGGAATTTGAGTCGGACTCACCGCGAGTCTCTTTATCTTTTCTCTCCCCCACTTCCCTCCCCGCCCTAAGCCTCCCACCAAGTGATCCCACCATGGACCACATCAAGAACGTCTTCGCTCAATGCCAGCAGGAGGGCCGTCCGGCGCTCGTCACTTACGTGACCGCCGGATTCCCCACCGCGGAGGAAACCCCGGACATCATGCTGGGCATGCAGGCCGGCGGCGCAGGTGAGTCACTCGAGGTCGATTCCCCCGCGACAGCATAAATGCTAATTGATCGTGCAAGATATTATTGAGCTCGGCCTACCCTTTACCGATCCCATCGCCGACGGTCCTACCATCCAGAAATCGAACCTGAAGGCCTTGCAGAATGGTGTCACCATCACCTCCATGTTGGAGATGGTGCGGACAGCGCGACGGAAGGGACTGACGACTCCGGTTCTGTTCATGGGCTACTTTAACCCCATTCTCCGTTACGGACAGTCACAGCTGCTGGCGGACTGTCTCGAGGCCGGAGTCAATGGCTTCATTATCGTCGACCTGCCGCCCGAGGAAGCGGTGCGCTTCCGCAATGGCTGCACGAAGACCGGGTAGGGCGCCCACCACACTCTCCCCTCCCACGAGAGAGCCAAACTAACTCGAATGGTCACACAGGCTCTCCTACGTCCCCTTGATTGCCCCCTCCACCACCGAAGAGCGTATGAAGTCCCTCTGCCAGATTGCCGACTCCTTCATCTATCTCGTCTCGCGAATGGGTGTCACGGGCGCCACGGGCTCTCTCAACTCTGACCTGCCCGCCCTCATCAAGCGTGTCAAGGACCTCTCTGGCAATGTGCCCGTAGCCGTCGGATTCGGTATCAGCACGCGCGAGCACTTCCTGAGTGTCACCTCTTTCGCCGACGGCGCCGTCATCGGTAGCCAGGTTATCACAGTCCTTCAAGACGCCCCCGCTGGACAGGCCGCTCGGGCCGTGGAGGAGTATTGCTATAAGATCACCCAACGAAAGGGTCGCACCGGTGAGCCCCTGGCTTCGCCGCCGAGCCAGAAGCAGAATGCGGTAACCCAGTCTGCAAACGAGGACGAGACCGCGACGACGGAGGGATCTGGAAAGTTCGGTGTGTTCGGCGGACAGTATGCCCCAGAGGCACTCACAACTTGTTTGGCCGAACTAGATGCTGGATTCGAGGCCGCGAGAAACGACCCCGCGTTCTGGGAGGAATACAAGTCGTACTATCCGTTTATGGGCCGCCCCTCTAGCCTGCACCAGGCTCAGCGACTCACCGAGTACGCCGGCGGTGCGAACATCTGGCTGAAACGCGAGGACCTCAACCACACGGGTTCCCACAAGATCAACAACGCTCTGGGTCAGATCCTGGTGGCACGTCGCCTAGGCAAGACCGAGATCATTGCCGAGACTGGCGCCGGTCAGCACGGTGTGGCTACAGCGACGGTCTGTGCTAAGTTCGGCATGAAGTGCACGATCTACATGGGAGCCGAAGATGTCCGCCGTCAAGCGTTGAACGTGTTCCGGATCCGCCTCTTGGGAGCCACGGTGGTCCCCGTCGAAGCGGGTTCGCGCACGCTCCGCGACGCTGTCAATGAAGCCTTCCGGGCATGGATCACCCGTCTAGATACCACGCATTATATCATTGGATCTGCCATTGGCCCCCATCCCTTCCCGACCATGGTGCGTACCTTCCAGAGCGTGATTGGAGATGAAACGAAAGCCCAGCTGGCCGAGCTAGGCAAGAGTCCGGATGCCGTCATTGCCTGTGTCGGAGGTGGCTCCAACGCCGTTGGCATGTTCTACCCATTCTCTAAGGATCCTTCGGTCGAGCTGGTTGGTGTGGAAGCCGCCGGTGACGGCTTGGACACTGCCCGGCATTCGGCGACTTTGAGCCGCGGCTCTGTCGGCGTGCTGCACGGCGTGCGAACCTATGTCCTGCAGGACCAGCACGGTCAGATTTCCGACACCCACTCCGTCTCGGCTGGTCTCGATTACCCTGGCGTGGGTCCGGAACTCGCGGGCTGGAAGGAGAGCAATCGCGCAAGCTTCGTGACGGCCACCGATGCCCAGGCCCTAGAAGGCTTCCGACTGCTGAGCCAGCTGGAAGGCATCATCCCCGCCCTGGAGACCTCCCACGCGGTCTGGGGTGCAATCCAGACTGCCAAGAGGCTGGGACCCGGCAAGAACCTCGTCCTGTGCTTGAGTGGCCGCGGTGACAAGGACGTACAGAGCGTCGCCGATGAGCTGCCCAAGCTCGGCCCTCAGATTGGGTGGGACCTGCGGTTTTGAATGGGCTAAGAGACGCCACTAAAAGTCGGATTGGCTTAGGACCACTCGCGACGAACGTGGACGAACGGCTGGAAAAGAAGACAGAATAAAGTAACGAATAGAGAGCAGACTACAGCATATAAAACGAGTTTGACGCCATTGACATCTCCTCTTCGTAAACGATCCAGTCCCTTCAGAACCACCTTCTATTCCACCTTCGCCCACCTCTACCGGATGTGTTTAACTTGTTTGCCCTCCAGCAGCCGTGAAGTCAACTTTATGAAAATACTCATTGTCATTATTTTCCCACTTTCCTCCCAACCTCATATTGAATGGTTTCCCGCATGGAATTCCGAATGGCACGGGTTCGCCGACAAGGGCATGCAGTGGTTGACGGACCGTGTACGAAGCATCCTCTCATTCTTTTCGTGTTGCAGCCGCTTTTGATGTTCATATATTGTACTCTGGAGTTCTGACAAATTCATTCCTCTATTTATACTATCCCGACCATCGACATTCACGACGAGGAGATAGGACAACGTAGAAAATCCGCTGCAGCTTCAGAGTACAATTTTCAGCTACAATTCTCGCTGAAGACCTCAACTTGCAAGGACTGGCTGTGTTGCGCAGTGAATGACCCCCCCTGCTAGCGGCAGCCCAGTTACTTGCACCGGTTGCACGACTCGATCTGGACACAAGGCCCGAAAGAGAGTCAATGCCTCCTGATCCCGTTGAAGGTCTCCAAATTGAGGAAGAATCAGACCCCCGTTGACAAAATAACAATTGACGTAGTTTGTCGCTGGTTCGTCATATGTCAAGTTACCAAACACCTTGGGATCAGGCTCATGGACAACGTGAACCTCAAAAGACCGTCCTTTTGCGTCTGTCGTATCCCGTAGTTTAGTTAGAATCTCCTCAAAGACCTCAATCCATGCTCTCGGGGCACTAGGGTGTGGGCAGGAAAGCACCACAACACCCGGTCGAATGAAAGTGACCTCGGCATCAGCGTGGACATCTGTCACGTCAAGGCCTCTGCGGCCGGGAAACCAGACAATCTTCTCAACGCCTAGTAAACGAAAGATTTCTTCTTCAATTTCAGAACGTGACAGTCCAGTGTTTCGATTGTCGTTGAGAATGCTGCTCTCCGTGGCCAACAACGTCCCGTCTCCATCTGCGACCAACGCGCCCCCTTCTAGGCAGACCTTGGATTCAACAAGTGTGACTGGAGAAGGTGATTGATCAAACTCAATGACTCGCCTCGCAAAAGTTGCATTTTCTTCGAGCTGCGCAGGTTGCATGACTGGCCATTCGAGCCCATCGCAGGCGCGGTCGTCATCCCCGATCGCGTCTTTGCGTCCCCACTCGCTAAAGCGAAAATTGATCGCAAAACGGCCCTTCTCCTGGCTTTTTTCAAGCAGTTCAACGTAGACTGGGCCAGTATCCCGAACCCAGAGGTGATTGGTCAGGAACGGAATGATAGATATGTTGGACGTGTTGTGGGGGTATTTGGTGTTAGTCTGTTCCACGAGAGCTTGCGCTTTCGAGATATCTTCCGGTCTTGCGAATAGCCTGACGGGCTCAAACACGGATATAGCGGAGGCTAGACTAGCGATGTCGAGGCATGCACTGTCATAATATGCCGCGGCAATGGAGGAGATGGAGGGAAAACCCAAGATCGTTGCTGCGTGGCGAGAAGTTTCGCTTGGTAACCGAAATCTCGCAGCGGCTTTGGCTACATTGATTACCATTATGAAGCTTATAATTCGTGAAGATTTCAAGAATTGAGTGGAAAGATGGTGATTGTAAGAGGAGTCGATGATTTTGAGGGGATTGAAGGCCCCGGCACCTGAGACATTCTTTTATGTAAACGAGCGGACCTTAGTCCGCAACTTGTCTGGAGGCTGCAGGAGACTTTCTAGTATTACCAAATCTTATGGGGTGACTCATGGCAGCACGGCTAATTATGAAAATTTGGCTAAGCCTTATCAAATTACCTAAATGATATGCAGTCTAGGGGATTCCCTTCATTGATCGCAAAGTGTTCCAACCGCCAGGCTTGATCTCGTGATCAAAACACCCGTGTCCAAGGCAACCAGCAACTTGAGTCAGTGACGTACCTCCAAGTATCTATTCAACATAAGGTTGTAACTACTGCCACCGCTTCATTCAATTCACTTCTATCTTCTGCTAAAATCTAGGTTTCTCGGAATTCTGGGTTGGAGTAACCAGTGGGTGGAACGAGTCCCGTCTGCCGGTAAGTAGAGGCGCTGAAAGAAACGCTTCTCCCCACACTCTCTAAGTCTGCGTAATTCTTGATGTTACTTAAGCCTGAATCATCCTAATACTTTCAATAACAAGGCAAAAAGAATGAAGTCAGTTTTAGATGTCAATCCAAGGAAGGGTCATCAATCATTAGATGACAAGGATGGTGTTTTGAGTTGGCCCCAACTATTTTCTTCACATCATCCACACGCCGGCCAGTCGGTAGTACGGTGGGTGACCGACCACATGCGAATCCTGGCTGTTGTATCTCGGTGATCAGCCGTCTTTTGTCATTCGTTGGGACGATTGCCCTTGCCGCTTTACCCTTCAGCCCTTTTGGCCCCTTCACCTGAACGCCATGAAGCCCCTCTATTCTTCACTCAAACACACTGAAGACCCGCTGATATATCTGGTAAATGTCATAGCACAACGAGGATTACTCTGTGAACTCATAACAATCCTAATTTTCGTTATCATTTTCGTTACAGTAGCTACGTACAACCAAAAACCGTAAAAACTCGACCGAATTTAGTACCAAGAAGGCATGTAAAACCAGGTGGGTGCGGGGTGTGCTAGAAATGAAAGCCAACTGCACTCTAGAAGATATCAAGTATGAAGCTCATTTATAGCTTCCCTCTTTGGGCCTTCTGAGAACTTGGTCGTGTCTCAACCGATAATTCGTTCCACCAAGGGTATGTCTGCGGCGCATCCTTTGATAATGCATCGGCGAATTCAGGCTGACGTTTCTCAAAGAAGGATTTTTTGAATTCAAGATGGTCCCTAGGTAAGTCAGCATCATCATGACAAAATAAGACTACATTTTACTCGAAATTTACCTTCCACCAAACATATTGTATAGCAGAGGGCTATCGATGAGATGTGCGCCTTCTGCAGAGCCAGGGTTCCGCCAAATGAGCTGCCGATTCAGATGAATTGCCATAGTACTAACGTTGGATATAATATCCTGCGCAAGTTCAAGGGCACGGGGAAGAACGTCCTTAGGTTCGGGCAGAAGCTCTGCGAAGATGCCGTGAAGGGTCGGTGAATGTGCGGGATATCGTTTTCCAGTTGCCAGCAAATACGTAGCGTTGCTATATCCAACCATACGCGGGAGGAAAAAGGAGCTAGCCGACTCCATTGTAAGGCCAATCCTTGAAAATGGGAATCCGAATTCTGAATTGCGCGGCGCAATACTGTGTTTTGGTTGATATTTAAAACCAAATGGATAGAGACAGACACTGACCGAATAGTCGCCGCTAGAGTTGATGTCATGCCAATGCCAACAGACAGGCCATTATATGCCACTATAATGGGCTTGCTACAATTGAACATGGAAAGCGCGAGTGTGCCTCCCGGATCGCGCATCTCAGTAGGGCGGACTTTGTTTTTCTCCTGGCTGTGGTCTCCGTTTAGGTCGATTCCGGCGCTAAATGCCCTGCCTGCGCCTGTCAAAATGACGACCTTGACCCGATCATCTACATCTACAGTCGAAAAGAAAGCAATGAGAGAGTCTATCATGCCTGGTGTAAAAGCATTTAGTTTGTCGGGTCGATTCAGAGTTAAAACCTGGATAGTTGTAACTCCACATGCCGAGTCGGGGAAATTGGAAATGCGGATAGGGCTGTCCAGAGCAGTCACATATGTATCGGGAATACCGATTGTTTGAGTATCGCGAACCATCCTGAGATTATGGCTTATTGTTTCCAGTCACCGGAAGGATTGTAAGATTTCCTGGACGTATAGAACAAGGGCACTTCGGATAACTTATGTACATTAGGTCTTCGGTCTAGAGACTACCTCGCTATCTATGGCTAAGATCCAACGTAATCAAGGAATTGACCGCGGGCCTCGGGAAAAAAACAGTCAAGTTAATTTACTTTTAGTTCTGTTCATACTACCAAAACCGATCAGGTCATCGTGTGAGCTGTCAGGAGAGCAAAATCCAATATATTTGATTAATGAACAGTCGGAGCCGAGGTACAGCAAATGACGTCATCGGGCTAAACATGCAAGGCCAGAGAAAACCCAGCAGCACTATAATAGAAAGATTAAAAATTCATATGGTGTACGAGGGCGTATATCTCGAATGAGGATTTCTAATCTGGCGCCTGTACAGAGCTTAAAATAAGGAGGTACAGTGGCAGTTCAAAGTTTTGAATTTGAAGACCAGAGTCATTCAGATTCCGTGTCAAAATTTTTCTTTAATAGGAAAACATTTTTACATTATCTTGATATATCTCAGGCAACCCTTCTGGGTCTATATTTCAACTGATGTGATAGCTTTCAAGTCTTGTAGGGGTTTCGATTCCGTGAAACGTCACTTTGGATGTCTATGGAAGAGTCAAAATGTTTCTTCCTAATTCAATACCGTCAAAGAACTTGAAGCATTATATCTCATTTCCTTCACTTTAGGGGAATTTGTCCTAGGATGCCACCTGGGTCGATACTTTTCTCTCAAAATTCCCTCCGTGGTAAACATCAAATTGCCCGCAATCCAACTCGACTAGTTGTTTTGGCTTTCCAGCCTGCTTGAAGAATGCAACTTGTTGTTGCGCGTCGATGAGAGAATCTTGAAGTCCAACGACCATAAATAATGGCTTTGGCGAGATTTTAGCTATTCGCGAAATCTTTGCCTTTACTAAACTATATAAAAGCGCCTTTTACTAGGCTACCCTATATCCTAGTCGGTCTCTAGGTGAAGAATGTTTAGAAGGGTGAACTACCGCCTAAAGCCGCCTAAAGCAGCCTGAAGTAGGCCCAGACAAAGCAGCGGTCGCCTAGCACGGAACTACGAGCGCTAGGTAAGGTCGGCCATACTTTTGGCTGTTGTATGTCGAGTTTTCACTCTTTTATTGTTTTTTTCCAAGGGAGAGTGCCCTTGCCACTTTACTGTCAACCCCTTCGGGCCGCCTTAGCCCCCTTCACCAGGACCAGAACCTGATCCTGAAACAACTCTACAATTCAGTCAAACTCTCCGAGCATCCCTGAAGAACTAACGAGGCCTCTAAATGAAACATTTCCATCGTGGTTTGTAAATCTAGCTCGGTCCCCACTGTTGCCTTTCTCAAGGGGGAAAAATAGTATTTCTGAGAATAGCAGACAACGGGAGAGCAAAATATAGTAGTTCACTTAGAAAATTCCCCACTAGAATGTCCAAAATCGCCTTGATTAATACAATATTTCTTGTTCAGCAGACATCTATGCTTTAGACTTATTATGACCAACCTATCTTCTAGTCGAGCAGCCTTAGATTTTTCAATATCTGGATGTTGCAACGAGCCCTTATGATCAGGGTTTCCGAAATCGCTCACCTATCATGATGTTGATTAGGGAGATGGCCAATAAATGCGATTGGACTCGCTCGAACAAAAGATTATCGCGATTTTATTGCAGCTTGCCGTGGCAGCTTATTAATCCCATTAGATCACAAAATGGCCCTGTACCAATGATATGGCCTGGTCAAGATGCGTGTGACATCAGCATAATACGAGGTGACTCAAAACCTGAACATAAGTATTTACTCTGTCGCTTGCATACTCTCTACGCGAATTTCGTCTTGATCTCTGTCTAAGACTCCAAACCAAATCGAGATCTCACCATGCAAGTTACAATTGTACCAGCAAGCACGAAGACAGGTGAAGCGGCTATTAGGTCTCTACTCAGCAAGCCTGTGCAGGTTCGCGGGATCTACAGAGATCTTTCCAAGGTCCCAGCTGCATTTTCTGCCGAGGCCAAATTCTCTGCAGTAGAGGGCAATGCATCAGAAAAGGGTGCGCTTGATCTGACGGGGTCTGATGCTGTTCTTGCCATTATACCCCCTGTCTTCGATGGTCGGGATCTGCTCGAACATGCGGAGACGATCTCTTCCAATATCAAAACGGCAATCGAGCTAGCTGGCAATGTCAAGAGACTTGTTCTACTCAGTAGCGTCGGGGCTGACTTTAGCGAGGGTGTTGTACGTATATGACCTCGGATCATCTTATGATATTGCTACTTACGAAGATAGGGCGAGATCAAAACAAATAATAAAGCGGAAGAAGTACTGCGGCAAGCGAGAGTTGAAAGCATTGTATTTGTGCGATGTGCATATTTCATGGAGAATTGGACTATGAACCTCGCTACCCTTAAGGGGCCAGATCCATTCTTCTTTTCGTCGATTACGCCCGTGGGCTATGAGATTCCGATGGTCTCCATCTTGGACATTGGCATTACTCTTGCCGAACAGCTAACTGACGAAGCGATTCTCGCAGAGAAACCATATATTTTTGAATTGCATGGTCCCCAAAATTATAGTGCACTTGACGTGCGGGCGGCATTGACACGGGTACTCGGAAAAGAGGTTGAAGTGCGACCAGTGGAAAAGGACCATTTGAGAAAGTTCTATGCACAGATTTTCCCTCCCACAATTCTCGATCATTGGGTCGAATTGGCGACGAGTATCCTCCCAGATGGCAAACTTGGTACAGAGTATATGCTCCACCCGCGTGGCCCTGTTCTTCATGGGCGCACAGATCTCGAAACGGCCATCAAGGCGAGCTGCGAGGCATAAAACTGATGTTCTAAGTCGATTTCTCGATTACGAGCAAAGCTATTTCGTCTAATTACACAAGGTCAAATGCATTCTCGTACCTCGTCCACAATCTCACAAGTCGTTCAGAACAGATAGCATAGCGGGGCCAGCAGGAGGTTCATTGAAATCTCTTACCTTAGCCCTTTCCAATCTCAGCTTCATAATTTTCATCAGACATATTTTCTGCCGGGTAAACTCACAAAACCAGAAGCTTAAATTGTCGACCAAATTAGCAATCCTCCTTAAATAGGTAACGGCTTAATTTAGATTGTTATCAAGCGATATCTAGCAAATACGACCATAGGGTGTGGAGAACAGGGCCTACCGTCCGCTCAAGCCGTGCTTAAGCCACATATAGTACGCAGTCAATTCTCAATGCGCCCCGAGCTCTAAAATGGCGTCGAATTTGATCTTAGGGTGAGAGTAGGTAATATAGGTGAGAAGTTTATAGACTGGGGTGATAGAGGTGAGAACGGAGTAAGGATTCTCACCTAGATACGGTTCTTAGCACTTTCCATTTCGCCTAACTCTATGCTATATATATATATCTAGGGCACTAGTACAATCTGCTGTTCTTTTTTCTCTGGCACTTAGAGACTCTGCCATTCGAATAAGATGCTCCCGGAAAACCTCAGAAGAAACTTGATGAAAGAGTTACTGGTGCTTTATCACGTAGCTTCAACCGTGAGTATCAGAATAAACATATACCTTAAATAACTCGCTCCGGCTACTCTAGAGAAGTATAAGGATGTATTAATAAACTAGGTACCATAAGTTATGCTATTAATATATGGGTAGTTGTGGGGGCACTACCCCAAAATTCTGGCGGCACTACCTTTCTGCCTAATTTCTGCTAAGCCCATCACGGCTGTTGATTACAATTTTAACCACCTCATATACACGGATTGTGTGGGAGAAAATGCCCGAAAGCAGATTCTATCGGTTTAAAAGTTGCTGACGAAGGGTTATGGCCATCTGCCCCCTATAGTCCGCCGTACCCGAGGTACATATTTGTGTCCCCATCATGTCCCCATGTTCTCCACATTATTTGGGTACCCTCATCCTAGTTGAAGAAATATCCGGGCACAAAAAACCGAGGACATTAATTGGAATTGAATTCAAAATCGTTCACATAAATACCAAGATGGACGATAAAGATTGATTGATTTTCATCCCACGGACAACTCCACAATGTCATTCACCATTACTACTTCCAGCGACGACGACTTCAGCCTCATCGAAGACAATAATCCAGACAAGATTTACGAGCAGTTTGATCAATTGCGCACTAAATGCCCAGTCGCACATACCTCCCAGTCCGGGGGCTTTTGGCTTCTGACACGCTATGACGATGTGAAGCGTGCTGCCTCCGACACGGATACCTTTATCTCCTCTGTGAAAGCAGTTATTCCAAGCGATCCACGAGGCATTCGCCGACCACCACTGAATACAGACCCACCAGCCCATACACCTTATCGCACTGCGCTTGATCGTACGCTCAAGCCGGCCCGGTTGAAGAGACTTGCTCCAGTACTTGAGAGACATGCTCAGCGGGAGTTTGATGCGCTACTGGAGGCCTATCATGTGGAGGATGGAGATGACGGCGATAAGCCCCAGGCTAGTCAAATCGATATTTCTGCCCAGTTTGGAGCGTCTTTTGCTGCATGGGTCGAGGTTGCGTGGTTGAATCTTGAGGGCGTGGTTGAATCTTGAGGATGAGATTGCACCTGTTCTGGCCAGCACGGCAGCCAAATGGGTGAGTGCGTGGCGTCAGCAGAACGCCGCCGAGACAAGCACGCAGTCTGCAAGGCTATACAATCTTGCAAGGGAATTGTTTGCAGATCGAAAGAAGTCAAAACGGGATCCAGAGTTGGATCCAGCATCATCACTACTGCTCGAAGTGGGGCCAGATGGAAGGCCGTTGGATGATGAGCTTCTTGTGTGAGTACTAATTATATCATACGACATATTATTTGATGGAGAAAGGTTTTCTTGAGAATGTACGCTGATAAAATGACTGCAGTGGTGCTCTACGCCAATCACTTGTAGTCGGCATGGTTGCCCCTCCGATTCTAATTGGCGATATCTGCGCTCATCTTTCCCGCGACCGAAGTCTACAAGCTCGGCTTCGAGCCGATCCAGCCCTGATACCTGCAGCTGTGGAGGAATTCATTCGTCTTTATGTGCCATATCGGGGATTCTGTCGCACTCCAAAACACGATATCAACCTCCATGGCCGTACGATAGCAACCGGGCAGCCGGTGACCATGACATATGCAGCTGCAAATCGTGATCCAGAAGTGTTTGATAACCCTAACTCCTTTATCATCGACCGGGAGAATATCAACTCACATCTTGGTTTCGGGAGGGGGAGACATCGTTGTGCGGGCATGCCTCTTGCAAGAATGTGAGTTCTTTATATTGCATAAACCGAATAGAGTGGGGAGGTACGGCTATGCTAACACCGAACAGGGCGCTGCAGATCGCGCTTCGGGTGATATTACAGCGGACAGACGATTTTGAAGTCAACGGGCCCCTTCAATACGCGGCCATGCCGGAGATGGGTATCAAAAGTTGCCCGTTGCGTGTAATTCCAGCACGTTCTTACTGACCGAGGGGAAATGTTTTCTTCGCTCTTAAATTGTTTTCTTTGGTAGACCTAGTTCCATTAACACAAGTTGTTGTCACTGGTACGACAAAATCTGCCTTGTCAGGATATCTCTTGCTCCATCCACTCCCTAAAATATTCCCCGACAATGTTTTATTGTCATTTTGATAATCAAAATCCAATAGAGAACCCGGGAGATAATTTCAACGCAATTCAGGGAGAAGGAAGGCTCGAAAGATATTTAAAAAGACATTTTAAATAGAGAGGCACTCAAAGCGTATCTAAGTAGACTTCTTCTCTACTTGCTAGCTTCATACTCATAGAGAGAATATCAACCGAACTAAGTCCAGTGTACCGTTGATATGAAAAATAACACCGGGACTACTTTGTATTATTCGAGATTACTTCGTGATCTTAAGATAAGGGTATAGACTTTTTCACTTTCGGTCTGGCCTCAAACTATACGTTCTTCAATGATCTAAGCTCGCGGATAGCGCTTATCAACTCGTCTTACAAACAGTACCGTTTCTATAGATCCAGCGATGCCAGAGACAATGAGGTTCCTTAATACTTGTCCCACGAAATGGTTCATTGCATGAGCTCAATCCAAGCCCCAACAACCTGCTCCATCTCCCGAGCGACGCTCCACTGTAATGAGATAGCGCGCAACAAGCTTCGAATAGATGTCAACTCATACGAAAGATCGCGCAGCGAGCCTTTATCAGAAACTCCGTCTCTCACGAACGTTAAGGTATCGTTGGAGGTTCTATGCGTCCGCAGAGCTTCCACTTCCTCATCCACGGTAGCAGCCTGAACGGCAGTTACCCAGTCTATCGTGGGAGGAAGAACCACTTTACCAGGGCCTGCCAAAGCAAGGGCACTATACGTGGTTGCTGCAGCAAATATAGCACCGGGAACATTGATATCATAGGCCATACCGAGCGGGAGATTTGTAGCAAGCTCTTGGATTTCAGAGGCATGTAGCAAGGCAATACGCGCACTCTTGCTTTGTGCCCAGCGTCGTGGATCTATGTCCTGTTCATCACGACTGTCGCCTCCAAAGATTCGCTGTGGAATTCTATGCAGTGAACACATTCTGCGGCTACCTCGTGCGGTGCTACCAACCAAATCAAGACATATTGTGTGCCACTGCAGCATTGCGACTACTTGGTCTGGTGAGGAGAGGCGATGGTTTTGAAGTATCTGCTCCCGCAGCCTTATGACAGCATTGCCAATGTCTTGCTTCGATGGTACACCTACAGGTGCTGGTTTTGTTCGATTTGCGTCAGCAACAAGAGACCGGATACCCTCAAGAACAATCTTGTGGTGAAACAATGAAATTCCGTACTGCGGCCACAAGCTAGTGATAGTCATGTCATCTTGAGAAAAGAGTGCGTGGAACACGTCGCAGAATCGAAAATTGTTCGACGGTAATAAGCGGCTTTTGAGGCTCGCCTGAATCCACTCCTGGGCTGTAGCCGCGTTGAAAACCGACTCGTCACTCGGGAGAGCGAGGGGATTGGCCATGTGTCGAGCAAATGTCGGATTGCCGCTGAACTGAGACACCACGCCATCCACGATGTAAAGCCCTAGCAAAGTGCGGAGTCTGGTCTCCTGAGCAATCCAACTATACCAAGCACGCTGCATTACTTCGGAACTTGCGTCTGGAGAGGGTAGTGAAGGTTGACCTAGCCCTTCGTACATGCCGCAGTGACTAGCCCAGAAGAGCGCCAACCCATGAAAGACTTGGCTAGTGGTTCGCAGAGTCTGATTGTTTGACAACGCAGCATATATTTGACTAAGCAGCATTGTTTGAACAAGACAAACTCCATTGCATGAATCATATGGTCTTTGTTGCTGAATCATTGCGTGCCATGATGTTGCGACGGCAGTGTGAGCAAGCTGCCAGAGAGCGTCCGCCTACTCTTGTCAATTCATTTTATCTCCACTCTATTGCCGACGATGAGATCAGCTCACCTTCAAGTTCGCATCTGTAGTTCCTAAAAATAAAGCACCCAATGCAATAGCGTTCAGCAAAAGAGGCGGAGGGCAATCTCGGAAGACAAATGTCGGTTGATGGATAATGGGAAACATCGGGACTATAAATCTGAAAAACATGTGCAGACTACTATCCAGAAACCGGGAAGTGAGTCCTTCCAAGGCTGGTGGAGCTGTTACATTGCAGAACTAGCCCGGAGTTAGTTGGCCATTACATTGTCTCATTTGATGTTAATGTGTAAATACCGTCTCGTTAATCAGCCCGCTTAAAGACTGAATCGCTCGCTCTCCATCTTCTGCGGTGCTACTACAATTTGATGGTGAAATGCCTTGCTCAGCTGGAGTTGTCTCCGAATGGGTTGGAGGAATGCTAAGCGTCTGCGGCATCAGGGAAGCTGGTTGGTTCCAGATACCAGGATCAATTGCCAGGATGTTCTGTAACAGGCCCTCGGAGTCGGGCCAGAGAAGCGAAGAACAATCTTCGAGTGACAGAGTATCGTGACTTTGGTTCATGTATGAAAGGTCACCCGGCTGTTGTTGTAAAGACAGCGGCGAGATCGAGATATCTTCTGGGATATCCTGAGCTCCGAGTAGGATGGAAATCAACCCGATGGACGCGAGAATGTCGATTTAGTACATCCTGTCGAGCAAAGCATCGACCACATACCGGGCATGTGAAGGGTTTGTCACCGCTATCTGGAAATTCTGTTACTCTGTAGTTCTCCACCTTTGGAATGTATACGTACGGATTCGTTCATGTCTCTAAAATGAATCTTTAGCACAGAATTCGAATAAGTGACGCTGGTAGCTTACCTGGAGATGTTCCCGTTTTGTATACCGCCTTCCACAGACATTGCACTCCAAGTCAAGCTTTCTACGTCGACGGGGGTGCGATGGAGGCATTTCGGTATTAAGATATACACTACTAGGGGGCCAGGGACTTTTCAGGAATGTGCTCTCAATCTCCGTGCTAAGAGTACCTAGATTGGTAAGAGGTAGTGGTTCCCCAGAAATCGTTGGGGGAAATTCCGGCAACCTGGGGTCTGTCATGGAAAAGTGGAGACTAGCATTTCAGTGACCTCGGATTTGTCACGTGGAATATCAACTTGCCTGCATATTTGTATGTAAAAGTGGGTAACACCTCGACTTCGATACCGTACCCCGAATACTCGGTAACACCACACAAGGGCGGCTCAACGCGGACCTTCTTCAATTTTGGACACAGAGTTTTCCTTCTTCAATCAATCAATCATTTTCTGATGGTTCCGGTACTTCTTCGTCTTCCTAATTCATACTAGTCCATGCACCCACTGGCCTTGCTTGGACAGTGTCTTTTGCGGGGTAGCGTCTTATGGGGAACCACGCTGTCAATCTAGTTCCCCACACTATCAATCTGGTTCCCCACACTTCTAGTTCGAAGGCTTCACGGAGTTGCATAAATAGCAGAAATTGCCATTATGTTCATCTGTTTTCAGTCCAGGTTACTTTGATTTCTTCTCAGCCATGACGACTAGTTTGGCAGCAATTAACGACAAACCTTCCGTGGCCGAAGTTGAGATTGCGAAGCATGAAGGAGCTCCTGTTCGTTCTACAGTGGCTCATTATGTACCGGCTACCGAGGAAGAACAGGCCTTAGACAGAAAAGTCAACTTGAAGTTTGACCTGTGCATTATTCTCTTCCTCTCTTTGGGATTCATTGTAAGTCGTTGTCACGCGCAGCTATCCTTCTTGTGGCTTACCAACCGATTGTAGCTGTTGGGCATTGACAAAACCAATATTGGATACGTTGCGACAAGCACATTTGTTAAAGACGCAAATTTGAAGCCGAATGACATTCCAAACTCTTTGTCTTTGGTACGATTCCAATTTACATGTGCGGACTTCGGATTTGAATGTTAACACGCAATTAGTTCTCTGCTACATATGTGCCTCTCCAGCCTATATCAAGCATAATAGGTCGCCGTGTGGGAGCAAAGTGGTGGATTTCAGTTTTGATGATTGCCTGGGGAAGCATATGCATCGCACACGTTGCAGTTAGGAGCTCCTCGACCTTTTACGCGCTTCGTTTACTCCTCGGAGTTGCAGAAGCAGGTTTCACACCAACAGCGTTTTATTACATGTCAACCTTCTACCCGAAATTTTCTTTAGGTTTCCGCATGGGTATGTTCTCCGGCATGTATTCAGTGGCGGGTGCATTCGCCGGTCTTCTCGCGTACGGCCTTCTTCACTCGGAGACATCAACCCTACGAGGATGGCAGATGCTGTTTCTTGTGGAGGGTGTCATGACGGTGGCTGTAGCTTTAATTGCTCTTGCAATACTGCCGAAAGATATCTCCAAAGCTTGGTTCCTGACCGAGATGGAGAAAGGGCATGCGCTACGTCGAATGGAGAGAGATCTCCAAATGGGCTTTGATTCCGCCATCGGGGATTGCATTGACAGTGATGGCGACTTATACGCCGCTAAAGATGATCAGACAATCACTGTGAGAGATATTAAGGACGTTTTCATGGATTGGAAGAAGCTACTGGTCATTTCTTTCAATATTCTGAGTGTGCTGGTAAGATTTGGCCTCTATTCGCTTAAAATTCTTTGCTTTACTGATGAGTCCCTCAAGCCTGTCACGGCATTTACCACGTTTCTACCTCTTGTTGTTCAAGGCATGGGTTACCAAGGCGTCGAAGCCACGCTTATGTCCGCTCCCCCATTTGTTGTGGGGACAGTTGGCCTGATGGCGATTGTCTATTCATCAGACCATTTCAAGGAGCGCAGCCTTCATACTTGCTTTGGTATGGCACTTGGTCTGATTGGATGTGTGGTTATGGCAACTTCGTCAAATCCACGACTAAGATATGGCTTTGCTCATGTTTGTCTGTCTGGAGTATTTGCCGGGGGCCCTCTGATTGCGGTATGGTTGGCAGGTAACACACCAGGAAAGGTACGTACTGATCAAGGCTCTTTGGTCGAAACTTTCGCTGAAGTATTCACAGGGAGCGAGGGCAATTATCCTCGGTCTAAATGGCTGGTCGAACATTGCCGGTGTGATTGCTGGACAATTATTCAAGCACTCCTACGCGCCTTCGTATCACTACCCGCTGACCATAACAATGATCTTGGTTGGTGTCGGCATACTCGGATTCTGCGGCGTAAGAGGGCTCTATATGTTGGAAAATCGACGTAGACGCAAGGAAATCGCAGGTTGGGACGAAGCCCGATTTGCGATGGAAGCTTCAAGCACGGAAAGAAGGGGTGATCAACGTCACATGTGGATCTACAGCTATTAGTTGTTGTCAATGCAAGCATATACAGTACGAAGGCCATAAACATTCCTCTGATAATGGATTGCGAATTCCTGACGTCCCGTGTGGTAGATTATACCTACCGGGTTTAAAAAACAGGGCAGCTTGTAAGTAGCATGAATCTCGAATTAAATCATACCATTTGCGGCAGACCCTTTGAGCGGGCGAGAGCAAAGTACGCGTGTTGATTACGAGCAGGATCGTTTCCAAGGATTCTGTTATCAGTAAAATCTTGTTCGGTTCCGATGAACCTATGATTTGAAAGGTGCAATTTGGGGACGGTGACAACCCACGAATGCACACCACAGTTGGTGCCACATTGTACAGCCCTTTGTAAGAGACACTCAGTAGCGTTGACCCCACCCTGTAGCGAAGCGCCAGGGATAATATTGCTAGTGGCAATCTTGCCGTTACTGTAGTAGATGTACGAGAAGGCAAAAGCACCAATAGTCAAACCTCGGAGCTCTTTGGGAACAATGGCCGTGTTCAGTCTCGTTGCAGAGTTCAAAGACCAGGTGATGACCGTCCGTTACCCGGCAACGACCTCAGCGTTCTCCATGGGAGTTGTGTTGGGGCCATGAGAAGCAAGTCAGGAAATCCATCGCCGTTGATTCCGTCAGCGAGGATGTTCTGCGCGCCGCATGTAACACTGCTCATGGCTAAATCACGTCTGTGGATGGTGTTTGATTTGAAGAAATCATCGCCCACGTCGCAGTTGTTGTTGTCTGATCTGGAGAGTAGCGACTGTAGGTGCTTTGCGACATCTGAGTCGATTTCCATGTCTCCTGCGCTTCCACCATGTGCGACACTTGCAAGGGTCATAACCACAGCTGAAGGGCTAGACAATTGTTAACTGAGGGTTTTAGCATAGGTAAAGGTAGAGGACCCTCGCCCGCAAGCTATGTCCTGATCCGGCGGGGCAGTGACCGTCACCTCAGATCCCCCTTCAGTGACAACAACAATAGCAGTGGCTGTTTCTAGATTGAAGGCATCCTATGTGAGCCGCAGGAAGCATCAGGGACACCGGAATATCATGGTTCGAATCCAGGCGGTAGAACATTAGGAATAGTATCCCCGCAACGGCAACAGCCGCGCCTTCTAGCATGCCCACTTGGCGCTCCTCCAGGCTGCAAGTTGTTAGTACCCTATCCGAGTCTTCGAGGACGTCCATAACGGCTTGGTAACACGCTGAGTCAGGTTCTGCACACTTGTTGTCCATCGCGGAATTGGCGCTGCGAGATCGCCAACGAAGACGTAATCATCGGCACCATTGCAATAAGGGATTAAAGAGAGCAACAGCACAAGAGACGAAGCGGGCGCCATTGCTTCCAATTGATGGTACAATGAGAGTGGCTATTACTTGAATTGATGAGACATTACGCATTATATAGCCATGCCTTTCGAGAAAATCTGTGTATACCTCTCATCCGTCCGATTAACTTCAAATAAGGGTTTAGTACAAAAACGTACAATCCCTCGACGAATTAATGACTAAAATACTATTTCTCTCATAGTACAGCAAGTGACTCGGAGTATTTTACTGTGAGGAAGGTTCCAGGCTAATGGGGTCGGTCATGTGGACATCACATGTTTTTCTCTACATTTCAATACAACCTCATCCAACCATCTCCATTTATCATTCGATCCGGATATCCGGCAACCTGCCACAATGGAGCCTAACGCCTTTCACCGAGAATTTTACCTTGCGAGCTCCGTTGGCGACATGCCAAAAATCCATGAAGCAATCGCCACCGGCCGCTTAACCGTTGAAAACCTTGACGCCGCACTCAAACGAGCAACACTAATGTCACACGCTGATGCTATGGCTACCCTTTTTGACGCCGGTGCTCGCGTCTCAGCAGGGGCGACGGGCTGTCTCCACGGAAAAGACTTCCACCAGGACCCTCGGGTTGTCCGCCTCTTCCTAGACAACGGCTTGGACCCCAACACGAGGATTTCTAGCGGCGAACCTCTACTCCCGTATATTGCACCCGAATGAAAAAGAAATGAGATGTCTTAGACAACTAACTCTGCCCTGGTGGTATAGCATGATCTTTAATCCCTCGGCTGCTGCTGTGTTGCTCTCTGCCGGCGCGGACCCTAACCTCCGCGGACCAAGAGGAGTTCCTCCTCTCGGCAGCATTATCGTGAGCACCCAGGAACCAGATACCTCCATGCTCGAGCTATATCTCGATAACGGGGCGAGATTTGAATCAACACTGCTCTTCTACTCTGTCGCTCCGCGCATACAGCAGCGCGAACTGATGACCCGCTTTCTGCTTGACAGGGGCGCAGACCCGAATGTGACTTCCGACGAATGGGGCACACCTCTACACCTCGCTGCGAGGCACGGCAAAGTTGACATCCTTAAGATGCTGTTGGAGGCTGGAGCGGACCCTACTGTCCTGTCTGTTGGCAGGATGATCGGCAAAAAGACACCAGCGCAGGTGGCTGAGTACATGGGACATACCGAGACCCGCGAGGGCACACTCAGTCTCTTCCAGGGTTACTCTCGCTGAAGATCCTGTATTCTTTACAAATGAAGCAGGTTTCGCACGTAAAAAGATGTCGAGAGCACCTGTGGTCCCCAAAAACCACACCCGTCTCTTAGTCTATCAACGGAAGCGTCTTCCTCGTCGCTACCATGAGGGTCCCCTTCTGGTCGCTGGCCTTGGTGGCCATTTCAGCCTCTGCAAACTTGATCAGCACTGGTAGATATTCTCCTATTTGAACCAACTACGGGTCGTCTCTCGGTCAATATTAACAGTCTAGTAGAAACCGACCCTTACCTCGACGGGCCCGCAGACTTCCTAGCCAAACGATCAAACCTCGTCAAGCGCTCACGGTCAAAATGCGGTCCCAATCTAGCTTCAGCAGCAACGGCAGCCAACATCGTCAACCTGAGCGCGCGCAACGTCTCGCTCGGCTACATCCGCCTAGAGCGCAATGGGACCTCCCGCGCAGCACACCGAGTGAAGCGCATGGAGCTACCGAACGAGAGCATGGGCGTGCTTATCGAATACGAAATCCCAATTTCAGCGAGCCGATCGTCCCGTACGAAGAAACAGAAACGCCCGAGGACATGAGGACCGGGTTGTTTAAGAAATCAACACCCTCTGCGTCAGGGAGCAGTATAGCACTAGAGCACAGCATATTACGGGCTGCACAACTATGTATATTACCAGCCGGAAGGGCGTGATAGGCGTGTATGCTGTGCATTGGTGGGAAAATCTCTGGTTTGATGCGGACCCTGTGTGAATAGAAGACGGGCAGTCGCAGGACGAGTTGTTTCAGTCTACTGTCATTGATATGTTGACAGATGGCGGGGCATCCCACCCGAAGCTGGATGATGGTCATGAGTATATCAAGGCCTATATTGTCCGTCCCACGACGACCTGAAACGATGTGGCCGGGGGCTAGGCAGATATGCAGACCGGCGGGAGACGGTTCGGACGACGGTTGGGGAGATTATATTTTCCTTGTAGGATCGATCCCGATGGATGGATGTCACCTAGGTGGCACTGAATAATGATGATCCTAGACTTGACGCGAAAAGTTCACCCGCTGGGAAGAACATCTTTAAGTATGACCCGAGGCATAGATCAGGTGGGGAGACGAGGGCGACGGCAATGATGTGGGTTAAGAACGAGCTTACCCCGTACCATATGGATCAATGGTAGGTGCGTGAGCCAACTAGGGGGGCTGTGTGTACCTATTTCATGTTAACAGGGTAACAGACTTCGATCTGGCTGTCTGATGCCGAGCTCTAGTTAGGTGCATAAGAATACTTAAATCAAATCTTAGCTTAGATACTTCAAGTGCAGACCACATTCACTACCGCCCAGAGACGGTCTTCCACCCCGACAAAGTCTCACCCTTCGCAAGTAAGAGATATTTCCCCAAAGACCCGTACGTCATTAACCTTACTTAATATCGAATTTAAAGTCTATTGCGGAAGTCAGAGGCTCTATTATTATATATCCCATTTTCTTCAAAGTTTCTGTTACTTGCCCTTTAATCCACGGGTTGAGAGATAAAAAGATTTCGTATTCAATACCGCACTTAGGTGCTTATGCCTCTACCCTAAGAATTCAGATCTATAGTGATTTCTATTAGTTTAGCTATATAGCTCATTCATCTATTCCGATAAAATAACTAGCTAGTAGCTTGGATTCCCGGGTAAGGAAAAACATTAATATCCGCACGATGTCTGACAATAGGTATGCACTACGTACCTAGCTTAAGGCGACATTAAAGTCAGCCTCGTCGTTCATTTAGCCAGTCCTGGGTTAGGATTCAATAGGATCTACAAGGTGCCAAGAAAGCACTGTTTCAACTTGATCACGTTGAACCCATAAAGCTACATCGCGCGACGGAGGGTGAGAATCACCCGCTCTCACCCGCATTTTCACCCTGTCTATTGCGCACTCACCCCGTCTATTGCGCACTCACCCCATTCACCCCTAGGCGGGCGACGCTCATTGTCATTCATTATACTCAAATTCTTTTAATCGGTGAGTACTTAAGTCAATTCAACCATGTACTAAGCACATACGACCATAGGGTGTGGAGAACAGGGCTTCCCGTCCGCTCAGCCGTACTTAAGCCACACGCCGGCCAGTTAGTAGTATGGTGGGTGACCACATGCGAATCCTGGCTGTTGTATGTTTTTATCTATTTTTCCCTTTCACTCAACTTTTGTTGACCTGGCTTTGGTTTTGGTAGTCTTCGTCAAAGTTGAATCAAAGCCGGGTCAGGGCATCTCACTGATCGTAAGTGAGAGATGATGACCAGCTTCTATTCAGACACTGCATCCGGATTGTGGCTGCAATGGGTGAAATATTCCAACGCTCAGGTAGCAGGAGTTCCATAATATATTGATTGTTCTAGAACATATTGAGACTTAGAAGGGATCCATATGTAACATAATACCTCGTCCCTTTAGTAAGAATTGAGCGTCACGCAAAAAGATTGAATTTCGCTGAACTTTGTGGTTCGCTCGTGCCCAGAAACCATCACAATTGCGCAATAATACAAAATGGATCATACAACATGCTTCCTCCCAATTAGGCCATCACGGAATTTTAGGTCCCAGGGGAACGAGTAGAGACGCGTCTGATGAGCAACCGACCCACATATCAAGCAGCCACGACCCGGGCAACGTGGCTGGGTAGTCACGGTGGGTAAGTCGGTCCGCCCAAAGTAGCGCTATTTCCTGTTGTTCTTGGCAGCGACAAGCTGGGGTGTTACGACAGCATTAATTTCCAAATTCTTGGTGGACACCCCGCTGCATTTATGGATATACATAATTGAACAGTCGTTCTTGTCCCTACTGTTGTACCAACTATGATGAACCGCCAGCCCGGGCCAAAGTTGTTCCGTATTGCTTTCGTCATCCAGTTGAAATGGTGGATCCGATCTATCTGCGGTGCATCCTAAACGCCAGAATCGAGCCTGACCGGAGTTCGTCACTTCCGACTGCCGACCGCTAGTGACCTGGTTCTGATGGACCCCCCTAAAGCCATTCCGAGTAAGTTTAGTGCCCCCGGGCCCGATTGCTTGACTTATCTCGAGATTCCCATGAATAGCTGTACGACCTTGCGGCCTCGAGAGCTAATCTAACCACATGTTACAATTAACTAGGTAAGGCAACTTTGATACTCTACAGGTACAGATGCTAAACAATAAAAACCATGATGCCATACCATGATTCCTTGAATCGTCATGCGTACACCCTTCAAAATTGATGGCGATCCCAATTACGAGCAAGCTAAAATTGCCAAGGGACTGATGGAATAAAAATGTCTAGATATTCTTTTTTAGGCGTGCATATACTTACAATCCAGTCATAGCGATTTCTATAAAGAAGCCACTGCACATAATGTACGCAGCTGTACCATGTCTTTTCCGTACTTGAAGCGAGCGGCTTCTGCTTGACTAATTAGGACTAGATCAGGTACAATGCAACCTGGGATACAGGGCAAAGTTAGATACGATTGGTTCAAGATTGCGATTAATTTTCATTATTTCTTTCAAAAGCCAGTTATGCAGAGGGTTGCCTTTAGGTACGGACTCAGCGCACTCTGAAACACGGTCCCATTGTGGCAGTGTCGAAGCTGGCGCAAACGATGACCCAGATTTACTGGCTGTTTGTGACAGAACTCCCCACACCCCTATCTCTAGCATCACTCCGTTATTAAAAAAAATTAAGCTGCCTTAATTTGTGGGGCATTTTCTCGTAACAATGTGAGCCTTTTCCATCTTCATTTATTTGCATCAACTCTTGCTGTACTTACTACTCTGGCTGCCTCTGGTGTTTTCGCAATGTTGCCAGGCCCATGGTGCCCCAGAGGTGTCATCGGCGCTCTCTATTTTGCTGGACTGAGCAACGCCGTCAAGCTCCTTGAATCTAGCGCTCTTGTCTCATGCTCAGATACCAGTATCATCGAGACCAGCAAGTTTGAGATGACACTGACACCAGGCAATGCCAGCCTCGCCATCGAATTCGACGGTGAACTCACTTACTCCGGCAAAGTAATTATGGATGTTAGTTTGCTGGTCTACGGGTACAGCTTCTTGACTGCGCAAATGGACCCGTGCGACTATGATTTATCCGGATTTTGCCCAATGACACCAGAAAACCTAACAATGCCATCTACAACGATTACTTTGTCAGATAGTGTGATATCAACAATTCCAAGTGAGTTTGTTGGTCCTTTTGATGAGAAATTGGATTCTACGCGATTTTTGTCTATCTGTGTTCCCCAATTGACCCTCAGCATTTTGCTAGGCATCGCCTATATGGTTCCTGATCTCGATGCCATCGTCCGTGTCAATTTACTTTCCAAGTCGACAAATCAAACTCTCGCTTGTATCGAAGCCCGTATCACCAACAGTTCTACGGTCTACCAAGCGGCTATAAGCTGGACACTTGCCGTTATCACAGGACTGAGCCTTTTCGCAAGCACACTCCTCTCAATTCTCGGATATGATAATATCGCGACACAAGTTTTGTTCCGCACATTACTCTTCCTTGGTTTCATACAGAGTCAAGCCATTGCTGGCCTCGCTGCGGTGGATTATACGCCACTAATCCAGAATTGGACTCAGAATCTTCAATGGACAATGAGCATTGTACATGCGACTTTCCTGAACACCATGACGACTTGGTTCCAGCGTGCGACGGGAGGTACAGCTTCAGATCTTATTTCCGAGGCCGACGATATTTCAATCGGTCTCCTGAGACGTTCAACGGATCTCCTCGTAAAGAGAAGCGACACGACATCAGATGGAGCGGAAGTCCTGCTGCACGGAATCGTTCGCATGGGATACATCGCAGGCATTGACTCTACCAATATCTTTATGACAGGGTATCTGGTCTTTTATTTCATTACGATTTTCATGCTCTTGGCTATCATGGCCCTCAACTTTGCTTCACCTGCAATTTTGAACAAGATTTACGGTGCGAAGGCCTATGATGCCTTGAAAGCTCAAGTTGACTGGCAGACTTTCCTGGGAGAGAATGTTTGCCGGATCGCATATCTCGGTTTCCCGCAAGCCTGCGTGTTTTGCATGTGGGAATTATATCGCCGGGATTCGGCAGCTGAAGTTGTCCTCGCTATCACTTTGTGGCTCGTCATGACTATCGTCCTCGGCAATGCAACTTTTAGAGGCTTCCGCTCTTTTGGGGGCTTTCGCTATGTGCGACTGTGGAAAGATACGAACAAAATCTCAAATTGGTCGCCCTGTACTAATCAGACCTGCCAATCGAAATGGGGCTACCTGTACATTCTCTACAGAGCCGAGGCGTACTACTTCGTTGCTCCTCTACTACTCTATACAGTCTTGAAAGGCATGGTCATCGCATTCACACAGAACATTCCTTTAGCACAGGCTATTGTTCTTCTCATCATTGAGGCTGCTTTTTTGATCTCTACCGCAGTTATACGACCCTATTTCGACAAGAAATCCAACCGCTTCGCGATAACCGCCGCTGCCCTGAATTTTGTCAACGGCATCTTTATCCTGGTGTTTACAGATACCTTTAATCAGCCAGATCTCATGACTGGGATCATGTCTGTGTTGTTTTTCTTCTACAACGCAATATTTACCCTTGTCCTTCTCATATTCTTGTTGATCGGCCTTTTCTACGCTAGCCAGCTCAAGGAGCTAGCTTCGGGATGGCAGCCTCTCCCTCAAAACCGTGCCTCTGTGTATTCCACAAATCAATTGCTTCAGGCCGACAATCGAGGGTCAATCGAGCTGCTTTCCCCTCACCAGGCAGAAATGACAACTGGAGAGCTGTGGCGGTCACAGCGCCCCCACCCGCCTACAGGCAAGAATCTTGAATTAAGCGTGACAATTCCTCGGAATTCAAGCACCATGCCGTCTGAGTCACTTTGGAATGTTGATCATGGACACGATGGGATTACCTACAATGTACGGCATAGCGCCGCACCTCCTTCCCCATTTGCGCATCCGGTTGAACCAACATTGCCTAAAATTCATATTAGCTAGAGCGAATTGAGAAGAAAATAGAACTCAAATTTTTGGACTCAATCGTATCATCAATTGACTGAGGGCCCCATGCTGCAACAGAATTTGCACGAGTGCTCTTACAGGCGCAAAATTAGGGGCATGAGGGCTTGTAATAGTGACTGGAAGAAACTTATTGAAAAGTTTATCAGAAAATACAAACTTGAACTCTTCTTGCTCTTTAAGATACCATGTTGCATCGAAAATGCCGATATCAGCTGGAAAACTGCAGCCATAAGTGTCGCAATAGCATAAATCATAAATTTGAAGCTTGCGCGTAAAAATCCAATAGAACCGGATAGGATGTGGAGGAAACGGCGTAAGTTTTCATTTCCGTTACACTGAATATTCCCAAGAAGTCTAAAGATACCCCCTGGAGTCAGCGACTTTTTTGCGAAACGTGACAGACTCAATTAGTACTAACTCACTAATCGAATATCTACGAAACTTGGATGACTAGTGGAAGATGTATACTCGCTTGCAGCATATTGTATATTCTGCGAGCTTGGCTAGCCTTGCTTACTCGTTAGAGTAAAGTTATCGCGGTTTGCACACCAAAGTCTTTCTTACTTGGATTATGTGAAGAGACTAATCTCAGAAATTGTTGAGAAATGGAATTAGATTGTGTCTGGGAAATCTAGGGGGGTCTCTTGGATTGGGTGGAAGGCAAACACGTCTGTTTAGGTCGGCTCCCGTGTAAGGCTTCAAGTTACTGGGTCGCTTTACCAAGGTATCTAAAATAGGCCGCGGCCCTATCCGCTAATCCAGGCGACTAAACCCGCAATAGAAGAGCTTGCCAAAGAGGTGAGCACTACTTACGAAGCCAACGTCGATCTGACTTAATGTTCTCCATGCCCTATATTGACATACTTCGTGCAGATCTATGGTCTTCATCCTATCACCTCCCAAAAGTCTCACCCTCAAATATGACATTCTCTTCGATGCCTTCAACAGAGCCGCATAAGGTTGCTTTAGTAACGGAAATCCTGGAAATGATTTTGCTCCAGACCGATATGCAGAAATTACTTATATCAGCTCAAACGATCTGCCATAAATGGCATGATCTGATCCAGAACTCGGCCGACCTACAAGCTGCCCTGTTTTGAAGCCTATAAGATACACAATACCAAATGAGACGCCGGGTATTCGCAATCCGCTACTGGCCCAATATATCTGGCCCTGGTTTTACTGTCGAAGGAGGCGCAAAGACGCCAGATGTTAATTCTCGGGAATACCTGACTCGGTTTAACGATCGGTTTCTTTGAGAAGGGGCAAGTGGGTCACGAATGCTCTTTCAGCAACCTCCTCGCTCATGTATCAGACTTTTTGAGCAGGATAGAGAGGTAGTAAATGGTCTCGCATACACAAAATTGGTTCAAATGAAGGGCGATCACTTACGAATTGGAGACATAGTCCGAATGCGGCTTGCTAGCCAAATTCATCCTCTACTCGAAGAAGGACTACTCTGGTATGGAGTTATTCACACTGAGAGGATCATACAAGAATCTTCTTCGGTTATCAAGTATCAAGAGGAATCAAAGATGTGTGGAGAAATCCCCTTGGGCCAGGTAACGTACGCTGCCTCTCAATGTCTACAGGAATGTGATTTTGTGTTTTTTGTCTCACAATGCTCCTGCATCCGATTGTATTGGACTCCTGGGGCTGTGTATCAGTCCTTGTATGATAGCCTATATGAAAGGCTACGCGATCTTCTCGGGATGGCTGCCGTGCCTGGGCAGATTTCTGTTCCGATGCCTTCGGAGAGCGCTTCTCGAACTACTTAGACTACTACTACGGTACGATTTAGAGTCTCTAAGTAGGGAAAAGGCCTAGCCTTTAATTAATAGATTAGTAACTTAATACTAGAACGCGCTATTATATCAGATTTCACTTACTCTAACTAGCGCGGTATAGGTAATATTGATTTGTGCATTACTAGCTGCGATTAAGTTAGGAAGTGTAACCGTAAAGTTCTGATAGGAAGGCTGGCTCGACTCGTGGTGCTACGGGTCGAAAGGGCCCTGGTAAAGAATTATACCCATGACCGCGCCTGCTAGTTGACAAGCAGTAGATGCATAGGAGGAAACCCTAATTACGTAGTAAATATCATATCTAGTAGGACGTAGTGAATACCTTTGTTAGGTAGAATATTATATAATCATAAGGTGTGGGCTAGGGTAAATTTTACTACGTTACTGTATTAGTCCTATAGATCATCGCCTTTTCTTATGAGAAAGACTTTAGCAGGAAAGAGGAGCACACACATCGCCATCCACATTGGCTGTTATATGCTGCGGTTGTCGACTGGGCAAATCAGCCACTATATCTGCTCAGCATTCGATGGAAAGTATTTGTGATTATGAAATATTAGCCAGGTTTGGTATCTTTATGACGGGAAATACAAGTTTCATTAATTGATACTACTTATGATGACACGTTTTTAAAAAGTCTGCAAACAATATCTTATGATTTTTTCTCCAGCATTAGCCGATTAGTTATAAAGTTGCTAAATAACACGCAATCCCATTCACCGTCAACGTTGTCCCTAGCGACGCACGAGTTCACTTCCTCTATTAACCTTTGTTACTATACCCATCACCCCGGCATTAACCGATCATCCAAAACACTATGACAGACACCGTCGCAACGACAGTTGTTACCTTTCTAGGCTGTGGTAGCATATCCCTGGTCTCTCTAAATGATATTTTTTTATTAACCCCCCTGTTTAGGGGTCTTCGGCACGGCAATCTTACGTGGTGTTGTCTCGGCCCTCGAGAAGCAGCTAACGTATCCATATTCGAATGGGGCCGCCGCGAAATCAACTCTAAAATGTGTCTATGCCTGCGTGCGCACCCACAGTAGTGCTCAACGCATCAGATACAGCATCAGCGAGAAAGAGCACGTCAAGATAGTGGTAGGAGATAACGCCCATGCCGTCCAGGCTGCAGACGTGGTGGTCCTTTGTTGCCGCCCTGGTAATGTGGGCGTGTGTTTAGGGCCCGACCGTGTCCGCAACGCATTGAGAGGAAAGCTCTTAATTAGTGATGTGGCTGGCTTGTCAATTGCCGACCTAAGTGGCTATTGTGGCCCTGGTCATCATGGTTCCGGGGATGCGGGGGTGTACATTGTGCGCGTAATGGCGAACCTGGCGGCGATGATACAGGAATCTATCACCGTGGCGACAATGCAGGAAGAACAACCATACCGGCCGCCGCCGGCCGCTACCAACTTGGCACAATGGATCTTCGAGCAAGTTGGGCGTGTCATGTGAGTTGAGCCATCGCAATTCGATACATGCGTGACCCTGTGCAGCTCCGGGCCAGCTTTTGTCTGTACTTTCCTAGAAGGTCTGATTGATGGAGCCGTGCTGAATGGATTGGAAAAAACCACTGCCACGGAGATGGCAGCTTTGATGCTTAGAGGGACTGCAAGCTTGATCCTGGCTGGCCGCTCCACACCATCTGTCATGACCAAGCTCTGGACCTTGGTGAAGAAGAATCCCGCAAAGGAGGTAAGGAGGAAAAGACGACTGACTAGCAGAATGTCAAGACGAATGGCTGGGCTGCTTCTTCTTCTCAGTAGCTGGTTCGGATCGGCCAACAAAGACACAGCTTCAACCTTTGCCGACCAGAATTCACTCCAACAGGTACAGAGCATCTATCCGTGCAAATGCTGCAGAGAGTTTTGAATGCGATCGCGTTGTCCCGGTCTGCTCATTCTGTGCCCAGGAACAGCTTCTATGCTTCTATATCAGCCACAAAGTCTAGAAACGCACGAAGGGTATTGGCCAGAAGCCCTGCCTAGTCGGAAATACTGCTTAGTAAACCATACTGCGCACCAATTGGATATTAACAAGTCTGAACTGCTATAAAGCCCCTATCTGGCAATCTACTTAACTAACTCGTTAGTTAGTAAACGTAATCCACGGCCAAGCGGAACACCCCAACCAAAATCGCGTCTTTCGACCACTCTACCTGCTCGTACTCTCGCCGCTTTTGCTTACTGAGTAGATCTGAACACTACTCTGAGCGCCCTGATCTGATCAGTTGGTCAGGTCGGCCTCGAGTCTCTACTCGTGAATGTAAAAGATGTTGAACTTATTTTGTTTAGCTAGGAAGATAGGCAGTATCTTGTAATTTGGGCACATATCAGAATCTCATAGGAAAAGACTGATTTTTTTTTTTTATTTTTATGTTGGCATACGAGATTGTTAGGAAACTCGTTGCTTCTTCTGTCCGATGTGATAGTTGACAATCGACATTGTAGATCCGTAGCGGTCTATCAGATTATTGCTATCTGATTGGTCTGGTGTATGCATTCGTATGCACATGCTGAGTGCGGGGTATCGCACACACTATGTCAACAGTTGGTAATTGACCATCGAAAAGGGCCATATCGTCGGAGAGAATTATCGGCATCACAAAATGGACTCTTGTTATTCCAGTCACTGCACATTATATGCACGCGTCTCGGTAATTATTTGGTATGGGGTTATAGGAAGTCATATGAAATCGTGTACTTAAGGAGGGCGTTTCATCACGTTCTTGGGGGTTCCTCAAGAAATAGTTTTGCTCTGATTCCGACGTGACGAGACTCTTTCTTACCTCACTAGCTAACTTCGACAGTGCAAGTAGATAAAATCTTCACGCTTTGCTTTATAAAACAGTAATGGTCAGGTTACATCGGTTCAAAGTGGCGAATACCCTTTGACGAGGCTTTGTTGACTAGACAGGCACTCACAAATTGAAGTGTTGCCAATCTAGTCTCCATAGTGCACAATTGTGGTAGTGATTAGCTCCATTCTCGCATAGTGCTGTCCTCCATCAGACTACCATTACACCTTTATGTGACTTTCAGCTCCACGTTTATAATTACTGCAGATCGGTATTCGAAGCTCTGCCTGAATAGGTAACATATCTGCAGATCAACCCGTTCACACCGCAACTACACACGTTTTCCTTTCTCCGAAATTCACTAGCTGCATATATAGTCAGTGGATTCCTAGGGTAGGGTTTCTGACGAAGCGCTAGCGGGCCAGCTCGCTTGATCAGGTTATAGGTAGCCCTCGCCTACTTATAGCTGCAAGAAGGTCTTAGCGTATGCTTCCACCATGCAAGCAAATTTAATCCTTTCGGACTCCAACCTGAGTCATTTATCTCCTTCAATTCTTACGACGAACTCTTCTCACTAAGAACATTGAAAAATGAGTGGCTCCGATATTCGAGTGGACATAAACCTCTACAACCCCGAGGACAAGTCTTCCTCAATTTCAAGTGTTGTCCCACTAAAGGAATTCGTCATTGAGGGGAAGAAATTGTCTGATTTACGAAGGGCCTTGATCGAAAAGGGTGGTATCGATGCTAGCAAGTATGTTAGTACCCCGGAATATATGCCTTACGATTGATACGATCCTGTTACAGAGTTGGATGCTCGTTCTGCAGTTCTGCTGGAGCCCAGGTCAATGACAGCACGTCGCTCTCAGACTATTTAAATATTGTTTCGGAAGGCTCATCGGTCTGTTGCCTCTGTCGTTAAATGTTCTACATACAACTCCCTCAGGTGCTAATGCATTATCTCATAGGAGAAAGATGATGGCACGAACACTAACAAGGTCCATGCGGTATACCTGAAAACTAAATCGAGAAAAACAGACCTAACGGACGAGACCAAGGAGTTTCTCAAGAAGGAGCTGAACTTAAAACTTAGTGTATGGCGTCTACTATTCACAGAGTGCTCTGATAGCGCTTGATCGGTATCATAATACTGATTACAAACTCCCAAAAGGATAAGCCGGAGCTTTTGAAAGTATCTCTCGACCAGCTTACTAGCTCCTTTGACCGAGCCAACTGGGTCGCAAAAGCCGGAGGTCCCAGCACGTAAGTTTTGGCTAGTACTTGGTCCGGTTGCTGTGCTCGCGAGGAACAGTCTGATTTGGTGATCCCAGTAATCCTGCAGATATGTCAGAAAAGGAGTGGAACATTGTGATCCGAAACAACGCCCTTACCAGCGCTCATCGTTTGGTTTTCTCTAACGGCGGCCAAGACCTCGAAGGCAAGGAAACGCTCAAATTTCGCCGTATTGAACGTGCTCCCTACAGTGGTAAGGCACCAGAAGCTTTGTGTCCGCATTCGCTCAACATGTCCGTCTTCTAATCCTTGATCTAGCGTTCATCCTCAAGCCCAGAAAATTCCAACCCTATGAAATGTCTGATGCAGCTGTTAAGGTCGAGGTATACCTTCTAATGATCAGCTTTATACATGTGATGCTGAAATCAATCCTAGCAACAATTTCACATTCCCCGCTTTGTTGTTAATGATGACTCCTACGTTGATGCTTTTGAAACCCAGTCGTCAGTTTCGACATCCATGGCCCGCAGCTCATTTTCTTCCATCGAAGCTCAAGCCTCGGTGTATGTAAACCACCCTAATGAAACTCTATTGGACATCCTGACTCTAATTTGAGCGACAGAGGAGGAGGAGCGTTTGGGTTCAATGCTGCTGTAAGCGCAGGCTTCTCGCAGCAAGAGAGCAATGCTTTGAGTTCCAAGGCCACAGCTGACGAGAAAACTATGAATATCACATACAACGTTCGTGCAGACGACACCCTGATGTTGAAATCTGTATTACTAATATTGCGATTTCTCTAGTTTCCGAGGGTTGTGATCCATCTAGATCATCATTCTCTAGACCTATCAAATGAGTGCAAGTCGGACATTGAGAATGTAAAGGATGTCAAGACATTGATCGATTTCCATCACAAATATGGTATGTCCTATTCGCTTTGATGCGTGCAGCTGCCTAACGAGACAACGCAGGTCATTTCTTCGCAACTAGAATCGAGCTAGGCGGGCGCTTGTTTTCTTCAGAGAAGTTCACTACGCTGGGCTCAGCATCTGAAGCAGAAGCCACCAAAGCAATGAAAATCGCTGCAAACGTATCGTTTTCGTCCTCATATGTGGCCGGATCTGCCAGTTTTGGGAAGGAAAACCAGTCGAACTCAGGGGATAGCAGTTCTAATAAGAGTATGTCGAGTTCAGTCTCCTGGCAAGCTCAGGGGGGCAATACTCTACTCTGTAATAGGTGAGTGTTGCTTCTTACACTTAGAACTTGGAGCCTCATTTTAATCATTCCTCACACGCAGCCCTCCAGAATGGTGTCCTACTGTTAGCCCCTTCCAGAACTGGAGGGTCATTAAGGTATGTTGCCAGTTTCTAAGAGAAGCAGAAGAGCCGTGTATTCAAATCAACTTGTTGACTTTCCATTAAGCAAGAGGATGTAGTTTCTCTTGGTGACTTCATCAGCATGATACCAGGATACGAAGGCACGCGCAAAAAGTTTGATGAACTCGCTGTTTCAACTAAAAGAAAGGCAACAGTGAGCTTCAAGTTAAGACTGACCGACTGGCAAAGAAAGAAGCGCAATGAGCCGGAATACGTTACGTTGTATCATGCCAGTCCTTTGAGTAAGAGTCACCTCGTTGTTTCCTCGGCACTTAATATCTGCATATACAGGAGACAACCAATGATTTGCTGATACTCTCTTTAGAGAATGACTTTAAGGATCATGTGGAAGATATCAAAGAGAACGAACTCCCGACAGACCTTCAGAAAATCATAAATAATGGACACAAGGGCTGTAAAATGGACGTCGAAAGCGCCGACAATGTATTTGACATTGAGGTTGAGACCGTGCTCAACCAAGCTCCTCAGGTAAGTCAATTTAGTAATTGGCAATTTAAGAACACTGTTGTTGACCCGTTTCCTGACTATAATACCTTCCATTCCACAGATTGAATTTGGCAAACGCTACAAGCTTTTCAACCGCCGCAACGGCCGTTGGCTAAAATACCAGACTCTCAACATCCTCGGAAATGAGCACTCCATCCTCGTAGGGGGCTACGGGGGCGAAGCCACACATTTCGAGTTCAAAGACGGTGACAGATCCGGCCCCATCCGGGCTAATGACTCGCTGTCCTTGTGTGTGTACGATTCCAAAGGTGAGTACCAGGGCCTGCTGGCTCTGGCATTCGGGCCCAATATGCGGCCCCTCGGCGCGATGCGCTACTCCCCCCAGAATGAGAACCGAATTCGGTTTCTGTCGTTCCAACCGGTCGAGCAAAGGTTCGTTCCGAACGCTATGTAGATGGTGAATTTCATTATTTGCTGAGAAAGTGGACTTGCATCTTGGTCGCGGTCGCAGCATTGAGGGGTAATAGGATTGGGTTGCAGCGGCAGGATTTCCGCGGAGGATTCAACATCAGATTCAACATAAAATTGCAGATTGTATTTAAATTTCAGTTCTAGTAATCTCATTGGTCATTTAATTCAATTCAATTTCAACCGCTTTTCAGGGCTAAATCATTTTTATAGAGGGTATGTAGGAAGTGGAAAGGATGTGTTGTAGATTATGTGTGACAAACAATAGCCGCAATCGAGTTTCTGCCGGTTTAAAATTGCAGACTAGTACATTTTGGGGTTATGGCCAATCACCCCTCTATAGTCCGCCGTAGGTAGGTTGGAACTGCGGGTGGGGCTCTCCTGTTTGCAGTGATTGCACTTTGGCCACAATAGCCACGTGATTGACCACATCCAAATTCTGAGACACCGCGTTCCTATTCGGCTACTCCGTACTCTAGACTGAATGGGGCTTGTTTTATCGATTATGGCGTTTTCTGGGTGACAAGTGTTGATTGCTACGCGCTCTGTTTTCGGACTCTATTTTTGCCGCGACGCCCTATCTATGTTCTTCTTAGGGTTTGCCTCCCCACCCTCCGGCTCTAAGTATTTCCTGGTTCGGGCCCTCTATTTTAGTTCGCGAGGCTATCCTTGCGTCGATCTCCCTAGCAGGTGTGTCCTCATGACGTAACGGCGTGAATTGTTCTTCAGTTAATGCAAGCCACACTGCCGATAGGCCCCCTAGGCTTTAGAGTATTGATACTAGGCTAGAAAGGAAGGATTGAAGGTGGTGAAGAAGGTAAGATTCTGAGAGGGAGAGGAGAAGAGATCTATCAAACTCCAGTCACATGACTGGCTAACTATCTGACTATCTCACGAACATAGAGGCCCTAGTAAAGCTCTTGTGCGAGGCATTGGGTAATTAGAAAATAGTATACAACGCGACACGAATCTACGCGGCTACGCAAGGGAGGGTAGGCTATAATAGGAAAGCGGAGAGGCTGGCGGTCAAAAGGGGTGGTCTCAGACTTTTGCGGCGCCACTGTAAATGACTCATTGTAATGATACCGTAATTTGCGTCGGAAATCGGGAGAATCTTTCATGCAAAGAGAACAAACATCCTAACAATCTGGCAAGATCCCTCCCTCCATGCTACTCGCTTATTGTGCTCATTCTTCGTCACGCGCAGTCTTCGCTTACACACCTTTGACATCCAATGGAAGGCTGCAGTTGCTACGGAGAGGCTTCCGTTATTCACTACAATTTCGTTGCCGTTGTCGATCGAACGCTAGTGCCCTTAGAAAGCTGACATGGACACTTCAAGGCTTGTGGTATATAGGGATGACACAGAGCCTAGACCATGACGATTCACACTTTCAGCCTACGCGCCTGAAATATGGGAAACCGACTCGCAATACGCCCCAACTCCTGGATACTTGGGTAGTCTATGCAACACGGTCTCACTACAGTCCTTCCCCGTCTGTGCTGGAGAAAAAGCCGTACCCTGGTGCTCTAAACTGCTACGGTTGTCTGAATAGGAGGAAGGAAGAGTATACGACGAGAATCCACCCACCTATATCCACTATCGTATTAAGTGGCGAGTGACAGTCAACAACCAGGAGGTGGCAAAAGACGTAAAGAAAGACCTCGTTTTGGCCCCGAGTGCCTTTTGGCAACTGTTCTTGGAGAAGAAATCTAAAAAGGTTCTGTGAAGAAATATTGCTCGCAACCGTCGAGTGACAGCTGATGACACTGCTATTATTGTTTCAATCAACAATCGTACCCAGCGAAATCTGACTAAACGATTGGATGATACCGACATTATCTGGGCCACTATCGAGAAGCAGCTTATGATGTGGTCAGGATTGTTTTCTCGAGGTAAGGAACTCACGTTAAAGATATGTTTTAACTACGTAGACGAACGTCACTCCCCCACCGCTGGCCAGAAAGGGGAGAAAAGAGGAAAGTCCTCCGTCACGAGAAAGATGCTCGAACAGAGAGACGCACAACTCGATGCGGAGCAGGACGCTTCCGAACAAAACCCTACCTGGCGTAGCGTCTATAATCTAATGCGATGCGATTCCACAACTTGCCCCTTAGGGCCCTCCTGCTTGGTGGATCCAGCGGGGAAAAAGCACCATACATTACAGTGATTCTCGAAATCGCCTTTACCAAAATACGCTGAGAAAATCTTTCCTGGCTCCACCGTCAAGACCTTAGCGCAGATCATTCATTGAGCAGGCCGCAATAAATTGAGGGGCCATTGCAAGATGCACCCCGTATGATACTGGATCTTCCTATGTAATATTATATAATACGTATAAGGATTCTGTGGAATTGCTTGGGACCTGTCGTAGATCTGTACGAACTATATGGAGTGCCCCCTTGGAGCCGAGTAACTTCTCGATCAGCTGGGTGACTTCAATTCTCCTTCTCAGCCTGCACGATGTCGAATTCCTTTACTGTATTTCACATTGGCGACCGTTATTCAGCAAAGTCGATGTGGGTCATTTTGAGATGCTTTTCACGGTGGCTTTTTGCTTTAAAACGTAGAGAGAACATATACTAAATCCACCACCGAGAATATATCAGAATAAAAGAATAATATTCTACGGAGAGGGATAATGGACTCTTTTCTAATCCGCAATGCTGAGCGCAGTCAATCTCTCTCTGAGGCGCTGCGTCTTGCTGTGATGTGAACCTAAGGCCTTCTTATAGCTTGCGTATGGGCTTGAAACCCAACGCCTTGGTTTGGAGTGAAGTTATGAAACGAATTTATAGTGTGGTCACCACGGATCACTAGCGGTGAGATCAGCGAGTCCCTTGCAGTAAGATATGCAGAATGTAGAATCTATTGAATGTGGATCCTACCTAGTTGCTAGCGCAAAGTATAAACTAAGGCAGTGCAGAAATTATATATAGCATGAGTAGGACCCCAGAATCAGCTTAATTAACTTCGAACCCTTCTTGCCTTGATATAATTTGTATCCCTAACAGCAATTTTATAAACGTATGTTCGACTTTATGCCCCTCACCTTTCTATAGTGGTCCACTACTAAATGCACGCAGAAGTGGAACTTGAATTATGCATAAATTCTTTGTTATTACCTGGTTTATAGCCGGTTGTTCAGTGGCTATGCCCCTGAAAGATGATCTGCGGTGCCCGGCTTTTGACTCGGAGCCTAGCGTATGTGCCGTCGCTTACGTTGATTGTCACAATACAGAAGAAGTGAGTGAGAGTTCCACTGAGAATAGGAGTGTGTTTATTTAAACAAAAAGCTGACAAAAGATATCGAATGGATAGGCATGTGTAGCTCCCAAGATTTGTTGTGTAAGTTTACTCCTTCATTAATTATGAAGGAGTGCCTTGATTTCAAGCTAATATCTGTGTAATGGATAGCAAGCTAGTATCTGTGGGTTCTATGAATGTGTTGATCCTGTCCCACAGTAAACTAAAACAAAACTCATGATGGGTCGAAGCTCAGGATGTGGTCCAAGGGACACTATGGATGCCTTAGGCTTACGGATTGCGGGTTTTGTACTATGATCCGTCCTCACCCCGTACGGCCTTTGCCGGGACTACGGCGGCCGTCGTACGGGCACGGTGTTATATAAGCATAGGAGAGAAAGCGTGCTAAGTTGTAATCGACCTTATCATTAACGAACTTATCCACGTACTCAGCCCAGGTGCGGGTTTATTGCGTAGGTAGAGAGCGCTGGCGTCAGCAGGTCCCCACAAGGCAAAGGACTTCGTCTTCACTTTCAATCACATTATGGTTCTTCTTATAGCGGCGGAGTATCTTTGCCGCGGGCTCCCAGACGCGTTCGAAGGTGGTTTCATCCTCGTACCCCTACCAGTATCTTCCTTCCTTCACAAACCGATAGATCTCCGAAATGATCCTTTTTCCGACATTCACCAATCGTTAAGCCTCGCTAACCTTTTCCAGCGCTGTTAGGTAAACTTCGGCAGTAGGAAAGCTCCGGAGCCGTTCCAGTGCTGCTTCGGCGGTCATTTAGTGTTCGATAGATATCTTGATGAGAATCGTTAAGAGTTATCAAAAGCATGAAAATGTAGGCATTATTAAGTTTAAAAGACCGTTACTGTATTCGAATTAATATCCTCCTTATCTAAGACGAGTCGTGCGAATTTATCCTCGGCCAGACGGATACTCGGCTAAGTCCCTTCCTCCATCGAGAAGCAAATAATGCCAGATCTGAAACCTTCACGAAGAAAGGATTAAATCTTACAGAATAATATATCAAAGAAACGTGGCGTTACCGTCGAGATAATTCCTATAGGGTACTAGGTAGGGGACAGGGAAGCTATAAAGAACCCAAAAGAAAATATAGGAAATAAGATAATAAATAGTTAGCTATAAATATCCGATATTAAAGAAACAAAGTACTAAGGAATTAATAGAGAGTGACGTCGGGGAAACCCTATCCTTTCTCACCACACGCTATATTAACACACACGGAGTGCACTACCTCAGACAGAAAACTTGCCGTATATCGGCAAAGACTCACCGGTTATTAAAATAAGAATAGATTCTTTAAAGAACGTTATATTCGAAACTTACTAGTAAGAAGGGAGAGAAGAGGAAGAAAGGGTAGCGGGAGAGTATAGGAAAGAAAAATTAGCTAAGGCGAAAAGAAAGGGCGGGCAAAAGAGAATAAGAGTTGGCGGTCTCGGAAGTTACCAGCCTTCCCAATCAGGAAATAGAAAAGCTAATAAGATAGACCATTTCGCCAGAAACCCTCCTTTCCTTCTTCTTTCCCCCTTCCCCCTAGAGAAACACTAAACTACTTAAATTTCATTAAAATAAGCACTTTTCCATCGGTTTTTCTTAACAAAAACTCTTTTCTAACCTCCTCCTCCTCTCCGTCGACCTCTCCTTTCTCCCCTTCGCTTCTTACGATAAATTTGTAGGTAGGTAGGCTAAATGTTATGATATTTCGATGAGACTATTCACACACTGATATTGGGGCCTTAGGCATGCGTGGACCGAGGGTTCTGCCAAGGCGGTAGCCATCCGGCGGTCAGTCGGTGGCCCCTCGGCCGCGATACGCGACAGCCACGCTGCATGCAGGCCGCACCCACAGTATGTGCCATGCGTTGGCCATGCGGTGGCCTTTCGCCATGGTTTCCCCCTTACTTCGTGTTTGATTCCTGTTTGCACAAAAGATGATGTATTTAAACAGATGCTTGAGGAAGTGGGATTCATCTTCCTTAAGAAACAGTCTTTGTCTCAATCTGACTTGGTGCTTTCCTCTCCTACCTAGTTGACAGGCCATCTACCCTGTAAAGTAGATACTTCCTTAACACTAAAAGTAATAGAAATACTATCTCCGGGAGTTCTTTAGCAGTATTACCGTGCATTTTTTGAAGCTAACACCGTTATTTACACGTAGGGGATAATTCCTCGCGCCCGTGTCCCCGCTATCTAGCGCCGTAGTATATTTCCGGGGTCGTTACCCTACTTTAACGTCCTTTTCTGGCTCTATTACGGGCCGCCGCGTGCTATCACCTAGAGGGGGTTTCTACCACGAACCGACCCTTAGAACACTAGAGATATATAGCGTCGTTAATTCGTTCGGGTGATAACCTAGGATCGCTACTATTCTTTCTACCGAGACGATAACAATAAATACTAGCCTCTGCTTATCTACGAAAGGGAGGTAGTATGGATTATCCGGATACAAGAGTACACTATAGGATAGGTAGCCTTACTTCGGGACTTACTAGATACTAATCTCTAGGCGTATAATAAGCGCTTCTAGGGTGGTCTCGATCGGGTTAATATCTATAAGCGATTTATAAACGAGTATATAGCCACTATTTACTAGTTTAACGAGGACGGTAACGAGGGTAGCGAGTAGGTAATCTAACCGGTCCTCCTACTTTCTCTATAATTTTCATAAGATATAATAAAGAGAGCGTAATTAATAAGGAATATCCTCCACAAAAACGATAAAATAAGCAGAGAAATAGGTAGAGAAAACACTTATAGTCCCTCTCGGCCTAGCGGAACGGTATTTCGGTAGAAAAATAGGATAACATAGAGAAAGAGATAGCTAAAAGTGCTAAAGGGAAGGTTTAACCTCTTTATCTTCAGAGCTTCCTCCTTCAACCTCCCCTCCCCCTAAAAATCCATTAAATCTCTCTAGTCCACTGAATAAACCAAAATAAGCCTTTTAATCCTCTTTCACCGTATTCTCCTCCTATCTCTTTTCTCTCTTCTCTCTTTCCTACGAGAAAAACCTCTAGGTAGGTCGACCGAAAGTAGGACGTGGTAAGGCCGGTAGCGCTCAGCTACTTCACTTCACGTATTTCCTAAGGCTAACCTTATCTCTTTATATATGCATAGGAGCGGATTCCGCGCGCGTAGGTCCCCGAGACCTAGCGTCGTAGTATATTTTCGGGCTCGCTGCCCTACCTCGGCGTGCTTTTCACGCTTTATTATAGTCCTCCCTTCGTAGTCGTGCGCGTAGGGTTCTTTCCGCCTACCGATCCTTAGTATAGGACTAACGTATAGCAGTACCAAGTCCGCAGACCTAACGGCAGTCCTAGCTGCCAGTTCTGCAGCAGTGCGGGTCGGATCTGCCTTCCTCTAGTCGCCCGCCATAGATAGGTAGTATAGGTAGTGCAGTAGTAGCAATACATAGTCGGACGTAGTATGGTGGGTGACCACATGCGAATCCTGGCTGTTGTATGTTTTGTTTCTTGCATTGATCCTAATCATTTTTCTCATCGTAAAGAAGCTCAAGAGAAATTAGTGGGATTTAAGTAATTCTAGAGTCAACGGTGGTTGTCCCTCCATTCCTGGTTGCCTATCTTTTCCGTGCCTCGACCTGTCTGTTCCGATCAGACTGCCACAGCGCATCCCCTCGTTTAGTAGGAATAAATATCTATCATATTTATATATACTACCATTAAGCGATAGAATAGGTAAGTTTATTCTATTAAGGAGCGGAATAAACACTTTCTGACTATAGATACGCTAGTTCAAAATTGGTTAGGATTTAACATATGCCTCTTGTTCACATATAGCTTATCTGCTCAACTCATAGCCACGTTTCGATTCAGTTATATTTTATGAAACTTCCGGGGAGAAATTCCTTGCTGATAAGCTGTGTCTATCTCCTCAACAGATCGTCCAGCAGTTTCAGGAACCACAAACCACGATGCAACGAGCAAAAGCGCACTGAGGCCGGCGAACACGAATCCAGTCTTGGCACCCAGGTTACCCGCATCAGTGTTATAGATATATGGCACAATCATATGGAAAAGCCAGCTGGATACAGCCTGAACTAGGAATCCGATAGATTGGGTATGCTGGCGAAGGCGGGATGAAGCGATTTCGGGCGTCATTGTCCAGGCCATTCCAGTACAGGTGTAGATTTGCCATGGAATAAGGAGATTCCTGTGAGAAAGTCAGCGGTTTCTCTGATATAGATTGATCGATTGGAGAGAAGATGGGGAACGAATGTCTCACATCACAACAGCGATTGCCCAAAGACCAGCAACATTGTTCAAATAGGCCAGCCCCCCAACAGTCGCCATTCCTATGATATTGCCACCGACGCCGATCAACCACAAGCGGCGATGGCCTATGAAGTCGGTGAAAAGCCAGGAGACAATAATCGCCACACAAGCAAGGAAGAAACCCCCAACACCAACATCAAACGCATGGACAGCGGGGAGACCTAAAGTCAGAAGAACGTAGGTGTTTTGGTTCAAAAATGCTATACCTAAGAGCCCGGTACCAAACATGATCAAGCATACAGTGAGTGTACGCTTCAAATTCCGGGCTCGAAAGCATTCAATGAAAGATGCTTTCTGCTGGCCCTGGGTCGACGCTTCCGCCGCAAGAGTCAGCTGTAGGGATTGAAGTCGAAGTTCAATCGAATTCTGTTCACCATACAGTCGAACAAGTGCGGCACGAGTAGCATCTACTTGGCCCTGTGAAAGAAGCCATGTCGGGGATCTTGCAAGAAGTCGTATATTAGTAAATTTGGTTATGCCACAATTGTTAACTGAAGGGAAGGCATACTCCGGTATCAATAGGGCTAGGAATAGCAAGACCGCTACGGGCCATTGAATGGCAAAGACGATTTTCCAAGCCAAAGGTGCTTTGTTGAGAACCAGGGAGCGGATGATTCCAAGAGCTGTCCCTTGCATAGCGACAGTGAAAAGAACCAGACCTTGCAGTATAGGCCCACGCAGCTTGAGAGGTGCGATCTAAGAAAAAGGTCAGCCTGATCAGCCTATACCAGTATCCACCCAGCACGTTCAGAGCATGAAGCACGAGGAGAAAGGAGCAAAAACGGAGATCACACACATCGGCCGCATAAGTTGTTCCGCAAGCCATAATACCACCAATACAAACCCCGTTGAGCATCTTTCCAATCAGAAGCGCCCATCTGGTGGTAGCAGTGAATTGTACAGCCACGCCGGCACATGAAAGTAAAGCGAATGACACGATCGCATAGCGCCGCCCAATCCTCTCTGCCAAGGGTCCAATAAAAAAGGCCCCGATCGCTTGTCCAAGATTGGCCATGGCTGTCCACAATGCACTCCAGATTGACGGAGCATAAAGAGAATGTGTCACAGGTTCCACGGCTCCAAATGATAGGAGGAAGGCTGGCATAGCCATAGTAGCACTGCTTGCAACTGTATCATACCCGTAGGCCATTCCACAAAAAAAAGGAACGATGGCTAATGCATCTTCAAGTTAGCATCGACTTGATCGGTTGCAAAAGGCTAAGCGCCTAGGGCTGAAACTTTTTGCCATACCATAAAGAAAAATACGCTTATGGGCCTTGACTGCTTGCCAAGTGCTCATGGCCGCCTCACGATCCCTGAACTCTTGGATCGCAGCATCGGGTTGATCCTTGATCGGCGGAAAGGATTTTTCGTCTTCGATATGATTCACCTTGCCAAGATCATCAATCTTTGATTCGGACATCTCGCAGCGGGTAGGGTGCACCAAGAAACTGTAAGTGAACAGCGGGCAGCGGATGAAGTGACGTGAAAAGAGAGAAAGATACTTTGAGTGATAGTCGTGATACTGTCAAGTACTTTACGTATTTATAGACCACAGAAGCCGGGTTTTACCCCATGGGGGTGTAAGCTTCAGTAGGCGAAACAAGATACCCCATGGTTCACGATAAGATTTTCAATAGCCGACCACTTTCCTACTAGCAGTAATCAATCCCGAGTTTGGATCTCAAGCCGGACTTTCCGAGCCTCTAACTGGCAATATCCACTGAAGGTCGGCTCGTGACCCCGGCAGGAAGAAAAAAAAAAGGCTGGTTGAGGAAGACTCTCGAATATTTCCTTTTCATCTGTTGTTTCCATGGCTAAGTCTAGATCTTTCACACGTCTGACCTGTAGAGGAAGAGCCAAGAGACAGCGCGTCGACGAAAATCTTGAATGTCCTTGCATATGTCTTTGTGTTACCGTTATTATGTAAATCCGTAAACCCCGGTAAGTCGCTCGGCTATTCCGACGCTCCAGTCCCACTTCCTTTGGCGGGGATACCTCCTACTGACCCACCTTGGTCAATCTCCACCTCCACTTTCACCAACACGGGGTTTTGGTCCAAGGTAGGCGGGCTAGCCAAAACTTCTCGGCATATCCGGCTTTCATTGTTTCCTTATCATTAGCCGATCGAGACAGTTGCCGGCCACGCGACGGTTGCGAACTAGAAAAGGAATTGAATGAATCATTCTGCACTGATTTTGCCGCTGTCAACAGCGAAGTTTCCTCTTGACCGTTTACGGCCCTTGGATTATTGTTCCTTCGGCACAGCGAGCCCTTTCGATGCTTAAACCACGGGCAACAGCCACCCGTGAGCTTGTCTCCTTGGACGGCATCTGGAACTTTGCGCTCGGTTCTCTCGATGATCAAATAGACACATCCTGGACTCAGTCCCTCAATCCGGAATTGCAAGTTCCTGTACCTGCGAGTTATAACGATATCTTCATTGACTCGAAAATCCGCGATCATGTAGGATGGGTTTATTACCAGCGTTCTGTGAGGGTGCCCCGGGGCTGGGCAGGTGAGAAGTACTTTCTCCGGGTAGATGCAGCCACGCATCATGGCCGTGTCTTCGTGAACTCGCAACTAGTGGCTGAACACAGCGGTGGATATACTCCATTTGAGGCAGATATAAGCCATTTCGTCGCTGCGGGAGCGGAGTTTTGCCTGACAATCGCCGTCAGCAATATTCTCACCAACGCTACGATTCCACCAGGGAAAGTTGAGACCCTGGCTAATGGGAAACGCAAACAGCAATACCAGCACGACTTTTACAATTATGCTGGTCTTGCTCGATCGGTATGGCTGTATTCGGTCCCACAAGTTCATATTCAAGACGTGACAATCGTCACCAACGCCTCTCAGACGACTGGTATCGTGGATTATCAGGTTACAGCAAATAGACCGATACCCGAAAATCGATTCCACCTATCATTACTCGATGAGGATGGGCAAGTTGTAGCCCGGAGCGAAGGGTCACAAGGCCGCATGCAGGTAGAATCCGCTCATCTGTGGCAACCTGGCGCCGCCTACCTGTACCAGCTTCAAGTCGAGCTCATTCGCGGCGATGGTCATAATGAATTGCTTGATACATACACTTTGGCCACCGGAATTCGCTCTGTGGAGGTCTCTGGCATGCAGTTCCTGATCAACGGGAAACCATTTTATTTTACGGGATTTGGAAAACATGAAGACACTGCGATCCGTGGCAAGGGATATGATCCGGCATATATGGTGCATGATTTCCAGCTCATGAAGTGGCTTGGAGCAAACTCTTTCCGCACGTCACATTATCCATACGCGGAAGAGGTGCTGGAATATGCCGACCGTCACGGCATTGTGGTGATCGACGAGACGGCAGCCGTGGGGTTGAACCTGGCTATTGTTGCTGGTATTCATGGAACCAAAGCCCCTCCCACATTTTCTCCTAACACGATCAACGAGCATACCCAAGCTGCCCACGAAAATGCTCTCCGGGAGCTCATATCCAGGGACAAGAATCACCCTTGTGTCGTTCTATGGATGATTGCGAATGAACCGGCATCTGGTGAAACTGGAGCCGTGGAATACTTCGACCCCCTTGTCAAACTCACTCGAGAACTCGATCCTAGCCGACCAATTTGCTTTGCCAATATGGCTTTCAACCCTGTGAACCGAGACTTGATTACTGATATGTTTGATGTAATCTGTCTCAACCGTTACTTCGGTTGGTATAAGCACACTGGTGAGTTGGACATGGCCGAAGAAGCATTGTATGAGGAGTTATCCGGCTGGCAGGACAAATTTGGCAAACCAATGATCATCACCGAATATGGTGCGGACAGTCTGGCTGGATTACATGCCGTGAATGACGTCCCTTGGAGCGAGGAGTATCAGTCCCGCTTGTTAGAGATGTACCATCGAGTCCATGATCGTCTTGATGCTGTTGTTGGAGAACACGTTTGGAATTTTGCGGACTTTCAAACGACTTCCCAGATTTTCCGTGTCAATGGAAATAAGAAGGGTATATTCACTCGAGATCGACAACCAAAGGCCGCCGCTCGTGTCTTACGAGAGCGTTGGACAAAATCGTCCTGATGCGTACATTAACTTCAATTCTGCGACCAATAGTTCGAGGTCTGTTCGTGCAGCCCCATGCAGTTACTTCTGCCACTGCAAATCGCTCTGTGTAGATGCCTCGTCTTCTGTCGCTTGCAGAATGCTGCTAAATGCCTTTTTTCATTTGCTTCGCGCAGCTTTTTGATGATGTGATTATTTCTTGTCGGTTCCAAGAGTGCTCCTCCTTCCGGCCTGGCCTATCACATGAACGAGGTGTTTTCCCAGACATGTTTCTTCTTCCCCGGAATGCAAAAGTGGTCAATTTGTCCTTCTATGCCTGTGATCGGTTGGTCTTTTGGAATAGTCTGTAGGGCTAATGTTGGTCGAAGTTCAGCGCGAAATGGTGGCACTGAATATCTGTTTCAAGCGAGGATCCCAAATATTCGTACTCATTCTTGTGAATGGAGTTTCCCTATCATGTCATAAATACAGAATAGTTATTTAAAAAAAACTGGTTTCTTTTCTCTTCTCTTCTCATCCGAGAGAGATATTCTATGTTGCTCAACTCTGATATCGATGGTGGTATATTGAATTGCGTCATTCTCGCCTGCTCTCTCTTCGTCTCTTCATATTTTGATATATTAGCTTGTGTGCACAATCCCCTGCTGCCTGCCATCTTTATGCAGACCGTATAGCTTCCCATAATCGATCTGCCACGGTAACTTTGATTAATTTCTTAACGCTTCACTCCACGCTAGGGGGTAAGGTAGCCGTTCAGACACTATACAAATAACGTAATCCACGCCGTTCCAAAGACCCACCTCCATTAAAAATTTTCGAATCAGTATATCTAAGCAGAACACTAATAACCTCAAACTAGCGATCTTACATTGATAAATCTTATGGCCAATCCTTCCGCACCCATTACCAGTAGGCCGGGCCCTTTTGCGTGGCTGAATTGGCGGCTGTGCAAGTTGTAGGCCCTCTTTGGTCTATAGGCCACACTCGTGAGCTAGCTGGTAGTCTAAAGATTGCGCTTTTGGCATTTCTTTGCATTTGCTGCGCGTATATTGGCGTTCTCCTGTGCAAGTAAGGCAGCTTGATGTCCCGTTACGGCACGCCCTTTAACAATTTGATCTAGCTTGAATTTTGAGGGCGTAGCAAGGCTATCATCACATTCCCTTGGTTGACCAAGGTTGACAACCAAGCCAGGCATCAATCATCCAAATCGGCAATATCATTTTTTTTTCTACAGACCGAAACCCTTTCTTTACAATTCTTGAGACTTAACTTCATCTCCAAGTTATAAATAGCACGTGCTATTATGTTATTAATTTCCCAAGCCAGTGTAGTCGTTCTTATCAAATTCAACCCTCTTAGCTATCCGATTCCGCAGCGTAATATTATTTCAATTTCAAACAACGCTCTTCTATCCACAAGACTTTCAAGGTCTTCACTGGGACCAGGAAGCTTAGCGAGTAAGAAATTCGAAGCATATAAACCCTCGATTTCTTCAATCCAATTTTATTCCAGTTTCTCCACATATCCAATTCCAACTCCAAGATGGCAGCAGCGACACCCCCTTGTCCCTACGGGACACACCAAACCCGAGGGAGACTTTTACAATCTTGGATCGAGGATCCTACAGTCCCAGACTGTCATATTCAACCCTGTGATATAACGTATGAGGATCTTTTGGACTGGGCTCCGATGGACGAATCCTTTGATGAAATCGATTCCGAGGATGAGGAAGTTTCCGAGACGGTGGAAAGGCTCGATGTGGATGGCCCTTTGACCATGCATGTGGTCACGTCTGAAGATGGATCATCGTCACCAGGGGGAACATCCGGCGAGTGGAACGACTGGCGGTCCTTTGTTGCAGCTGGCTGTCTCTTCATCATGACAATGTTTCGAGCATCGGGCTATCATGCGTCAGAAATTGCTCAGGCTCTCTATGCGAGAGCATACCCTATCAACACCCTGAAGCACGTCTTTGCGATCGACGTGGCAAACAATGATACGAGAACTTTCATCAAAGATCAAATATACACGGCCAGTAACGGTCTTGAATGGCCCGCATCTAAATCTCAAAGCTTTGCGTACGGTACTGCGGAATATGAAGGCCTGTTAGGAACGAAAATTGGCTCCGTCGTGGCATATCTGATTCTTGGTGCTTTCACACGAGGAACCCGGAGCGTTTCGAAAATCAGTGTCGAAGTCTCGGCTACGGGTATCATGAGCTTGCAGTTCGATATCGAGGAAATCAAGCCTCTTCCAGAAAAGAAGCGTCGCAGATCAAGCGATGATGGTGATGGCGGTAGTGGTGAAGGGAGACCGAAAAAGCGGCGCCGATACATTGATCCAAATTATGACGGCCCAGCAAAACGTACAAGACTAGCTGTCCGTCTTCAGAAGGCTGGTTCTGCTAAAGTATGAAGGGCCTGGGGAGGGAAGCTGCCCCTCTGAAGGTGGATACAAAGGCGATGTTGGTCGATTCTTAAGGCCAGTTAGCTCCTCGCTGGTTTTCATCAATTTGCTCTTTTCTTGTTGATTTCCTTCTATGGATTATTGTTGCTATGTACTTCTAGAATTTACAGAAATGAAAGCTTCACAACATTACAAAAGTATTTAGTAGTAGGAAGCTATTGAGGGCCATCTTGAGGTAACAAAGTTGATCCATAATCTATGGGCTAGATTGTTTGTGTCCCTGAAATGCTCGAGTAAATCCGACTATACGGTTTGGTTGGGGTCATGTCTCCAATAGCAATGTACTAGGAGACGCATCAAAAGGAGGATTGCAAACAGTACTGCAAGAAGCACTGACTTAGGTATCTAGCGGAAAGAGCCATCCTCATTTCCATGTTTAACGCTTTCTACACGTCAAGAGGGTCGAAATAAAGTAGTAAAGTCGTTCAGTCCTTGTAACACGGGAACACCGGTGTGCCTTTCAAGATTCTGAAGAGGACATCGTTTCACACAAGCACCGCTTTTTGAGCCATATCTACGTCAGTACTGGGACTATAGCAGCTTGTTACGGGAGAACATTACTTTACTGGCTACTACGATCATATTCATCGTATTGATTTCTGACGGCAATGCAAGTTGGACTTTCTACAGAGCAGCTTAACAACAACAAACGCTTTATGGCTGCCTCGTACGGTTTCACTGCCTTCGCAATATTGTTCCCGTTTTGTGCGCTCGGCCTAGTGGCTATTCGAGCGGTCTGGCAAATTGTGAAAGATCTTCCTATTTTACTAGATGATAGAAGGAGAAGTTTGGAGACACTAAGGAACAATATATTGCCGGCTTGAGTGTATCCCGGGGTATAAACAAAGCTCTGTGTTACGGACGCACTCGGAGGGATATCAAAAATGGACACACGGGAGCCAACCAACTTGCACATATGTACAAGGGGCCGTCAGCCACGGATTGTGTCAGTACCTAACTGTTGACTCCCAATATACTTCCACCAGATTATATGCAGCAGTATACAGTGACCCCAGGATCGACTCTCAAGGGACTCACCATAGGAGTCTACAGGGGACTGGGTATATACGGACGTTCCTTCATCATGTATTTAGCTCTTCGTGTTCAATCCCGTATCATAATTGAAATACCAATTATTGCAATAAAGCTGCCGGTGATCGTCATTTCTACTTGACTATCGCCATCGTCACTCTGTCGACTTTACACAATCGAGTTTAAATCCAATTATTAGCCCCTCTCCTCGTCTCACACTCGCCAGTGGAGGCTACTGCCTGTTCCACTCCCTGTGAGCATTCTTATGGGTCTAAGCCCGTGTAAGACCTTTGGGGATAATACGACCGCTCAATACGCTTGATAGACGTATAGACCGAAGGACTGTGTCCACTCACTGAGCTATGGGCCAAAGTCGTTTATACCACACGCGACTCGCCGCCTGCAATGAGGCATATCGTGGGGTACACAGATCCTCTGGCTATACAGTGGAAGCGACTGTATGGCGTTGAGGCTGACAGTCATGGCCGTGAGACATATGTCAAATATATCACTTGGCTCAAGGAGACGTACCCGGTTATCATCTGGTGCTTTCTAAAGTTAAGGATGGAGGGGAGCCTTTGTGCAGGGCGCTTGGAAAGGAAGTTCGGAGAGATATTCAATTCCCGCGGATAAGGATTCGGAAGAGATCAATCACACAGCCCAATGTCATACCTAGCAGGGCTTGATGCAATGCCCGGGGAGTGATCCTGACTGGTGTGGCTGTCTCCATGGGGACCTACGTCCAGAATATAGTTCATTTTATATATTACTTGCCTGGTCGCTTTTCAAGGCTTCTCAGTGGGAATGGTGTCTATCCCGCTGAGTTAATTACCCTCTTCAATAACCCAAGGCCCCAGGACGAACGAAATTGGGCTACCCACACAGGTTCTGCAGGCACGTTGTGCTTGTGGTGGTTGTTGACGCATCCTGCTGTTACAGCTCCACACTACGTAAGGGTGCAAACAAGCAAAACATGCTTTTTCTCCGCTCTCCGATCCCCGAAACACTCTTGATCTCATACAGCTGCTTTTCACCACTGTCCACTCATTCGAAGGAATTGACTTCCGAGCTCGCATAATTTAACACCGGGCGAGATCGGTCACTTCTCAATCGCTTGCGCCACAATGGCGAGTCAGGCGGCCCCGATGGAGGAGATTATCTGGAGATCTCCCCAGCATGTGCAGATGATGGGGGGTTACCTGCACTCCAACAACAGTACGTTTGCTACTTCCCGATCTCTCATAAGCTCGTCAACAGTTATTAACTCGACTACATAGTCCTCTTTTATTTTGCCGAGTCTACATTCTTCGATCCTCAATCCAATAATGGCATTCTCGCAACCCAAGCTACCTACAACGAGTCCCTCCGGCACGTCGTTGAAACGCGCGCGACATTCGAAGGGAAATTGAAGCAGATGCAAGGATTGGAGTTCATCGTCTCCTTCGATCCTCTGGAGGCTGCAGCCCAGTCTAACCCAAATCGCTTCGATTTCGAGCCCAATAACATCTGGGTCATTCGCAAGCAGGATCGGAAGAAGCGGAGTGGAATGGAGGACGAGGTGACGGTCATTTCCACTTATTTTGTGGTCGGCGACACCATCTACATGGCACCGTCTGTCGCCAGTGTGGTCGGAAACCGAATTGTAAGCTCTATACTCTATGCTACGGCATAGCGCATTGCTCCATCGCTGAATACTGACTCGCCCTTTGTTTCCAGCTGACTGCCGTCACGTCACTTTCACGACTCCTCAAAACAGCCTCGACCTTGCCTACGTTCACCCCATCCACAGGCCACACCTACCTACCACCACCAGCCCGCACCACGGAACCCGGCCAGCAGGCATCCCAGCAAAGCAAAGAAAGCACCCCGATGCCAGATGCGACTCAGTCCTCGGCCGCCGAAACACAATCTTCAGGAAAGGCTAGCCTTGGCGTCTCAACGACTGGCTCCAGCTACCAAGATACGCGAAACCTAGCCGAAGCCTTCCACTTATTCACTCAGTACGGCGAGGAATTCATGGACGAGCATCCGCTTACTGGAGAACCGGGCTCTTTCATTTTGTCCCGAGTGGGCGAGAATGACCGTGCTGCTGGCGCTGCAGTGAAGGCCACTTCCAAAGCGACCCTGGGCACGGGAATGAACACGCCCTCTGGGGTCCGAGGTCGATCGAGTACCCCACAAGTCCGAATCGATACGCCGGGGAAAGTGTCAGAGATGAGCAGCTCCCCACCTAGCTCGGGTGAGAATAAAGGAAAGAAGAAGAAGAACCGGGTTGCGAGCTGATTTGCATACTTAATGATACCCATGCTGTGTCGAGGCAAAACAAGCACAGTTATTACGTTGGCGTCTGGATGGTTTGAATTAATAGAATTTACGAAGTTCAAAACTCTACTTGTTTAAATGAAGACATAGACTTGGTGTTGACCGCGGAAGTAGATAACCACGTCGATCTAGTTTGAAGACATTGTAGATCAAGGAACTTACCCAATCCGCTCCCCGACACAGTGGCAATGTAGTAAGTACGGTGATTGACTCACAACCCCTGGAAACCAGCAAATAGAGAAAGCGCATCGAACCAACCACGGGCTACCAACTGCCTACGTGGTCGTCACTGCCTGGCTTTATCTTATCGCTGTGGGGCTCGCGTTCCAAAGATCATACCTCCGCGGCCACCAGACTTCTTTCTCTTGCCACATAGCACTACAATCTTCTCTTATTTTGGCATTTCACAAGCAACACTGTGCTCTTTATACATACCTACAGCTTGACAAGCACTTTGATTCTCGATATCATCCACCATGGCTGAGAACAAGCCCGCGGTCATCTGTGTCTTGTGAGTCATACTTTCCCCTCACCCCGCTGATCTTGCTGTGATGGCCGGGCTGTATACTTCTTGCCCCCCCCCCCCCCTCTTGCAGCGACCTGGTGAATACCCAAGCTAACTGATCTCTCCCTACGGGGGGGAATACAGCTGCGGCTCATCGGCAGGTAAAGACCCAGTCCACCTTGAAGCAGCCCGAGCGCTGGCCTACGAGTTCCACAAACACAATGTCCAACTGGTCTACGGCGGTGGCACTACAGGACTAATGGGCGAGATTGCCAAGACTCTCGTCTCCCTCTCCGGCCCCAAGGCCGTTCACGGCGTTATCCCCAGAGCCCTGGTAAAAGTAGCGGGCAAGAGCTCTGAGAATGGCAGCGCCACTCCCGACGAGACCGGTGGCAAGGCTGCGGAGCGAGTACTCGCGCAGGCGGAAGAGGGTGAAGATATCCCCGAGTCGGAATACGGAGTTACTACGATCGTACATGATATGCACACGCGCAAGCGGTTGATGGCTACAATGGTGTTGGAGGGTGGACCCGGGTCCGGCTTTGTTTCTTTGGCCGGTGGCTTTGGTACGATTGAGGAGGTTATGGAGATGACCACCTGGAACCAGTTGGGGATTCACCGCGTTGGCGTGGTATTGTTGAATATTAATGGGTACTGGGATGGTTTGCTTGCTTGGGTGCGTAATGCCGTTCAGCAAGGATTCATCACTGGAGAGAATGGGTCGATCCTGGCCGAGGCGCAAACCGTCGAGGAGGTTGTGCCTAAGTTGTTGGAGTACCAGTGCAGTTGTGATCGGATGCAGTTGAACTGGGGCGAGGAATAATCGGCTTGCAATTGATATTGAATCATCGCGGATGGAGTACGGGGCTTTCTTTGAAATTTCTGTTTGGTGATGTTCCTGCTGGTCTTGGTTTAGAGATATCCAGATAAACCGGCAGATCATAGAATCCACGGACTTGAATCAACAAAGCATAGTCAATGCCCGTCAGGCATGACATAGAAAGCAGAAAGTAGAGAAGAGGATAGAGAAGGAAAATCACGGCATAAAGCATTTCATGTCTATGCGGAATCATTAAGAATCAGAGAAATTATGAATCCACCTCCATCGACTCGTCCTCCGCAGTACCAGATGCTTCGGACCGCTCGAGAGCCTCCAAAAGCGGCACGGTCTCCTGGCCTTCGTACAGCTTGAAGCTCTCGATGCGACCCTTGGAGCCTTCGGGGGCCAACCCAACCACACCAACAGAAGTATTATCCACCGTAAGCTCCTTATCCTGCGAAAGCGTCTCCTTAAGCGCCCGCAGGCCATGGTTGATCAGCTGGTCACGGCTGCAATCCGCAAACTTATCGAGGTTACGCTCAAGGTATGTGCGCGCCATCTGAGAGCGAGCACCAATAGCGCAAGCCACCATCTCGTGAATCAGACCCGAGGGCTGGAATTCGAACAAGTGCGGGCCGGAGTCGTCGACACCGGCCACAAGCAGGCCCACGCCGTAGGGCCGCTTGCCGTAGTGCTGGGTGTTGGTTTGCGCGCGATCACCAATCTGCGTGACAATGCGTTCCACCGGGATTGGTCGGCCGTAGGTCATCTTGGAACCGAGCGATTGCTGCTTCATGAAGTTGGAAAGGACGCGGGCGTCGGAGGCCAGGCCAGCGATGGCAATGGCCATGTGCGAGTCGATCTCGATGATCTTCTTCTGATAGGAGGAGAGTTCTTCGGCATTACGCTGTTGTTGAGAGTTGGGGGGTTAGGTTCAGCTTCTTGGTCTGGTATACGCCCTGATGGCTGCGATGTTTGGGTGCAATCGAACCTTGAGTCCGACCAGGACGGCATGTGTCTTGTTCACCAATCCGACAACAACGGATCCTTGCTTCACGGCCTCCTGTGCGTACTCGACCTGGAATATCCGACCCTGTGGAGAGCTATTTTACGAGTCTCGGGTTAGTAATTTGGTTGGTTTCTCGCGGACCGGCCGGGGTAGGTCTTACAAGGTGACAGCATCGTTGTCGTAGTTGTTTCTGAACATGGCGGCTGGAGGGGATGAAACTCAAGGGGAGTGTAGAGGAATATGAGAGCCCTTTCAATTCAATAGGAAAATAGAAAGGAGGGCAATAGAATGCGCGGATGGAGCTTGGGGATGAGATGGGGACACTGGAGCCAGGCAGGTAAGGTGACGCGGTGTGAAGCATGAGCTCTTGCGGCCTGAGGCAGCAACACCCAGTGACCTCCAGGCGCCAACGTCACTCGTTCCTCGTCCATCTCCGAAGCTCACTCCTCCCCCAATCCCAGTCAATGGGGCTGCTATTCTCGAACCACCTCTGAAATACCCGTCTGAACTGCACGTTATTCCTTCCTAAACGAACCCTCTCTTGTCTCGTCGAATCGGGCAGCTTCGGCGACTCCGCAATCATGGCAGCCGGACTCAAGACCATCATCGCGCTCTCGTTTGTACGAAACCCCGCGCCTATTAGCTTGTGTCGCTTGGTTGGGATGATTTGCTGATCTGGAATAGGTGCTCGCGATTGGCTTCCTACTCGTCATTCTTTCCTCCGCTCTCTGGCACAAGTACTGGCCCCTGTTGGTCGTTGCCATCTATATCGTTGCGCCGCTCCCCAATTGGATTTGTGGACGATGTGCGAACCCGGATGATTTCATGGACAGCTCGAGTAACTCAGCCATGGACTTTGGGCGGTTCATGACTGGGTTCCTGGTTTTGACTGGTATTGGTGAGTTATGCGTTCCATTACCGCCATGTCCAGCAGACAACGTACCTCCGACACTCAATTCCAGACATCCCTGCCACTCAATAAAGCGTTGCTTGCATGATCGGGAAGGGTCTCTTGTCTTGACTGCGTGGCGGTCATCTATCATCCTGAAGTAATCTGCTGACACCACTTCTTTCAGCACTTCCCGCCGTTCTGGCTCACAGCGGAGCGATCGAGATTCCGGCTATGATCATGTCCATCTTGGGCGGTCTGTTGATTTATGGTACTATCATCAGCTTCACGATGTTTTTCCAGGAGCAGGAAGAGTTCTGATTGTCGATGACTGGATGAGAATGCGGGTTGTGCCTATAATCTGTTTTTGTTAGGCTATGGGGCTCGATGAACATCCAAATTGCCTCCATGATGACCTTTCTTTGCGCGATTAGTTTGACTTGTACGTATCCCACGATTTCATTCGGAGTGGGGGAATGATTTTCTAGCGAAGATTCGCCGCTTGCTGGCTTCAGCACGTCATTGGCTATGTTACTCTGGGTGTATTCCAACGCAGTGTATATATAGAGTATTTTATTGATTTTGCTCTCTTGCCTACTGACATAATGTGTATGGCTTTTTCGTTCTATGTACTGTGGGAATCCACTAGGGTAACAATCTGAATCCAGTGGGGTAAATTTCTAGTCATGTATGATTCAACTACTTAACTTTTGACAAAGTATTCGATGGTATCTTCTGTAGCAGATATGATGTTTCATTTCTTTTTACTTGCCATACCTGAGACTCTATTTGAGGTCACACATGTTGCGATGATTCCAACCGTTCATCCATTCAGCAGTGATCTATACTTTCACGTGACATCGCGCGTCATCTCGCGTTCCGCCGACACGAGAGTCGAATGCCAGCCGCAACCGATTAACCGCCCAATTCTCTCAGCATTGCGAAGACTGCCATGGGGAAGCAGTCCAAGTGATAGAAAGTGAAAATGAACATTTGGTCAGGGTCCATCAACTTGAACCCAGATCGCCAGCTGGAAGGTAATATCCCACGACGCGCCCCGCGACGGCATGCCCTCGACTAACCTTGATGCTAGGGATCCGCTTGGTTGACCCGACCTCCCACTGGCAATGCGACATATCAAAAACTGCCAAACTTGGGCTCCGCAGCTTTGTCAATCCTGCGTTAATTCCGCTCCATGCGCGGGCAGGCCCCAACCTCGAATTACACACCTTGAACGCGGGGACGTCCCAATGGCTCCAGAGCAAGTTGGCGAGGGCTATATGGTTGAACCAAGATGAACTGGACCTCCACCAGTCTGTACAATGTCCCGTCGGCCTGCTGGTCAGTATCGAGGGGCCCCCGGCGAGGAATACCACGATGGTCACGACGGATCTCTTGATCTACGGCGTGTTGTCGACCGCGTCGTCCTGCGCGCGCCCGCCGACCCCGCCGCACTCGTCGCCGTCCGACGTCCCCGGAAAGCCCAATCCCACTCCGGGCAAACCATATCAATTGAGAATATACGCGGTGCCACTATCTAAGTCGCTACTCACTCAGGCGCAAGCATTCCCATCTCCTCCGCCAAGCTCAGATGAAGAGCGTGCCTCCACGCAGGCCGAGTTTCTCCCGGATATTGGCTCGCCCAGTCCCAAGCGCAAACGTGTCGCAACTCTCTTTGAGGTTGCTGCACAGCACCATCGGCGCGTCCGGCAGCGCGGCGGCGAGGCCGTCTCTCAACTGATGGCCTCGTCTCGACCATCTTCCTCGTCGCAGAATCTCCAAACGCTGAGGATAAAGCGCGAGCCCGACGATGACCCGCCGAGTCTGCCAACGCTGGACCGACTGGCAGCACGCAGGTCACGATCTGTATCGATTGGAGCCGGTCTACACAGACCCGTAAGCAGACTCGGCGCACGCGGAGCTGGAACCCCAGCTCCAGTCTCAGGATCAGCTCCCGGCGCAGATCCTCAAAAACGCACCACAACACCAAACCCCTTCCTAGATCCTCCATCTCGCCGTGCATCACAGCAAATCCATCCTCCATCCCTTCTATCAACCTCAACCTCCGAAAATAACCTCGCAACACCCAGCTCCCCACCCAAAACCACAGACTCCATCATCGCCGAAAATAAAAACCTAATCACCCGCACAATCCTCACCTGCATGCGCCTTTATGGCTTCCACCGCTCCAACCCACGCTCTACATCCTCTCTCTCAAGCAAACTGAATCCCGCTGGTCCAGGATCTGCCGCAGAGGCAGAACCAGATCCCCGGAGCACAACTCCGGCACTGGAGACTCTCCGCGCGGAGACACCTGCCCCCGGAGCAGCTGCTGATGACGACGAGTTCAAGGCCATGTATCATGCAACGTACAAGGCTTCCGCGTTTGCGCTACGCAAGTATCTGAAGGATCCCGGTGCAGGAGTTGCGGGAGCTACGCCTGCGTTGCTGGAGAAGGGGAAGGCTATGACTTGTATTGATGAGTTGTTAAGGCTATTTTGTGAGGATCATTAGGTTCGGTCTGCGTCGGAGCGAGGGTATGCTATATTACGAGAATATGAGTTTGCATTTGGGTTGATGGTGTTTTGTAGGATGGGGTCGATGGCTTGTCAGGATGTTTTGCGGGATCACGTCATGGGATTTTTGAAGATTATTTTGAGTTATTTGTCAGGCGTTGGATTTTATACCCTGTTCGAGATGTCATTGCCATATCGTCATACCTTCTGCTTAGTTCAACTCTACTTCCTGTGACCAGTATCTAGTCGAGTCCAACATCTTAGCATCTGGCGAGGCCATCTCTACGGACATCTGATATCTACTCCCATGAAGTGATTGTATGAATAGTTTCATTCCACCAACGCTAAGCCCCAGCGTTCAGCCGGAGATGAGAATGCCGAGAAGCCAAACACAAGTCATCATATCAACGCATAAAATACAAAGAGCCACATCACGAGCGCAAAATAGGTATATCGAGTCCAGTCAATTCAAATCAAGCCAATCAAATCAATTCAAAGCCGGTCTGGTCTTGTCTGATTCAATCCGGTCGCAGTCAAAAAGCCGCAACTTCACAGCGCCAGGTTATAAGTGTAATCATCTTCGATGTTCTGAGAAACCCAAAGCACGATAGAGCTGCAAGATAATTAGCCACAACACCTCGAATCTCCCCGAGCCAAATCAAAGTCTCGAACAGAACGCACCTCAGCATAACAAGGCCATTAGCCACCACATTCGCGATACCAAAGTACAGCGTCTGAATAGGATAATCTTTCACAAGGTACTTGAGTACCATAACCGTCTAAAGCCCACAACCACATATATTAGCACATCAATATTCGACCCTTTTCACTCGGAACCGCTTCAAAATGGATAATCCACTGTAGGAGATAATGCACGTACCACACTCCCCGCCAAACCCCCAGCCAAAAGCGCAAATCCCAAGAACAACACGAACCGCGCCTTCCACGCAACCCCGCCCCCGCTGTAGCTAAAGCTATCGGCTTGCAGCCTGGACTTCTCGATCGAGTTGATCACCAGCATACCCAGCGCAGAGCAGATACCGGGGATCCAGTCGACAAATTTGATGTGTACGTCTGAGCCGTTGCGCGCGCTGTGGGAGAAGGATGCAACGTCGATGAGGAAGAAGAAACCTGCCGCGAACTGGATATTGTGGGGGACTGTTAGTATTTGGGCTTGTAGTGTGTACGGAGGCATGAGAGGGGGCAGGGGGAAGTCAATTGCGACGCATCATGGGGTCAGACAGGGCATTAGGGTTGCTGTGCGGGTGAGGGTACGTACCAAAGCGCCGGAGGTGTAGACTCCTGCGTTGCGAACGGCGGAGTTATTCAGCCACTCGGGCTTGGGAAACCGGAAAAGCCGGTTGCTGGAAACGTCCATGGTGCTGTATATGTCCTGGGTTTGATGGGTGTGCTTTGAGATGTGGTGAGCTTCGGATGCTGATGACGATGCGGCCTGGGGTGCGGAGAAATGTCGGGCCGGTTGGTGGTCGAGAGTGAGGAGGATGAAACACTTGACTCGATGATCGGAGAGGTATGTTTGAGTCGTGGAGTAGGATGTGAGAAACTAGCTAAGCTATCTCAGAATCAAATTGGTTTTCTTGTTTGTGTTGAATGGGTGGTTGTACTTGATTTCTCGTCGTAGGCAGTCAGAGTAACAATCGCAGGCAGCGAAGTATATTTCCGGACGCCAAGCTAGGGCTTAGGATCTACGATTGTAGGTACGCGTACTACGATTTAGGTAACTGGGTTTCTCAACCGAGGAGATTGTTTGAATATTTTTGTTGATGCATTGCATTAATTGAAATCGTTGCGTAGGGGACATGTAGTCCAGGGTATATACATATCAGATCAAATCACTTTTCTGCGAAGGTGGGGACGACCCCAGATCTTATCAGCGAGACAACACCCATGTGATTGTAAGGGTCGTCTTGAAAATAGATGACTCGTGGAAGAGGTAGAACGAGGCTCAGCATGACCATTTGAGCCCGTCTCGCTCTCCATCAATGTATGGATGGAGAAGATGCACGTCAGGTTGGAGTTTTAATTGACAGATAGTCAACCAAGCCGGACACGCTTCAATCCACCGCGTAGAGGTTATACAGCCTCTTGCGAGGTCCGTACCGAGGAAACTTCGGGTCTCATCAGACAACGCTCACGCCGACTCGACAGGGTGGGCACGGAGCTTGTCCATAATGGCATCAATGGCCTCCATATCACCGGCATCGGTCTTATCAGTCGGATATCCCTCGGGAAGGACCTTAACCAGCTCATTCATAGCAGGCTGGTAATTGCGCACGGCAGACGAAAGCGCATAGATCGATTTCTTGCGAGCAGCGGGGTTGGGGTCGCCCGTGGCCATGGAGACCAGAGTGGGAATACCATTCAAAACGACAAACTGTACGTCAAATAGAGTTAGCATTATTCAAACCCCCGGGAATCAATATCGCAAAGGGACCACTTTACATACCCTATCCTGAGCCTTCTCATTATTCTGCACCGCCGTTCCAATACACCAAGCCGCCATGCGACGCATATCCGCCTCCTCATGTTTCAGCAACTGCACCAGAGGAGTCCACAACCCCAACGGCTCGAGGTTATTCGCATTGTCGATCCCCTCGATCATTTGTTCAAAGTTGTCAAAGGCGATCATCTTGTTTTCCAAATCGGACTCGTCAGAGTGTAGTACTTCCATGGCGGCTTTCATTAAGTCTGCGTCCGAGGGACCGCCCATGAGTGCGTTGATCATGTCCGGTGTGAGGGTGCGAGAGGCTTCTTCAGCGCTGGGAGGGGCTGTCACGGTGCCGTCGGCATTTTTTTGTTCGGAGTTGGCGACGCTCCATTTGAGGAGCTTGTTCATTGTGGGATCCATGATGGAGGAAGGTGGGTAGTAGAGGATGAGTCGTGTAGAAGGAGAGGCTGCTTCTGTTGAGAAGTGTTCGTGTTTGCAGTGTCAAGGAAAGATTGTCCGATCTATGAAATCATGATAATATGAAGCTCGATGCGACTGCTTATCTAATCTGACGTTGATTCCGGACGATTCGTGCGGCGCCTAGTAGGTTCGATCATGTGATCGTGATCCCTTTCTTGATTATCATGTGACCTGCTCATTTCCCCTCCAACCACGTGACTTGCCACTCACCGTCTCGCACTGCCACGGGGGAAATGGCGGTAACCCGCTGGCACCACGATGGAACCATGTTTCTGGGAAGGGCGCTTGCGTAAGACCCGTGCAGGGAAGAGTCCCCCCTATGATAAAACCATCTTGTAGATATCTACAGCTAGACAATGGCTAGGAGGTTCAATGGCATAGTCCCGAATATTGGGACGCCTCGTATCCGCGTAGGGTTTACTTGTGGTATGCTATACGAAGAAAGTATGTGGGTATGCATGGCAATGACGGGATCCCGTAGTACGACGGTACAGTACCCGCCAAGTACCGTTCGAGAGTCGGGGCAGTGCTGTGGCCAGCGGATCTGAAAGGGTTCTATACTTAGTAGTGACCTTCCAGCCAGACAAAACATAGAGGGAACGGAGTAAATGACATCGGCTCCTCCGTCCTGGCTGGCCCTTGTTCCCCCGCCACATGAGAGACTCCTATGAAATGTCGGAGCCTGGGCTTAGAGCATAAGCTCTGGCCTAATGAGCGCTGTACGGGGTCGCCTACGTAGTCTATACGGTCTTTGACTCTCTCCAATGTATAGAATGGAAAATCGTCTCCCGTGTATGATCATCGCGGTGGATGCCACTAGGCAGATGTTCATGTCAATGAATATCCCCAAGAAACAAGGGTCTAGAGGCTCTTGACATGTTTGACGTGGAGTAGCCCCGCGAGGGTGTACGCAATGCAGATTATGTGGTGTAGGAGGCGTGCCATGGCGGGTAGGCAGAGCGATAACGAGAGAGGGAAATGGGGGGAATTGGTGTCTGCCTTGGGAAGGGAAAGGGCCATTGCATAAATAGGGTCAGATGGGGGTAGAGAAGAGAATCCTGATAAGCAGTTCATTGATCAGCGACGCTGATCAAGGTCAGAGACTAAGACTTAGACTACTCGAAGACCACAAGTGTAGAAACTCAAGAGAGTCTCGCACACACTTGGGACTCTTGTTGGAGCGGGACCCCCAATCACAAACCAGCCAAACCCATCGGGCCCCTCTCCACCTTCTTCTCCCTCTTCCCTCCTTCTCTCCCTTTCCCCCCTCAACACTCTTAACACCATCTCCATACACACCCTCGTCACCTCCCCTCCCTCCCTCTTTTCTTCTTCCCGTATCCCACTTAATCTACATCCATCTCAGTCACAATGGAAGGTATGTGATCTCCCCTTATTTTCCCTCTCCCTCCTGCGTCTTTGAATCCCGTTGTGGCCACATCAGCGCCTTGGCTCACCCCTCAGAGCTGTCTGGGGCCGGCCGAGCGAAGCTGACGTGATGACCGTTGAACTTCGATTTTGGGAAAACTTGTATGCTAATTCATCATCTCATCTATAGAGGAAGTCGCTGCTCTCGTCATTGACAATGGGTACGTGATGAAACTTGGGGGGTTGATACCCGTGAGAGCTGGTCTGGCTGTGTTTGGGTTCCTCGTCAACCGCCCTCCCGGTCGCGGTCCCGATTCGATCATCTACCCCCTATCCCACCGCCACGGCTACTGAGGAATCCCAATCGCCCGTCCAGACCACGCGCGGCATCAACCTCAAATCTATCATTTTGGCTTCGATGGAAGAATTTCTTACTGATGCGTTGTTTGTAGCTCGGGTATGTGCAAGGCCGGTTTCGCCGGTGACGATGCCCCTCGAGCTGTCTTCCGTAAGTCCCCCAAAAATCCCTCCCCCCCCTAATACAAGGTTCCGTACAATGGCAATCTTCCCCCCCCCTCCTCCTGGCAGATTATCCCCCACCAACCCTTGCGTCGGCCTTTGCGGTCAAGCTGGGGTTGGTCGGAAAATTTGTCGCCTTTTGAGTTTGGAACCGAAACATCAATTGAAAACAATAATAATAATCAATACTGACCAAGATCAATAGCCTCCATTGTCGGTCGTCCCCGTCACCATGGGTAAATGTCTCCCCTCCCCCTGAATTTCCAAATTTCCCCGGTCTCATCAGCCTCACACTACTTGATGCGCTGGTCGCAAACACGGCGAATCCCCTCTCCCAATGGACATTCCTCCAAAAAACTAACACAATGCTCCCAGTATCATGATCGGTATGGGTCAGAAGGACTCCTACGTCGGTGATGAGGCACAGTCCAAGCGTGGTATCCTTACCCTCCGCTACCCCATTGAGCACGGTGTTGTCACCAACTGGGACGACATGGAGAAGATCTGGCACCACACTTTCTACAACGAGCTCCGTGTGGCCCCCGAGGAGCACCCCATCCTCTTGACTGAGGCTCCTATCAACCCCAAGTCCAACCGTGAGAAGATGACCCAGATTGTCTTCGAGACCTTCAACGCCCCCGCCTTCTACGTCTCCATCCAGGCCGTTCTCTCCCTGTACGCCTCCGGTCGTACCACTGGTATCGTCCTTGACTCCGGTGATGGTGTTACCCACGTTGTCCCCATCTACGAGGGTTTCTCCCTCCCCCACGCCATCTCCCGTATCGACATGGCTGGTCGTGACTTGACCGACTACCTGATGAAGATCCTGGCTGAGCGCGGTTACACCTTCTCCACCACTGCCGAGCGTGAAATCGTCCGTGACATCAAGGAGAAGCTCTGCTACGTCGCTCTCGACTTCGAGCAGGAGATCCAGACCGCTTCCCAGAGCTCCAGCCTCGAGAAGTCTTATGAGCTGCCCGACGGACAGGTCATCACCATCGGTAACGAGCGCTTCCGTGCTCCCGAGGCTCTGTTCCAGCCCAACGTTCTGGGTCTCGAGTCTGGCGGTATCCACGTCACCACCTTCAACTCTATCATGAAGTGTGATGTTGATGTCCGTAAGGATCTGTACGGCAACATTGTCATGGTATGTTTTTATTTCCCTCTTGTACAGCTTCCCGTTTTGGACTTGATAACTAACTCGCCCTCTCCCTCTCTAGTCTGGTGGTACCACCATGTACCCCGGTATCTCCGACCGTATGCAGAAGGAGATCACTGCTCTTGCTCCTTCCTCCATGAAGGTCAAGATCATTGCTCCCCCCGAGCGCAAGTACTCCGTCTGGATCGGTGGTTCCATTCTCGCCTCTCTGTCCACCTTCCAGCAGATGTGGATCTCCAAGCAGGAGTACGACGAGAGCGGTCCCTCGATCGTTCACCGCAAGTGCTTCTAAGCTTCTTTCTCTCTTTGTTCGAAGCTTTGATTGTCGTCGCTCGTACTTTCCTGGTGTATCAAAAGGCAGGATGGAGGAGGCACTGGTGGATCGCAAGCGTTGTTGGACTCGCATTATCAAGCGGATAGCCTGAAAATGGAAATTCTTCGATTTTAGTGGAATAGAGTCGGTCTTTTTTTCTTCCTGATAATTTCCATTTTTTTCAAGTCTTTTTTCTGTTCCTTCATTCGCTTCTTGCGTTCTAGTGGACATGCCTCCGTGTCTTTCTTTCTTCTCCCCTATCCCCCCTTTCTAGGTATCTTTCCCACTTTTCTAGTTTCTCCGTGCAAAGTCTAGGTTATCGACGATGTGTATTCCATTCAAGATCCTGCATATCCGTAATAAAATCTCATCAACCGCTTGTCACGTAACGTGCGTCACGACCGAAAGGGATAAGGTAACTAGATGGCCAAATACGTTTAGTAGTCAGTGCGCGTGTTTGTGTTGTAAAGGGCCAGTTTTCTTCGAATCTCCCAACCTCGAGCTTGAAACTCTCTCCAACTTATAGCATTTCCAAACTGCCTGTCTTTATCTAGAGCTGACATGTTTGGATGTTGGCTCGTCATGTGGCGATACTATGAGAGATGAACATCAGACAGCCCTCCGTCATGAGACTTTTCGTATTTATATACTAGTAGAAACGCCATGACTTTACAGAAGTGGGTTATAGCACATTACTATCGCGAATGGGGTGTTGGCGTTATGCAGTAGCGATTCGAACTGAGGACCTAATGGTCAGCTTTGATTTACTTATGTTTCCGTTTCGGCTTTCTATGATACGATAGTTTCGCGAGGGACGAAGTGTGTTCCTGGAGATGAAGAACATAAATAAACCCGAAGGACGAAGAATGAAGTCACTTCTCCAGTTGAACTTCGTGCTGGTACGAAGTTCGGATCGCTGTCTCCGCTAAGCAGCGATGGAGGACAGGGTGGTAGACTCGGAGTCGGACTCGTGGATACTGAGAGGTCGGCGAAGATATAAGAGAAGGTGTTTGGAAGGACATGGGTAGAATACAACTGGGAGTACAGCACCGCGACGAGGAATATGTAATTGAGTGTTCGTAAGGTATACTTCAGTAGTAAGCGTTACTTCTCAAGGCCAAGAGGGAAAGGATCTTATCCCAGGTGTGAAATATACGGAGTGAGATAAGTGTGCGGTCAGAACAACCTAACACAAAGATTCAGAAGAGGAAAGGTGCTTGAACTAGTGTACCTAGACCTTTAGGGATTGTGGAACTGATCAGAACTAGTCAGAGAATGGAGGATGTGTTCAAAGACTCGACACTGCCGAAATACGTGCTTTTCTCCAGAGCTGGTTAGAAGTTGTAGTTGGAAATCGCCCCGTAGTGCCTGGCTATCATGGAGCCTAGTTGTTCGTGAGATGGTTGATATTATGGGCTACGAGATCCTTGTCCAGCCCAGATCTGCGCCTGCAGCTCCATGGGATGGAAGGTGATGTAGTATAGAGGAGAGCCCTTCTATGGCTGCACTACGATTTCAGTTCATCTGTTGTTGGGCAAACCTATAGAGTTGAGAAGTTTCTTTGTTTGGTCTACACGAGCTGCCATTGTGAATATCGTCATGGGTAGCTAAGGAAATGAGATTCATCCTACGATGGAATTGAAGATGGCTAAAAGGACACGAAGGAGGAGACCGATTGGGGGAAAACCGATCAAAACAACATGGGTCGAGTGTGTCACTATAGAGCACCGCAAGGCTCGACGTGCAGAATTGACATTCATGGGAGGAGCATTCATTGGGTACTTTGACATCCAGATCGAGAGAAGGAGAGCAAGCAAAAACGCGTATTTCTAGTAAAACTTTCAATTGACAGTATATAAGTGTATGTATCATTTCATCCAGAATACAGGATATTCAGCGTCATTCATTCCAGGACCATCAACAAGGCCCAATTTTGTGTCTCCAGACCAACAAAAACGTAACAAGAAAAGAAAAATGCCATAAGACCTAATATCGCAAAGAAATTTAAAACGAGGCAAAAGACTGCCCTCCTCTTCCGAGGACAGATCATGCGCTCCACGACTCCAGGCCGCTGAGCACGCAGCCCTCCTCACCCTCGGCACGGGCACGCAGCTCACCAATACGGTACACAGTCTCACCAGCAGCCTCGAAGCTCTGGCGGATCTCCGCCGCGGCAGAAGCCTCCACGGCAATGACCATGCCAACACCGCAGTTGAATGCGCGGGCCATCTCCACCGGGGAGACGTTACCGGCACGCTGCAGCCACTGGAAGACGGAAGGCTGGGCCCAAGAGCTAACGTCGACGGCGGCAGTGAGAGTCGAGGGGAGCATGCGGGGGATGTTCTCGGTGAGACCACCACCAGTGATGTGAGCCAGACCCTTGATGGCGGACGAGTGGGCCTTCAGAGCAGCCAGGATGGACTTGACGTAGATGCGGGTGGGGGTGAGCAGGGCACGGCCCAGGGAGAGCTGCTCGGTCTGACCGGGCATGGTGAAGGGGGCGGGATCGGCAAAGTCCAGGCCGGTGCGCTCAACGATCTTGCGCACGAGCGAGTAACCGTTCGAGTGCGGGCCAGACGAGCCAAGGGCCAGCAGCACGTCACCAGAGCGCATGGCGTCGGTGTGAGGCAGAATCTGGCGGGCATAGGCACCGCTCGTGTTGATGGCACCGACGGCCGCACCAACTGCGTCGTAGGTGTCGTCAATGAACAGACCGGGCATCTCGGCGGTTTCACCACCGATCAGGGCACAGCCGGCTTGCACACAGCCGTCCGCAACTCCAGCGACGAACGCAGCGGCGGTGGGGACGTCCAAGTGGCCACAAGAGTAGCAGTCAAGGAAGAAGAGGGGCTCGGCACCCTGGACAACGAGGTCGTTGACGTTCATAGCAACCAAGTCGATACCAACGGTGTCGTGGATGCCGACAGTGTGAGCAATCTTGAGCTTAGTGCCAACACCATCGATGGCACCAATCAGGGTGGGCGAGTCCGCGTGGTACTCGGGGTTGGCCGCGGCCAGAGAGAAGAGACCACCGAAGCCGCCGATGACGGCATCAGTACCGGGGCGCTTGGTGCGACCAACGGAGGCCTTGATGCGGTTGACTAACTCGTTACCGGCATCGATGGAGACACCGGCAGCGGCGTAAGTCAGCGAAGTATCGGCGGTCTGGCGGAAGGCACGGTGCGCGATATCCTTGCGGAAGAACATGTCCTCGAAATGAACGGTGGCGATACCCTCGTAGCTCTTGGACACGGCCTCCTCGAGAGTAGCGGCGGTGGCGGTGGCAGCGATCACACGGCCACCGGAGGTCTGCAGCTCATTGCCAGAAAGGGTGGTACCGGCGTGGAAGATCAGGGAGCCGGCAGGAGTAGAATCCAAGGTAATAGGCTTGCCCTTGGCATAGGAGCCGGGGTAACCGCCAGCGACGGCGACGACGGTGGTGGAGTAGTTGGGCTCGACCTTGATGGATACACCGTCCAGGTAGTGCTCGGTACAGGCGACCATGATCTGGGCCAGATCGGTGTCCTCGCTGAGCAGGGGCAGAAGGGTCTGGGTCTCGGGGTCACCACCGCGGACATTGTATTCGAGGACCTTGGGGCCGGTCTTGGTCATCATGAGACCAGTAAAGAGAATACCAACGAAGGGGAAGCCTAAATCAGATCAGAATCATGCTTTGAGGTTTGAAGTTGAGGTGGAACATACCATCTCTCCGCATGCCGTCGATGGAAGGCTGAATGATAGTGCGGTCAATCTCATCACGGACCTCCTTGGGCGCAATGCGTGTAGGGGCATAGCAGCCCATGCCGCCAGTGTTGGGGCCCTTGTCACCATCAAAGATGCGCTTGTGGTCCTGCGCGGGGGGCAGGGAGTAGATAGTGTAGCCGTCGCTGAAGGTGAGGATGCTCAGCTCGTCACCCTCCAAGTACTGCTCGATGACGACCTCGTCGCCAGCAGCGCCGAACTGATGGTCAAGCATCATCTCCTTGAGAGCCTGGTGGGCCTCCTCCTTGGTAGTAGGGATAACAACACCCTTACCAGCGGCCAGACCAGAGGCCTTGATCACAACGTTGTGAGAGACGGAATCGAGGTAGCGGCGGGCAGACTCATAGTCGGAGAAGTTGCCGAAGGCAGCAGTGGGAATGTTGTGGCGCTGCATGAAGTCCTTGGAGAAGGTCTTGGAGCCCTCCATGCGGGCGGCGGCCTTGGAGGGACCGAAGCACTTGATACCGACTATACGGAGTGGGGAAAAAAAGCTTCAGTATTCAGTTGTACATTGAGGGCTGAGCTTTTATCGACTTACCGGCCTGGAAGTATCCCTGGATACCGTCGACGAGGGGGGCCTCGGGACCGGGCACAACGAGGTTCACGCCATTCTTCTGCGCGAAAGCCACGAGGCCGGGGTAATCATCACCCTTCACGTCGACATTAGTGATCTTGCTGGAACCCCTACCAGTACCGCCATTTCCGGGAGCGACATAGACGATATCGACGAGGGGCGACTGGCTCAGCCTCCAAGCATAAGCATGCTCACGGCCACCATTGCCAACAACCAGGACGCGCAATTGTTCTTGAGCCATTGTAAAAGCAGTGTCTCGAGCGACTGTGATAAAGTTAGCGATTGTGGGAGCCCACCGCGGGGTATATGCCCCTCCTCCATTTAATTGGGTTGAAGGGGTATGAAATTGACGGGCTGAAGACGGATGATGGAGGCAATGGAAGCAATTGAGAATTTGGAGGGTTCGAATATACTAACCTCGCCGAGAGAGACCTGAGAAACAACTGCAGGAAGAGTGGATGAAGATCGTAAGGTTCTCGCCGTGCTGGGTCACTTTTTTTTCTGCCGGCGGCGGTGTTTCTCCGGAGTCGGACCCGTTATGACTCTTCCCTAGACGAAGTACATCACTTACGAGATGGGGACCCATCTTAAGTCCAGCCACTTTATTTCTCTTGCAGCCTCGACAATACTTCTCAATCTGTTGTAGATAGGTGTCTTTATTGCATTAAACTTTGATTACAGCGATGTCGTATAAACCTTGCAAAATGTATTCAGATGTATTCCGGTACTTAGAACGCCCTCGTTCACCCAGGGATTTGTTCATGTAGTCGTCTGCGTGACCTCTTTCCGTCTTCAGATGGGGTTTGTCAACGCATTTTCTCAGTTGAAGTTTGATATGGATCCATTTTCCATCATATTCCATATAGGAGAGCCCTCTTCCGATATCTCGATCCGTACTTTGAACTCACGGTAAAGTATATTTTCAGCATGTGGTGCCTGAGGTGGCGATCATGAAAGCGGTGTCACGCGGCATAAAAAAACAGCTGCACGGCGCGCAAGTCAATCAATACCATCTTTTGTCCAAGTCCAAGTCCCGTCGTGTCGATTATCCCCGGGCATTGCACTTTTTTTTCTCCCCTGTTTTCTTTCAAATTAGTGGTCCGTATGTTTCGGGCCTCACTACGGTCTGTATCAGACCCCCTCCGCGACCATGTCTGCTTTTCCTGCTTAGCGCGCCGATTCGCCGCGCCGACGAATCTGCGGCGATTCCACCGCATACCTGCGCTCCGAATTCAGTCCAGCGGCGAGAATGGAGGAAGTAGCGCAGCCGTGTCGGCTGCGCCGGCGGTGCCACATTGGGAGCAGAATTCGCCCAGCAAGGTATGCAATCATTGATCACGCGGCTCGTGCATGACCGGTCAATGGGGCAAACTGACAAGATCTTCATTCAAAGATTCCTCAGCCAGCCGAGCAAGCCAATGAAGCACTTTTCGACGAATCACTACCGGATACTGTGCCATCAGATGCTGCTCACCTTCAGAGTCAACAGGCTGCGGCGAGGCGAGCGAGGCGTATAGCAAGACCACAGGACAAGCGCCGATCAAAGGAAACTGAAAAGTCAGATCATGGAGTGACCAAAGGTGGATCAGACTCTACGAGCAAACGAAAGGCTGCGATCCAGAAAGTAAACCAAATTCTCGACGAGAAGACTTCACCAAAGAAGGGACCGAGGGGACCCAAAGGCAAACTCTCCCACGTCGCAAACTTCATTAACGAGAAGCATACTGGAGTAGTTTATTCCGAGGCTGATGCACTCAAAGGTAAGATCTTCCAGAGAATGAGATGGGGGCTTTGACTGACATCTGCAAGCCTTGGATATCCCTATGGCCCCTGTGCCTAGCCTTTCATTCGGCCTCGATCGAGTCCTGTTCAAGTAAGATACCCATACATCCCTGTTTGTTTTTCTACAATCCTAACGGCGAGACTGCAGTCCTGGTGTCTACCAACTAAGGGATCCTCGTTCGCGCGTCTACAATTTCGATCCCTATCTTGGCCAGATCATGCCTGTCACGGAATTCGACTTCAACGCCCTGAAGGAATACATCACCTCATCGAAAGATGACACCCTCCGGAGTCACGCGATCAAACAAAAGAAGAAGTACAGTGGATCATCTTCCAGCATGACCTCCGTACTTTCCCAATTCCACTATCTTCTTTCTGCTTGGAGAGGTATCGACACTCGCACCTTATCACAGGGCTTCCCAGACAAGCTTCGGTCCTTTACTCGCCTCCTCCGATCGCCGGCTGCCATGTTCTTGCACTACCAGGATGGGGTGTATGCTATCGATGCGGATAAGGAATTCGACTCTGCTAATATCCTTATGAACCTCGGAAAGTCAATGGAGAAGCTCCTCACGATGCCCAAGGAGGACTTTGAACGCTACCGACGGTCAAGTGAGAACAAGATCACGTCTGAGGAAGAGCAGGCCATTCCCGAATCGTACCATTACTCCACTTACGGCGATTTCATCATGCGATCTCAGCTGGATGCCTATGATCCTCGTCTCCCCGGAACCGGCATGTTTGACCTGAAGACTCGCGCCGTCGTGTCGATCCGCATGGACGCCAAGAACTTTGAACATGGCCTTGGCTACGAGATCAAAACCCGGTTCGGCGACTTTGAGTCGTACGAACGCGAGTTCTACGACATGATCCGCGCAGCTTTCCTGAAGTACTCTCTCCAGGTCCGCATTGGCCGTATGGATGGTATCTTCGTCGCATTCCACAACGTTGAGCGCATCTTTGGATTCCAGTACGTTAGTCTGCCTGAGATGGATCAGACTCTGCACGGAACCTCGGACACCGCGCTGGGTGACAAGGAATTTGAGCTCAGCCTGGGGCTGTGGAATGAAATTCTAAACAAGGCAACGGAGAAGTACCCGGAGCAGTCTCTTCGGTTCCACTTTGAGACTCGTGATGCCGTGACCCCATTCATGTACATTTTTGTCGAGCCCGTCACGAAGGAGGAGATTCACGCCATTCAAAACTCCAAGAAGGCCGAGATTGATGCCTACCAGCAGCGCCTACTGAACCTCAAGCCTAGCGAGGATGACAGCGATCTTGATGCCCCTCAAGTCGAAGAGACGGCAGAAACCTCTGCTACCGAGGCCGAGGAGGAGGAATCTGTACCCAAGGGCGAGCTTCTTGCTATGGCTTTGACAATTCGGAACAAGGTCAACGGCGAGTATGTCGAGCGGCCGACGGAAGGTTTCAATGCCCAAGACAAGTGGCAGGTTGAATACGAGCTAAGTGAGTTGTCGCCCGCACAGGGCCACGTCATCTACAAGATGTGCAAGACTCGTCGGATGAGGGGACTCGAAGGCCGAGGCGAAGACGAACTCGAGGTTGCAAGCAATGTGTATATCCGCCGACTGCGGCAAATCAGCAAAGAAGGACGCAAGCACCGCGAGCGTGAGAACCAGCTCGATAAGGAGCTTGGTATCGTTGTCTTGGAAGACTGTGTTAAGGATGGAGCGAAATAAGACTGTCTCTCATTTCCGAGTGACAGGCTTTGTTTCCTTTTTTCGAGATGGATTCACCCTTGTTTGAACCCTTGGATGTTTCCCTTTCCTGTATATTACTAGATGTGATTCCCCGTTCTGTATTTTTGGCCTGGGGTTCTTTTAACTTTGCACTGGATGGCGAAGAATGTTTATCCAACAATACATACATGGCGTATTCTGGCTTCTAAGTGGTTATCTACCTTTGTCTACCCTAGTATATTTTAACTTGGCGATAGTAAGCCTGTACATACGTAGTCGAGGAGGCAGTGAGGGCATGAGCAACATTCGCTGCTTGTTCTCATCTGGCTGGCCCTTCCTTCCAAGACCGACGATGCCAGTAAATAAGGACTGCCACTTCAAGGGAACTTTGGGCTTGACGCGTCATAAATCTTTCGCAATTCATATAGACGCCATCGGTATTCCTGCTACTTGTCGTCGTCACTTATCATTTCGGAAGGAGTATATACAGACCTGATAGCCTTCGGTAACCATATCCAACTTCCCCAATTGTACCTCGTGGGTCTCACCAACTAAGAGAGTTACGAATGAAATCGAAAAGGGGAATAACTATTGAAGAAGACGCATGGATAGTGAACCGTTTCCAGGGAAATATTTGTCGAAATTGTTCCGACCTCGAAGCCACCTGTCTGGGAAATCGGCTTGATATTTTCACACTCGCCTTATTCGCCAATGATTTCTCTTGATGATTTCTTCTTTGACTATGTCACTCAATCCATATCCACCAAAACTAATCAACCTGAAACTCGCACTCATTTTGAATCACGGAGAGGCAAATGCCATCATTTTACCACGGGATTCACCGGCTCTGCCGGTTGATGGAAAGTACTTTTCTATTTGTAAACTTCATGAATTGGGAATTGAAGCCTTGCAGGTTGAACTCCAGAACGATGACAAACTTGAATACAACCCTAGCATTTTCTAGCCTCAGCATCATAGCCTTCATCATACCTATACTCTGCTGGATAAGACCCATAATTCAGGAATTTCACTTAGTTATTAACCAGATTAGCTGGCGCGCTTATAATCTACCGGCTCGATATAGACGATTATCTGGTAGAATCTAGTACATACGACCATAGGGTGTGGAGAACAGGGCTTCCCGTCCGCTCAGCCGTACTTAAGCCACCTATAGTATGCGGTTAATTCTCAAAGCGCCCCAAGCCTTGAAATGGCGTCCGATTTTATCCTAGGGTAAGTGTAGGTGATTTAGGTAAGAAGTTTAGAGACTAGGGTGATAGAGATAAGAACGGGGTGAGAGCGGCTAAGAATTCTTACCTAGATTACCTATATACCGCTTTAACTTAGAGACTAGCCTATAAATATAAGTACTAGGTAGCTACCTAGTCTTCTTTTCTTATTTCCTAAAGTTTAGCTATTTTAAAGAAGATATTTCTAAAAGACGTCTAAAAGGAACTCGAGGAAAGAACTATACGTATTACGTTACGTAGTTTTACCCTTAAGTATTAAAATAAACGAGAATAAGAAAATAATACTATCTATCTTAAATAGCTCGCTCTAGCTACTCTTAAGAAGTATAGAGATATAGAAAAAAATTAGGTATTATAAGTACTACTATTTATAACTATAGGTCGTAATCCTAATTTCTATAGATAGAGACTCTCCCGGAATAAAGTAATTAATACTAACTTTTCTAAGAATAAACTTAATCCTACCCCTAAAAATTTAAAATCTTTTACCGAGAACTATATTATAATAAGAAAAAAGATATCTTCGTAGAAATCTATATATTAGAACTTAAACTTTATATTAAGATAGGAAAGAGAGATATTTTATTAAGAGTATACTACTTTATAGGGTAGAAGGCCTATTAACTAGGTAGGAGAGGAAAGCACTAAGTTAGATTAAGATAAAGACTATTTCTCAAGGAGTTCGAATCCAACTCCTTAAGTACTAATTTAAATATAATATCTTGTCAGCATGTGTGGTTATCACATATGCGGGTATGTGCCTTTGTACGGTCGAGATGCGACCAAAGCCCCACTTTCCTTACCCCTCATTGGATTACTTAACCTCGTCATTAAACGATGAGATCTATCAGATTGATCCTCAACGATCTTATATACACTTACATACAATCGCCTACCTAGGCAGGAGACTATATAACACTCCAAGGATGTTCCTTCTATTTTATTTGTCATTCTGCCGTGTACCCCGCGATATAAGTATCACTATGTTTTCTAACTAAATTGAATTAAGTTTGACATCTCTCCATGACATAAGAACTACTCTCGAGCATATTTGACATAACCCTTCTTCTTTATCAATTAAGCTAACTACATGCCTTCTTATGAACCGTCTCTCTTCAATCCCATCTTTTGCATACCTCTTTGTTGTGTGTGTGCATTAGACCTTTCCACCTGTTTTCTGCCGAAGACCCTTTCCCCCGGGAAACACCACTTCTAAAGAAACTCCTATTTCCAACATATCTTTTATATAAATAGGGAATAATTATAAAGTAAGGAGGAAACTATAGCGAAAGGCCACCATATAGTTAACGTATAGTATATACTATATATAGTATAGCTATCGCGTATCGCGGCCGAGGGGTTACTAGCTAACCGTCGGATAGCTACCGCCTTAGTAGAATCCTTAACTCCTAGGTACCTAAGGTACTAATATTAATATATAAATATCCTTATTAAGATATTATAATAATTATCCTTCCTCTAAAGTGTTATGATATTTCGATGAGACTATTCACACACTGATATTAGGGCCTTAGGCATACGTGGACCGAGGGTTCTGCTAAGGCGGTAGCCATCCGGCGGTCAGTCGGTGGCCCCTCGGCCGCGATACGCGACAGCCACGCT